GGGTGGCCCGGGGGGTCGGGCTGGGGGTCCCAGGGGGGCTGCCCCGGGGGTGGTGCCCGGAGCACGTACCACGTGACTTTAGCACTTTTCAAACGACCAAGTCCCCAAAAAGTCACTCAGAAGCCCAACTGGGCCACCCATTTTGTATGGGATTTTTGTCGTGCACGGACCACCCCCATAGTTAAGATTTCCCCCTCCCCAATTTCTGGCACCGTTAACTGCTGCATGGACTTTGACCACCCAAATATGGTCGGTGAGTCTGTGTAGAGGCGACCTGGACTCGACTTCCTGGGCTCGGGCATGGAGGCCCATCGTGGGTGTGCGTGGCGTTGCGTGGACGGTACCGAGGGCGCGGGGAGCTGGCAGCGGGGGCCCTGGAGGATGGGCCCCTGTGGCGAGACAGCCCCCGGCGCGCCGGTGCCCCCGTAACCCCGCCCGCGCACGGTGGGAACTCCCCCGGTCCGGGACGGTGGGCGGTCGTCGGTGGTGGCCCGTCGGGGCCAGGGCGCCAGTTGGCGCGGTGGGGGGAGTTGGTGGGCTGCTGTGGGCGGGACGGGGGTGGCGAGGAGGAGCGGGTACGCGAAGCGGCGCGCGCGTGAGTACTGCAGCGCGTTGGCCAGTTCGCCAAATCGCGGGATCGTGCCGGGGCTTGGTCGGGGGGCATGGGGCCGGCGGGGGGTTTGGACTGGGGGTGCATCATGGGGTAGCCCACGCCTGGGAGTGGCCGCCGTGGGTGCCCCGGGGGATTTGGGGCGGCTCAGGTCGGGTGAGATTCCGGCGTGCACGGACCACTAATCGAAACATATTCCCCCGGGGCTCGGGCTGGGGGCCAGGGGCAACCGGGGCCGTTGGACTGGGGGTGCCTGGGGGGGTAGCCCACGCCTGGGAGTGGCCGCCGTGGGTGCCCAGGAGGGATTGGGGGGGGCCAGCGCGGAACGGATCTGGAGTGGTCCGATGTTGGCCAGTTTGCTGAATCGCGCTGCCAGGAAGTGCCGGGGCTCGGGCAGGGGGCAGGGGACCGCCCGGGGGATTTCCACTGGGGGGCGCCTCGGGGGAGAGTCGACGCCTGGGAGTGGCAGTTCTGGGTGCCCCAGGGGTATCCAGGCGGCCGGGCTGCAAATATATATCTTCAGTTCTTTGTACGACCACCTGGACAGGCCACCACCATCACCCATCAACTCCATGCACAGATATATATATCATATATATATCTGCACCGAACCCCTCCCGTGACCCCCGGGCGTTTTGGTTCGGGGGCACCATGCCCGGAGCCGGGGCCCGGGGAGGGCCGCCTCGGGGGCCGCCCGGGGGTGGTGCCCGGAGCACACATCACGTGACTTTAGCACTTCTCAAACGACTAAGTCCCCAAAAAGTCACCCAGAAGCCCAAGGGGGTGGCCCAGTTTGTATGGGCTTGGCTAGAACCCTCGAGGGCCTCCAAAAGAATCAGTGGGCTAGCGAAACCGGGCCCCCAAAGCCCCCCAAACCCTTTTAAAGTTTTTAATACACTCTCTTTCCTTTAATAGAAATAAATACCCTCTCAACCCACCATAGAGGGGGGGGCGCGTTTGGGGGGGGGGGCGGGGGGGGGGGGGGGGGGGTGTAAGAAAAAAAAGAGGGGGGAGGAAGAGGGGGGGGGTGGTAATGAATTTTTCTTCTCCTCCTCCTCCTCCTCATCAACACCATTTTCCCTTTCCTTCCCCACAAAAAACCCCCCCCCCCCCCCGGTGGTGTTTTTTTTTTTTTTGTGTGGGGGGCTTTTGTTGGGTGGGGAAAAAACACAGCTCTCTAAACAAAAAAAAAAAAAAAAGAAGTGGTTTCTTCCTCCCCCCCTCCTTCGCTTCTCTCCCCTCGTTTTGGAGCTTCTCCCCCTGACGGGTCAGTCGATTGATCACGTATGCTGCTGTGCGGAGCGGACTGCCTTGGTCCATAAGAGAGAGAGAGAGAGAGTTGCATTATACTCGAATATCAGCCACTTTTCAGGGCTCTTCCCGAGTCGACGATGGCCGAAGCGACGTCTTTCTAGCTAGGCTTTCCTGACAACATTAACCACCACATCGACCTATCTATCCCACCAGTTGCCATCTTTCCCTTGTATGTTTCGAGCGCCCCCTGTACATAGTGTGCCAAATCCCGCGCATCCTTCCCTTGCGCCTGGTAACTTCAGTTCCTTTTCCAACAGATTGATCTCTCCAGTATGCCCCGTTTGTAAAGCCCGTCTCCCGCCCTCGGTACCCATTCCATCGCCATCCCCACCTGTCAGGAAAGCCAGCCGGGGGTCGGTCGCCAGAGCTCGCATCGTCAGTGTTCATCGTAGTGCGGATCATTGAAGGAGTGTGGATCAAGAATGCGGTAAATTCGAGAAAGTCACGCGCTGTGATCATCCCCTGGAAGGCGCCTCCTCAGTCAGGTTTTCCCCTTTGCAGCGTGCGAGAGGAAGTGAGAGGCGGGCAAACAACGTGTTAGCCGGGCCCGAGAGGTGTGTGTGTGTGTCGTGGTCGTCAGTTGCCTGTGTTAGTATCTGATTCGTCTAGAATCGGTGGTGGGGGCAGCAGATATGGTAGTCTACCTGTGCCCAGTAGAAATCGCGCTGTCTTTTTCGCATGGTCTGGTCCCAGCGCGTGGGCCAGAGTGCGGGGTGCCAGTTGGGGACCCCAGATTTGGTCCCTCTGTCCTGAGTGTGCTGGGCAGAGGAATAGAACGTGATTGACCGTTTCGTCATGCTCTTGGCATGCCGGGCAGGTGGGAGAGTCTACCTTCCCCCACCGGAAGAGCACCGCGTTGAGCCCGATGTGGCCGGTTCGGGCCTGGATAAGGGCGGAGCGCTCCGGGGCTGTGAGACCGGTAAAGATCTCAGTGCCTCTTCTCTGCAGGAAGGGCATAACCCTGCGCAGTTCCCTGCCGGGTGCGCCGGTTGGCGGATTCGCCCAGCTGTCTTCCCACGCCTGTCTCACTTTTCGGCGGATCCAACAGTTGGCGGCGGATTGCAGGGTCACGGGGGGAGGCCTTCTAGATACTCGGCGCGGGTGCCGAGTGTGTCCCTTTCCTCGGCTCGCCAGCCGGTGGCCTTCTTGGCGAGGGCGTCTGCTTGGGTGTTCCCTTCGATCTCCTCCTCCCAGTGGGCGGGGATCCAGAAAAAGCGGGTGGCCCATCCCTTCTGACGGCGGAGGTCAATCAGGCGGACGACTTCCTTGATCAGGTACTGCCCGCTGTTCTGCCGGGGGTTACGGATGACCTGGAGGGCACTCTGGTTGTCAGAGTAGATATCGATGCCTTGCTGAAGCTGCGGGTTATCCTCTGCCATTCGCAATGCGAGGATCAGGCCGCCGATCTCGGCTGCGTGGACATTGTGGTGATGTTCGGTACCAAAGTACGCCATGCGTTCAATGGCGGGTCCTTGGGCTGGTTTGTGGTAAGCAGATCCTCCTACTTCGCCGTGGTGTCCGGAGCCATCGGTGTAGATACGTGGAGTGAGGGGGCTGATTGTGCAGTTTACCCAGTGGACGAAGGCCGCCTCTGTCTTGCTATCAGCGATGTCGACGTATGGTTGTTCCCACCAGGGGGGACTGCAAAGGGGTGTCTGATTTCCATTTGGTCCAGATTGTATTCCCCTTCCAGCAGGAGGTCTTCCTCTGCGATTTCCATTGCCGGGTGGAGAGCTCGTTTTCGGTGGTAAGTGCGGCGGGCTCTGATAGCCCGGTATGCCGGTGACGTTGCAAGGCGTGTCAGTGCCTTCAGTCGGTCCTCTTCTAGGCGAGAAGCCATTGGCTGGAGATAGAGTTGGGCGTTGAGGGCGTCCGCTGACACTGTCCGAAATGCGCCTGATATACCGTGCGCGGCACGTCTTTGGATCGCCGTGAGCCTTGTGATTTGGCGTCTGTGGGTGGTCTTCCGTCCGTGGATACGGGGGGAGCTGCCCACACGGAGGACCCGTATAGGGCCTTCGGGGCGATGCAGGTGTTGTATATCAGTCGTTTGTCGTGGATATTGAGGCCCCATTTGGATCGACCGAGGGCGGAGATCGCCTGGAGTGATTTGGTGCACTTCTTTTCGACTTGATCGAGGTGTTTATCGAAGGTCAGTTGGCTGTCGATGATAACACCGAGTAACTTCGCCGATTCGCTGGCTTCGACCACTCGTCCGTTACCGAGGTCGACTGGCGGGGGTGGGGTGGTGGTGTCGGGGTCTGCGTGTCGTCGCTCTGGCGGTTCGAAGTGGACCAATGCGAACTTCTCGGGGGCGAATACGGACGCGTGCTGCTTCGCCCAGGTGTCGCATTCCCGGAAGGAGAGGGCGAGGGCTCTGCAGTTGGCTTGGGGAGAGTTGCCTACTGCGATCATCGTGGTGTCGTCGATGTATCCGTAGTTGTTTGAATGCTGTTTTGGTCCCATCATATCTGCGTTATAGAATAGGAAGAGGATCGGGGAGAGTGGTGATCCCTGCGGGATACCAGTGTCGATCCCTTCCCTGGGGCGTGTGTATTCTGGCATTTCGAGGGTGGTGTATCGATCGCTGAGGAAGGACTCCACCCATTTGATGATGACCGGTGGCACCCGTCGTTTGCGCAGATTGTGTAACAGCCGGGGATGGGAGACGTTGTCGAAGGCGCCTGAAATATCGAGTAGTAGGGTAGAAGCTGTCAAGCCCTGTTTCCAAGCCTCTCTGATTTCCTCTGTGACTGCGTGTAGTGCTGTGTCGCATCCCTGTCCCTTACGGCCTCCGAAGTGGTTTCGGGGGAGCAGGCCGTATGTTTCCACTAAGTATGACAGCCGGAGGGCGATAACACCTTCCATTACCTTCCCCATAGTGTTGAGGAGGGCGATAGGTCGGTATGACTTTGGTTTGGAGTAGTCATCCTTGCCTGGCTTGCGTAGTGCGATGGTTCTCGCTTCTCGGAAGGTCGTTGGGCAGTAGCCGGCAGCGATACATGTGTTGTATAAATTGGCCAGTGGGGGTGCGAGGAGGTCAGACGCTGTCTGTAATACTGCGTTGATGATACCGTCTGGTCCTGCGGCCTTGAAACCTCCGGGCTGGTGGATAGCCCTCTTGACTTCCTGGGCCGTGATTTCGGGGAGCTGGACGGGTTCTGGGTAGCGGAATCTGCGCGTGTCCGAGAGGTCTGCTGCAGGGGGGGTGGGAAGAAGGAGTCGGAGAGGGCTTTGGCCTTTTCCTCGGGGCGGAACAGTAGCTGCCCGTCGGATCCCTGGATAGGGGGGGGTGTATGACTGGAAAGGTGTCCGATCCCGTGCCCATTTGGCGAGATTCCATATCTGCTTTATCTCTCCGGACTCCCCTGCTTCCGTGATACGTTTCTGATGCGTAGTGTTTCGCATACGTTGGATTCGACGTCGTGCGGTGCGTTTGAGCTTGTAGTATTGAGACCATAGTGTGTCTGGAGCGCGTTCACGCCACCGGGCTTGGTACTGAACTATTTGGCGGTGTGTCCGGCGGGCCTCCTTTTGGATTTGGCGGCACTCCGGGGTGAAGCCCGGTTGTGAGAGGGCTGTTGGCCGTAGCCAGGGAGTCGAGGCATCCACTGCGGCTTGGACTGCGTCTGTAAGGGCGGAGACTGCGGTGTCGATTGAGGGCCTTGTTGCCTGGGGGGTGGGGATTTGAGTAAGACTTCTGTGGAGTGTGTCCTTTAGCTTATCGGGGTCCATCCTCTTCCAGTTCCGGCGTTTCGGTGGTGTGGAGGGTGTGAGGCTGGTATTGAGTTCTGTTTCCAGTGGTAGGTGGTCGGAGAGGCCGGCGAGTGATTGGACCGGTCTGGTGTGCGCCACTTGGTCCCTGATATCCCATGAAGTGAGACAGAGGTCGATCGTGCTGCCTAGATTCTCGTTTTCGGAGTCCTGTTGCCGGAGGCCTTGGTCCATAACATTGCGGGTGCTCTTGAACCAGTGTTAAGATGCATATTCCTTGCTATCTGCATCAGATAATGTCCTGTGAACTCAGAGACTCCATTCTGTTCATGTGCATATGGAACTGAGGGGCTGATCATCATAGACTGCTCCCTAGCCCATTTCACGAATACTGAGAACTCCTTGCCGTTGTCCATTCTCTATTCTGTAGGATAAGATCCACTCCTAGTCTTGATCTCAGTGCACCATTTCTTCAATTCTGCAGATGCATCTCCCGTATGAACCAAGGGAATTGCTACCCTGAAACGAGAAGCATCTGTAAAGGAATACTAGATTTTCAGGCTAGCACCTGTTGGTCAGGCAAGAAAGATGGATGGAAGGGAAGACAGTATAGTATTCCTTTTGCAGAGACTAATTCTTGCCAAGATCAGGATTGGGGAGAGAAGGGGACCACCTTTTACCTCTTCGTCCCTGACCCATACCCATCATAATGAGAAGCTCACTTTCGTCATATTAAGAGCCTCACCTTGCTTTCATGACTCACTGCCGTCATAATGAGAGTTCCACCTTACTCTCGAGTCAGGGTATCACATGATATCAGGATAAAGGGTCTTATCAACAAAGGGTCAGGCACACATGTGAACTCCTTTTTCCATGATCCTTTTCTCTTACAGCATCGTCGGTGAGCACCATTATGTGTTCAATGTTGATTTTGCCGTTTTTGCCAATTTCTTTGGGCTTCGTAGGCTGGAGACCCACATGAACTAGTTGGGCAACTCTCGTAGCCCTTGCTTGTTGTGCACGAGAAACTATCCTTTTGGACTTCCCTTTTCCGCATGCTTCGCAGGCATAAGCGTCGTTTCCAACCTCTTTCCCCAATTTGTCTTTGTTGATCCTTCCTTTGTAAGATCCAGCATGACCTAGTCTTCGGTGTGCTAGCTGAGAAAGGAAACCTTAGCAAGGTTATTGATAGACAGGACCAGACTCTACGCTACGAAGAGAGAGAGAGAGAGACTGGAAATCCAGTATTCGTCTAAGGAAGAGAAGAAGGGAAGGAAACTATCTGGAAGAAAGAGCTTCTTATAGCACGGCGAGGAAGGAGGAGTCACCTGACTCCAAACAGTTATATCGCGTTGGGTGAGGCTCATCAGCCAGTTCAATGAATGGAACACTTCTAGCTACAAAATTATAGCCAATAGACTCCATATTCTCATCTTTGATCAATTTCTCGCCCACATCCCAGGTTATACCGAACTTTTCATTCAGTTTCACCAAGCTGAGGAGTCCAAATGCAATGTTTGGAGTGTCCACACAGTGTATTCTCAGTTCATATCTTGACCCGTCTGGTTTCTGAATTGGGAGTATGACTTCTTCATAACCTTCCGCTTTTCCTTTGCCTCCACTGCTGGTATCCCATCCGATTGAGTTCGTAGCACCACACTTCTTAAAGGCAACGAACAAGTCTTTCCTATTGCAAAGGTGCATAGAAGCTCCAGAGTCCATGATCCAGTCAATTCCAGGGTGGAGTCGTCGAGTGGGAGCTTGTGTCGCAGAAACTGCCAAATTATCATTTTCAACTTGTTGAGACCTATCCTCCTGAAACTGCGCTTTCTTTGATCTGACGAACCATAGACCTGGTATGGGTTTCCAGTTTGTAGGGCGGTGTTCAACTACTAAATGATAGCAGTCCTTGGCACCATGTCCCATTTTCCCGCGGAAACTGCAGTTCCCATTTGCTGTCTTCTGATTCCTGTGATTTCTCCATTCTTCAACATGTTTCTTGCATGGAGTCTATGCAGGTGGTGCATTCATCAATTTCTGATTTTGAGCACCTTTCTTTGTAGGTCCAGATCCAGATATCGAGACTCCTGATGCTCCTAAGCCTTTGTCTAGGGCTTTCAGTCTGATCTCGTCCATCACCTCACTGTAGTATATGAACAGATCATTTTGGATAAACCTATCGCTCATTCACCCATCAACAGTGTCCGATTCTTCATGCAAACGAACGTGTTCATCTCTGGAACCTCCCGCTACGTGGCCAACTTCATGCACCGAACAGGTCTCCTCCAGCAATTTCAACACGTTGGGATCGAGGAGGACGACGACGACGACGACGAACCGACAGGCCTGGCGGCAATGGAGCTAGGTGTGGAAGACGATGGGTATTAGCCAATGACGACAAATGATGCTGTGAAGCGAGAACTCAGCCAGAGTCGATAAACACGCCAAACAACTGGCCACGATAACACGACCATCAATTGAAACTGAAACAGGGGAGGGAGCAGGGAGATCAGGGAGAGAGAGAGAGGGAGAGAGAAAATGAAGTGGGAAGATGGAAGCTGGAGGGTGCACTCCAGGCAGTCATTACATGTTATTTCCTATGTATGAGTTTAGGGATCTGTGGGCTTGTACGGGTTGTGGGAAGGGGCTGATTCCGCACTCTTTACAATTAGCATCTACCTGTATACTCCGGGATAGATCCCACTCGGCGTTTGGTTTCGAGTTCTGGCTTCAGTTGGATGAAGCACCTGCGTAATCATACGCAACTAGTTAGACTGCAGCAGGTTAATTGAACTTTGATTGATTGATCTCTGGAACCTCCTGTAGCTGATCAACTAGGAGTATCACCGCGTGATATGCTTTCAGTCCACCTCCAAGGTCCACCGTCATCTTGAAACGGGCCTTAACTTCCCTCACAAATTCGGAAAGGGTGTCGAAATCAGTCGTTTTTGTCCGCCAGAGCTTCATAACAGCTCGCACAACTGTCCCATGACCTTTTCCCTTGATATACTGGCGAGATGCCTTCATAAACTCGTCTGCAAGCTTGACCCTAGCACCACTTTGTATGATATCTTTGTTCAAAGCTGGGTCAATGCTTCTAGAGAGCCAGCTGCTAACCCTGCGGCTAAGGAGAAGCCATCGTCTAGCATCTGGGTCCGATCTGTCTGGACGTTGAATCTTGTCGTTAATGAGGTTTTGCAGATTCAGTCTCTGTAACTGCTTTATCACCACTGTCTCCCAGTCGTCGAACTCTTCTCGATTGTTAACTGCGGAGTTATCTTGTACAGTGTAATTGTTGCTGGATCTGGCAAATCAAATGCCTGGCTCTCGACATCTTCCTCAGTGTCCAGCACAAGATCCCAGTTTTTGTCTGATGGTGCTCCTGCACCTACCGAGGGGACCCCTCTTCGAGGACCCTGGTTGTATCCACTTGGCCCCCCTCCAACGTCCATTTTTAGTGCTAGTGATCCTAATCTTACCTATCAGGCTTTGTGAGAAAAATGTGGGGTTGTTGCGTAGACTTCTCAGTGGTCCACGGCTTATTGCCCCGAAAATTCTGTTTTGTGGGTTGTGGGGTAAAACCCTGTCCCACGGTGCGTGTCCGGTCCGACAGCTGCGACTCTGTCTGCACACTGCGGACCCTTGTCAAGAAAATAGAGTAAAATTGCCTCCTCAATGATGGAAAAAATGAATTTTCAGAAAAGCACGGGCGTCATAACCTGTTGAGGCCTACTGTGTGGGACTTAGAGAGAGGAGGAAGAGAGTTGTATTAGGAAGGAGACTCGGCCCCCGACTATCTATCTGATGGGGTGATGCCTGACCGTCACGGGATCCATCACGAGACTCTGTCTCAACACTGAGAGTGCAGGAAAACCAACGTGAGCTTACAAAAGTCCTTGGAACGCCGTCGACGAGCGCTTCAGCAAGACCAAACTCGGGACCAGTACCTCGTTTTCACGTCTGTCCCCCCCCGGCGCAATCTTCTAGACGGAGTGAGAGTGATGACCGGTCGCGAACAAGCAAGTACAGTCGAATTTCTTTCAATGCAGAAACGGGAATCTTGGTTGCGAAAGTCATGCCAAATCCCGCACACGAACTTGCGATAAGATCATTTGATTCTCTAATCTCTCTCGAGCTGCGTGCGATGAACGTCCATCGTGATGTGAGGCCTTTCGGTGATGATGATGCATTCATTATCCCGATTGAGCTCGCTTTGAATACATGCTGCTATGCGGGATAGCGCCCCAAAGCCAGCGTTGACAGCAACTAATGGTCCCCAGTATATAAATTCATCCTGTAGATCAGTCCTCGCGGCGTACGTGAAGCTTCCATGCATCCCCGAGGATTGAAGACAACAGAGAAATGTAAAGGAAGTCGACCCAAGAAGGGTCCAGATCCCGCATCCCCGCGGGCGCAGAGTAGTCCCCTTTTCTCGCTCTCTCTGCAGTGCACCTCTCCTTTCTCTCCCTCTCCATCAACTGCTTCATTTCTTTTGCAAGCTTCCCCGTATCACCCAGTCCCTGCATTACCAGGAATCAGGATCGCCAGGCCTGCGCAACCTACACCTCGATTCTTCATCATAGAGCTGTCGCCATCGTGCCTGCATCTGCTCTTCTCTAGGACAGCTCGTTCGATACGTAGCAAGGGAGAAAAGTATGCATGATTGGACTAGCCAGAAAAGAAGAGGATGGGAGGACAAAGAGGGAGAAGGATTTACCATTTATCTACTGGATGGGTGCTGTTGGCCTGAGGCGTGGACGCCTCAACATCCTCTTCTTTTTCGAGTATCTAGAGCGACGTCCCCTCCAATTCTATATCTGGATTCTCTGCGAGGTTGGGAGCAAGTGACACATTCCAGCCGTGCTGCTGTTACAGATTTTCTTTGATATTTTATTTCATCATGTTGAGCCAAGTCTTTGCATGGATTGCTCTTGTCGAAGGAATGACACAGCGAAATCGATGGAACCTTTTCGTTTGATTCACAGAACGATGACATTCCTCATACTTTCCGTACATGGATCCATGAAGAAACTGTGAAGCAGGAACACGGTGATACGGGGTAGCCCTCGACCATGGAAGCAGTTGGTAGAGGGATGGGAGATACGAGGTGCAATTGCAGAGAAGCATGCGGGGGATGCGGGACTTGCACCCTCTTCGTGAGTTGACTTTCTTTGCATTTGGTTTTGTCTGATTTCACCTGTCAGATGGTGGCCTTACTTTCAGGCAGACAGTCCTCGAGTCTGCATGGATACTTCGTGGAAGCCTGGAGGACCCGTCGGGACCCGTCTAGAGTCTAGACTCTACAGGATGGAATGGTATGCTGGGGATGCATCACCATTTTGCCATTGTCGGAGCTGGCTCTGGGACATTGTCCTGAATAGCAGCATGTATGTGGATTGAGCTACTCGGGTCAATGAGTGTAAGAGAAAAAGGATGGAAAATGAGGATTACAATGTGTGCCTGACCCCTTGGTCGATGGAGACTTTTCTCATGATGTCATGTGATCATCAGGGAATAAGGAAACCGGGGAGAAAGGCGAACCCCTGATTATGACGAGATTGGGGCAGGGACGAAGAGAAAAACAGATCTCCCTCTCTCATATCCTGATCTTAGCAAGAATTAGGCTCTGTACAAGGAATACCATATTGTCTTCCCTTCTATCTGTCGTTCTTGCCTGACCAAAAGGTGCTAGCCTGAAAACTAGTATCTCTGTACAGAGAGATCACGACCGATTCGACATGCTCACGGCCACGGAAGTAATTCCACGGCCCGACTCGGCCTCGTTAGTCAGCATCGTCCCAGCTCTGAAAAACAGCCTTGGAACACATCCAACTTCACGCCTTTTCAGCTGCTGAATCTTGCTCGGTCGGAAAGCCGAATACGCCGCGATGTTCGGCGAGGGGTTTTCAATATCCGGGCTTGCGATACCCGCAGTCAGTGTGCTGATCGCCTTTCTCGCCTACACATCGCAGTACCTCTTCCTGCATTTTGAGTCTGCGCCTCTCACCAAGGACGAGGCTTGGAAGATCAACATCTTCGCACTATGCATCTGGATAACATATTACCGAACCTGCTTCGTAGATCCGGGCAGACTTCCCAAAGCCGAAGAGCGACCGAAACCCGAAGAAAGTGACGCGTTCACCGGTCGCCAGCGATGGTGTCGTAGATGCGAGGCTTACAAACCGCCTCGGGCTCACCACTGCAAGACTTGCAAAAGGTTCGATGGGAAGTGGTCGTCGTGGGTATATTTGCTGATTTTGTTCTAGATGCATTCCTAAGATGGATCATCATTGCCCCTGGACGTCGAACTGTGTCTCACATTTTACCATCCCACATTTCATGCGCTTTTTGTTTTATGCCACCGTTGGAATGTCCTATCTTGAGACTCTTCTCTGGCAGCGGGCTTCGTTTGTATGGAAGAACAGCCATCTGCCAAGCGTAAGCTGATCAAATACTTGGTTAATTCTATGTCACTAATGTAGAATAGTATCTGGGCCCTGCATTAGGACAGCTTATCCACTTATTTATACTCCTTGTGGTAAATAGTCTCACCACGTTCGCTCTTTTTATCTTACTGCTTAGGAGTCTATGGGCGCTCGGATCTAACACAACCACCATCGAAACCTGGGAAATCGAGAGACATGCTACCCTTGTCCGTCGCGCCCGTGTGCTGGGCGGATATCTAGAAGGTCCTGGGGGAATTCGAGTGTATATCAAGAAACAGGAATACCCTTACGATATAGGCATCTGGGCCAATATCAAGCAAGGTATGGGCGGTAGCGCGAATGTGAGTACCCTTCTCCATTATCTAAATCTCTAGGACATATGAACTCATGCCTCGCTAGTTCATAAGCTGGTTCTGGCCATTAGCCGCGGGTCCTGACCCTCAATCTGGGTGGGAGTTTGAAACAAATGGCTTCGAAGGTAAGTCGAGGGGTGACTGCTTTATTTGCCTCGATGACTGATCATTTCTACCAGACCCCGGTGTGGCATGGCCACCCCCAGATCCAGATAGAATACCGATGCCGGCAAGGCCGCCAAATGCTATTAGCATGCCTACATATGCAACGATCCAAGATGAGATTGATGCCTTCAATCTTCGTAAGCGGGAAGACATGAGGCGACTTCGGCGAAATGCAGGGCTGCAGCGTCGCAAACCATTTCGTGATCGGTATAAGAAAGATGACGATTACACACCAAGTGAGAGCGATGAGGGCGAATTTGGCTTTGATAACGAATCGGACGAGGGCGAAGAGTCTTGGCGAAATGCCGAAGGGGAACGACTACAGGACTTTGGAGTGGATGAAGAAGCAGAGTTCTATGACGAGGAAGATATCCCTCTAGGTGTTCTCATTCAACGACGCAGGGAGCAACAATCTGCCAATTGATCAGTTTTCAATAGGAATTCATCTGCATCATTGGATTTTCTTTGCAAGACCGCTGGATGTCGCTTTATGGCTGCTTCAATAACTGCATGTTGTAACTTGTTTCGGCTTCGGATCACGCTGGTTGCATCTGTCTAGGACAGCTAGTTCAATGCGGATTTAGGAAGAAACCCATGTATGATTGAGCAGCTAGAAAAGAAAAGGACAGAAGGACAAATGTAGAGAAGGATTTATCATTTATCTACTGGATGGGTGCTGTCGGCCGCAGGCATGAATGCCTCAACCACCTGTGACATCGGGGGCGATCGTCAGTGCTTCCTCTCCTTCTTTTCCGTAGTGGCCGTCAATCACCACTCAATCGATACGGCATTGCCTGTTTCCCCTTGTTAACATAAGAGCCGCAGTCCCCCACGAGCTGTTTCCCAAACACTATCTGCGCAGACCGAAGTTCGATCCATCTCGTCTTACTGAATCGTCGGTGGGACCCTACTTGGAAACATCTATTGATTCTTGCCCGTAAATATCCAACCCAGACGAGGAAAAGGGAGTAGGGCAATCGTTGACTGTGGGGAGACTCGAGCTCTCTGCAGAGAGGGCCACCTCTGATTGAACCGGGAATCACTCAGTCAAGACTCTTTCCGGATTTCCCAGCTGGTATGTCCTCCGTGATACTGCGCGGTTGCGGCTGCAGTTGCATCGCATCAGTAGCAAATGGAGGATAGATTACAGAACAGGAGCAGACTGTAGCTACCGGGTTCGACCAAAGAGTCAACAGAGAATCAGGACTCGGCGCGTCACTGCACGTATGGCCCACGCAAGAGCAAGTCTTCGATAGATCCTTGTCTCTCTTTTTCCTCCTGTCCTTTTCTTTTCTAGCTGCTCAATCATACATGGGTTTCTTTCCAACTCCGCACTGGACTAGCTGTCCTAGAACATGAGACAAGTTCAACACGGCCAGACAAGTTGGCCTCGAAGACTGTTTTGAGCTTATGAGGGTTATGGATTCTGTCAAATGACTGTGTCTTTTCGGATGCTGCTGTTGTTGGCTTCCCTGCTATTCTCACAGGAACCGGAGCGCGCAGAGCTTGGGCATCCTGGGCTTGGGAAGTGAACTCCATGCGCCAAGTTCAGTGTCAAACTAGACAATGACTTTGAGAATGGAAATTTCATACTTTATGATCACTGTGAATACTTTCTTTCATCTTGATAAGCGCTTTCGGCTCTTTATCGGATTGTTTTCGTGCTTTACTTGCTTTGTTATACACTGTCTTCCTTGTTCTCCTCGATTGTCCACACTCGCTTGTGGTTTGCTTCGGGTTCTATTTATGTCTAGAGCTTGATTGTTTCCCTTCCTGTCTGATGAATGCGAATGAACTGGCCTCATGGACAGCTCCGTGAGCCAAAGGTATTTAATCACCATTTCCCCCGCTTGGTCTGCGTCGAGTCCAAGTTATAAAGCTAAAGCACAATAGCAACTATTACAGAATTTCTTTTCCATTGCACAATATCTGAGAATATCACCATGTCTGAAAATAAATCTGACAGTGGGACTGATCGCGACTGTTCGGTGGAGGAGTATGAGGAGTATGAGGAGTATGAGATATCTCAGCCGACAGTGCCTCCACTGACAGTGCCTCAACAGAGAGCGCGCAAACGCCGACGCGAGGACGACGACGATGACGATGACGATGATGTTTCCCGGCTGCCGCCTAAAAGGCGTCGGTCGGGGGATAAATCTTCCCAATCCGAATCCCCATCTTCAGCTTCATCTTCATCTTCCGCTTCATCTTCCGCTCATGATCTCGCTCCTGTACCATATCCCAGCCTTTACGATAGCAGTTCTTCGAGTAACGGTGAATCTACCCCCCCTCCCAAAGAAGAAGCCCCTGCCAGAGAAGAAGCCCCCCCCAGAGAGGAAATCCCAGTCGCCTTTTCACTGACGCCCGATCCAATCCGCCGATTTGAACAGTATGGAGCTGCATACCAGGCATGGATGATCAATCCCCATCAAGCCGGGTGCCCAGTTCGGAAATCCACAACGACGATGTACGAGCTATTGAATCCCAGTGTGAAGAAAGATAGACTTAGGTGTCGAGAGACTCAATATACTAGTCCCCCGGACCCGATTTGGGATGACTTGGAAGAGGTAGGGTTCCCGACCACCAAAACGTACCGCTTCACCTCGCTAACTTGCTCTGGCTACGATACGCAAGGTTACAGACAGGAAAGCCAATACCGTCATTGTAGCGGTGAAGGCATTTTTATCGCGGAGGAGATTTTCAGAAACTGTGGGCCGAATTGGTCCAATATTGCACTCGCTCAGTATAAGTTTGACCATGACATCGACACCCTCAAGTATGTTTATTTCATCAATGTTGTTAACGAGGAGACCAGGCCCTTCGTACAAGATTACATCTACCCAAGATACGAGCTGGACTGGCCCATAGGCGATGAAAAACCTGTGCAGCATATGTGGGGGTATGGTTCCATTTCATATCAAGGGATTCTGGGAACAAAGATAGGAAAGGCAGCGGCATGTTTGGTTTTGGGGGCATGGGACAGAGGTACCCATTACATCTCGCAAGTGTGCACTCAGGTCGAAGACGATTTGCTGAACCTGCGGTTCGACATTGCGCCAATCTAGTCGTGAGCTGCTTGATCCCGGGAGGAGGATTATTGCGATACAATTGAACCGGCTTGTAGTCCATTTCGGAATGATGATGTGCTATTCGAGTGTCCGTATAGATAGGGAGCACATTGTATGAATGGCAGTGGAAGTGAAAAAGGCTTCGTAGATACTCAACTATAAATGTTATTGCATGTCGATTGATCAAACCCTTGACTTCCAGAATAGAGGTGGACAGAATGTAACTCAATGGCCGTGTGTCCAGAACAGTGACATGGGCGAGCAGTAGTTCAGCTAGAAAATTTACTGGATTTATTTCTCGACTGCGTCCTGGAAAGAAAGTCCAACAGCCCCGGATATGTATTGGTTGATTGTTTGCTTTTGTCTTGGTCCTGTTGGCCAAGGTGAGTCGTGTCAATTGTAGATGCGGCTAGGTTGTTCTCTGGCGAGTCATTCTTGATGGTTTATTCGGTAATTGGCTACGAGCATTCATGTCAGCGGCCAAAAGGACCTTTGAAGTTCTACTTGAACGTTGCTGAGGATTGCATGAGCGGGTTTATTATGAATTCATTATCTGACTGTTGGAAGATACATTCCTTCTGTTATCTATCTTGATCATCTGATACATCGCCCTCTCGCCCGCTGGGCAAAGGCGAAAGAGGCGACGTCGAGGAAAAAGACGACCATGATGGCGACCTGATTGGGAGATTCAGGCCCAGGCCTTGGATTCCGGCGGAACCAAATCGGGTTGTCGAACCGGGAAATGCACCTTTCGTAGAAGACCGCGAGTTCGATCGCAAACCGACCCGGGTAATCGCGCGCTGAAGCATCTCACCTGAAGCATCAAGAGCAATGAGGAAGCGGGCCAGCTCAGCACACAGCTCCCAATCGCCCTTCTGGGAGGCAAGCGCAATTAAGCGAACAACGTATTCTTCGATACGACCATCATGCCCTTGCTCCTCGTCGTCAAGGGCTTGTAGCACAAGAAGATAGCCAACTGCGGTCTTCAGCGAATCAAGTTTCAATGCTTGCTCAAACAAATCTTTCGGCGAGGGTAGGTATGCGAACAAGGTGCGCCATGATCGAAGCTCTGTTTTGCGTGTACATTGCACCACAATTTCAAGGTACTCTCTGATGGGAAGTGATGCTTGCAGGAAAGCGATGACAGTTGGAAGAAGAGCTTCTTCTCTTTCCTGTGGGTTATCACTCTTGTTCGCTAGGTTTGACTTGTCTACTTCGTCATCCAGCACATGGTGGAGCAGGATCTCCAAGCCATGGGCAAAATAAGACAGATGGGCAAAGTGGCGACAGAGGGCGAGGGCGGCGGATGTTCCAACATTGGCCAGGCCGTATTGCAGGAAATATGGTAGGAAAAGGTGGGTCTAAGGCACATGGGTCAGTAAAGAGTAGCGTTCACAGCAAAGGGGACTTACTCGGATCGCAAATTTCAGGATAGTGAATGTTACATCGCGGCGTTGCATCATTTCTGATTCGACACCAAGTATAATACCCTTGTTCAGTAAGACGGACAGTGGATAGAAGTCCAGGGGTATATGGAGTGGTGCCAGCACCGAACCTTCCCGTAGCACGTCTTGAACATCGTTCCAAGCTAGTAACTCTTGGCCACAGAACATCCAAAGCGAGTCCCTGAGCGACAAACTGCGGTGAGGTGGCTCCAGTGCCATGTCAACCGAAGGAGTGGTGGGTAGAGTTTCATCGATCTGTGGCGAAAAATTGAAGGAAAGCTGGTCTCGCATCAAAGTATAATACTCGACATCATGCGATATGACTCGCATGTCGTATTTGAGATCACCAGCATCTGATACGGCGGGCTGCAACAAAACTAAGTTACCGTCGACGAGAAGAAGCACGGATGCCACCTTCACATCTTGCGATGGATCACCGTTCCCTACTTTGCCGTCAGCTAAGTGCTTGATGGCGTTGCATAAAAGAAAAGAAAAAGGACTCACGCATTTGCTCGTCGGGCAAGACCCAGCTGATTGATCGCACACGAGTGGGCGCACGCACAATCCCATTGAAAGCGATCTGACCAACAGGGACAAGTCTGATTCGAGGCTGTGTTGAATTGATGATATAATGGTACAAAATGTTATCATATGTATAGACTAGGAGGGAATCCTCTCCGGATGGGCCAATGAAGACCACCGGCGATGGGAGATATTCGATAAACATGATCGAAGTGTTGCTAAGGGAAGACTCGCGTGAGTAAAGACGAATCTGGCGATCTAAGTAAGCCAAGCCTGAAATCAGTGTAGGTGGGAGATTAGGTATACCTACCTCGTATGACCCGTCACTCTCGACTGCTGCGATCAGTATGTGGCCGTACCAACACATGCCTCCCCGCACGGCAAATGAGTTCTCAGCTTTGGAATCTTCGAATACTTTCCATCGTCCGCTGTTCACGCTGTAATGCGCAAGACCACGCCGACCTGCGATGGCAACATACCGTCCATCTTGAGATACGACGCAAGATCTAATCGGCCACTGGGAATGGAGATATGCGGGGGGATACTGGGCATGATGCCATAAAGAGTCCTTTCCTGAAATTGTCATGAGATCTGGAAGGTCGTGACCCCGGTAGAGAATGAACTCATTGCTCGTCTGCAACAGGCCTCGGGCCAAATTTGCAGATGAAAAGCAACCAGTCAAAGCACTTCGAGCTGTCTCCAGAACCCACAGGCGACGGTCATCTTTTCCAGATAAAATGATGTCCGACCCGCCGCCAATCCAACAACCGTCCACAACGCCCGTCAGCCAATCTTCCCCGTTAGTTGTCGCTAACGAAGGATCCACCGAGAAACTGTTTCCTCCAGGCTTCCCAAAGACACTCCATGTTGCCCAGCCATGTTCAAACCCGGCAAATAGACAATATCCGTCCGGGGAATAGCTCATGAAATTCAAAGCACCAGTGGTAGTGGGCGATGCGGGCAAATGTAGTTTTTGGGAGAACGAAATGTTGCCCATGTAATCCTTAGCGGTGTAAATCAAGATCTCGCCATTGGAGCAGTTTACGGTTAATAGAGAAAATCGGGCGTTCACTGTCACTTTTACTGCCCGTTCGGTGTCATCCCTCGGATCGTGGAAGCAATGTCCATGGAAGAGTTTCTTGGCTGTCTCGGGGTCCGGCTGTGTCTCCGAATTGCGCTGCACAGCATAGGCCTGACCACTGGTTGTAATCCAGATGAGAAGATTCATAGCACGATCATAAACCATGTCCATGATAGAGACCTTAGGTATGCCTAAAATGCGATTTAAGAGCTCCGAGGTGGTTTGTGCTACTCCGGCCTCGGGTGTCCATCGAATGCATTGTATAGCTGGTGGTTTCATAGTGGCAACAACAAGTTCTTGGTCCAGGGCCAGGGCCTTGACGATTCCAGACTCGATCTTGATGGCCATTCGGAAGCGGATGCTAATGTCGCCGACCACATTGGCTTCTTCAAATGCAGCAAAACGAGCTAATTGTTGACGGCGGGAATGTACGGAATGGTCAAACCGCTGTTGATAAACCCTGGCTGTTGAATCTGATACCACCGAGTATGTGAGCAGGTATCCCTTCAGAGTCTGCACAACCAGAATTGTGGAGTCTGGGTGTATGAGGATCGAAACATTCGGACCGTATGTTTTCAAGGAGGACTGAGATCGAGTTATTGCCGTAACGACTGCAGTAGGCTGCCAAAACTGTTAGCGACCAGCTCAAACGTTTCCTTATAAAGCATGACATCACCGTCAACATACCCGAGTTTGCCACAGAGCAATTGATGACCTTGACATTGTAGTAAATATGAGGCCGGAGCGAAAGACACAAATGCCTCTGATAGCTTCATCTCCCCATTCCGATTTACTAGTTTCGGGGGGAGGGCTGGTTTGCGGTTGACGAGGTTGGGTGTCCGGGGACTCATGTTGGGCGCGGTCCCCCTTTGCTTCTTCATTGTCGTCTAGGGAGCTGCAATGAAGTGACGAAGGTGTATTTTGGATTTCGCGATTCTCGTCAGAGGAGCTGTGGGCAATATTGGGCCCATTGACCGCGTAGACCCGGGGCACTCCATGAGGCCAATACATCGCTCAAGTCGGGTTCAGGGGTTAATAGGGACACTGAACCTCGCACGAGGTCATCTCCAGAAAACCTAATTCTCTGTCAGCAGAGCAGACAGCAACCCCCAAGATTAAACACGAATTCAAACGCAGAGAGAGAAGAACCCCAGACAACTGAAATAGAAACAATTCGGGGGAACGATAAGCTACGATCACGTGCAGGAGCTATTCCCCCGCATTGCCTCATCTGGGTTTTCCTTCTTTTTTTCCAAATTACTCCTGAACGCTTTCTATCCTTCACTCAGAATCCCCTTTTGGAAGATTGTGATCATGGTAGGATGTCCGATTGTTGGGATTATTACACGAAACTGATTCTTTGGCAGGCTCCAACCGACAGCAAGAAGCGATTGGCTTTGGCCATCATTGATTTCTTGGGCTCCAGCCTGAAAGATGGCACACTCACTGCCGATGACGCCGAGTCGATCGAAATCGCCCAGTCTTGTATCGCGGATACCTTCAAGGTTGACCCAACCGATGAGGTTGCTGTGAAGGATGCGGTGGGCGGACAATCGCTGGTGGGGATTTACAGTGTCTATGAAAAGCTGCGTAACAAGTCGACATCGGAGTCAACCAGCGCCGGAGCTCAGGCTTCTCAGGATGACAAGCCGAGAGCTGGTGTGCCTACACCGGAATCCGATAAGCTGAAGTCTGAGGGCAATGCTCTTATGGCCAAGAAGGACTACGCCGCTGCCATCCAGCAATACACCAAGGCTCTTGAGATTGCCCCTGCGAACCCAATCTATCTCTCCAACCGTGCTGCCGCATTCTCCGCTTCAAACCAGCATGAGAAAGCCGCGCAAGATGCCGAGCTTGCTGCCGCCACTGACCCTAAGTATTCGAAGGCGTGGAGCCGCCTGGGTCTCGCTCGCTTCGACATGGGAGACTACCATGCCGCCAAGGAGGCATATGAAAAGGGCATTGAGGCAGAAGGCAATGGTGGGAGCGAGGCCATGAAGCGTGGCTTGGAGACTTCGACGCGGAAGCTTGAGGAGGCCACTCGCACCAGCGAGCCTCCATCTGAGGAGCTTGATACTGCTCCCGGTGCCTCTCGCGGCGGCGGTGGTGGTATGCCCGATTTGTCCTCCTTGGCCAGCATGCTTGGTGGCGGTGGCGGTGGCGGTGGCGGTATGCCTGACCTGGGCTCCATGATGAACAACCCGATGTTCGCCAGCATGGCCCAAAACCTCATGAGCAATCCAGATATGCTTGGCAATTTGATGAGCAACCCCCGTCTACGCCAGATGGCTGAGAACTTTGGCCAGGGTGGCGGCATGCCTGATATGTCGAGTCTGATGAGTGATCCCAACCTCGCCGAGATGTAAGTCGACCTGTCTGGGCTCTCAAAATAAATCAACTGACATCTGGATCACAGGGCTCGAAACATGATGGGCGGCGGTGCCGGTGCTGGGCGACCGGGCCAAAACTGAGATTCTGGAACACTGGATGATGGCATATGAAATTGAAAGACACGATCTGATCTTCCATGTACGGCGTAGCAAACCCGTACTTCCAAGCGTTCCTAAGAAAACAACTTTCCATGTTTTCTTTTTCTTTGTACTTCTTCTTTTCATTCCTATTGTACAGCAAAGATATTTTGCAGCTCAGCAAGCTGCCATGTTGACCTCGAGGGAATCTCGGTTAGACATATAGTTCAGTAACTTCTGGTTCGTACTGGGCCAGAGATCCTCTCACCAAAGAGACTTTAGTTACCTTTGTAAACTATTTCACTGCTGGATAGGCCATGTTTTTGCTCTGTGCAGTCGAAGAAGGCTCTTTTCCCCGAATGAAGCTATACAAGGTCCCCAGATAACACCTCCCCCGTCGCTCCTGCATCGGTTCCAAATGTGGAAGCTACGGTGATACTCCAGGAGTATGATCATGAGTCCCTCGATTCTACCAACCCATCGGCTTGAAACAGGCGCATTCTTTCCCGTAGTTTCATCATGGCCAATTATGTGCGAAACCCAACACAACCCTGGGACTATCAAAAGCTCGCCATCGCTGCGACAGTCATTCTCGCAATGCTGGCGCTGGGAGCATTGCTTTACCTACTGATTTGGTATGTTCGGCGAAGACTTCACTCCCGGAGACCTCGAAGCCAGCGGATTCAGGAGAACGATCTCTTTGATCATTCTGCAGTGTCCGTGGCAGAAGACACGAGCAGAACTCTCGATGACTTTCTCATGAAGGATATTCAGCCCGAGCGAACATCAGTCATGTTCAGCAGAAGCCGATCTCCATCCACCACTGTCGTTGTTGACAACTTCAGCCTCGACTGCTATAAGTCTCCGTTTCGGTCGTGTTCCACAAACTACGAGATATCGGTTGCGCCCTTGAGCCACATCGACAGTTGCGGACAGGTGACAGGGCATGAATCGGTACCATATGTCTGGCAGTCAGACGAGCCTCAGAGGAGCCCTGGGCAGCGTTCATCAAGTACCACGCCACGAGCCTCCACTTCGTCTAACGTGGTACAAACGCCGCGATCCTCCCAGGTATGGGCTACAACTTCTGCTAGTGCTGAGACGTTTTCAAACGTCACTCGAGCTTCAAGTCGCTCTCATCGCCCTCAAGTTTCCCCGAGCCCATCCATCACTCCCAGTTCTCACGCATACACGAGACACTCAAATGCTTCTCGTGGGTCAAGTCGGCCGCCTAGCACAGATCCATTACAGTCTGCATCCCGGATGTTTGACGAGACAGAGCTATCTGGAACCCGATACATAGACTCTATGAGATCAGTGTCTCCTTGTTCTCCTGTTTGCTTGGTACCGGAAGACAGTTTGGCCAATATTGATCGATTCCGATGGGCACCCGTTGCCGAAACCCCCTTCTCTTCTTCTCATTGACCCTTCTCGCCACCGTGGTGCATGGCGAATTGTTGGCTTGGCCTAGCTTCCCTGGCAATTAGTTTTAGCCCGAGGATCAAATCATGTTGAGGACGTGGACTCCATTAATAATGGAATGATCTTTGTCTTTGATTTTTCCGTCATCCATACCTTTTGGGAGGGGGCTATTCTTGTGATTATTCTGTTAAGTCACTTCATACATATCACGGCCTGGTCTCCGGTCTGGATAGTTGTGACCTTGAGCAATTAAAGCAAAGAATGTTCATCCTATCGCCAGCATGCAAATCGTGTTTAACTCTCCCGACCTAATTACAGGATATATGAAATCTGTACTACGACCAAGTCCCGAGATATTGCATTATACGCATTTTTGAGTAAGAACAAGAATACCGATGAAAACACCTACCTCATATGTGGTTTCGTGAGCTTTGTCGTATTACGCTTTTTCTTGTTCTCTCGAACTTGGAACCGAAGTCATCATTCGTTTTCTTCCGGTGTGCACCTTACTCTGCAAAACGTCCCTCCTTATGGATCCTTGAGCGTGCGCAGGGAAGTGTCCATGAACCCACTCTGGAGAACAACCATGAAGATTGGCGAGGTTAGAGGATATTTATTGAAAGCCAGTCAGTCGGCGAGAGAATGCATGTTCGCGTTCTGACCGACATGGACATTCCCCCACTGGAGCTTAACCTTCTCATTTTGTAGTTAATAGGATAGAACCTATACCTATGAAGAAAGAGGCTAATGATTCTTTAACTTGGTCTGTCGAGGAGAGGAAGGGAAGGAAACTATCTGAGAGAAGAGAGCGATTCGTAGCGTGGCGAGCGATGGAAGTCGGAGGACTTCAACAGTAGTACTCAAAGAGACTACCTCTGCCAGCTGTCTCAAGTCTATAGTATGAGCATTCAACCCGATTTGGCGGTTTGAGATTGAGCTAGCATAGGAGACTCCAGTCTTTCCGCCATTGGTTGGGTTCGGCACCTTTGCGATGGGCCACCAACTCCGAGAAACTGGGCGATTTTCAAGCTGTTTTTCCTCATACCCAGCCTGTTCCAGACCTTTCGTCCGAATTGATCTCCTCATCTCACTGAGCATTGTGCGAAGATGGATTGGGTTCCCCTAACCAAAGATAACCCGGTCGAGAGCTAACTACAGTTAAAGTACATATCGAAACAGCGGCGACCGATCCCCCATGAGCTGCAACTCCTCCGCCGTATATTTCTCATGAATCTCCTCCTTACTCATCTTCGCATTCCGCTTGTTTATATACCAGAACCTCAATTCCAAAACAACACTCGCAATGACGCCCGCCACCGCAAAGGCAAACGAACTCCCAAATCCAGTAGGATACTTGGGTGCCTCATGCTCAAGGTAGATAAACGATCCCACAATCCCACCGGAATTGCCAACGCTAATCATAAATGCAATGCCCATGGCCTGCTTCCGCGCGCCCGCGAGATTGTTGGATGTCCACGCGTTAGTCCCCGGGATAATCGGATACAGGCCGATACAGGCAAGGACGACTGCGAAATAACACACCGGGATGTTATTCTGAATATCATCGGCGAGAGAGTATAGGATGCAGAACCCAATGATCACGCAAAGCTGGCCAGTTATGATGATCGGCATGCGCCATCGCAGTTTGTCCGCAATGACACTGAAGATGTACGCAGATATCGCGCCGGCGAAGTAGGGGGGCATTGAGAGCAGCTGCGCGTTCGCAGAGGTATATCCCATGTTCTTTATAATCTGGGGCATAGAGAATTTCAGGCCATAGTTTGGTACGGTGTTGGACCAGAAGTTAAGGACCTGTAGGTAGAGATGCCAGTCGGTAAGGACTTTGAACAGCTCTTTCCGGTCAAATTTGTTGGGATTTTCGTCCACCACAATCAGCCCTCGCGTGGCCTTTTTGCGCAGCGCCAGAAACCGGATCTCTTCAGGGTCAAGCCATCCACCAGAGAGTTCAGGGGTGTCCGCTAGGCCGAAGTAGGAGAAGGCTGCGAAGAGCACAGTTACAGCTCCTTCAATGATGAAGATCCATCTCCAGCCATTGTAGCCACCGATGCCGCGCATTTTAGCTAGACCAAACGCTAACAGCCCGGAGAATGCACCGGCTAGTGCACTCGCAGTGTAGAAAATTGCTATTCTGCTTTGGACTTCATGTGGCTGATACCATTGGGTGATAACCCACACGGCGCCTGGGAAGAACCCGGATCTGCAAACAGGTCAGGTAGGAACATTTGCAATGGTTTCAGTGTCAGAATATAGTGGCAGTCTTACTCGAAAACACCAAGGAGCACGCGAACCGCACAAAGTCCGGAAAAGTTCTTGACAATCCCTGTTAGGGTCACGACGATTCCCCACAGAAGCATCAAAATCGACAAATAAACCGATGGCTTTTTGAATTTGGCCAGAAGAATGTTGCTAGGAACCTCTGATACCAAACTTGTGTCAATAGAGTAAGCTATAAAGGATACCAAGGGCGTTATCATACCGAGTAGTACATATGGGACAAAGAAAATCCCCAGAGCAATGTTATATTGAGTGCCCGACATATTCAAATCCGGGAGCATGCCTTCGATCTTGGCATTTCCTATGGGGTGTTAGAGTCCAAATCAATAATATCGCGAAAATGATGAGTAGGACTGACACCTACCAATGCTTGCCTTGTCGATATAACAAACAAGGTAGAGAAAGGCTAACATGGGGCAGAGACGCCAATCGATCTACATCCACGCATGTTATGGTCAAGTTATTTCATATCAGACACATGTTTCACTAACCTTTCGAACGCACTTGTTCCTCTTGTCCTCTGGAAAGTTGGCGAGGAAACACGCGTCGTCGCGACTCAATCCACTTTCTATATACGTCTGCTCGAGACTTGGGGCAGCCTCCAGGCTTTTCTCGGGGGAGGCATCCTCCACATGCATGATACTGGACGGCTTGGAGGTAGGCATAATGGCGATTGAGTAGATTTAACCAGATTCCATCGCATAAAGAGTCTCTACTCCGTACAGGCATTGGCCTTTATACTTGGATGCCCCTGGTGCCCAGACAGCCAAGATATCAACCCCGCGTCTATCTTCTCCAACTCCGGGGGATGCGACCCATTGCGGGGTAGCTAGCGATTGGCAATGAGCTTATAACCGAGCGCTAAGAAGCCTATATGCAGCGGAATCGGGGAGAACCAACAGAAATTAGTCTACTGCCTTAACAAGCATCCGCCTCGCCCCCTTCTCCGGGCCCCCACCCCTGCCAGACCTCATGGAATCCCTCGAGACATGATCTAGAGGGTGGATTTGTATACGAGGGATACACCGCCATTTATCATTGTTCAAGCTGGCTCTGGGACCCTATCCCGTATAGCAGCATGTATATAAACTTATAAAGCGAGTTACATCGGGCCAACGAGACCATCATCATCACTACATATGACCCCAGCTGCTATGAGGTAAGAAAGCAATCTAATCAAAATAAGCACTAGATCCAAAATATCTCATGGTAAATCCTACATAGGAGAACCGACTTACCACTACAGAGTATACGGCGGAGGACCAGGCGGAAATCAAATAAATTGACGACTGGCACTAGTAGATAGTATGTGATCTCGAGCGGGGATGGCTTAGACTAACAGGGAGGATTGAAAAAACGTTTCCCCCGGCTGCTCATATCGGCTATTTGGCTTAACCTATACCTAGTTGGAAAAGCCTGGGATTTGGACTCCAGAACAAGTACGAGTTGATCCTCTACGCTTCTGTGGCATTGAAGAGCTGCCCAGACCACATTCCTGGCTTGAGCTCTTCAGCGTGTTGTCATGAAAGACAGTGGAATTCCGAGGCAATAAACCTGCACCGCTATAGTATCCCGATTTCGTACCTTACGAGCTGTACCCGGTGATGCATTTCCAGCAAATACAAACACAATCCGAATGTAATACATACATATCGCTACACTTGGATAACAATGTAAGCACGTTCTACACAATCACTTCTTTGAAGCTATAACTCCAAGCCCGCGAACACCTCAAGGGCCGCACCTTTATATACCTTCCATGGGAGGTCAAGCATCGGCCCCGTAGCCATAAAAATGATATTTACAATTAATCTGACGGAGGAATTTTGATACGGCCCGAGAGCCCTGGAGGAGATCTTAGGGCATTGGAGCTCACGTTGGGAGAAAGGCCAAACACATGCCATATGAGCAGAGCATGTTGTGGTCACTATTATCCTCAGATACACACTCCTCCGACTGGATCTACAAAGGATCAGCAGCATGATTCGGACATTCAATGGTATCTGGGCTACAGGAGAAGAAGGGAAAACAAAACAAATAAAGGAGATTCTGCCTCCACGCGCCTTGCTATCCCGCTATTGGGCACGCTTCAGACAGAAAACCAATTCAAAGAAACACATGTCCATCATGAGATATACAGAGAGAAAAAGACAGCAAATACGAAAGTGGAGAAAAATCCTTGAGATCTATCCGGATATATCATCTTCATCTTCATACACTCGTATCGCGCACACTGCGCAGGCACCGTTCGAGGCGTTTGCCGCGCTCTTTTTCACGTACAAGGGTATCTTTGACAAAGGCTCGGATGGCGTCACGGCCAACTTTTTCCCGCCATGAAGTCCAACCAGCGAGTTCACCGACCACGACATCCTTGTTCCATGAGATCTCCTTGGCGATCCGAGTCGATTCAGACTCACCATCGCGAACCTTTTGCTCGAGATCACGGACAGACTTCTGGCGAGACTCCTCAAAGCCTGGCAGGTTGATATTGAATTTGCGGGGGAGGGAGGAGGAGAGAAGCGAGGAGCGAGAACGAGCGATATGGCGGTTTGTGGAGGAGAGAGAGGACATGAGAGCCAGTGGACGGGAGAGAGAAATGAGAATTGCGGAGGTTGTGTTGTCGATGGAAGAAAGGGCTGCTAAATACTGGAGGAGAGGAGAGGAGTCGGATCTAGAGGTGGAAAGGTAGGTGGCGTAACGAGCGAAGGCTTCAATGTGTGAGATTGGGAGCGCATTGGTAGGAGCTCGGAGGGTAGAAAGGACAGACGAGCAGATCATTACAGCGTCAGCGAGGTCAGATGCTCCATTCTGCATTGCATGCCCTCGGCGAATCAGGGAACGCGTGTTCGCGTGCACACCGCGCACCATCTCTTGAGCATGAGTAACAAACTGTTCTGTGTCGCGCATTCCCTCCAGTGAGATAGGTGCATATTCGTCTGCGATGGTCTCTGTGAGTACGGCGGCCTTGCGGTGGGATCGGTCGGCCACCATCTCAGGCTGGAGCTCTGGCACGAGGAAGAATTCCCACAGCATTTCGTGGGTAGAAAAAGTTGGATGGGTGAGAAGCGTTTTGAGGAATCGATCCAGTCTTTCCTGGAGATTATGGAGCACAGATCTGGATGGCTTCGAATGTATTTGAAATGGATTCCGGAAATCTGACAGCGATGGCATGTAAGATGCTGGATGTTCCACTGCAAGCCATTTCGCCAAATTCTCAAAATCAGAGAAATTCCGGCGACAGGTTGTGACGGTGTATGTTGTTGATCCAGGTCGTGATGATGCCACAGATTCAGAGTGAGGAAATGGTGCGCCGGATTTGAGAATGAAACGCACTGTTGCATCCTCAACGAAGAACGACCGCACGACCGTTGTGACGCGACCTGAAGGATCTCCACAAGCCGATGCGGGATGAGACAGCAATATCAAATCATCAATGCGATTTCGTACTTCATCGTCCTTCGCCAATTCCACAGCTGTCAGACCACGGGCCTCTTTGACATGAACATCCACCCTGGGGTCTAGGAAGAGAATGCGAACTTGATCGACCCGTCCATATTTGCTGGCCATCATCAATGGTGTAAATCTCTTATCATTGGTCGCATTTGGATCGCAATCGCTCTCCTGCAATATACGCCTAGTAATTTCAGGATCACCAACGATGTGTAGTAGTGTGTTTCCCTTCACATCAACATGATCATCAAGCTGAAGTGGTTTGTTGTCCCTTTGTGCCCATTGAGCTGCAGTCAAAGCAGCCTGGACCATCGGCTTGTATTCCGGATGGTCGTAAGATCGGCAGAGTGCAAAGAGTGGTGTTTGTCCATGCTTGTCTCGTTGCCGCCATGGGATAATGCCACCAAGTCTTGCTAGCAAGGAGGGTGTGCTGAAAAGATAATGGGCAACTGTCCGACCGTGAACATCGGATCTAGTCAAATAAAACGCGATCACGCTGGTATCTGTCTTTGCGAACAAGAAGTCCAGAAGAATCTTGACAATCTCATTGTGTGCAAGTTGGACCGCAGCATTCAAGAGCGTGGTTCCGTCGGCATTGGTGTCATGGATTATTTCTTCCAAGGGGTAGTATTCTTCCAGATTCAACAAATACCTCAAGGCCTCGGACTGACCACCCTCAACTGCCATCATTGGTATGGAATGACCGGCAGGATCTTGGGTTTTGGTCAGGGTCTCAATCGAACTGTCGCCCTCGATTCCACTGGCCATGGATCCGAGCGTCGTTGTTCTAGACATGAAGGAGATGGCCGAAGATTCCGATAGGCTGCGAACATCCATTGAAACCCGCTTGATTGGACGGTGAGACCGAGTTTCCTGGACATGGGGAAGACCACCCCAGGTTTGGAAAGGGAACACATGAGATAACGGCGGTGCATCAGCCACGGCTTCATCCTGGTATGTTTCCCCATTGGTGTAGCTCGTATAAAGGTTCTCAATAGGGGGCTCATCCATGTCATCAATCTCATCGGTTTGGAACAGCACCGACTTTCGCTCTGGTTCTGGGGGTGTCGTGTCATCTATTGACTCGTGATCCTCGTTCGGTTCCAGGATGGACCTCATATCTGATACTCTGCCTGCCTTTGTTGCTTGCCACAAACGTTTATTTCTAACACTGGCACGCCGCAGCCCCGCGGAGTCGGTCACGAGATACATTAAGACAGCTTCAAATGTGCTCAAAGCATATCCCATCTCGCCGCTATCGACGTCGTCGATGTAGATGAAGTGCTGCATGTACAATAATCGAGCTTGGAGATGCCGAATCTGGGACCGAATGACAACGACAAGCAACAAAGAGACCAGGACATCGGCGTTAATTGTCACAGAGGAAGATCCTTTCTCGGATACTGAACCGTCCATGTGATCATAACTTCCAGGGAAGGAAACCACCTTGACTGTCCCAAGGAGAGTGTTCAACATATCATGGGGACATCGGGCATCATTAATCTTCCGAAACTCTTCCACGCCCCGGCCAATTCGTCGAATCAATTCTCGTTTCCCGTCACGCCCGCCCTCAACAGAGATGCCGACTTGGGACACATCTATGCTTTCCATCTGGCGAATCCTAGCATCCAACTCTGTGTCCTCGGGTTGGCGGAATGAACATAGACGAGGGAAAAGTAGGGGCTCATGAACTTGTTCCGCGACATAACGTTCTATGAGGCGCTCCACTAGAGGACCGGTGAGATCTGTGGTCGCGCCAAGTAACGATAATTGCTGCTTGTCGACCAGGCGGAAGAGATCAATGGCAGCAGTCACAGCGGTTTCCAAACTCCGACGCATGAGGTCCTCATCATCCTCAAAGTATTCTTCCGAGTTGAATGGCAGTCGCCCTCTGCTGCGTGAGGACCAGCTGCGGATTGAAGAACTCTCATCCGTCAGTGATTCGGTGCGGGATAATCTGTGAACGCGTTCATTGCCGGATGCAGACGGGGATCGTGAAGGAGGTGGTGGCAGTGGTTTCCCCAATTCTTTTCCAAACTCTCGGAATAATCTTTCCAGGCCCGGATGCATCTGCCTGGCTATCATCGGGAAATTGGCAAGAAGTTCCCCAAAGGATTTGATTTCTTGTTTTGGTGGTGTCCCAATTGAACTTCCGCTGCCATACTTTTTCTCTGGACTAGCTGCCACGATCCTGGACTCGATCCCAGGGACTGCGGCTGGTATAATTCTTGCGGGGTCGTACGTTCCGATCAGCGGGCGAGAGATGTAGTAAATAAGCCATGGGCACGATTCATTGGATGGAGTAAAATAGAGCGCATCGGAAAGAAGCTGAGCTTGTGTGAGGGATTTGAAGCCTGATTTACCATTCCTCGTGTTAGCCTCTTGGGGAGCACTTGTGCCAGAGAGCTCTTACCTTTGTTGCTGTATACTGAGTTGTCCTTGATGATCACCGTCCTTCCATTGAAGGTGGTCACCTGTTTGGCTTTCCCTCGGTTATCTCGCACATTACTCTCCTCCTTCGAATTTGCAGAACCAGTATGAATCGGGATGCGGAGCACATGGCTCCCTAGAAATTCCTCTGACGCGACAAGATCGGAGTACAGCAAATTGGACTCCCGGTCGCGTGAACCGATGAGAGATTCTGTCGTGGGAACAAGCAAGACCTGAGGGGAACACATAACACCAATTAGCCACTCCGACCGATCCGACAGCGCTTTCACGGCGTTCACCTACATGATTCTCGATCGGTATGCACTGGCTTGGAACAGTGCTTCGAAAGAGGGCACGGAGGAAAGGGTTTAGAGGGTGCATCCAAACGGTTTTGGACGGCCCAGTCGAATGACTCGCGCAATCATCAAGCCGTCCGTTTCAGATCTCCGCAGCAGGGGATATATGCGCCTTGAGATTTCGCGGGGAAGAGTAGGTCGCATTCAACAGGCAGCAGGTCAGTATGAGGTCAGAACCGGTTAAATTTGGTCAACGAAAGTTCGACAAAGCTTGAAGAGTAAACACAATGCTAGATCGCGGGAAACAAGAAGCTCAAAAGATAAGAGTTGAAGCAGAAGCGCATGTGTCGGGTGAATCGAGAACGTGATCGACCGAGTTGATGGGCGCTATTCCGCATTGGGTAGTTCTTCCATCCAACACGGCGATTTATTATTTGTGTCAGAAAAGATATATCATAGATCGAGTCTCTATTGACCATTGGATTGCAAGTGAGTTTTTGGAGTCCTGTCATAATAGTTCTAATATACAGAGAATAAATGGCAACAAGCACGCCATGTAGATAAAAACACAAAAGGGTCTGCTCATGTTTCTCCGCACCAAGCAATCCAGTGCAGCAGTACCGCAAACGAGCAGCTAAGCCAAAACAAAAAGTACACACCCAAACCGGGGATCAGCCCAATCTACGCTCGTGTCTGCTGCGAGTACCACCAAACTTCAGTCGGGTGGAGTCGCTCACTCTTGCAACAAGACCCCGAACATGTCGTCCCTCGTTGCCCAAGAGCACTTTCGTAAAGGCCTCACGGCCCTTTCCAAATCCGCGGTAGATCACCTCCAGCCGCTCGATTTCCATCAGGAAGCCCTTTTCTTGAATTTGAGTCATGAAATGAGCAGACAGTTGGTATGCTGGGTCAAAGCCGGAGCGCCCAGCTTTGCGGAAACCAATCTGACCACATCCAATAGACATGAGGGGATTGCCGTTTGGTCGGGTCAAGGTGATGATTGTGTTGTGCTTGTGGCAGTAGACGTGCAGGTGATGAGGAGGGGCTCGGTCGGCGTAGGGATGCTTGATCATATCGGCCTCGAGACTTTCGGCCATTTTCGAGTAGTCGGAGCGAGCGCGTGAGGGTGATGCACCAGATCTCTCACCCTGCATCATTCGTGTAATTGCAGAAAGCGGCGACGAAGAATCGGAAGATGTTTCCGGTTCTCGATTCAACATCTGCGTCTCGATGTCACCGCCATTGTTGCGTGCAGACCATGTGCTGCGATGAGAGCTTATGACCGAGAAGGGACGTGTGATGCCCAAGGAAGAGATTCGAGGTTGAGATGGGCGGCACACTGAGGGCAATGCCTTGGTCAACGCGCTCATCGAAAAGGAACTCATGGCGGCGACCGGGGGCTGCAGGGAAAACGAGGATCGGGAAAACGAGAATCGGAAAAGCGATAGCAAGCACCGGATTTGGAATTGCTTTTAATGCACACGAATCCCAAATGCTGAGTTCGGAGCTTGACCACAGAGCGCGGGTGGTGTAAAGCCGTTGTCGGACCGAAGGGAAACGCTGGAAGTTTTTCGAAGTCTTGGCATCTGCACTTTTTCCTTTCCCCGAGATCTTTCGCCTCCCTCCATCATCTTCCTCATATCGCGTCCAGGCCGGGCTGGAATCTATCGTACCGTTATTTTCATCTTTAATTCCCTTTCTTGGTTGATTCTCCTCTCCGTCAACGCTTCAGAGCATGATTCCGGCCAAGATGTCGGCGACACGCGTCGCTTCCTTGCGGTCCCAGGTACTGACTATCAGACCATCCCGCCGGTTGTCTCCTCACGCCGGATCATACTCGACCATCTCATCTCAATCATCCATGCTCTCCGCCCAGAGCCACCGAGCCATCCTCCAATCCCGCTCTCACCCCGTCTCCCAACTTGTCTCGCCTTTCGCCGTTCTACCTCTAACCCGGTCTTTCCACGTCGCAACTTCTCTTCGGCAACAGCAGCAACAGCAAAAGCAGCAGGAAGGGAAGCAAGGTGAGGAATCTAAGTCCGAATCGCAGGGCGAGGAGTCCAAGGAAGAACCCAAGGAAAAGCAAGAAGAGAAAGCTCCACCACCACCCCATGGAGACAAATCCCCTTGGCAAGTCTTCCGTGAGACTCTGCAAACCGAGTTTAAGGCTTCCAAGGAATGGGAAGAATCTACCAAAGCGCTGGCATCCTCGGCTCACCAGTTTTCTGAGAACGAGAATGTCAGACGTGCGCGCGCTGCCTACGAGGCGGCATCTAGCGCTACTACCTCCAAAACCTCCACAGCCTTCAAGACCACCGGGCAAGCCATTGGAAAGGGAGCCGCTTGGACATGGAACACTAGCGTGGTCAAGGGTGTTCGCAAGGGTGTCAACGCAACCGGAGAGGGCCTGGAGAAGGCCACCCGACCAGTTCGGGAGACCGAAGCATACAAGAGCGTGAAGGACGCCATTGATGATGGCAGCAGCTCCCGCTACGGTGGCTGGGTCGAAAAGGAGGAGCGTCGCAAACAGCGACAGCGTCGTGAAGAGCAGGATATCAAGGATGGAAAGTCCCATCGCGTGGAGGAGCGAGTTGAGGATCCCAAGTAAGCTTTTGTGACAACATGTGCAGATTTGACATTTCTGACGGATTCATCTCCAGCGCCGGTACCAATGTCACTCTCCACAAAGACTCCGCCTGGAAAGATTCCTGGAGAGACTTCAAGGACTCCAACCCCGTGATGCAGAAGCTCTTTACAATCAAGGAAAACTACAACGAGTCGGAGAATCCCCTCATCAGCACAGCGCGCAGCATTTCCGATCGGGTTGCCGGCTTCTTCGCAGAGAATGAGACGGCTCAGGTCATCAAGAAGTTCCGAGAGATTGATCCTAACTTCCAGATGGAGCCTTTCTTGCGTGAAATGCGCGACTACATGCTACCGGAAGTCCTCGATGCTTATGTCAAGGGCGATGTCGAGACACTTAAGCTGTGGCTTTCGGATGCCCAGTTCCACGTCTATGCCGCCCTTGCGAAGCAATACACCACTGCCGGTCTGAAGTCGGACGGTCGTATTCTGGACATCCGTGGCGTGGACATCTCTCACGCCCGTATCTTGGACCCCGGCGATATTCCAGTATTTGTCGTCACCTGCCGGACACAGGAGATCCACGTTTACCGCAAAGTGAAGACCGGTGAATTGGCCGCTGGTACAGATGACAAAGTGCAGCTGGTCACCTATGCTATCGGATTGACTCGCATCCCCGACGAAGTCAACAACCCCGAAACCCGGGGCTGGAGATTGATCGAACTGCAGAAGGCTGCCCGTGACTACATCTAAGAACGCAATTCATTTGGTATCCATTCTATACTGCCGCCTTTCTCGATCTTCTCGGCATATTCCGCTCTGGATCTCGCCCCTCTCTTGCATCTTGGCCTTCCTTCCCTTTTGAACTGTACAATATGACTATTTGATATCAAGCCAGGTCGACCCTGGCGCCTGTTATGGTTATGGCTGTTCCAGTGACTGCAAATTTGTGCCTTCGCTGGTTCATCAGAGTTTCTTTTCTTCATGTATTAATGCTTCATTCGGTCTGGCCTCCAGTTGTTGGCTTCGAGTTTTTCCCTCGCAAGACTTCCGATTCAGCCTTGCTTCCTTCCGAATGTTCCATCCTTCCCATAGACTAGGACGCATTGGATTTTCTGGCATTTTTGGGGGCTGGAGGTGTTCTGTCGGCGTTGTTTTTCCTCCCACTCTCCCCTCGCCACCGTGTATGACTGCATTGGGCTGTCGGTTTTGGTTTCTGTTGGGGCCGTCATGGGTCTTCCAGCACCTAAGCATCATGTCAATACCTATTCAAATCGATGTCTTTTGACCGACATTCTGTCGTTTAAGTCCCCGTAAAAGTATCATCCGAGATGTGTCCTCACCCATTGGTTGCTTGGTCAATGATGTATCTCTACGCACCTATCTGGCTACACGGTTCTCATGTAAAGTTGGAATAAAGTTGGAATATCAAGGACATCGCGGAGAGATTGCACTCCCCTTCTCTGGTTGGTAGTCAAGGAATCGATTGCTCCCCGATGCGGCCGTCAATATCGAGCTGATTTCGCCAGATTGTACAAGCATCCGATCCCACCAGTTTAAGATCTGGAAGTCCAATGTTCTCATAGCGGTAGATCCAATTTCTTCTCTCCTATCATGCCCTTGGATCATCCCTAGCGCGATGTGGGAGCGAGTGGCAACAGTAGTGGAGTTGGGCTGTGCTTGACTCCATTCTCCCGAGATCGTTGATCTGGTGAGTGTGTCACTCGTGGCTTCAGTTTCGAAGGGTACTACTCCGTGCGTGTATATATTATAACCGGATGTGCACTCTGTTTGTATTGATTGCCGCTGGAATACTGCGACCACGCTAGAGGGATCAGTTTATGGCGGTCTGAGGGTGGGCTTTGATGCGTTGGTTTGCATGCTGGACTTGAACCCCCATTCCCAATTTTATATGGACTGTGGAGTCCTCCGTACTAGACGGAGTAGGTACTCCGTACCATGTTCGCAATATCCGACGGTCGACTCCATACCTCGGCACATAGTCTCAAGCTACGCGAATCAGAGAGGGACCAGGCCTCTCGATCGAATGAGACAACGTCCAACATACGTTAGACATCTCCGGACCCTTGGAACCTCCCATGCTGGTATGGGCTCCATACGGAGTCCTCCGTATGGAAGGGCCTGGGGATTCGGGAGGCCATGGAAAAATGGGGCTGTTCATATTTTCACGGAGCGAAGCCGATCTGATAGGCTGGTCTATTCCCCGCTTTGCATCAAGGGGGGGCTGATTTGAAACTCTGGCCTCACGAGAAAGATAGAGATATGTCCTCCGTGCGGAGTATTCCGTGTTGCGAAAGGAGTTCTTCGTATTCCCTAGGTCGACTGGGGGCATTTTAAGGGTCATGTTGCCAGGGAAGTCTGGTGCCGGGGAGCCACTTGGCCACCAGGGGAGTCCCCAAAGAGCCAAAAAAAGGGCCAAAAAAAGGAGAGTAAAACGAGAACGAATACGGAGCCAATCATAATGCTTACCGCCAACCTCCACCGGAGGAGGATTGTCTCTATACGGAGTAGGGGATTTTTGATTGGTATTCTTATGTAGGGATTATGCACCGTCAGATGTGCACGCGACTCTCTCCCTTTCCCCTTTTCGTCACCACTTTTGTTTCGCTTTTTACCCTTGGATTTTCCTTTCATAGCGGCATTGGGACTTGAAAGGAGCCTTGGTCCCAGCAGTGCTATACCTAAACATGACCGATTCTGCTCGCGAGACCCCCGATCTGGGCAAACCCCAATTAGCGTCTCATGCATGGGTTGAGCCGATTGTAAGTTCCTGACGCCTATCGCTAAGCTTTTCGATTAATTTGCTGGGCAGGTCGTGGTGGGTATCATGGTCGGGTCCCTGATCGTGAACCGTCGCAGGGATTCCAGTAAAAGCGCCAATGACTTGCATCACAGCCGATATGGTGATTATGCCCTGCTGGAGGAGGGCGACGCCCATCTCAGCAGCGAGCCGCGCTCCAAATCGGAGACGGTCTTTGGAGTCAGCATCAAGATGCGAGACTCGACGCGCTGGGCGCATCATATCCATAGCCGGATCTTGCAGAAATTCCCCTTTTTGGTCGAGATGTTCTACTGGAGTATGAACTATCTCTTTTATTCAGTGACCAAAGGGACCGCCCAGTGGCTCTCTCCCGCCCAGATAGGGGTGGTCCAGGTCGCGCGAGGCCATGCCGTTGACATCCTCAACTTCGAACATCAGACCGCTTCGTGGATCTTTCCGATCAAAGAAGTGGATTTCCAATCTTTCTTCATTCAAAATCACCCATCGTTTATGACCTTGTTCAACCGGATCTATTCATTGATTCACATTCCCGGGACAGTGCTGTGAGTACCCTGGGACTTCAACCTTCATGCGGTCATTCGTCGATCAACAACCTAATTGGCCCCATAGATTCCTCTCCTGGTATTACTACGTTGCGAAGAACCATGCGGCTTTTGCGGTGGCCCGACGCACCATGACTTTGGGAAATCTCGCCGCCTTCTTGGTGTTTTGCGTGTATCCCTGCATGCCCCCCCGACTCCTACCCGAATCGTATGGATTCTATGACACCGTGCGACAGGGCAACGCCGAAAGCATCTGGGTCGGTGGAAAATCCATCAACCAGTTCGCTGCCATGCCCAGCCTCCACTTCACTTATGCCTTTGTGATCGGTTGCACCTTTTTCCATTACTCGGGGGTATTGCAACGACTCCAGGGAAAACGCACGCAAAAGTCCCCCTAGTCGAGTTTGGCTTTTTGGCACTTGCGATCTTGTATCCGATCCTCGTCCTCAGTGTCATCATTGCTACCGCCAATCATTACTGGCTTGATGCTGTGGTGGCCATCTTCACCGTGACCCTGTCCTACCGCTGCAACAGGGTGCTGATTTTGCTACTTCCTCTCGAGCATGCCCTGTGTTGGTGTTTGCGTCTAGCGAAGCCCGTCCCTACCACGGGCGATAGAGATTCCAAGAGATGACCTCGGAAGACACTCCGATGGTTCTCGGCGCTTGTATGAATTTATATATAAAGTGGTGACTGACAAGTCGACCAATGGGGTCCGGCCGGTTTTGGGCTCATCTAAAACTAATAAAGTAAAGTTCCCTTTTCGTTCGCCCTTCTCTTTCCGAAGAGTATAGACACTGCCATATCGCCGAGTTTTGCTAAGTCTTGGTCTATGTGGATTCCGTAGCGATCTCTGAGCCAGCCGAGAAGGCCATGCTATGTCTTCTGTGGCTGCCACCTTGGTGTTTGAATCCCAGCATAAAACTCGTATCACCATAAAAGCAGACATACGAATTAGTCCGTCCCCAGAAGAATTAGAGTTGAGGATCATAATCCACTCTGCAGGGCTGGAGTGTGGAGATCGTCGCCCTCAACGATCTACATGTACGGAGTACCCGGGGAGGCTTTGGGGGGGACGCTGAGTGGCATTCGGCCCTGATGCCAGAAATTCATCCTCGAAAGATAAACCATGAGAGCTTTCCCTTCAATCTATTCTTCCTTATTGTCCACTGCGCCGGCTTTGGGGGGATCAGCTTGGTCAGTAATCAGTTCTTCACGGTCCTCGGGATAGTCTAGGCGATATTGGAGCATGATGTGAAAGTGGACGAGATATTTTCAATTATTGCAACGGCGCAATGTATCTCAACTAAGCAGGCGCTCAGTGCAATAACAATATTACTATTAAGATACTTGAAGACAGAAAAGCAAAACAAATCACAGGGAAATCGACATGCTTCACATATGCAGAAGGAATGAGTTCAAGGATGCTTCCGGCTCACCATTGGCCTGGTGACCGCTTGGCCGCTTGATGACAGAAAAGAGGTGCCTCGAGAGGGAAGCTTATGGTTTGGCGAGTTGTTCCTTGCGGAAGAATAGTAAGTACCCAGCACTACAGATAGTTGTTAGAGATTGTTCTTGTTGACTTGAGCAAAAGGAAAAACTTACCAGATCAGCAACTGACAGAACAAAGCAACCCAAAACCAGGCATTAGCCAAGGCATGGGCGCCATGCGTCATGTCAGGAGAGATAGGCCCCGGACCAAGCCTGTTGGGCCCAAAACCTCTTGCGCAGATGGTCGCAATGGAGCCAAGCACTTGAGATGCAATGAGAGCGAAACACATGTGGACTCGGGTAAGAGTTTGTAGAAGGATGATACCGAATCCAAGTCCTTGGATAGAATCCAACACGCCCAGCCAGAGCCAGAGACTGCGAGATACGAGAGCGCCAGAGGTGTATCCGCCAACCCATGGCAGGTAGTATCCGATGCCAGAAACACCCCACCATATTTGGATGAAGCGTGGTGCGCCCAGGCCACAGGCGAAGACGGGAAGAAACCAACTGTGGTGCTTAGAGAACTTGCTCACGATGAAAAGGAAAATACACCAGACAAAGCCAAAGAAGGCAATGCAGAGGAGAACGATTTGCCATGCGTGAGCATGTGTGGAACCCCAGAGGACTGGATAGGGCAAGTTAGTCTCTTTGATCGGTCCAGAATGAGGGGATTGAAACTCACAGCTCCAGTTTCGACCATATGGTGCGCTGAGGAAAAAGTTCTGTAGAATCACTGCGACAAAGTTCCAAGAAACAATCTTTCTTCGAAAGATCGACTTGTAGAACGAAGGCACCTTGCCAGGCTTTTGACGGTAATAGTTGGGAAGGCCGAGGGCCAAAAGAAGACCGATGACGCACAAAAATGCAGCAATGGGGTAACAGATAGCACTGAAACAAGGTCAGCAAATAAACAAAGAGGTCAAGAGTAGAGAGAGGCTTACGTCATTTTCCAGGTGTTAGAGATACTGTTGTCAGAAGTCAAGAGGCCCTCTGAAGAGGCCTTGGTCAGAGTGGACCCCCAGTACCACAGTGCAATTACATAGGCTTGTTGAGCACCTTGAATAACACAGGCGCGGAAAATCCAGGTCTCAACCGGTGCGCCTCCCTCATCACCAAAGTTCGACGCAAAGAAAATGGATCCACTAGAGGAGGCCGCAGCATAGAAACCGCTGCCAACATTCTGTATCCATCCACGAGTGAAGGAATCTCCTTCCCAGTGAGCAGATCCAATCAGAAGGAACGCAAGACCATACAGGAACCATGGGGTGGAAAGACACACGACGGATTTGAAGTATCGATATACAAGCCACCAACAGACAGACGAAATGGCATATGTTGTTGCGATACCATATAGCTTCTCCGCTGTCTCACCCACTTCTCCTGTGAGTAGAGTGATCTGGTATGAGTTTGCAGCGATAATTTGACCCAAAGCCAGGAAGATGGAGTAAACCGGCCAATCTCCAATCTTGACTTGCATCCATTTCTTAATTCCAGTAGGGGGGAACATAGTCCTTCCCAAGAAGGAATTCATCATCAGCCGCATGATCCTCGTGGCTGTTTATATGGTTGACCATATCATCGTCGTAGAGCATCCCATCGGGAGAATCATTGTGCCTTGAACGGCGGATCGAGGGTGTAGGAGACTTGTTGCGACCCAGTCTGGCATCGCGAAATCTGTCGAACCATTTGTGCTCACTTTTGATCAGGAATTCCTCAATACAGAGCTGCGACTCGGAGTTGGCTCCGTTCAGAGAACTAAGCTTCTTATCGAAAGCTCTATAGTATTCACCAGTGCTATCTTTGAAGAAAGGATCGACTTTCTGCAGCTTGTAATCTGTCTTCTTGCCAACAACAGAATCGAGCGAGAGGACGGACGCACTGCTGAAGCGGTTGAATTGGCTAACAGGTGGAGGGGGGAGAAGGAGATTCTCAGAGCCGGGTGGTGTCTCTGGGGCCCCTGGGCGCCCTGGGGGGATCATGAATCGAAGATGCACAGAATCATGGTCCTGATTTGAAGGCATGTTTCGAGCACGCTCCTTCTGGGCAGCCTGGGCTTGCCGCCCGGCCTCGACCTGAGCTGGGGTGAGAGTGTATTCATCATCTTCAAACAAGGCGTGAGAGGGGTCATCGTCACTGCTTTCCTCGCCGTCAGCACCAGTTCCTCCGTTTTCATCGAGTTCTGTGATGGCCTGTCCTGTTTGTTTTAGACGCCCAAGATGACCAGGGCCTGAACGGACGCCCAGGGAAAGAGAACGTGTTAGTCCCACTTTTGGCTTTTCGATATCCTCGAGGTTTTCATTTGCGCTGTAACTGATTTTCTTTTGCGAACTGATGTCTACCATTTGGTTGGAGTGACTGTTCTCCCCGGAATGCGCAAATGAGGTATTCATGCTCGGGGAAGGCAGCGGGCCCGTGGCTTGGGGCATAGATGAAATGACTCCGCTTGCTATGCTGGTGCCAGATGAAGTGTTAGGGCGAGTGTTACCACTGTGTGTCTTGGTAGCTTCTTTATTGTGAATGGTGATGGCAGTAGATTGCAGAATCTCGAGGTCTTCAACCCATTGAGCAACAGGGAAACGCTGTTTGGCAGATCTGGCCCGCATCATCGCGCGGGTGGCCGTCTTTGAATTCAGCGCAGCCTCAATGGCAAGCTTGAACTGGATAAGCAGATGGGATGTCGAGATCGATTCCACATTGTACCACCAGCCTGGCATTTGCCCGAGACCACCGACACGCGCTCCAATACCCAACGCACCCTTTCGGCCAAACTCCACAGCAACAAGACCAAACGGCTCATCGCGAGATGGTATCAGGGCAAATTCAGCACCAGAGAAAATGAATGGCGGTAGCGTAGTGAATTCAGGTTTCGAGTAAACGCGCCCAGGATAAATTTTCATCATGTGGTCGAGCTTCAAGGCGGCGAATCTACCATAAAGATCGATAACAGGGCCAATGCATATCAGCTGCACGTTAGGGCGAGATTCTATAACCGCAGGCATAGCGTCCGCAATAAGATCAACACCCTTTTGCATAGACCAGCGACCGACGAACACAAGGAGATCGGCATCGGGGTTTTGATCAAGCCCTGCCCATTCCTGGGCTTGCCTTTTGAGCTCTCCACGGCTAGCTTCGTATGTTGAATCCACAGTGATATCTTCCTCCTTAGTGGGTTCCTTGCTCCATTCCCCGACATCAGACGGATCTGGGTTGGGCAAGTTCCCGACCTTGCGAAGACCCCAAAAGACAGGATAGCGAGCGTAGGATCGTTTGCCGTATTTCCTGGAGACACCGACGGCACCGAATCCCTGCTGATGAACACGGAGATAGCTGGCGCCAGCGTGCAGCAGGTTGAAGACTTCACCGAATTGCACATGACGCCCAACGGTTTCCTCGTCCAGGTTGAATACATCACAAACCTCTTGCTTTTCCTTAAGGGTTCGCATAGGCCAAAGACCTTGGAACTCGGCATTGTGCAAAGACAAACAAGCAGGAATAGTATCTGGCAAAAGATAAAGAGGGGCGAGAGAACCGTGGTAATCGTTGATATGATAGATGTCAATGGGGAATCGCTTGATTGCTTCGGCAATACATTGGTTCCAAGCCGAATAGTAAACTGCACTATCAAGATCATCCATGCGAGCAGGGTAAGGCTCGGTCTTTGACTGTTGACGGAACACGGGGGCATCAAGTAGGACGTAGGTAATGTTATTCAGCACGTGGTACTGGACTTGAACCTGGTAGGCACTGCCGAGAACAGTTACTGTCATAGGCTCTGCTTCCTGATCCACTGGGTAGTCAACACCTCCGACGCATGGGACAACCCAGATCAGGTCTTGGTGCCCTAGAGTTTTACCCATGAGTTGAGCCATGACACCCAGCCCACCAATCTTGATTTTTATGGCCCAATCCTCAATATCGTACTCCATGGTAGCGATCAAAACCATGCGTCTCTTACTGGACGCAAGGGCACCACCCAGAGTCGTGGTGCTTTGTAGAAAGCCAGACTTATTGGCAAAACGCATCAGTGGATTTGAGGAAAGATCTTTGTTGGCACGGGAGGACTTTATCTTGTTCCAAAAAGCGAGTGGAATCATGCCATGTTTCTCACTCACACCGACCTGATTGAATTTGACTTTGTAGAAGGACTTCATGAAGATGTATACACATCCAACCGCGGTTATGAATGGGATGATCCAGAAGAGGACAAACATGACGATTTGTGTTGACTGGGGCCCAACTGGATCCAGCCAGAAATGAAGCGTTCCATCATCGAAGTAGATTTTGTGAGAAAGATAGCCTTTGGCAGGCGCATGTGTGATATTGATCAAAGTGGCACTTAAAGCAGACGGCGGACTTCGATCCAGAATTGTATCATTGTCAGTATCGCCCAATACCCAGGTTTGATCGGGCTTTCCGTCAGGATTGATGCCCCAGATGTTGATCTGCCCGACTGCAGGCCATTCAGATGTGAAGTGGTACGACCAGGTCCCGGTTTTGGTATCGAGCTTGATGTTGTTATCGAGGCCCGCGTCATATCCATATTGATTGTAAGGTCCGTTGAAGAAAGCATGAGGAAAACGTCGTGAAATTTGGTGATTCCAGTCAGCGTCACCTTGCTGCACGTAGTCACTGCTGCCAGTCAAACGACTCCAGTACTCAACACGCACATGTTCGCCATCCCATTCCTGTTTCCTGGTTCCCGACCATGGAAGCCTTTCAATGGTATCGTTTCCTCCTTTGTATCGTATCCAATTGGAGAACGTCGTGCCCCAGTTGGTAGAATAACGGTACTTATCTGCTCCAGCAGCGTGATGCTGAATGAAAAGATCGCCATTTTGTTTCTTGTGGAGCAGACTACTCGAGTAGTTGGCAGTATTGAATACCATTGGGTTGTCAATTTGGCCAACGCGGAAGAGGAAGTGGTCAACAGCGTGTGTGGCAGAGCTGTTGCCGGAGTTCGTCGCATTGTTAACTGTCAATCGATGAACCCCATTGTACACACCTGTAAGATTTGCTGCCCACTTCCAAACTCCCGGTATCTCAGCAGTCCAGTTGGTCTGCAGCAAGAAGGGAATGGTTGTGCAATTGATAGTGTTCGAATCGACAGTTGGGATTTTCCCGGTCTCTGTAGATGAATTGAAGGTGATTGCTTTGGTCACCGAGCCACAGTCCATCTTTTCCGAGAAGTAAAGCTCAATCGTCACATTTTCGGGAAGATCGGGTGCGACGGTGGAACGCAGTGGATAATCATGGCCTGGGGTGAATTTGGTGATCATAGGCCGAGGTGATTTGTGCTTAGCAACAGGGACATATGCACTGAATTCATAGGCCTTCAGCGTAAGTCTTTCCGCACAGCCATTGAACTTGGTTGACCCATTGAAGCCCAGTTTGCGTACTCCTTCCACTAGCTTGATCTCGTTATAGGGGTAAAAAAGATTTTTGACCGTGATGCCAGCCTCGAATGGAGCGGTCAGGGTCTTGTTGGGATTGTCGGAGTCGCAGTCGAAGGTGTAAGTTTTTGTATCATTGAGATTTTGGTAGATCAGCCAGACTGGTTGGTTGTCATCATTAGAGCCCAGGTTTTGAACCTCAGTGTTCACATCTCTAAAAACGGACCACATCCCAGTCTCTGTGGCTGTATCATTAGAACCAGGATAGTAAACATCATCAGTTCTTTTCGACAGATTGCCAAGCGAATAGCCATCGTTGAGAACTGGGTACTGTTCGCGCAAATGATACATCTGCTTTATGATGTTTCGAAGAGGATGGGAAGGGTCGCGGTGGTCGTAAACAACCTTTGCATCCTCACAGCCTGTTTTCGCTGATAACAGAGGCCAGTCGTAGTACTGGGAAGACTTTAAGTGGAAGCAGCCATGGGTTTTCCACGCCGTTGCAGGGGACATTGACTGTCGCCCATAGATATAGTTCTCTGCAGTGGCATCTAGAATATAAAAGTTTTGCTCTTCACCCCAAAGAAGAAGTGGGATTCCAGGAAGCATCAATGTAGTGACAAAGGAACCGAGCAACTGGCGGTGGGTACCGTTTGCAATTGCTGGCCACCGGAAGACATCTTGGTTAGTCGCACCAAACATGTGTCGAGGGTCAAATTTTCCGGTGTTGGCATTGATCAAATCATTTGTTCTCAACATGTAGTCCCACCCTAGAACCCAATCGTTGGGCGCATCAAAGCCGGCTGAAAGCTGCCCGTCCATGCCAAGGAATCGAGTGAGGGCACGATATGTTGTGTAGTGGAAGGCTGCACCGTCGATGGCTTCATGTCCCGCTTCACGCAAGAAGTACTGGGCGGAGGATTCATTCGTTAACTTCATTGTGGTAGCTGAGTCCTTAGGCCACTGGTTGCGCTGTCTACCCCTTCCAAGGTAGATGGAACCAAAGTCATTCCCACCTGTGATTTCACCAGCGATGAAGAAATTCTCCTTTCCAACCTTACGGGCACAGTCTCGGTAGGCACTGGACATGTCTCCAAGAGCATCCACGGTGGCTTGAGTGGCCTTGTCATATCGGAACCCATCGATGTCCAAAGACTCAATGATCATGCAGGAGTGTTGGATCAACCTTTGGCGCACCGCGGGGTGCCATTCGCGCAGACGATCCTGAACGGAAGCAAACTTGGCCAGCTGACGCTTCCAATCAGGCCACACTCCGAAAGCCTCGATGTCACCATACTGGTCGAAATCACTGTTGTAGCATCCCACTAAACCTGCAGTCTGTGATTCATTGACGGGGAATCCATCCTCGTACCAGAATCGGGGGTAGTCGCAGGTGGCATTGTAATCCCCGGTTCCGATGTCAAAGTCAACATAACGACGTTCGGTTTTCCATTGTGTCTTCCATTCTTTCTCGGAGAAAGGAGTCGAAATGTTGAGGTGGCCATCAAATCCGATCAAATCAGCCATTCTGAGGAGGTTCTCTTAGCTCTGCTCTCCCGACTGCGAGTGTGGAGGGAACTTACGTAGCAATGGTGTTATCAAACAACACATACATTCCTCGCTTGTGCATTTCGGTGATGGCGTCTCGCCAAACCTGAATTGTACCATAGTGTCCGTCAAGCATGGTGGTGTCCATAACTCCATAACCATCGAAAGTCCACGGCTGGTTTAGCAAGGAAGTCCCCGCAATATAGATGCCCTGCAGGTTATGAACATTTATCCCATACGATAATGGCACGGATAAAACGAACCTTGATGCCCATTCCTTGGAGGTAATCCAATGTGTCGACAAGTCCAGCCACATCGCCACCATGGCGTATGCGATGATCAAGATCATGCTCGAAGGTGGTACCGTTGATGTTGTCGTTTGTGGGGTCTCCATTCACGAAGCGATCCATGAACAACGAGTAGAATGGAAAACGCCAGTTTTCAGGTGAGGGGTGATATTTCCCCTCATGACCGGGCCATGTTCCCCAGTAATCAGCCGGGTTTGTGGCTGTCTTGTTCTGATTGAGGTTATGATCTAGATAGGCCTCGTCGTAGGGCCAACAATTCACTGTCGTCGCAAGGAGCGAGAGCGAGATTACTCCGGGGAGTAACCACTTCATGACTCGCGGTGACTCTTCCGGGTTGTCGGGAGGTGTTCACGCCCCTCAGACAGTGCGGATATCCCCACTGGGAAGAACAGGGGATGACACAATCTATGAAAGTGAGGGATATGCGAATCCCTCGGGGATCATGGGAAGATCTGGAGTGGATATCTTGTGGAGTCAGATTTCGCAGAGCCAAACGGTATCAAAGGTGGTCGGAAAGGGCCAAATGCCAGGATAACAAGAGATGAATCGAGGTAACGTTGGGACAGAGCAAGATGCAAAGGAGTAATCAGATGGAAAAAGAGAAAGAAATCATATCCCAGTGCTCAGTGCTTAGTGCTTAGTGCTTAGTGCTTAGTGGTACATGCTAGTGGGATTGAAGCTGAAGATAAAAATAAAACAAGAATTAGCTCCAGCGCAGATGAGACACAAGGCCCATGTCTGATACTAGACCGTCGATACATCCACCCATGTACATCCCTAGTAATATGGAGTATCAGAGTCTCAGCTTTGGGGCTCCAATTGGTAGGCCTCGGTTATCTTGCTTTTCTTTTTATGCATTCATGGTTTTTCTCGCCGATTTTGACTCTTTCCATGTTGATATTACTGGTTTATACCAGTTCGAGTCTCCATCACCCTTGACATCAAATCCGACTGGTTCGACCAACACCAGAATACATACAATGACTTGGAAATCGGCTTTCTTTTCCAAAAAGGAATGGCTCTCACACTTGGACCAAAATTAGGAACACAAAAAGCCCTTCCGCACGGGGGTTCCCCGATTCGGCTGTCACATTCTTTTGGACGGGGCCCATAGGGCCACGTTTTTCCGACCATGGGTTAGAGTCAGGTATCTACATGTATGGAGTAAGGATGGTATAGATACCTATCGAATTCTATAGATATGGATACATGGCATATGTGCGTGAGTACTCCGTACACCATGCATACATGTATGCAAACACCGGCTCCGGATTATGGTCTCGCGACGTCGGTGTCTATTAACTCAAGATCAAGCTTAGACGTGTGAGACATCAGATCGTCTAAACCGGTACGGAGTACGGAATACTCCGTACATGTTACATACCCTCTGCCTCTATACCCTTAGTTGTCAACCTATGGCGATGCCGATAAGCGTCGATTCGGCCCCGGTGAGATACCCCGGTCCGACCAATTGGCTGGAGCCCGTTTTGCAAAAATAATCCTGTGGATACCTCCGGTATGAAACCTGTTTTTTTCGCTTCTCATTTTAGCCGTTTTCTTATTTTCCTTTTTCTTTTCGGGTTTCCTATTTTGGACATTCGGATTCAGAATTCGAATTCTTCACGTCGGCTCTCCACCAATGGCAGACCAGGAAACATGCCAAGAGGCGATTTCCTAAAATCCATGACATCAAGCACATCCGTCATCGTCCGGCGAAGCCACATGAGCCAAAAATATCTTATTACGACCATGTGGAAGTATGAAAAATGAAAAGGAAGTTTCTTCACTCTCCACTTTGCGGAGTACCTACTTTGTACCTACGTAATAGACAAGGAATATTCATCATGGAAATCTGCATACGTAGAAATGTTACAGTGTACCTTGGTAGAATGCACTACACTGGGCGCAGGAGGAATCGAGGGCATGTACGGAGTACTCCGTATGGTGATATCTGAAAACGATGAGCCACTCGTACAGCTGGAAATTAATGGCTCTTATCTAGCAAATCTCATACACGAAGTATGCATGAACGCCACATCGTTCACCTATCACGGTCATTTTCCCGCATCCGATCTTTACTTTTTAAAAGTACGGAGTCCTTATCCGTAGATCTATCCGGATATCTTGCAACAAAAGTCATAAAAAGGATTGACTCTTGAAGAGGGGGAGCACCTGAAGCATTCCCAAGTCCCCAAATTGCCAGTGTGGTGTTGTTGCGCGAACGTGTGATGGCCAACGGACTCCCGTCTTACTTTCTCGTATTCATCATCCATCTCAGAGCCAACGTGTTGGCTGTATCAGAGCACGCTATCAACGTATGGGCACTATCTATGTATAGCCTTGCGTGTCTGTACAAAGGTGTAAAGCGCTCAGGGGTCGGTTTCAATTGAAGTCAAATTTGTTGCCTGCATATGCCTGGATTTGGGTTGGCCAAAAGCTACAATACCTGAATTACTATGGCAGAGGCCTTAATACCTGCCTAGTCAGGGTCCAGAGTACCTGGATCCAAACTTGGAAAGCAGGCAGATAAAATGAAACCTTCCATATAGTCGGTCGCGTTGGCGGGCTTGCAATGTCTTTTTAGTAGTATATTCTAAATGCGTTCTCAAAGATATCTTCTTCTCCTCTCAGGATATATAATTTATGGGGAGGTTCGACTTTGGGGATAGGTTCAACTCCGGACTACCCCCGGGGCCCTAGGTAGGTATGATTGACAATACAGTAATGAATGGTGTCAAGAGCGGTCCAAAGTCGGGCATATTCAGGCAAAAAACTCGGTTGTAATTGAAACCGACCTCGGAGCGCCATACACTTTCATGCCTGGCTGGTGGAGATCGGGAGCAAAGCTCGCTTGTCTCGGGGATTCATGGTACCTTGTCTCAGGTTGGCTCACCCGAAGTTTGCTACTCCAGCGATGGAGATGTGACGGAGTACTCCGTATGTCCTCCCAAATTACTAAAATTAGGGCAGAAAGTGCCTCGATCACATGGGGTCTTGTTTGAACAATCCCTTCGTAAAGTTGAAGAATGTCGAAGGTCCAGTGTGGACGAACAGAGTAGAAGATTATGTGCAGTAATTCGATTTGTGTTGGTATGCCAGGTATGCCAGGTCTGCTAGATACTCCCCTCTCTAGAGACATAGTGCAAACTATGAGGGATGAATGGAAACAGCCTGGTTCTCGCTCGCCTCAACCCACTGTGGTAGTACAACGTGCATGGGCTGGGCTCGTGGTGATGCTCGCTCCAGCCACCAACGCAGCATGTAATGAACAATATGTGTAGACATATGGCTCGTGAAATAAGCAGCATCTTGAGATTTTCAAATAGTGCGGCCATGGTCGTGGTTAAGGGAGGGTTCTATCGATCGTTGACAGGGCCACCTGACTGCTCCTTGGGTCTCCCCTGCCAAATTGCCCGATTTGGATTTTCACCAATATTTTTCGGGTTCGCGATCTTTCCTCGACGGCCTTCTCCTTATTCCTTCGCGTTCCTTTTCTGCTCAGGTCCCAGGTTGATCGTTCATCTTTCTTCGTTCGCCTTCTCTCTTTATATTGTGGCGTAATTGCACTACGCCCCCAAAGCCGCCGTGATATCTCTCCACACTCTGTCATCCTCGTCCAATCTGCTGCACAGATACGAGCAGTCATGATGTCATTATGCACCGTTGGCCGTTTGGAAGGCCTTATTTTGATGATAAGCCTCACCTTAGCTTCGGCTGCAGGGACAGCTGACTGGAAGGCCAGATCCATATACCAGACTATGACAGATCGGTTCGCTCGCACAGACGGCTCAACAACATCGCCATGCAACACCACGACGGGTCTTTACTGTGGAGGAACATGGCGAGGAACTATGAATCATCTGGATTACATTCAAGGAATGGGGTTTGATGCTGTGATGATATCTCCAATCATCGAGAATATCCATGGCCGTGTCGAATACGGCGAAGCTTATCATGGGTACTGGCCATTGAGTTTCGATAACCTCAACTCTCATTTCGGGACGCATCAGGACTTGCTCGACCTCAGCGAAGCTCTGCATGCCCGTGGAATGTATCTCATGATGGATACAGTGATCAACAATATGGCCTACATCACGAATCACAGCGACCCCGCTACGCACATCGACTACTCCGTCTTTAGACCCTTCAATAGTTCGGACTATTTCCATCCCTACTGCAAAATCAAAGACTGGAACAACATGACCGATGCCCAACTGTGTCAGACAGGTGATTTGATCGTCCCTCTGCCAGATCTCTTTACAGAACATGAGGATGTCCAAGATCTCCTGATCGAATGGGCGAACAATGCCATTAAGACCTATTCTATTGATGGACTGCGGATCGACGCTGCCAAACACGTCACCCCGAACTTTCTTCTCAGATTTTTCGAAAACGTCAATACTTTCATGACAGGAGAGGTTCTTGAAGGGGCAGTCAACACGATCTCCGATTACCAGCGTGATTACATTGCCAGCATGCCGAATTACCCGATCTATTTCGAGATCTTGAACGCTTTCACCCAGGGCAATCCGTCCGCGTTGGCGAAGGAAGTGGAGAACATGAGACTTTCGATGCCTGATACTAATGCTATGACATCTTTCTCTGAAAATCACGACAAGGCTCGGATCCCGAGCCATTCCCAAGACATCGCGGTATGTGCGGATTCGCTTCACATAATCAGTTCTGCTAATTAAATAGCTTACAGATGGCCAAGAACGTTCTGGTATTCACTATGCTGTTTGATGGGATCCCAATGATATACCAGGGTCAGGAGCAACATCTCGACGGAGACGGCACGCCCAATAACCGGGAAGCTATCTGGCTCACCAAATACGATACCGATGCAGAACTCTACAAGCTGATTGCAAAACTGAACGGTATCCGGAAACACGCATACTCCCTCGGTGAAGATTACCTGAGCCACCCAACTCATACAATCTTCCAAGGGGGAAGCGAGCTTGCTTTCATGAAAGGTGTTGAGGGTCGACAAGTGGTTATGGTTCTCTCCACTCAGAATTCAACAAGCAAGTCCTATTCAATGCGGTTACCATTCAGCTACAATGCTGGCACGACAGTGATAGATATTCTGAACTGCAACAATTACACTGTGGACAACGAGGGTACACTGGAGGTGGATATGGACAAGGGAGAGCCCCGGGTTTTCTTTCCCACACAACATATGGATGGCAGTGGACTTTGTGGCTATGCTGCATCAAAGGTCTCCTGGGGGTCCTTGAAAACTACCAGTGGTGCGACTTCGCTTGGCTCTGTGATCACAACTGTCCACGGTACCAGTCTGGCTGTGTTCCTACTAGCAGCAGTGGCCGGCCCATTTGTAGTGTCTTTGTGAGAGAACCATCTCAGATCCCTCTTCTTTTCCTTCTTTTCCTTCTTTTCCTTCTTTTCCTTCTTTTCCTTCTCTTCTCTTCCTTCTCTTCCTTTTATCAACTCTTCTTGTATATCTTTTTCCATTTTGCTCCATCTTTTTGTCCTTTCTTTCGTTATCGTGACAACTGTCGATGCTACGGATTCGTTCGCGGAGATATCCTTTGATGCATGATCTTTTTTGTCCTTTTTTTGTTTCACTTGAGTGATCTTGTTAGCCTTTGATTTTGCTTCGAGTGATACGTTTGGCATTCTTTATACTCCGTCCCATCATCAACAATGTATTGCATCTAATTATTTTCTCACATCACAGCTATCACGTGGCCATTGTAACCCTATGTACGGAGTATCCGTAGAGAGAGAGGTCCAATCCACAGGGTTTCCTCTGGTTCAATTGGAAATTTCCGAGACAATTGACCGATGAAAATTGAAAATCCAAAAATCCAAAAAGATGGGTTGCTGTTACGAGTCGATTACAATACGTAGACCCACATTCCGGGATTCCAAGGTTTCCGTTTGGCTCTAGTCCCAAAAAGGACGTGCCTATTCTGCTCTTGGATGGGGCTTCCATCTTGTATACTTACAACCTGCTTGGCTATGACTTCCTTTAATAGACGCTATCATTTTACTGAGCTTTACCCAAGGTCTTACAATGCCCTCTTTCCTGTGGTGTGGACCACGACCACGAAAACCCCAAAAACGGAAACAGCTCGAAGGTCAGTTCCCCTTACTTGAATACAGTATGCCAAGCTCTAACGCCTGATCCATGAATAAGAAGCAACTGCGAATCTAGAGCAACTACCGTCGTGGACTGCTCCAGATAACTCACTCGTACTACAGGCTTTTGAATGGCATATCCCAGCTGACCAGCAGCATTGGCGTCGTGTGCAATATGCCTTGCCGGACTATAAGTCTATTGGCGTCGACCTAATCTGGATCCCTCCTGGATGCAAGGGAATGGACCCTCATGGCAATGGCTATGATATCTATGACCTGTACGACCTGGGCGAATTCGACCAAAAGGGTACAGTGCCGACCAAATGGGGTACCAAACAAGAGCTCGAGGAGCTGATCTCTCAAGCCCAAAATTTGGGTATTGGAGTTATCTGGGATGCTGTACTCAATCACAAAGCGGGCGCAGATTATCCTGAGCCCTTCCAGGCGGTCAAGGTCGATCATCAACGTGAGATATATCAACGTCTTTGTTGACTGGCCGTCGATCTGTATTGGTTTGCTGAGTTCGCCTACAGGAAGAGACGTAGAGATATCTAAGCCAGCAGAAATCAACGGGTGGACAGGGTTCCATTTTGCCGGTCGCAACGATAAATACAGTTCGATGAAATACCACTGGCAACATTTCAGCGGCGTCGATTGGGACGACAAGAGCAAGCAAACCGCAATATACAAGATCGTCGCACCCGACAAGGGCTGGGCCCAAGACGTATCTACAGAGAATGGGAACTACGATTATCTGATGTTCGCTGATCTGGACCTTACACATCCAGAGGTCCGTACAGATCTTTTAGAATGGGGAACTTGGATCACCAACACATTGGGTCTCCATGGAATGCGACTCGATGCTGCTAAGCATTTCTCGGCGGAGTTCCAGCACACATTCGTGCATCATGTCCGAAAAACTGCTCGCGAGGACTTCTTCGTGATTGGAGAATACTGGACTGGTCACTTGCCATCTTTGCTGGGTTATCTTGAACAGGTGAAGTACGACCTTGCAGCATATGACGTCCCTCTCCTAGAGAGATTTTCCCGGCTCTCCTATGCGCAGGCACCAGATCTTCGTGAGATTTTCACAGACACACTGGTACAATGTCGGCCGGACCACGCCGTAGTAAGTTGTTCAAGATGACTGGGCGGCAATACTAAGCTAACTTCTCCAGACTCTGGTCGCAAATCATGATACGGCAAGTGCCATCCCTGGCTGGATTTCGACATGCTTATGTTTTTTTTTTTTTTTTTTTTTGCTTGCAACATGGATCTAACGCTCCACAGCAACCAGGACAAATGCTTGAAGTGAGTCGAGTATTTCTCTGTTGACCACCACTGAATACTTCTAAATAACTCCAGACGCCAGTAGCACCATCCTTCAAGTTATTAGCATATGCGCTGATCCTCCTTCGCAAAGAGGGTCGTCCATGCGTCTTCTATGGCGACTTATACGGGATACGAGGAAATGTGGAAAAACAAACGACACCAAGTTGTGATGGCAAGCTGCCTCTCCTGATGCAAGCACGAAAACTCTACGCTTATGGCGAACAACAAGACTACTTCAACCTACCGAATTGCATAGGTTCGCTTGACCCTTAATTGCTCGGATATTATCCCTCATTCCCGGGGACAGGGATTCATTTGGGCAGCACTGACAATAATCCTCCGTACAGGCTTCGTGCGTTACGGGAATGCCCGCCATTTGTCTGGCCTCGCGTGTGTTATCAGTAATGCGGGTGCAGGGGTGCAGCGCATGTATGTTGGTAAACGCCACGCGTACGAAGAGTGGACGGATCTGTTACATCCAGAGATAAAGCGTATTGTTATCGACAAGAAGGGCTACGGGTGTTTCAGTGTCAAGGCAATGAATGTCGGTGTCTGGATCAATTCGGCCACAGCAGACAGTGACAATCTGAAGAGAGACTTGTACGTATAACATGGTCCGCCCCAATCTTCTTTTTCGAACACTGCTTTCCGATGTTTGATTACTGACTTGCTACCCTAGCAATCCGAATATATACGGTGCCTAACCATTGATTGATTTGTGGAAGACAAGAGCCCGACTACTGCAGGTCCACCGGTGTGGAAATCATCCCTGGATGTGTACCATGTGTATCAATTGTGACCACTCTCCAGGGCTTCACCTGATGTCATCCGATCTCGTATTCAATCCCAACCCCAACGCCTCCATGAAACATAAAAATGGAAATAAAAGCCGCGGTCGTGTTGGCTACTGCTGCAAAAAGGGTTTACTCGACCTACGATGTAATATGTCATCAGTTGTATCCGTAGTGCTATGACAACCACAGGTACCGGCAGATTCTCGGTGAGACATCACTGTTTTCCCTTCGAGTGATCCCATTTATAGCTTGCTTAGTGTGCCATTGCAATGTTTCGTAAAGAGATGTCTCAATTCTGAAATTGATCTGTACCTGAGTGGGTCATGCTTGAGACAACATAGCGATGTTCGCACGCCATTCCGGGTTTGAGGCTCACCATAAATCAAAAGCTGACCGATAAGGGAGACGTTTCGAGTGATATATATAGTACTGTGCTCCAATAGAATGCAGGTGATCGGTTGCGGTGGTCTTATCTCCTAGCGATGAATACCTAGTATCTCGGTGTACCCCGTAGACGGAGACGGAGAGTTCAGGGTCCGGTGAAGGCGGAATTTGCAAACTAAAATTACCGGGAGCATGTGGCAGTAAAAGCCGAGACAAGGCAAGTGAAAATTACACGTCCAAAACCCAAATACATACAAGGTTCCAAGTTTGTGTTCCGCCTTTCGCCAAGGCCGCTAGGCACTAGCTGCATGCCAAGCCCATCTAGCGTCTTCTTTATCCGTCCTATCGGCGTGAGTAGATGCACTGAAGACATACATCCACCTCTATGTAGGTACTGTACGGAGTACGTATGTGATGACAACTACCTCTACATGCCTCCCTACATATGAAGGCACATGTAGGTACAAGATAATGCAATATTGGAATCCAATTGGTATTGTATGTTAACTGGGACTTGGTCTCTGAGACTAGCTCGTCATTGAGCCTCAGCTGCTCTCCAACGTGGGACCTCTCAGACTCTGAATCCCCACGGTTCTAGCAAGCTCTAGATATTATTAGCTACCAAAAATCTGAGACTTTCACCCTGCTATTTCCATTTTCAGGCGCTGTATTTTTGGTGTGGTGGATGTTGAAACCATTATGGATGGTTCAGCGCACCCAGGGTTGTGCAATATCAAAGGAAGTGTTTGGACCCCTACTTAACTTCGGCTTTCTCTTGAATCCCATGACTTACTCGTTTTCCATCTCCAACTTCCCTTTTGCACCTTGATTTCTTCCGTGCTCTCGTATCCATTCGTTGCTATTTCACTCTCGCTCGGATTCACCCAAGATGCGTCTCTCGCTTGTTCTCTCTGTCCTGCCTCTGGCTATCTCCGTTGGAGGTTTGTTGATCACCGTATGACCCATGCATGTTTCTGACAGCCCGTCTAGCTCTCAGAGTCACCGAGCCTGCTAAGGATGATGGTATCGATGTGACCGGCTCTCTCACTGTGAAGTGGTCGTCGGTGAAGTATGTCTGCTATATTCCATCGTCATCAAACCAATTCAATCAAGGCTGACCCAACACAGCACTGATCCCAGCACTGTCGACATCTTCCTGGTCAACAACTTCATCTACCCCAACTTTGAACAAAAGATCGCTTCCGACATTGACACCTCCAAGGGCTCCTTCACTGCCACCGATCTCAAGGGTGTTGCTCATGGGTATGACCGCATACTTTGATGGCATGTCCTCTGTCTACCTCTTAGTTCACTAACATGCAATTTGCACTAGACTCGGCTTTCAGATCAACTTGATGTCTACTTCAGCCCAGAACACCGGCATCCTCGCTCAGTCTCAACAATTCGACGTGATCGAGCCTGCCAAGAGCTCTTCCGAGGCCTCTACCACTGGTATTTCTACCCTTGTTTCTTCTACTGTCTCCTCTACCAGCTCTACTGGTACCTCTGTCACTTCTTCCACTTCGACTGGTGCCTCCACCGCCGAGACTAAGGTTATCACTACTGGTACTTTGACCCCTACTATCTCTACCACGAAGATCTCCACTGGGTTTTCTACTTCAGGCCTCCATACCTTCGAAGTTTCCACAAATAGCAGAAACAGCACTGATATTCCTATCACTCAAGCTACCGGGACCACCACGACTACCGAGACTACCGCTAGCATCACCAAGTCCTCTAACCACTCTGGTCTGACTACCAGTGCTTCTTCCGCCACTGAATCTACCCACAGCAGTACTTCTGCCTCTACCTCTGCCTCTCCAATTCACTCCAACGGTGCTGGCATTGCTCTGACTGCTTCTGGTGTCTCTGGTGTGGCTGCTGGTCTTCTAGCCGGTGCTCTGGCTCTGAATCTGTAAGCTACAAACTGGAGACTTGCTGTTGTGCTGGGCTTCACCTATGCCAGCATGAACTTCATGCTGTGAAGATCCATGGTATGGCCTACGGATTGCATACTTCTGACAATGGAAATGGATTGATGGGATTTGCTTTTTTGCAGGTGATTGGTCGGCTTTCAAGATCGTATCTAGGAAGGTAGATGGCAACCAAGCCATTGATGAACAATTATTCTGTCGCTGCTTTTGCTATTTAGTACTTGAGTATGAATCTGCTTGGACATTGCACGTAGTTTTTGTTTTATGTCTTGTTCACTTTGAAACTTCTAGGCGTTGCCTTTGACGTTTGCTAGTTATATTCCCATACACGGCGATTCCCGCCTATTTCACTATCCCATATATACTAGGCGCCTGAAGATCAGAAAACTTATTTGTCTAGGATTGCTATGACCAAATGGAAGATACATCTGCAAATTAGACTAATTTTGACCAATGGCAATGGAGTTGTGCTATATCAACATGAAGACAGTTCTAGATGTCCCAATATCAAAAACCAACGCATTATAGTGAGCCCAGAGGCAGTGATTAATTGTAGACCTCAACCAGACACAATCTCAACATCTCCAGCTTGGACCGGATACAGAAACAAGGAATGCATGCGGCGAGGTCAGGACATCGTAGCATTTACCGCTCTCCTTCTATTCTTGCGCTTCCTTTGATTCTTTTGTTGATTGGTCTTTTTTCCTCGGTAAATCTCCTGCTCCATCTCCTGTCTCTGGCCTTCGCTCGGCACCTCGCCGTTGGCTCCTGTGTTCACCTTTTTCGTAGCGGAAGCACTGGTAGTCTGAGCCTGATCGTGGTCTATATCCCTGGCCTTTCGCTTTTGAGAGGTGGCCATGTCCTTTGCTGCGTTTGTAGGTTTGCAGGTTCCGAATTCGGCCGAAACATCAGTCAGGTTGTCGTTCGACGGCAAACGTACTACAATAGGTGTCTGCTCCTCAGAAGTTTTCGCTTTTGTCTGCTTCGGCCTTTGACCGTTCTTTTTGACTTCCTTTTGGCCCGAAGGATTTTTGATGGGCGCATCGTCTGAAATCAAGCCTGTAGGTGTCTGCATCCTAGGGGTGATCGAGATCTGGTGGTTCCCTTCGATCTCCTTTTGTTGGTTCGCCTCCGAATTCTTCTTGCCCTTGTTCTTGTTTTTGCTCTTCTTGTTTCTCTTCTTCTGCTGCTGTTGAGCTGTCTGCATCTCAAGCGAGTTTTCCATTGTGGGCATTTTCATCTCCTTGGCCTTCCGCTTCCGCGAGGATTTGGTTGTGGCCTCTCCTGTCTCTGCGGGCTTTGTGGTTGATTCATTGTGCAATGTCAAGTCCACTGGAGTCTCCTCCGGAATGTCAGGAGAACACTCCTCCTCATAGTCCACCCCTGGCCCCTCCTCAGGCTCCTCTTGTCCCACTGTTTCTGCACCTAGCATCTCGTTTCCGCCTGAGTCAGGTGCTTCGATTGAGATTGGAGGTTCGTCAACCGGTTTATTGACCGCTTCTCTTGCCTTGTCTGGGGTGTTTGTCCTCTGACTTTTTGTATGTATCTCGACCCAACAACCTCGAACGTATTCCTTTGCCTTCGGTTTCCCCTTGGGCATTTGTCGGGTGGAGGTCTGGATTTGAGACATCGCCTCGTTCTCCTCGTTCTCAGGCCCGCCTTTGCTCAACAGCGTTGCCCTTTTCGTTCCTGTCTTTTTCGTCACTTCCGAGCGTCTCTCGGTAATAACCTTTGTAGGCTGGTCTTCGGCGAGAGAATCTTCTGCACTATGTTAGCTATAGCGCGCGTTGTACGTGGTCAGCCCACATACCCGTTTGTTTGTTGCTCTTCTCCTTTTCATATCGCTCCCTGGCGAGAGTGACCTCTGCGCTATGTCAGCTATAGCACGCGTGATGTATGATCGATCTATTTACCCGCTCGTGCTTTGATCCCGTCCAGCAATAGCTGGAGGTCTCCTTTGGTTTCCGAAGTGCTTAAAATGCAAGCGTCGGGTATTTCGCACACCTGTTTCCAATCAATCTGATCTGAGAGGTCTACCAACCCCTTTCGTGGCGGAACGTAGAGGAATTGTTTCAGCATCGGTTGTATGTATTGTTGACTTCCATCTGGATTTTTGGAGTAATATATGCCATCCCTAAGCAATGTAGCATCTGATATTAGCGGAAATACATAGAAGAGCCTGTAACAGAGGCCCGGGGCAAGAAAATAGGATCAAACTAACGGGTGAACCCAATGCCGGCCATTCTTCTTCTTCTTCTTCTTCTTCTTATCCCCGGGAGAATGATACTCGTGTGTGCAGCACCACCGGCCCTAGAATATAATCAGAACTATACCATGCAATTGGAAATGCTTGTAACAAGATGTCTCACCTTGGGGTCGATATAGTTTGTGATGACTCTATATGTACCAAAGATATCTTCGTGAAGCGGGCCCAACTTCGTTGTTTCGAGGAGCTCCTCACGTCTACCTTTCTATATCGCGATGTTTCAATGATCAGCATGTGCGAACTAATAGTGAGTCCATGTGGCTGGACATTCTTACATTGGAGGCATCTGCATCTGCATCCAGAACCAATATCTGGCAGGCGTACCCCTGCACCTGAACGAACTGGGCCTGCATGATCGCTCTCAATATCCAGCAAGGACAAAGTGAACATGGAGCTTTTCAGAGGGAAGTCAAAAAAAGAAAGAAGAGAAAAAAAAAGGAAATGAGATGGAGTAGAGACTGTGGGACCTTGATCTGCTTGGAACTAGCGTGCACCTATAGAATGGAGCTATTGGGCCTCAATTTAGAATCCAATTTACGCAGGGGCTTTTACTTCAGCTCGCCGGGGCGTTTGCCCGTCGACCTTCCAGTGTATTACGGGCCAGACTTCACTATCAAATCACATCTATTGCACAATGTATTAGGTAGGACTCGCGTTTCGTCCGCATCTCCGGCCTTCCATTTCCGAGCCGATGGGTCAAGGAGGACGCTCACAGTTTGATCGCTGGAGTTTTGCCCAGATCCTCTACTTCGTTTTCGGTTTTTTTCTACGATCCTTGCTGTGAGAATCTGTCTCTGCTAGCTTCTCCCCAGTGCCCTGCTCTTCTGAGTGTCGTTTTTCGGCTTTCTCTTTCTCGCTTCTCTTCCGCTTATTTTCTTCCTGCTTCCTCTGTTCCTGCTTCTTCGGTTCCTGCTTCTTTGTTTTCCTTGTAGTTCCGCTTTTGTTGGGAGGCGGGTTGGGTATGACAGTGTTGCGCCTCGCCGGTCCGATTTCAGTCGTCTCATTTGGGTTTACAACGGGTGCGGGCTGCACCACATTGTTCCCCAAGTCACTGCCGGCATGCTCCACCCTCTTTCCAAGCGTTGGATTCTGGGGTATTGCTTCCAGAAATGACTTCGTGGTTGAAGAGGCGCTTCCAGATATCTCCACCTCAGAGTTCCCCGACGACTTGGCCGTAGATCTGGATACTGTAGTCGGTACAATATCCTCAAGTTGCACATTCTCATCGTCCAATAGCTCCAAGACGGAATTATTGCTGCACTGCAAAGCATCTGGAACTTTGGCTTGTTGATCATCTACTGCTTAACATAAGCTGTGGCTCATGTTGTCGGTGATAGAGTCCGACGTACCTTTGCGCCGCCTCTGCTGCTTCCGCTGCCGCTGCTGTTGCTGCTGCTCTGGCTGCTGTGGCTGCTTCTGCTGCTCTCTCCATTCTTTTCCGATTTAGAGACATTAGCCTTGACGTGTCATTGTGGGGGTCTGAGATGTACCATTCATCCGACGGAGGTCTTCCTCGAGTTCGGCTGCTCAGATGTATGAGTTAGTTGTGTCACAGGGTCCGTGGAGAAGGCAACCTCCCATACCTTGCTCCTTCTCTGCCTCTTTGAGCTGCTTCCAAAACCACGAACCGAGACGGTTAACTCTCCGAAAACAAGGGTCGGGTATGTTAGGCAAAGCCTTCCAATTCATTCCCTCCGAACAATCTTCCAATCCCTGCTCTCCGGGTCCATGGTATTCGGCTTTCTTGTCCTTCAAATGCAGATTTTCTGTGCTTCCATCTGGATTATTCGAGGTGTAAAATCCAAATCTGAGTACAGAGCATCATGATGCCAGATGTCAGAAACAGAAAAGAGCGTACTGAAGCGATGAAGAGATACATATCCCAATGAAGCAGACAGGGAGGAACTGACCTGTCGATGGAATGGTAAGAATCGGCATCGGGGTAATCAGTGTACTGATGGCTGCAGTACCAATCACTCTAGAATGAGATCAGACTCGAGGTTTCCTGGGACATCTTATATAGTAATTTCGCACATCAGAGTTGTAATTGCAGCTCGTGATGCGGTATCCGCCAAATATATCAGCACCATGCTCTCCAGCAAGGAGCTTCTGCTTGACAGTCGACTCATCCTGATGAATCAGTCATGTATGCTTGCAATGCTTGAAACAATTGACTTACTGGCTGAGGCCACAAACGGGTTCTCCTGCCGTTAGAAGGCATCTTGAAATCGACGTGGTGACAGGAGCAAAAGTGGAAAAGGGGGAAGTGGATATTGTAGCCGAAAGTCCCCGTAAGGTCCGATTCTAAATTAAACACACAACCCTGCCCGTGACCTACTTAAAGGACTTGTGTATTTGAATGCATAGCAACTGAGGCTTGCAGACTTCGGTGTCAGCAAAGATGGCCGATAGAGATGGCATATCCAGACGGCGTTAATCAACCATCGAAGATATCTCTACTTTTCTTGAATCACCCATCCCAGGAGGTATTTCATTTCAATTTATTCAGCACATAATCATCACCATACATGCAAAGCAGTGTATAGTTTCCAAGCCCAAACATCAAAAGACCCAACCGATGCTAAATGAACCCCTTGCTTTCTGTCATCCACGTTACCCACTTAATCCAAATGCATTCTCCAGAGTCCATCGCCAAGATAATGACCCTCATCCATAACAACACCCTTGCCTTTGCTCTTAATCTCCTCAGTGCCAACCTTCAGCATGCCGACAAGGCAAATCTCCTCTTTGCCCTCAGCCTTGACACCGACGATCTGCCCGGCCTCAAGCGCATGCTCGGCATCGGGCAAACGTCCTCCCGGGGAGGTAAGACCGGGGGCCATGAGCGTCGCGCCGGAGAGCACGAAGCGGATGGCGCCGCGGTCGATCTGGATTGTCGGGATGGCGGAGGGATAGGCGTGGATGAGGCGGAGGTGAGGCACAGGAGGTCCGTCGATGGGTTGGAAGAAGAAGGGTGTGGATTCTATTGTGTAGAGAGTGACGCGCTCAGGTCTGCAGGTGTGGTCTAGGTTAGCCTGTGGCTTCGGCAATGGAGTGTGTAGCAGATTGGTGACGGAAAGTGCAGATGACGTTGCTGAGGATGGAAAACAGAAGCCGAGGGGAAAATGGAACTTTACAATTTCACGGCTTCCAATGAGGCCTTCTTGGGCATGATATCTTCAATAAATGGCTCAAGACCCGGGTATGTCTCCAGCAGCTTCTGGCGCAGACCGCGCTGCACGGAGGATTTAACCTTAGACCGGTTGCTTGGGGGAATACTACGTAGAGCAGTGGTGTTAGCTTGACATCTTGAAATATGCAAATAGAATCTAAGATCGTATAGGAACTGTCTATGCCTCATATTGGAGGATTGAACAGCTCTAGCGGTCTTTGCGGTTGCGAGCAACGGATGGAGATGCGGACTCCGATTTGACAGACAGGAGGCTCGTATTCGGCTCCTGTACTATCCTTGGGCTTTTCAATCATTGATTGAGAGATTTCACTCACTCTTTCTTAAACATGATGCTTGTTGAGGGTGTGATGCTCCGGGGACAAAGCTCTTGATGCGCAAGTGGGATGCGCGGGGGACGCGGTCACGTGAATAATCGATTCGCCCTGGGTTTTTTTCCCCTTAACAGACTGAAGCAAATCAGAATACAATAGATTCCATGGGCATTATGATCTACAATGTAGAGCGTGAATGTGAAGTATGATTACAGTTTATCCATAAAGCAAAGGGAGATATGGGAGGTATTCGGTATTCTACAATAGAGCAAACATGAAGCAGCAAGATACGTTTGCATCGGACAAGATTCACGTTGGCTCAGAGAACTGTGGGAAATTACGATTTTTTAGAAGTAAAAGGTAAAAGATTCTCGAGGTTCATCAACACTAGTGTATCATTCAGACTATTTGTTTATCACATATGCAACTAGTGCTTAGCAGCACCGGCCTTGATGAGCAGGATATCACCGTCCTCGACGACGTAATCCTTGCCCTTGGTCATGATCTTACCAGCGGCCTTGACACCGGCTTCATCACCAACCTCACGCAGAGTAGCGTAGTTGTATGCGATGGCCTGAATAAAGGTCTTCTCGAAATCGGTGTGAATCACACCAGCCGCAGCAGGAGCCTTGATACCCTTGCGGATAGTCCACTGGCGAACCTCATCCTCACCAGTGGTGAAGAAGCTGGCCAAGCTCAGGGCTGAACGCATGGTGGTGATAATCTTGGGCAGACCGGACTTGGTGCCCAAGGTCTTGCACTCGGCCTCAGCGGCCGCATCATCGTGCATAAGAGTCAGACGCTCCTCGAACTGTGCAGAGACGGGAAGAATGGGGTCACCAGTCGAGTTGGTCTTGATCCACTCAAAGACTTGGGGAAGGTACTTGTTCTTCTGGCGGATGTAATCTCTCTCGCTCAGATTGACAAGGTACACGACGGGCTTGGCAGTGAGCAGGAACAGAGGGTTGATGACTTCGACCTATAACCAAATTGGTTAGCACAAGATGTCTCAAAAAATTGAGTGAGGCAATTGTGTGAAGTGGACTCCAAAGTTCAGCATATAACTTTTTTTCTCAAAATGCCCTCGGATTGTGAGTATCCTTTTAATGAGGGCACTCAACGAGCTGGGTTAATTTCGAGCAAAGCTCTTATTCATCATGATAAGGAGTAGAAGTGGGCGGAAAGGCAGTTGGGATTAGGGGGGAAAGGTTTAGCATACCTCCTTGGGGCTCCAATCACCCTTGCGGATGTCGTTGCCATCCTTCAGGAACTGAAGGATCTTAGCTGTGGTAGCCTCCTCTTCCTTGAGCTTCTTCATCTCAAGGGACTGTCCACCACGGCGAGTCTGCTTGCCGAGGGCTTCGAGAGCCTTCTCGACAAACTCCATATCCTTAATGCGCAGCTCCTCGCTGATGATGTTCAAATCACGACAAGGGTTGACATCACCCTCGACGTGAATAATCTCAGCATCATCGAAGCAGCGGACCACCTGGAAAATGGCATCGACAGCGCGAATGTGGGACAGGAAGGAGTTACCCAAGCCTGCACCAGTAGAGGCACCGCGGGTCAGACCGGCAATATCGTACACGGTCAAGTTAGCAGGAACCTGCGACTTGGGCTTGTAGTGCTGGCAGAGCCAGTCGAACCGCTCATCGGGGACGATAACGCGGGCCTCCTCGGGGTCAATGGTGGCATAGGGGAAGTTGGCCGGGTTACCCAAGGAGGACTTGGTGATGGATTGGAAGAGTGTCGACTTGCCGACATTGGCAAGACCAACCTGAAGTCATCGTTAGGACATCATGGTTGAATGAAGAAGGAAGAAAAAAAGTGGGAGGAAAGGGGGCAAGGGGGGTTTAAATAGTTTTTCTGTGGAATTAAAAAGTGGACTGTGCTGTGTGGAAAAAGAAAAAAAAAGGTGGGGGCTTTGCTCACATACGATACCACTCTTCAGGTTGTTTCCTGGACGGCCCAAATGGACCTTTTCTTGAACTTGCTGCTTCTTGGGAGGCATTTTATTGGATTTTTTCTTCTTGCTGGAGTAGAAGCGACAGAAGAGAGGTGGGAGGTGGGGGGAAGTCGAAAGGCGGAAGCGGGAACAAGGATGGAGCGCGCCAAATGCAGGACCAGCTGCGGATCGATCGACGATACGAAGGAAGAAAAGGGAGGAAGTGGAAGACGTGATGGCGGCTGCCCACAACAACGGCGGGCAAAGTCAACAAGCAAAAAGAGATTAAATGAGGGCGTGTCTAGCTATCGTAAAGCAAGGTTGACGAGGTTCATGCCAGATGTCACCGAATTTTCTGCCTGCAGAGCTTCCACCGCCCACGTGAGAGTCAAGCCCTGAACGACGTCACTGGGGACATGTACGTAATACTATTTGTGAGAGGATTATTAGGGTCCCGGGACTCTACAACAAGAGTGCAGACAATATCTAGGTGATCAGGTGGGAAAAGGTTGCTCCAGATTGAACATGACCTCAAAAAGAACCTATAATACAAGTAAAGCATGAAGGGAAAGATGTAATCTCCATTCCCGCTTCAGCATAGATAATGCAAACCCTTTTGGCTAGCCCAGACCCAATAGATGAACGCCAGCAAAACCCGAAGAAAAGGTATAGATAGCCAGAGACAAGGAGGGAGAAAAAAGAGATCGTTAAAGGTCCATTGCATCGCCATGCTCGGATGTAGTATCCACCATATCCAACAGTTTGGCATAAGGTACTGTCACGCGTTGCAAGTCACGGTGTTTGCCTAGATGAACATTTGTTAGTGAACGATAAAGGAAGAACAGGCACAGTGAGTAAAAAAAACATACCGAGTGCTAAAATCACCTCCTTCAGCAATGTTTCCCGTGGCCAGCCACATAGATCATCAGATCCCTCGCGCCAGTTGCGGCCCTCACGCTCATTGGCCTGCAATTTCAATACTCCCTCGCTGGCATCATCCTCGTCCTCGAAAAGACCGCCAATCAGACCCTTCAAAAGTTCCTCAACCTTCAACTTCAAGCCCTCCGCGCCGATGCGCTTGGCATACATCGACAGATATAACCGGAATTCTTCCTTGGCGCCCAAAGACAGAGCAGCAGCAAGACGGTTCTCGAGATGAGCAATGGATACGCTCGATTCAAATGTCTCATACCCTTCGCGTGACAGTAAGACCTTGATGAGACGCTGGAGGAAATATGCTCTTCCGCGAAGTAAGGTCTCGTTCGTGGTGTTCCGTTCCAACCAAGGGATGATGCCAGCCGCGACAGCAGCCTTGGCATCCTTGTTATCCTGCTGAGCATCCTTGGCCTGCAAGTTGCTCACAGGTGCATCCGTGGTGTTCCAGTACTGACTGCCGACGGCCCACCAGGCTTCGGAGATCCGCTGCCATGTGAACATGGATGGGGAATAAGAATATCCCTCGCCGTTAGATAGCGATACGATGACTCGGCCTTCCGAATTAATGCGGGCATCTGTCACTGCAGGAGCGGCGGTAGGATTCGCGCCGAGCATATGGATTGCAGCGTCCAGGACCGGCTGGAGGGAGACTGGTGGGTGGGGGGAAGACAGGTGCTTCACGTTCCACACATAGCACATGCCCACAGAGGATATGCACAAAATCCACGGACCATTGCACTCCAGAATAACAGGCTGGGCCTCAAGCACAAGCGCACTGACCAGACGACGACCTGCCGGTGTCCAAAAGTAGATTGAGCCATCCTCGCAGCCAGCTGCCCACAGGCTTTGATTGCCAGTTACAAGGAGGACAGTCCGCGGCAGGAAATCCTGCCACAGCGGCTGGTCTCCGCGGAACAACGTCAGACGTACTGGCTCCCGATCCACAGCACGTCCAGTCAGACTTGCTGGTGATGGGTTTCGAGCCTCGAAAACAACATCCACACGACTCTTGGTAGAGTTTGGGTCCGTACCAGGGGTGGGTTGCTCCGTCGGTTTCCCGGTCGAATCTAAAGCGCGAACAATCTGATTGCGGATTTTAGGAACTGCCAGACGGAGCTGGCTTATTGACATGCAAGGATTTGTAACGGCAGGCCGGATGAATCCTGGAGTCGGCTGCTGGCCGGTTGTAGCAGGTTGCACTTGAGCTGGCAGAAGACCGTCAGGGGTGTTAGCCATAATCGGAGTTGCACCGTTTTGGCTGGCAAGTACCACACGTTTCTCTACGCTGGCATCTTCATCTCCCTCAATTTGAGCCAGCTTACGCTTATTTCCAAGAAGAAGAGCAGTCAGGCCTCCCTTAGGAAGACCATCGAAGGGCTTTGACAGGTCAACAATAGTAGTTGGAGCGTCAGCCTTGACCTGGTTGCTAACGGATGCCATCAGACGAGCTTGCGGAAGAGATGACTCGCCAGCTCCCGCCCCAGAGACTAGCAATGGTGCGATACGCTTTTTGCCCTCTTTTGTGTACGTTGGACGTTGCTTCAGTCTTTCCAGCTTGGCTTTATATGGGTCGGGCTTCTCTGATTCTGCAACAGCGGGTGTGGAGGAAGTTCCATTCGTCTGCGTTTTTGATGCCTCAGGAACTGGCGAAGAACCCCGAGCGGGTGTTGCCCCATCCGATGGCTGTGGTGCTTTGTCTCCATTTGCAGTAGGTTCGGCTCCATCTCCCATCAACGCACCCATTCTGCCTTCGACATGCTTGATTTCGCCAGCCTTGCTCTTTTCTTCTAGCTGCAAGCCATCGGTGGTTTCTGTTATACCGGCACCCTTGCGATTCGTGCCGAACTTGGTTAGCGATTTCTCATTCTCCTCCATTTCGGTGGCCCATCCCAGCTCGCCATCTTCAAATCTGACGGCTACAATGGTTCCATCAAGAGCGGTAGCAAAGAGACACTTTCCATCAGGACTCCATGCCAAATCCGAGATAGCCTTGGCAGCCATCTCTTGCGCAACAACCATCGGTCGAGCATTGCTTGTAATCCAGATGCTGAGGGATTTATCTCCACCGGCGCATGCGATAACAGTAATATGGTGTTGTGGTACGGGCTGCCCATCGGCTTGTTTCTTATTGGGAGGCTCCGTTGCGTATAGTCGTGGGGAGAATGCGCAGACCTCAACGGGCGCCTCGTGCCCGATCAGATTGATGTCCCCGTCCCAGGATCCACGATTGATGATAGCCACAGAGCTAACCGGACCGTTCACGGCGTTTGCAGCTGCAATATGCATGCCATCGGGGGACCAAGAGCAGCGACGGAAGTAGGCTGTCAATGGAGAATTGGCAAAGGGGGCTGTGATTGTTTGTTCGAGCACAAAGTTGTTCATCTGATCGTGGGCTGAGGAATTCGGAGCAGGAGAGGTGAATCGAAAGATACGGACAGTCCGGTCATCGCTTGCAGTCGCAAAGTATTTATTTGCTGGATCGAACGTGATACCCTTGACATGACTTTGGTGAATTGCTATTGTCTTCAGCTTTTCAAACGAGTGACCGGACCACACCACGACCTTTGAGTCCAAGCCAACGGAAACCAGTATCGAGGAGTCGAACGACCATCCAAGGTCCTGCACATCATTGTCGTGACCAATCAATCGCCGGATCGTGCGCCAGTTCTCGACGGGAGGTGCTTCGTCGGTGCCTAAATTTGATTCCCATAGCTGTCAGAGTCGGTTTCCTTTTTTTCTCCGTCCTTAGCATGTCCAAAGCGTACCGAATGTTGACGAGTGTGTTGGAGGATTGGCGTCGAGGGTATACACGCAGACAATCTTGTCATCTGCGCCTGACGCAAGGTATTTCCCATTGGGCGAGAATCGAACGGTATGAATCGTGCCGGAGTGGTTGCTCATGGAGGCCAATTGCTTTGGCTTGCCCGCAAGTTCGGCGGTTCCGGTGCCGTAAATTGCTTCCGTTGACCAGATTCGCACGTATCCATCTAAAGCGCAGCAAGACTCAGGATGTCAGCGATTGTGCTCTTGGCAGCGTGTGGCCCCTTATGTCCCTTAAGCCTTCCAACTCAACGCCATCCCCTAAGAAAAAAAAAGGATCAAGCTCACCTCCGGCAGCTGTGACTAGTCGCTTCCCATCTGGCGAGACATCGCAGCTATAAACCTCGAAGTCTTTGCGTTCACCTGTATGAGAGCAGTGCTATTAGCAAAAATGGCCTTTCCATCGAATGGGTCGACTCCGCGCTCGCAGCGAGCTTGTCTCCGTCAAGAAACCTAGGAGGGTCCAGCTCCGTACCTCCATGGGTAAGCCAGACCGGCTTGATAATATGCATCGCGCGAGTCCCGGAGCAGAAATCAGGAATGTCCTCTTATTTCCCAGTGGTCTCGATAGTTGCGTCTCGAGATCGGATCGTGCGACACGTATCAGCATCAAATTGCGCAGGCGTGGGTAAGGAGGGGCGCCGGCGTGTTGGGTGCTGGTCTGCGGGTTATATGCTTATAGCGTGTGACATGGCAGGTCCAGAGGCCGAAATAGATAAGTTCCTAGATGATGAGATATGTTTCTCTTTGGCTAAAAAAAAAAGACCGGAAAAAACCCAGAGACCCGATGAGAGGGATAAGAGGCGGAGATTAAAAGGACGCGATCCGAAAGTCGCGATCTCCAGATTGGCCTGGTCCGAGCTCCCGCGTTGATAGATCTTTAAACTCCAGGGCGACGGCCGTATACATAGTCGTTTCTCGGGGGTCAACCTGCCCCTTTGTATGCTGTTTGGCTTTGTGTGATGCACAATCTCATTCGTCTTCGTTTGCATCGAACCGTGTTACGATATAGATGGCTTATACCGGTTGGAAATAACATACGAAGCGTCCACCCTGAAGCACGCATATATTCTGCTTCCCTCAGGATCACAGACAAGGTTGAGGTCCATTCACATGAAGTAGCTTCTGCTAATCTAAGAGTCGTTGAAACACTTGAGGTCCTCGGGTTAGAGCACCTTGGCACCTGATGCACCGGCCAGTCGCTCTCAGGCCAGATTCAAGCCGCAAAGTTGTGATAGACAACGTCAACATCCTTGAAACTGGAAGGACAATCAAAGGACTGGTTAAAAAAGGGCTTATGTGGTAATTTGATGTCTCAAATTTCTATCAAGCTCAGGGAGAGCAGATCCTGCGACATACACAGGTTCTGCTGAGCATATACGATGTCAGAACTCATGCTTTGGAGGCGCTGATTTGTCCCTCGCTGATCAGGATTCTATTTACATTCATCGGATACATCCCTCTCACAAGACCCTTTCTTGATATCCTTGGCTTGGGAAAATGAGATTACAGTGGTGCAGCTCGGGCGTTCAGAGAAAAAAGCACTCAAGATAATCGACATCCCCAGAGGGGAAATACGAAGATAGGGTTGGGGAAAGTCTACAAGCTTAGTATGTCCAATTGGGTGATAGTCGAGCTATGAGTGATTTCCACATCAATCACTTTATGGGGTTTTGATGTAACCAGGTGAGAACGGTCCAGTTGATTCTACGATTAAATGCTCAAGTATGTGGCGGACGCAGCGGTGCAGAAGCTTGTATGACACCCAACGATGCGATTTAGTGTCATATCTCGAGGGGTAGACGGTAGGGGAGTGCAGGGGTCAGGGGTCAGGTTAAAAAGCAGAAGTTATCCTTATCCAGGCCATATGCCATGGGGTCTCATAGCAGAGAATAATCCTCCAAACTGTGTTTCAGACTTCTGTACGGAGGACGGAGTACCCCGTACAAAGACGATTCTATAATTACAGCCCCCAAAAGGCAGGAAGCGAGTCCTGGAAGTCACCTTGTGCGCACGAGGGATAAGCCAGCGACGCTAATGCAAGGCTCCTAGTGCAAGGCTCCTAATGCAGGGGCCAAACACAGGTTCACTTGGACTATCATTGCAAACCGGTTCCCTTGATGACGACGGCTCTAAAAGTACTACGACGTCCACTGTGTTTTTATCGACATGTAAGTTGGCCCCATGGACGGCTTACATCTAAAATGTTCATCCAGATAATACAATTGATTATTTGCAACTATCTTGAACAAATATACCCTCTGAAATCCCGTTTGATGGACCAAAAAGCCCACTAACCTCAACATAGATGCCCCAGGGTTGCCTGGCGCGTCGAAGTCATTCAACAAGCGAATTCACTACAGGCAATGTCCAACTCATACGAACGACTACTCCCGACTATTCAAGGCCATGGTCATGTCATCGTAGATTGCATCCAACTGAATAGCAACGTTATCTCTGATATCGAAAGACATATCACTGCTCGGTTGGAGACTGACCAGCAGCCGGCGCAGAGGAGGCAGAATCTGGGTTTGACAGAATTCTTGGAATTCTCCATTGAAATAGCCCTTGGGTCTAATCAAGACACTTATACACCTCGGTGACATTTTGTTCATCCTAGCGGCAAGTTGCCTAATAATCTCCAGCTCAACAATGAGATCACAAACGGTGTGATAGCTATTTGCACGGCTACCTTCCGGAGCATAAAGTAAACGAACCTCTTTTCGCACAGCTTGCTGAAAGAGTCTACATTCCTGCTGGAAATACTGCTCATGATTCAGGTCGCGAGGCTTGTCGAGAGACAGAGACATTTTTGGCGGGGAGACCTTGGTGGCGTTGTGCCAGATTTGGTACTCGGACGACATTTTGACGGATATATTGCGGATATATTGAAGTGTTATCGGGGCGGAGAGGAGCACTTTGGGCCTTTTGGTATGGAAGGAAATATGTGGAAGTGAATAGATGAATGTTCTAATGGGAGATGTGTGGTAACGCTCGAGGTGGTGGGAAATCCCGATCTATTTATCGCATTCGAGCTGGCGTTGACTTCTTCGGACAAAGATCGTTCTCAACAAAACGCCAGTGATACCTTTGACTCACAAGAGATATTGATTCTTTGTTGAACTCTACGGTCTTGTCTGTATCATGTCAGACTGGGTCTTTGTTCTCTTTCAGTCCATTGTCGTCTTTGTCGGTCATCTGGTCTCCTTTGTACCCTACCTCTATACCAGTACAACTAAATCCTCAACATTGTCAAATCCTATTTTAGACATGCTCTTTCTATCATCCTATTGCAACCTCAAGCTGATCATTCGAGCAGTAATCCACAAGACCATATCGACATATTGTAGGTGTATTCACTTGATCCCCTTACTGACTGGATCTATCAACAGGCGAGAGACTGAACTATCACCATGGCGCCTTCAGAAAAAGCCTGGATTCACCCCATTCCTCCGTTGGGGGTTCCAGCCGCCACTCCCGATGTTCCTCCAGCGAGTTCCACTCCAGCACGGCGGTATGGCGATTTGCAGGATGAGGGAGCCGTGCGACAGCAATGGATCGAAGATCCTACTGACAACACCTGCCACATCAGGCCCACCGGTTTGACCGTGCAGGACCTCCAAGACACCAATTGGTACATCCAAACCCACAAGAAGAGTATACCATTCACCGTTGCGGACGATGCCGTTGCTTTGGGATATTCCGACCAACAGATCTACCCCCAGACATTGGCACGGAAGACTGGACAGGGCGCAGTTGGAAGGCCAGGCAAGGAGAACATCTACGATGTGCTAGTTGGAAAAGGGGTGATTATTGCCGAGGCGATGTTCAGAAGAGATGGGCCACAGTTCTCCGAGATTGCTAAAGCTTTTCTCCAGGAAGTTGCGGAGCCGCAGAGTCTGCGACACTTCTATGTCTGCGATATCATCAATTACAAGACCCGAAGATTTGTGCACAGAACGCTCTATTCCTCGCGGAACAACCTTGAGTGGCCGTCGCGCTGTGGATCTCCTCTGATTTGGCAGTACAACACCCCTGAGTATCAGGGCATTTTGGGTACACCGATTGGCAAGTCTGCGGCGTATCTTGTTTTGGAGATATTCCCCCGTGGAACGCATTATATTGCGAGGATTGTGACTTGGAATTGCGCCTGCTTGCTTCAAATGAGATTTGATATTGAGCCGATACCTACGCCGCTGGTTGCTGTTTGAGTTGTTTTGATTCCAGGTCCGTCTTTGTGCTCTTGGTATTAGTTCAGACTAACTACCTAGAGCTTTTTCGCCTTTCTCTGACCTAGTTTTTCAACCTATTTATCTCTTACTGTTGCCTATTTCCACTGAACTCTAGCGTGGTGTAGTGATTCTGAACTTTTTGACTAACATAGATGGCCTCTTGAAGAAAAGGTGGGAAAGACGTAGCAGATATCAATACGGAACAGCTCCCTCATATGAAGCTCAGAGTCCATGTCGCTCTCGCTTCTCTCTCAAAACGATCATATTCAATTGTCTCACGACTTACCTACAACTGCCAAGGGAAATGAGAAGCTACTGATACACTTGTACATTGATATAATTTCCTTGCTTGCCGGCTTTCTGATCAACAACGGTGCTGTTATGTACGCAGGTAGAATTCCAAATTGGCAAATTCGATACCACATGCATAGAAAAGCATGTGTTTTGGGAACTCCTTGGGCAATGCCAAAGAACAGTGGAAGCCTAGAAGGCGGTAGAAGTGGAATAAGGAAAGAAGTAAATGGAAGGAGGGATGGGTGTAAGATGGTACACGATGGGGGGAGGGGGGACATGAAAGAGTCGAGTAGGATACAGCAAGCCCAAACGCCATTGAGACTGAGGCTGACTGCTTGGAGATGCTAGAACAGAAAAACAAATGGCGCGAAGGGAATTAAAGGCACATCAAGAGTGGAGTCGTCGTTCTCGTTTCGATTGGGTGAGGTAGAGACGCTTATTGCTTCTGTTCGTTGCCGGCAATCTCAAACCCTTCCATCGCGGTGTTCGATGCGACATTCGGCTGTGTCTTCTGCTCAGCCTGTCCCACAAAATAAGTCGGAGCCTGGCTCTGCGGCGATACCTCGTTGTGTTGGGGGGTCTCTGATGATCGAGAGGCACCCTCAACCCCAAGAGCCTTCTTCGCCAAACCCCGGGCTTGTGTCTCGCTGACCTTGCCGTAGACAGCCATAGCGTTCGCGATCATACCACCCATATCACCGACGTTACCCGGAACAACAACAGCTGTGCCCTCGCGAGCTAGGTTCGACCAAGCCGCGACATATTTCTCAGCAACACTGAGACTGACAGCGTTGTGTGCATTCTCGCCACCCTCCTCAATGGCCCGGGAAACAGCATCGATGCCGCGAGCGGTAGCCTCCGCCTTAAGCAAGATAGCATCGGCTTCACCAGAAGCGTGGTTGACCTTTTCAGCGCGCAGGGCCTCGGAAGCTAGAATAACGGACTGCTTGCGACCTTCGGCGATGTTGATCGCACTCTGGCGCTGTCCCTCAGACTCGAGGATCTCAGCCCGCTTGGAGCGCTCCGCAGTCACCTGGCGGTGCATAGCAGCAACGACCTTCTCCGGTGCATGAATATCCCTAATCTCATAACGAAGACAGACGACACCCCATTCCTGAGCCGCCTCGTTGATTGCCTTGGTGATGTTGGTGTTGAGGTTGGCACGTTCCTTGAGAACGTGGTCGAGGGTCAACTGACCGATCTCCGAACGCATAGTCGTCTGCGCGAGTTGCGAAATTGCATATTCTGCGTCTTCGACTCCATAGCTATAATTGACATGGTGTTAGCAATTGCTTGATTGAATGAGCGTCAGCTCTACATGAGGAGAGCCAAGTTCTGCCAGAGAATCACTCACCTTGCCTTATATGCATCAAAAACCCGTGTATACAGCACGCCGTCTAGCTCGAGGGTGACATTGTCTGCCGTGATGGCATTCTGACTGGGGATCTCAATGGCCGCCTCCTTCAAGCTCTTCACGTAAGCGATGCGGTCCAAGAACGGCACGAGAATCGCCAGACCAGGTTCTAGAATCCGGTCAAACTTTCCCATGCGCTCGACAATCCATGCTGTCTGCTGTGGTACGAATCGCACTACGGTGTTCGCGGGGAGGGATTGTCGGTTGGAAAAATAAGTGGTTGGGCCCTCGTTGTATGAGCCGCCAGATTTGAAGCCATTGAAAATAGAATCTGGAGCTAGAGCTCGACGGGAATTTGACAGGGCGCGTCGTTGGATCTGGATGAAGGGTGTGGCGCTCACTGCGGAGTTTCGTGGAAGACGTTGGGGAAGGAGCTTCTGGCCACGAGGCCGGAGTAGCCTTGACGTTTGGTGGGATACACCCCCCATCTTGATGAAAGGATAGATTGTTGGATTGAACAAAGGAGAAGAAGCGCAGTGGACTGGAAGAGAAGAGGCAAGCTAGAGAGGGGGGAGCTGTCGGCATCGGTTCGGGATTGATCTTATGCCCCCGTGTCGTTGTAAGGTCTGGCTGCCTGAGGCAGAAACTGTCTACTTCCGAGGTCAATCTTTCAGACCCTCAGTACATTATGTAGCCAACTATGAAGAATTGATTGTTTTTGGTTCCATGTACCAGCATAAGTCTGCCTAGATACCTGGTCTACAGTTGAGAATCCCCAACAGAGTGCAGTGCACGTCATAAAGAGTCCATAGGCTCATAGTATGCATATCAATCATATTACTCCACAAAGACCTGAAACCTCGTTTTATGCAAAGAAGAAAATACACGGAACACAGTCTGCAGGGCACCTAGTTAAAAAGCATAAAGCATTGAAATGGACCAAGGCACTTCAGAAGGAGATCAAACCCAGGGGCAACTGGACCAAGGGGTGGTCACTCAGTTAAGGCGTTGTAAATATGCTGGATTTGTTTTCTCCGATTAGAACCACGAGAGTGACTGAGAACACATAGAGAGGACATCAGACCAGACTTTCAAGATATTTGCTTTTCTTAAGGTCATTGCCCAGCTGGTACTTGCTAAGATCCAGGACCGATGCAAGGCCTGAGTCGTAAATTGACTGGATCAATAAAGAAAAATCATGACCTCGGAAGGAAAACGGGAAAAGAAAGGCGAATCTCTATATCAAAGGTGGAAAACGTTTTTTTTTTGGGCCCCAGCACACCGTAGCGGTAGGCATCGAAAAAGAGAGATACTGCCAGTAAAGTCATGACCGGACGCCAGAACGTTTTGAAACCCTCCCATGACTGAAAAGCAATGGAAATTAAACAAAGAAGGAGATGGGGAGAAACTCCGGAGCTGCAAGTGAACCAAAAAAAAGTCAGACCGTAATATTGCAATGAAAGGGTCACTTGGAACTCTAGAAGAAAAGTTGGCGGATATGCATGCGAGAAAGGGAGAAAAAAGTCTTTTGAACAGAAAAGAATGCTGGTCCTGGATGAATGAACAAGCAGAAGGAAATGTGTCGCGAAGAAGCAAAATTCAAACAGAAATGCAAAAGGGCTCATGATAACTTTTCTCCAGGCGTGCCGTGCTGGGTATTGAAATATTTGCTGGCTTTTCGCTGATTGTATGATTTCATCTGTCCACTGGCAATAGTTCCACGGATCATATTCAAGACAAGAGTATGATGGTGCGAGCTTTCCTCTTGTGAAAGATGGTACATGTCACACATCACCGAGTCAGGAACAGAGCAACGGTGCAGCAGACAGTTCCGATAAAATTGCATGAGCTCGTTGAAACCTTTGTCAACGTGTCGTGTAAGAAGATCATCAAGGGCTGAGCGCCTAAATTCATTGTACAAGTGCGAGTCGAAATGGGTTTTCAAGCTGTTGGTCAAGCTCAATGACCAGAAGTGGTAGGGCATAGACGGGCTATACCTTCTGGCCATCGATTGACCTCGGCCTTTGAAATTTTGATTGTGAAACATATTGGAAGTTTTTGGGACATGATTGGACGTTTCTTGGAACGAACGGGCCTTTCCCTTTGACTTGGGCGGTTGATGTGCTTTGGCGAGATACTGACTCATCAACCAATCAGCACCGCCAGGTTGGTATGGGAAATATTCTGCATCATAACTATTCACGAAAAGTCAGTCAATGGTTCATATAAAACAAGGAGCATGTGGAAAGATCAGCTTACCTCATCGGGGGCGCCACAGATTCCAAATCAGACAGGAAAGGGGGCTCGGACTGCGAATCTAATCCGCACGCTGAATAAGATGTGTCAATAATTGAACTGTCCATGGGAAAGGAGGAAGACGATGAAAAAAAGGACATTGTCGAGTCATCAGGGGAGTTTGGGTGATCCAGGGGGTATCCTACATTGGCAATTTCGTTCACTGCGGTGGGCATTGAGGGCATGAATTCTGGGGCGGTAGACGAAAGCGAAGTCTTGGGGCCATCGGCAACTCCATTGGGAACGAACTGGCGAGCGGATCCGTTGATGGCGGTCTCGGTGTGGCTAGTAATCGGTGTGTTTTCGTCGGTCTTTCCAGCAGGGACAGTGCCGTCATACTGCGCGGCGGGTTCACGCTGGTCCACGGGGAGGACCCATTGTTGCCACTTTTCTCTGGGACGCAGACGGTCGATGCCGTCCTCACCGGTTTGGCACTCAACGTTGCGAAGCTGACGGGACACGTGGCGAAGGAGTTCAAAGTCCTCGGTGAGAGACTTCACACGCTTGAAGCTGGCAAGCACGTTAAGAGGCACGAAGCCCTGAGAATCCATCTGTTTCCGGAGGAACATATCCTTGCACATGTTGTCGACCGAGAAGTAGTACTCCAATTGCATGGACAGCATGCTCATGAGCGAGAAGGGCTCCATGTATTGTTGGTAGGGCATAGCACTCATCGGTGCCGGGTTCACAGCCTGGTAGCCATACATTGTGTTGATGTCACCTGGGAAAGCATAAACACCACCATACACATTTCCAGAGGTGGGCAAAGAGGGCGATCGGAGGGGCATACGGTTTTGTTGAGAGCCATTGGCAAGACCATGCTGCTGTGACCGCTGACGATCGTTGAAGAAGGCCTTGGAGGAACCGAATGAGTTGTTGGACATAGACGCATTGAACTGGGCGTTCTGGCCGCCGAAGTTGGAGTAAGGGCCGCCACGGCCGCGGTTGGATCCGCGACCTCCACGCTCAGAGCGGAATTCACCGCGTTCCCGGTTGAGGTCATTGAAGCCAGTGGGATCAGCAGACTTCGATCCAGCTTCGAAGCGACGGTCGTTGTTACGGGCCGCAGCCTGAGAGTCAACAGCCAAGCTTCCGCCCTTCTGGTTGCCTGCGCGAGCATCCTGGTTTCTTCCGAAAGGCTTTCCCTCGCGTTGTGAGCGGGGAACGTTCTCTCCGCCATTCACCTGCTTGCCAGACGTGTTGTCCTCGCCATTGCGAGCTGCGCGGCTTCGCTCGGGTGCCTGGGAAGTCTTACGTGCATCAGTTGCAGCAGCAGCGTCGGTGCTGTTAGACCGTCTCGACTGCGCAGGAAGGGAGGCAGCACGTCCGGTGCCTGACTCCTGGCGTCCTCGCTCTCCGGATGTCTGCTTCACGCCTTGAGCGGCCTGTCCAGAGGCAGCCTTGTCGGTGGCAGCGGCACCATTACCATGAGCTCCACGGCCACTGTCACGGCCACCACGGGTGGCGCGTCTGCCTCCACGCGCGCCGGCGGATGGAAGCGGGGTGTTGAAAACGGCGGTGGGAACGTAAGGAACGGGGGTCCACTTCTCCTTTCCGTGGGGTCTGATGACGGGGCTCTTGTCGGTCTTCTCGTGGGCTTTTTTCTTCTCTTCGCCGAGTGCAACTTGGGGAGTAGGCCAGGCGGTGGCATCCTCTACTGAAGGGACTAATCCTAGGAGTTAGCTTCTGAAAGTCAAAGTCGCAAATATGCACCATCACGCATGTCCAACCGAACAAAGTCGGATGGCATGGTTGACAGGCGTCGCACGTGAAAGGCAGCGATCTTACCGGCATCACGTCCCTTTCCACCTTCGGTCTTCTTGCGATCCTTGGCACCTTCTTGTGTGCTATCGCCACCCTTCTTCTTGGAGCCGGTCTTTGAGTCTTGGGCTTCATCGGCAGTCGAGGCGTCCTTGTCGGAGGCGGCCTTGTTGGTAGAGGGCTTGGGGGCAGCCTTAGCCTTGGCGTCCTGGGCCTCCCTTCTCTGTTGCCAGATGTTGACTGAGGGAAGAGGAGCAGCCTTCAGCTCCTTTGGCGGTGGTGCGGTCTTCTCGGAATCCTCGGATTTTTCGGTTAATTTCTCTGCGGCACCTTCGGCCTTCTCGGTCTGTCCCTCCTTAGGAGCCTGTTTCTCGGCGGTGGCATCTGCATTGCCATTAGGGGTATTTGAGTCATCCTCCTTTGACTTGCGGGCCTTTGAAGCTGTGCGAACACTGGGGCTTGATGTTCGAGAGTGGATAGCCTTCGACTTGGCGGCATGCTTGCTGGTGACAGTGGTGAAGTCATCATCCTTGGACTCCTCCGCGACGAGCTCGGGTTTTTGAGAGGCCTCAGGCTCGGTAGGGGCTGGTGTGACATCCGTTGTAGTCTCAGCAGGAGTCTGCTCCTCCAGTTTGGACTCGGTCTTCTCTGATTCTGATGGTGCCTTGGACGGGCTCGGTGTCCCGGAGACGCCCTTGGCGGCTTGTGCGTACGAAAACGTAGACATATCGGATTGAGAGCGTAGCTCTGCTTGAGTGATTTGAGTTAAAAAAAAAAGAGTCTGGTGACTCTGGATATCTGAGTCTGCACCTGCTAGGAGCGAGATGGTTCCTGCGCGAATGGGGATCAAGAGAGGGAAATTTTCCACCTTCTTGTAACCCGCTAAATCTGAAACTCTCCGTCTTTCAGAAGAGACCTTCCGTTGTGTGTTGAAACGGGTGGTTTCGTGCGTAAGTGAGACGAAGGACCACGGGGGTATTTGGGTCGCAAAGGTGCAATCGAAGGAGTTGAAGCTGCTGAGAGGGATCGTCTAGACCACAAATCGCATTGATGAATGGGCTGTCAATTTCTCGGGGTAGAGGGGCGATCTCAGCAAGCGTTTGCGAGCACACCGGTCAAGGGAACAAAGATGAAGGTGAGAAGGGTTTTCCAGGCTACAAAGGCACTGCCCTGTAGACGTCGCGATGGAGGATCGAAGTCAAAGGGCGCGAGTCGGATTCACAGGAAGTCTGTGTAATTCGAGATAGGCACAAGGGTGCAAGAAGTGTCCCTTGAATAGGAAAAAAAAAAGACGCGATTGATGGGAATTCTCTCTGCGGAGAGGTGCACCGCAGGAAATATCAAAAGGAAGTCGCGGAAGAAGGGAAACAGCCCGATGAGGAAAGATTGTAAGAGAGAAGAGAGAGAGAAGACACAAAATTATTTGGTTCAGGGCAGAACTGGTAGCGGGGTTTTTTCTTTACACGTAATTAATGGGTTTTTTGTAACTGCTTTTTTTTCCTTTTTTTCCCTATTTTTCCCTTTTCTTTTTGTGGAATTTCGCATAAATGGATTTGGGCTTCTTCTCTTTGGTCGTTTTTTTTTTCCTTTGGACCTCGATCATCTCCAGCAGTTTCCTCCTTTCGCGTTCTAGATATACCTAGGGAGGGACCTAGGTACATCTCGAGTAAAATTCCATCCTGGATCTGTACTAGTCAATTGAGCCATACCTTTCCCATGGTACTTACGGAGTCCATGTACGCCAATTGATACAACGTTGTACTTACTGTACCCGAGAGGACCGGATCCCTGAGATTATGAATGAGGATATGTCCCCTTTCAAGGTATATAACTGCGTTGCCGAGGTCAACCATCTTGGCATGTACTTAATGGGCAGTACAATGTCCTTGATCCCTATGTCTCCTCGAACCAACGTGATTGAGCCTCAGCATTCTTTAAAAGTCACTGGCCCAATAACGATCACAGCTCAGGCGACCAGGGACGAAAATAGCTATCAGCGTGGCGATACTTCAGGGTTCTGAGATCTCAAGCAACCATGTCCAGCCAATTGGATAACACTATGGCTGGACTGTTCTGGACTTGCCTCCACAGACCGTTCCCTTTCATAAAGCTTCGATATCCAGTGACAATGATGGCATACGACACTAAACAACATACACCACCACGCCCGCCATACCTACCATACCTACCAGACTACGTAATCGGCTCATCCACTCGGGAGAAAAATACATCTGAATATAGCGGGGTCCACCGGAGACCGGCCATTGGCGCACAATAAAACATCTGACGTGGGAGAGTCGAGTTTTTCTCTGCATGACAACCAGTCTGCCATAACATCAAGAACCATCACATCGAGGACAGAGAAGGAGACGTATTATCGTCACCAAATTGGAGTAGTCAGCTCTCTCCTCCGTACTCCGTACTTACCGTCCAATCCCCGGTCATGTATGTAATCTTTCTTCATCCCGTTGGGCCGTTGATTGTTCGGATATACGAGCCGGTGATGAAATCCTCGGAGTAAAGGTAATACATATGATTACACATGAAACTCGATGAGGTATTAGGAGATTACCCCTGCGCGAGAGAGAGAAAATTAGAAAATTACCTAGGTACCCAGGACTGTCATGTTGATCACTGTGCGACGAAAGAATGTGATTATCGTATACTTCCCACACGTGAACAAGATCATTGCTACACACTGTCCCTCTCGTTATTCATCATCCTAGACCAACATATCCAATGGGCTGAACCGTTTGAATTCGAATCCTTCTCTACTACCCTCATCTAGCTAGGTAATTAATCTGTTGTGCTTTCGGCAGTGATTAGGGCTGAGGGCACGCGGAAACCATCGGAATGGGAGAGTGGGTATGTAATCACCATACGCTGTACGTTACCCTGGTCACACAGATACCGATGGCTGCCTCAGGTGTTCGGGATCTATACATTCCACATATCATTAGACCTGTGGAGGATGCCCAGGAACATATATATAGACTGTGAGCTATGCCTATATCAAAGAGGGATATCATTCGGGGAACTAAGAACAACGTCCATTACTCATTTTCAAGACTGAACACACTATAGCAACATGATCTACCAATGCCGAACACCAACCAACACCTGTTCACGCGGATCAAGTTCCATCGAGCCCAGCGGACCCGTCACTAAGCCTAGACGCATGAGAACCTGCCAAACGAGCTTGCGCTTGAGATTTTCGCGCACACAGATCTTCTCAAGAGCATCGTAGCCATTGAAATACTTAAGGAAGACAGGCCAATACTTTTTGTGCAGGGTCTGGACATCATGAGGCGTGATATCCGGGCTGGCAGTTGCGTCGCTCCGGTCGCTTCTGGGATTGTCGGGGAATCGGGAGACGATCTCGTCAAGCCAGCGGGACTCAAGTGGGGATGCACGGTGTGGGGAGAGGATGAAAGAGGACAACCGGAGAGCGGTTGATTGATCGAGCAGTTTATGGGAAGAGCGCAGCTGGGCGTGTGGGTCGAGTCGACCAGGCATGGGCGTTTCATCTCCACTACCGTGGCTTTCGAGGGAAGATGACGAGGAGGAGTGCGTATCGTCATCCTCATCGTCCGAGTCGGTATCTTCCTCAACCGGTATACAATTTGAAATGCCCTTGGCCAGATACCGGTCAACTTCCTCCTTGCGCAAGGCAAGTTCCACGGCCATCTTGATCTCAGGTGAGACTTTGATGCGCGCGAAGGTACGAAGCTGGGTAACCCAACCACCGCGCAAGAGCCAAGCCAGAATAGTGAAATATATCTCCTTGTGATCCTTGCTCGGGATAAAATTGCTGTAAGGGCGAGGGGTGCCACTGAGGGTGGAGAGCATCTTTGGCAAACTGGGATACGTTGGGAATGCCGTCTGGTAAGCGATCGTGGCGATTTCCAGCTTGCTCAAGTCACAGTTCGGGGAGACAATGTATGTATCTCGCTGGTGAATTGGCGGGATAGCACGAGCACGACGCCAGTATACGAGATGACTCGAGAGCATCTGAATATGTGATAGCGGGATTCCTGATGATACTGATATCTGCGCAAATGATTTGGTTGGCTTGGAGCATCGGATATAATGCGCAAGAGCGGGAGCAAGCGCTCCACCAGATGCCTCGACGTCCTTGATAATGGCAGCTTCGCTGTCCAACAAGAGTAGAGCAAAGTGCTTTGCAAGAACCTGGTGCGGGATATTATTTTCATCAATACCAGGGTCATCAACTGGGGTTGCGCTATCCGATGTCGTGAGCCACAGCCCTGGATATGCTTTATCCATGGGACCAGTAAGATATGGTGTGGAGGTCAGTGGTGGGATCTGGAGCGAGATGGAAACATCCGGGCTGAGCGAAACGGATGCGATCTTAGACGCTGATATGCTAGTATAGACTGTATAGATAGCCCGCGCTAGAGACGATTGAGATATTAATTCGGAGTAAAGGTTATGGGTCGATGTTTCTGCCCAGTCCAATGGTTAGCTCCAGCAGAATGACTATTAGCAGGGAACATACTAGTCTCTCGGGCTCTTCTCCTGACCTGTAGGATGTGTTGAGATTCCTTCCACACATAGTCGTTCCGAGCCTGTTCCCATTTGAGGGCCTTGGCAAACTTCTTGATGATGTTTTCATATATTTCCTTCACGCGCATAGAGTATTCCAGCAAAGGAGGATCCACAACAAATACCACATTGAACATCGTCATATGATCTTTGTCCTCTGGGTCTAACAGGCCATCTGGCTTCCCAGGTTTTCCACTAGTCGAGCCTCGTTTGCTGTCTGTTGGCGATGTCAGTGATTCTGCAATGGAAGCGACACTGGCACCCAGATCAGGCGAAGTAACAAATCGCTCGTCCTTCTGGTCTTTCTGACCCTCTTCAGCGCTCTCGTTGTGACCCAACTCCCCACCATCCCATTCAGCCCGGGGCTTTTTTTTCTTCTTGCGTCGTTGTTTGCGCCAAGATCCATCTTCACGCACAAAAACCGGCCATCCAATAAGCGCCAGATCATTAATCCCAACCTCGAAGCGCCTCTTATGCCAGGATCGAGACGGACTGAGAAGCTTCTCCCACACACTGCCGGGCAACCCCAGAAGTGATTCCCAGGGCGGTCTAGAACTTGCTGGGCCGTCATCGGGTCGATCAGAGGCCATCCCCGCATCGTCCTCGGGATCCAGCTCGGAGCCTGCACCGCGTTTCCGGACTGATGAGCCACGGCCAGAGCCCAGTGACCCAGGTCGCTGGGCCTCACCGGTAGCAGGAGACCCAGCAGTGGGGAAATGATCGTCGAGGCCAAAATTGCTCGCGCGGCGGCCCGTCAACACGGAGCTGCCACCAGCATGGCTCTGGGTTTCTCTTTCCTCCTCGTCTTCATCTGAACTTGAGCTGCTTTCATCACTCGAGCTCGAGTCGGTATTCTTTGATCCCTGTCGCGTGCGTGTGCGCGAGAGGCGCCGGCCGCTCTTGGTGGTGGTTTTGATACGGTTCTCACTAAGAGGATTCGGAGGATAGTGGAAGACGAGACGTGGACCGGTGCGCGAGCGCACAATGAGAATAATTGCCACGAGACACGGGTCTGGTGGTCGGGCGATCGATGACATTTGGCGTCTTGGGGTTGCGTGGGGTTGGAGATCGTGGGAGTGGCTGGGCGGAAGCGGTTTCCATGCGGGGAACCACATGGGGCGAGAACCAACGGTCATCGGCGTTTAGACTCGGGAAGTTCTGAGAATACTAAATTGAAATATTTACGCCGATACCTTTGTTTATCTGGTAGGATTGACTTATTTCATGTGTCCAATGTATATGTAAATATCAAATACATTATGTTATGTGCAACGCCTTGAATAATGCCAGCACTACCCGATTCTCACGAACTAGTGCCACTCTTTCATATCGTACAATATCGTTCAACATCTCGAAGGCCCGTATTAGCTTTTCTGTTGCGAATTTTTTGCACCTGCAGTTGACGAATTGGCGCTCTGGTCTTTCCCTTCGCCGTCCTTGAACACCAGACCGAGGTTCTCGAAATTATCTGGCGCCATGAGGTTTCTATTACTCAAGGCGAATTGACTCAATCAGTATGTTATCCCAGCGTCCATCCTGGATATAGTTCCTCCTGTAACGGCAGTATCCAGCACATTGATGTATCGGGTTAACCTACTTGTCCATTCGGCAGGCAAGGTACTCTTTGGCCAATTTGCGACACGCCTCGTCGTTGGTGCCTTTGTTGAGTTTGATGCATTTCAGATATCCTGAGATGATGTGCTTGCATTCCCCTGTAGCGTCATGGTTTGCGATTAGCTCGATTTTTGTGGCTGGTCTTGCTGGGATCTTTGTGGAGATGGACCATGTGGGTGCGGACCGGCGTACCTTCGTGGTCCAGAGGAAAGCTACCGCGCTCGGGCCTGTAGATACATTTAATGCGTCAGTTATTCTGTGGAGCAAGAGGTCAGGCCCTCATCACTCCCCGGGCGACGAGTTTCCGGCATGAATATGAACGATTGAGACAGTCCAACTCACGGTGAGGGCTTGTAGTTTACCGATCCGCCACCAGGGGCTCCGAAACTCATTTTTGATGAATTTGAGTTGATATCCCGGTTTGAATAACAACAAGACAAGAACCTGCTTTAATCGAAGCGAGATGGTCGGGTCACAAAGCATCAGCCGGCGCAAACGAGGCGAAGTCCGAGAGACGGTCCAGACAAACTAGATAAACCAGACAAACCAGACAAACACACAGGGAACCAATCACTGTTGTGGAATGCGGTCGATGATGCACAGGGTCGTTCCGGGATGGAGAGAACTTCGACCTTCAAAGACCGAATTATAGTTGGATGGAGACTAAGTGAATTCAGTTAATCCCATTCATGGCGCTTTGTTTTCGTAGTTTGTTTGTTCTGTTGGTGTTGTTGGTTTTGGTCAAATTGACCACTCTGTAGTTGAGTACAAACTATATATATCAAGCTGCACCTCTTCCGTCCCAATAAACATTGGCTTCCATATTTGATCGACCTTCCACCATCTTCATAGTACTATTTATAGACTTTCAGCACCACCCTAAATACCCCTAGTCATGCCTATGTAGGTGGAGTTTTACACTATCTCTACTTCCATTGGGACGACGTCTTGACTAGCTATATAGGAAACTCGAAGGGAGTTGCCAATGCGGCAGCGTTCAATTTACCCTTCAGTCGCAAACACCGGTCCCCTACCAGCTTTGCGCATGCAGTATATGCCGTAAAGCAGGCGGGTATCTCGGTGCCGTGAACCTCGGCGGCATTACCGACAGTCTGAATATCATCAAGGGCAAATATTTGATCAAGTACGACCCATTCATATCAACCGACTATATGAAGCCCATTGATGCCCCACCATACTTTGTATATTGGAAGACGCATATATTCGACGCCTCAATAAGATGACTTAAGCATACACTGACGTCGTACCCAGGAAGTATTCAGCCATAAAAGACCGCGGAACATCAGACGAACAGCTCTGCACCTCTGAACGGAACTATTGTTCGAACTGCAGTACCATGCTGTGGCTTTGGGACTACCACTGGCCTGAATTGATTCATCCGTTTGCTTCCGCAATTGATACCGAGTTGCCAGTGCCGGATGAGATGGTGTGCATTATGGAGGGATCGAAGCCGGCTTGGGCAAGATGGCCGGAGGGCAAGAAGACTGTGCACCAGCTACATGGTGGAGATAGTCTCGAGGGATGGCACAAGCGACATGGACTCTTTGTCGAGTAGAATTTTCGTTTACAATTACGGAGTACGAGAGATCAGGTTCGGGGTAATGAGAAGAAAGGTCATGCACCAAAGCTACAGATTCAAGAATATACGGAGGAAAGCGTGTAAGAGATTATGAATTAATATTAAGCTATTGATGGTATGACATTTGGCCCCTGGAAATGCAAGTTAGCAATTGATCAAATCACAGCATGAGTGACATGATGGCAGTCAAGGAAATATCAGTTCTCCAAGGTGAAATAATATTGTATCGACACGGCAATTCAGGAATAACACAGCGAATATTAAGGGTTCATCAGGCAACGAGGCAGGGAATGGAGATAGAGCAAACTCACGGTCAACGAGCCAAATGACAGACCCGAAACATTCCTATTTATTCACTTAAGTCGAGTTAGCGATGGCATTCAAGCAAAATGAATGAAGCAAAAGCGAAATCAAGACATGGCAACTAAGTCAGGCTTCAAGTCAGTCAGCATGAAACACGGAGAATTTGGATCGAGAAACACATACCTCATTAAATCAGATTTTTGTATAAATGTTCATTCCCGGACACAAGGTCCAAGTCCAACAGTGTGAATAACACATTCATCATGATAGGTATGACCATGTTGAGAAAGGGAGAAACGAGATGAGTAGTGAATTACCTAGAGCTTCTGTTAGAAACACTGATCTCAACTTGTCGACGTGACATGATAAATTTATGACAAGGGCAATGGTTCAGGTGACGAATTCTCAACAAGTAATCCACTTCCCATACACCCACAGAGTTTGTACGCTCCGTTTTTGTCGGATGCATGGGAGATGGGTACGTTATGTCCGCCCGTTCGTTCAAGATTTCTTCATGCTAGGCAATAGCCGCGATGGAAAGATGGGAATGAATGCAGTGGTGATTTACCTGAGCAACATATTGTTAGTCAAAAGTCACTCAATAAATGGGTTGTAAATCATAATGAGATTGTTGTGTTGGGTCAGACAAGGCTGAAACTTAAAAGTATGACAGATTCAACATGGATCTTCTGCTTGAGGAATGCCTTTGCATGTCTATAATATAATCATCCCCGGGGGTTGGGGTTGAGAGAGGAGAATTTGATCCTTACCTTTTGAATGAATTATTAGAGAGAGTTACTCGTAGCACTGTGACAACAGGCATTGAGTACAGCTGGAGTGTGTGCCATCATTCGACACAGTCCAAGCTGGAAAGAAAAATCAAGAAAAGAGTGAGGGCTGGAGAATTCCAAGCGATGTAGAAGGAAGGAAAAAATTTGCGAGTGGAGCTCGCTATATAAACTAAAGCGGTAGACTACGGTAGACGTGTTCGACCTTCGGTGCTGTTTGCTTTGGCGTCAAACATCGGCGAAACAACAGGGCCGAGAGTAGCGATAACTTCACGTCTCCACAATACAGAAGGCCATCAATCTGCATCAATCTGGTCTCTGCAGATCTGCAGCCCAAATTTTCCTTGCGAGTAATATTGTCTCACAATCTGCCAAAGGCTATCTTGAACTTCAGAGCAAAGTCATGTCGGTAGTTGACGCGAAGACTAGGGAGTACATTGCGCTCTTTCTCAAGCTGTTTGATTGAGCGCTAGTCTGTCATCAGACCACTAGGTAACATAATGACCACCTCCTAGAAGTTAAAGTTCGTAGACACTCGATATCCCGTATCAATAGTAGAGTGGTTTGCAACGGCGATTCTGATACTTCAATGACGGCCAAGATAGGTCGCCATTCGAACCACTAGGCCCATTGCAACAGACAGAAGGGTTTGATTCGGAGGTGTGAAGCGCGAAAAGGAACAAGGTACTGACGCTGCGGGGAGTTACACATATATGTATCCTGCAAACTTTCGGAAATACCTCCCAGGCTTCCGACGCCTCATTGTCACGTCACCAATGTGGCAATCTAACCACGTCACGTCAACGTGTTTTTGATCATACATAGATAGGCTGGAATGCCTGTTAACCTATCTTGCATTTTGCTTATATCCGGATTGAATTGACATTAGAGCCCGAAACATAAAGAAACATTTCAACATCGACCAAGCCACAATGACTACGAGATGGAAGTTGAACACTGGGGCAGAGATCCCAGCAATTGGGTTTGGTACCTGGCAAGATGAAGGAGAGCAGGAAGATGCCGTTGCGGAGGCAATCAAAGCAGGATATCGTCACATTGACACTGCACGCGTGTAAGTACTTCCTGCCACGAACGATCAAACAATATCAAGCATGAAATGTTGACTCTATGATAGCTACGGTACCGAGAGAGCTGTTGGCAGAGGCGTGAAGAAAAGCGGCGTCCCGCGAAAAGATCTCTTCATTACAACCAAGCTCTGGAGCAATAAACACCACCCAGACGATGTAGCATCGGCTATACAGCAATCGCTGGACGATTTGGGGATGGATTATGTTGATCTGTTCTTGATGCACTGGCCCGTAGCCTGGAAGCGAGGCGAAGATCTCTTTCCGAAGGAGAATGGGAACCCCATCATGGAGAATATTGATATTGTCGATGTATGCTGTTCTCTTGTTCTCTCAGAATTCCCTTAATGACAAGAGTGCTGACACGTAGTAGACTTACAAGGCAATGGAACAACTTCTGAAAGACGGCAAGACCAAGGCGATCGGCGTCTCGAACTTCGACAAGTCTGAGATGGACCGCCTGATAAAGAATGCTTCCATTGTTCCGGCCGTACACCAAATGGAATGCCACCCGTGGCTACAGCAGCATGATTTCACAGAATGGCATCGAAAGAATGGAATACACGTTACACAGTACTCGCCGTTTGGGAACCAAAACGCTCACTACGGCGAGAAAGGTGGCCTAGGGAAACTGATCGATGAGCCTGTACTAGCGGAGATAGGAGAACAGTATGAGAAGACTGCTGCTCAAGTTGCTCTCGGTGAGTTAGCTATGTCCAGGCGTTATCTGCAAGGCGCTGACTTCAGTACCTTAACAGCTTGGGGAGTATCGCAAGGCCATTCGGTGTTGCCGAAGTCCAAAACACCATCGAGGATCAGAACCAATTTGGGAGGTGACTTCAAACTGAGCCCACAGGACATGGAGAAAATTGCAAAGCTCAACAAGAAGGTCCGTTTCAATGATAGCAGTGGTGAGTTTGGCAGGGAGTTCTTTACTGGGTTGGAAGGAAAGACTTGAAGCGAGATTATTGGGAGATACGTACATCCTCATATGTAGGTAGTCATTGCAAATCAAATCAAACTTACCTGTCTAAGTAGGTAAATCTCTGCCCACTGAGAGTATGCACACTGGGTAGTTGTAGGTTAATTGCATTGAAATAAGATCGAAGTTGGACAGAGCCAGGGACGGAACGTGACGTCATGCGCTAGCCGGACATCAAGGAGTAATTCCACCAACTCGTTTCCTGCACTTTGCACTTGAGAGATACATCATTTGCCCAATTGAGCCATGTCATCAGCAGCTCATGGGTTTGCACTGGTAACTCCTGCCTCGCGAGGACTGGGGTTTGCCTTCACACAGCAGCTGCTGACACGGACTGACCTTCCTGTGATCGCCACAGCTCGTAAGAACTGCGATGAACTTCAAGAACGATTACTGTCTAGCAATGACATGCCCAAAAATGCAGAGAAAAGACTGCGCATTCTCCAGGTAGATGTGACGGGTAATCAACGCACCTCCAAGCTAGAGAAACATGCTTTCTAGACAGCAAAAAGCTAACCAACTTCCTAGACGAATCCACACTATCAGACATGGCAGAGACAATCCGCCAGGAATATCCCAAAACGCCACTCAGGATTGGACTGACAGTCCCAGGCATCTTGCATGTGGAAAAATCACCCAGTCACATCAACTCCGCCAAGGCACTGGAAAGCTTCAAAATCAACTCCCTCGGTCCCTTGCTGCTCATGAAGCATCTTTCTCAATTTGTCCCATGTAAATCTGCACCGGCATTCCCAACAACGGAGTCCAGCTCTGCAATCAATTCTCACAGACCATTGCAGCTGCCTTCGCATGCCATCTATGCAATGATGGCCGCCCGAGTTGGCTCCATATCCGACAATGCCTCGGGCGGATGGTATTCCTACCGGGCAAGCAAGGCAGCTGTATTCCAATTGGCGAAGTCATTTGATTTGTATTTACGGACGAGGAGTGGGCAGAGGGGGATCGCAGTGGCGTTGCATCCTGGAACCGTGCGTACAGATTTCACCAAGGAGTTTTGGAGTGGAAGGGACATGTTGGACCCGGTTGATGCAACTGGAAAACTGTTGGAGTTTGTTGTCGGGTTGTCATCGGATGTCCAAGGGGGGCGAGGGAGATGCTGGGATTGGAAGGGGAAGGAGGTTTTGCCATGACTACGTTCAGAGTCCGGTGATGTTTTGTACTGTTGTACAGGATAGCAAAGTGGTCACCGTGAGTAAAGTGATTGGGTGATACCGGAATAGGAATCGTACACTGGTTATTAGTAGCACAAATTAATAATGTGCTGTAGCCGTATAGGCCGAAGATGGGAGCATGCAGCCAGAACGGGGAATGATACTGGCACAAGAAGATAAATGATCAAACGTGAATTCTACGAGCTATACCGAGCAATGGGCAAGTGCTTTGAGAGATATATTACTCCGTACAGACACAGACATGAGGCAACGGGTCAAGGACCTTCCAAAACTCATGATCGACTCGAGGATTCAACTTGGACTCCGAGATGCCGTGGATATCCACCTGTGATACATGCCATGCATCTATGACTAAAAGAATCAACTAAAAATGACCAAATGTGATTGAGCAGAAAGAATAGGAGGTTGGGAGGCCAAGACCGAGTAGACGTGCCTTTGGAGAAAATATTAGGTAATGCGCGCGTGGAGCCACGTTACTTCGGCACCCAGGACGCGTGTGGGCGAATATAAATATCCCCTCCAGCCTCCTTTACAATTCTTTTGATCAGAGTTCTTTCAAACCGTGCCTCCTTGACCTTGTCCACCAAGGAGCGGGTGCTGGAGCTACTTAGCTCCTCACACCTGCATGGGGAAGAAGTTCTCTCACCAGACACCATCTCACTGGGATAGCCCGTATCTCACGGGCGGTTCGGTGGGACTGGATATCTGTTGTCAGGTAGCTTCACGAACTCAGCCGCGGGGCTCTTCAGCTAATGCTCACCAAGATACCTGACTTTGAATAGACTTCTTTGATTTCACTCGGGGGTTGGATGTATATTGTCAGGTGGTTTCACGCACTCGGCCAGATGGCAGGACGGCCGAGGCTCACCAAAATAACCTGACTTGGGATACATCCTTCGTTGATTTCACTGGGGTTGGATATTCATTGTCAGGTACATCACGAACTTTGCTGTCCCATCCTTCGGCTAAGGCCCACTGAAATACCTGGCTTCGGATAGATCTTTGATCTCAGTGGGGTTGAATGTCCATTGTCAGATAGTTCATGAACTCGGCTGTACCGCTTCCTGGGTTGAGGCTCTGAAAGATCTGGCTTCGGATACATACTCTGTTGATTTCGGTGGACTTTGTCACCCACGATCTCGCCTGCTCTTGCCAAGATGGCCTTCGTCTTGGTTTTGTCCCGTTTGTTCCTCATGAGCGACCGGCAAAATATTACAGGTTCACACCTTATGTTCTTTGCCGGAAGCGTTTGATGTTGGCTTTTCGTTGAAAGATCTCGCCTGAAATCACCGATGAGAAAAAGTCGCAATTTGATTGCACGAGCAACTCGAGATGGTGCGTCGAAGGCGAGATCCTAGACTTCTCTGTGGGATCGTCCCTTTCAAGCGTCTTCTCTGAGTTATCCTCGTGGAAAGTTGATCTTCGATATACGCTTGTTGTGACCCCAGCCCCCCTTGCCTGATCGGTCCTTTGAATGCCGTACCGTTGAGAAATTAGAAGCTGGATTCGAAGATGGATGCTTCTTGTTGGAAATTCTGTGTGGTCAGATGGGATCTGCGTACACATTGCTACATCCTTACGATATGCTCTGCAGTAATCCGGATGTTTTATAGCATTCTGGCCTGCTAGAAGTGCATCATCGTCCGCGGCCAGCGCGGTTAAATACCTGGTCGTCCCTTGAGATCATATGCTGCACACACGATCGGATCCTGTGTTACAGCCTGTCGAAATTGTTGATCGAAACTGATGTGAAGAGATTGATTTGAAAGCCAAAGCCACCACTTTTGCTGTTTCTGACCGCTGCGAAACCCCAAGCTCCTCACGGCGGGCTGGGTGGAGTAACCGGTAGAACGGTAAATTGAAATTTACCGCAAGGTTGCGCCTCCAGGCTCGAACCTCCGGACGTTGAAGTCCTTTGAGCTGAAGAATCTGACGTCACTCAAGTCAAGATGTGTATTTGGCGCTTTGTTGGAATTGTGACGACGAGATACCAGAGGATCAGCCTTCATGGTGCCTTTATGGAACCGCTCTCAAAACCTTCGCCACCTCCCAATGTACTCCATGAAGAGGAAAGAGTCAGGGTTAATCCCTGCGATGTGTTTTCCCTTTGGGAAAGAAGAGGAATCCATGGACCACGCCTGAACTTGGCATTTTCAAGTTCAGCGATCCTGGATTACATGTGCAATCGAAGTCTGCTGATGCCGAAAGGTGCCACGAAGCGACCGAGAACAGTGTGTTTTCTTTATGGGAAACTAGAAGTAAAGAGTGGAGTCTGGCGTGGAAATGCCCATGTCCAGCTCCCCCAGAGGTGTTGGTTCTCGGACTGGTGCTGAGCGAGAAAAAACAAGTCCCTCGAGTACGAGCCGATGAAACGGCTCGCTACCGTTCGCTGAAGCTTGTCGAGTGCTTGACAGACAGACCCGGGCATTCCTTTGAGGCATCGCGGCCTCCTTGCGAGTGTGCTTTTCGGCTCCGGTCATGTCATTTCTCTCTCACACCATCTCCGCTGATCCATTATCCTTTTTTTGAACCCCTGAGCGCTCATAGGGGGGGGATTTTTTGGGTTGAGGCCATGGCTTGCTCACTGGATGGAGAGTTTCATTTCCCATTCCTTTGGTGACGACCTTGGTAACGTTCAGATCTGCAATGTTATGGCCTCTTCAGCGTCCATTGAGAATCATAAAATGGTTTTCGGTGTACGCTGAAGGGGTCATAGCACTGGAGCTCTGAATATCACCAAGTCTCATGAAAGCAGCAACTCTCTTGCCATGTTCTCAACTTGAAACAAACCACTGCCATTGCGGCCATGCCACGAGACAGGAGCTGAACTTGTGCTTCCAATCACATAGTTCCCAGTCTTGAATCATCAACTTAGCTAGGTTAGCTAGATATCAATTGAGATCAAATTTCCCCATGCACTTTATCTTCAATAATCTAGATCGTTAATCTCGCACAATCTGAATCCATTCCATTGCTAATTCAAATTTTTGTTCACATTGCATTCCCTTGTGTAGACCTCTCGGCCGACTGGGATTCCCTACACACTACCTACTGCACAGGGGAAACATTTGTATTGGATTGATCATTATTTGTACTCGATAATGTCCTCTTCGAACCATCAAGTCTATTTCTATCTTCTATTCTATATAATGCAATGCAAGCCGACTCCAGTGGCCGGTCAACAGCTGGTATATCTAAATCTAATCAAAAATGCAAGCCTTCATCGAGTTAGGCTGAATGTATTCAGACGCATTGCGGAAGCTGGTGAAGCCCCAACGAATCTGTCCCGCCATGGCAATCTCAACATCCAAGTCCTTAGCAAACTGCCACGCAAGACCAGTATCACGCTGGAACGCACGACCAACAAGGATGACATCGATATCATCCTCGTTAAGGATCTTCTCCGCCAAGTTGCCATTGTTGATCATACCAACAGCAGCAACGAGCATCTTATCACCAACCGCCTTCTTGACAGCAGCAGCGTGAGGAACCTGGAAAGCAGGGCCGGAGGTAATCTTCTGAGCAGAGTGGACACCACCAGTACTGATATCGATGAGATCGACGGCACCCTGCGCAGCAAGCGCCCGAGCGAACTCCACGGTATCCTCGAGCTTCCAGCCCTTCTCAGCTGGCATGCTGTTCTCGAGCCAGTCGGTCGCCGAGACGCGCAGGAAGACGGGCACATCGTCACCGACGGTGTCACGGGTCAACTGAGCGATTTCCAAAGACAGACGAATGCGGTTCTCGAAGCTACCACCGTAGTGGTCGGTACGCTGGTTGCACGAGGGGCTGAGGAAAGACGAGAGGAGATAACCGTGCGCGTTGTGGATTTCGATGAAATCACAGCCAGCAGCGATAGCACGCTTAACAGCAGCAACCCAGGCAGTCTTGAGTCCGGCAATATCCTCCAAGGTCATGGCGATGGGAATGGGATCGCCCTCGGAGAAAGGAATGGCGCTGGGAGCCTTGATGTTATCAGTCCAACCGCCGACGGAGTTGTTGGCGACGACGCCGCCGAGCCAAGGGGCGACAGATGATGCCTTGCGGCCAGCGTGAGCAAGCTGGATACCGATCTTCTGGCCCTGACTGTGCGCAAACTCAACGACCTGCTTGAGCGGCGCGATCTGCGAGTCCTTCCAGAGGCCCACGCAGTGCGGTGTGATACGGCCTTCGGGCACAACTCCGGTAGCTTCAATGATCAGGTTTCCTGGACCGCGTTGGGCAATGGCGCCGTAGTGCGCCAAATGCCATGCAGTCATGTGTCCATCTTCGGCACTGTATTGGCACATGGGCGCCAGCTGGAGATTGTTAGCTGTGCAAAGGTCTTAATTGTGGGAATTACGTACGCCCAGACGATTTTGGAAAGTCACTCCTCTGATGGTGAGAGGCTTGAACAGCTTGGGAATGGGCTTTCCGCTCGTTTGGGGGTCCCGAGCTGTGCCTGCGGGGGGCTCTGGGCCGGGGTGAAGTATGAGATGCCCTCGGCGGGCTTGCTGGGGACGTCAGGCCAGGTCATTTTGATGCGCTCGAATGGATATTATAGGTCTAAATGATTTCATCTTGTAGGGGGCGCTTCTAGTTTATGTATGGATTTACAGTGGGGAAGTCGAAGAATTGATTTATCATCGGAATACATAGTTGGATCTTCGCTGCCATCGAATTGCAGCAATTGGCAGAGCATCCACGGCATTTGATTACCTAGAGCCCCCCTTTTGATATGCTCATTTGTCAGATCTCCAACGGCCCAAGAGAAAAAAGAAGAAAAAAAAAGAAAAGTCACCGAAGAAGATCCACCCGGTGGAATACCATCCCGATCTCCCGAGGTTCCGGGATCCATTCACACTGTGTATGTTGTATATATGTTGTACGTCCGTTGGACTGCAAGGGCATCCTCTCTAAGGCCATGTGGGATCGATGTACGCTGCGAGGGCTTTGGTTTCTTCCCATTTGAGAAGCATCTGCTGGCGTGGGTTCCAATGATCAGTTGATTCCGAGTTTTTCTGCGGGGCGAGACGGCCTCGGACAACGAGGAGTAAAGTAATCAAGTAACCACATCAGCTAGATCAATTCTCACATAGCAAGAGATAGATATGACAAGCTTGTATGGTATTTCCTTGCCCGAGCAAAGAGTAGCTGTTAATATTGAGAGGCAGTCAGTTGGGGTTGACTGCGCGTTTCGCCACCCTTCGACCTTAACAGTCCGAAACAGATCATCCACGCAATCAGCAGTGCGTATAGTGTAGCATTGGAAATTGATTTGCCTGTATTTGCATGGGTTGAATCGCACACACTATCCATGCAACGACGGTATTCTGAATGTGCCTTTTCAATCATTGGACGTATTGGAATCGACGATTGTATTAGGACCGACTCTCGGAAATGCGAAATCAAAGAAAAAGTCCATTTATCGATGTCAGCATGCTTGGGAAATCCATCGATTGGTTGGAAGCTCACCAGGATCAAAAGAAGAGGAATCATCACCATGTCTCCACGGTGTATGCGCAGCTGTTGAGTGTCTAGTGGGCCCAGAGCGTATGAGCAGCATTCACTGTTGGCAAGTGAGTCTGTCGATGGAGTCATACCTTGGTAGGAGACGCGTAGTCCGATCGGTCACTAGACATCTCACTGTGTTGCTAAAGTTTCCATTGTTGCTCCTCTTCAAGTGTTTCCCGTAAACATGCCTCTCTGGTTTGCTCAACAATTTGACAAAACCAGGAACTGCACCGGGCCACCCTTTCTGAGTCTGAAAGCCAACAAGTGTGCGATATGACCAGTTTGAAAGACCCGTAAACGGAATGGGGATGCTGCTTGAGGCTAGCGACGGGGGATCGACGGATACCAGGATCGAAGGAAGGAGATATTTCATTGTATATGTGGTCTGTGAGACATCCGGAGCTTGTAGTGACGAGAGGAAAGATGTGTGGGAATGAATCAACTGAAAAATTCTATTGATACGCTCAATTCCAAAGGCCGGGAAGAGGTGGGGGAGTTGGTGGTTTGTGGCTGCCCAGGTGGCATCAAGCAACGGATCAGGAGACCCACGTCGAAGTCCCTGTATAGATGATCAGCTCCGTAGCCTCAAAGTCAGCATTAAAGTCTTGAATGATAAAGCAGGGTGTATCGTAGGTGTATCCAACCTCGGGGATGTGATGTTTAACAAAGAGGACCCACGTGATACCACCTTCCCGATGGGGAAGTATGCTTGCCCTGGTTCCCTTAAGTAAAAGGACAACACCCTCTCTTTCCGACGGCTCCGACCGGTGGCTGTGTGGTTGTCCTGGCTTAAGCGTCCTACTCTTCCTTAAAAGGGTATGTCCTGCCTCAAAGGGACTGTCCCAAAATGGGACTGGTGCCAGATTCGATTCGCGCAGTCTTCTACCGAGAAAGGACTGCTAGGAGCCTGTCGCCCCCCATCTTTTTTTCTTCTTTTGCTTTTTTTGACATTCATATATATGAACGATATTTGCCCTGAGTTTTTGCTCCCTCTTGTTTGGGACTAGGTAAAAAGTAACCAAACCAAATTATTCGTCATGTTCGTCCGGACTAAGAGTATGTGAGCGACTGCCTCCCGTCCATATTGAAAAAACCTGTATGAGAGAGAGAGAAAGGTCTGCTGCAATAGATTATTACCATGACCTTTTGCATGAAAGCCCAATATTTAATAAGTGGCTGACTGGGTTTGTGTACTCTGAGATATCATGCATTCTTGTATCCATGCCTCTCTAACAAAGCTAATATAAAACCTAGGAGTCTGAGGGAACCTCATCTTCCAGCTGGTACTAGGGATGTCAAGGTACCAATGCAAGAAAGAGTCTCACTCATGTTTCGCTTTAAGAAGAAACGCTAGCTTCGCCAGCTCGTTCCAACTTACATTTAAAGCTTAAGAAGAATAGACAAATGTTCTCATAACGGTATTCCAAGAGCTTGTGCCAGATTTATCTACATGGAAACAGATAAGTCTTAAAAGGAAATCAAGAAAAGTAAATTGAACATCATGTCATCAGGTTACAATAGATAGAAGCGAAGAGTCAACCGGTTCGTACATCAGTCTTGAAGGATGCTTCGAGAAAAGGCGAGAAGATTATAGAAAGGCAACGCCAAAGCTTCAACAACAGAAGAAATGTGCTAGATAGTCAAGCCATGCGCGACCGATCATCTAGGCAGCGTTGGTGAAATCGGACGGCAATAGTAGCATGCCGTTGAGAATTCGTCCAACATGGGTCCTGGCAATATTCCGAGAGTCCTTCCGGATCTGTGACATGAGAATTTTCAGAAACTTTACCGGGCTTTGGTCGAATGGTGATTCTGGACGTCGATGTTTGTCTAAAATCCAGCCATCGGCATCGACAGGAACGGTGCCATACGTTGCAACGGATGCCATCCCAAGGAAGTCACAGAGTCGCTGATACTCGGAATACGAGCCAAGATAAAGCTGTCCTGCAAAAAGGTTGAGCTGGATGCGAAGTCCATCGGGAATCTCGATGATGCCCAAATCCCCAGGAACATTGTACAGTGTGAGCCTGTCGAGAGAATCGAAAGCAAAGTTCTGCCGGGGTGCATACTGGTGAAGTGTGACGCAGGTTGATTGGCGTATGGCGGGAAGGAGGTGCTCAGCCTCGAAAGGGCTGATGATTATCATTTGTATCACTCTTCTCACATTGTCGGAAGATGGAGAGGTTGAGCTTGTCAGAATCCATCTGATGGGTCGTTGGAATGCATCTAGAGAGCCATTCTCTCCTTCCAGCCTATGAGGATCACTGACGGTGGTGGCAAAGTCAGTAGTTACCAGAAGCCCCGTTGATAAGAAGTCTAAATCCATGGCTGAAGACACGGATGTTCTGGCGAGTGAGGAAAAAGCAGGTTTGTAAGCATCGGAGGGCTGCGTAAGGTGCCCTGTGGCCACAAAAGATTGCAAATCGGCGTGGAGGTGATGTTCACTGGGGCTCATTACTACGAGGCTTTGGACATGGCGCTCAAGTTCAATTTCTGGTGCAAGTTCACGCTCTTGTTCTTCAAAAAGTGCGTAACGAGCAAAGTTGAGAGACTCAAACTCACGGCAGCGATCAGAAATCAAGTCCAAATTTCGGTTTCCGTTACCTGGGGCATTTAACGCAAGATTCTCTGCATAGCCAGGCTGATACCGATGTTGGAGACTTTGACATTCGGGTTCGAGAAAGCTCCCAACTTGGTTTTTGAGCGACTCAAAGGAATCGTTGAGGTAGACCTTGTGCCATGCCTCTTGTTGCCTCTCATAACGCCTGCCTTGAACTGCCCACAGAGGCATGTTATGGCGAGTTTCAGACCATGTTTCAGACACTGCCCAGCAAAGGACCTCTGAGACGGTGATTTCAGAGTTCATTTGTTTCCCACTGAGTGTCAAGATTTTGCACTGGATCTCTCTTGGAATACAGAACACCACGGACTGCCCCTTGCCCAACCTCCTCATCCTCATGCATGCTATTCACATCGTCAGCTCTGAAGCAATAATATACAGCAGCCTCTAAATAACTCACCTTGAACAAGCTTATCTTTTGTTACGTTGGGTCCTAGTGTGACTGCTGCGCGATAGTCAGGGGGAAGCCTTAAGTCAATCCCGCGCGTGTGTGCTTCATCGAGAAAAACGTAGCACGCTTCCATTTGGCGGGCAAAAGGTGAGCTTTGCAATGACTCAACTGCCCCTTTCTGATCTAGGACACAAATATCATCGTTGTTATTGACAAAAACGATAGCTTGAATTGGTCCATCCCTAGGCAAAGATTCCAACCAGTATCTTGCGACTTCTAGATTGGTCAGCTCTAAGATTTGTGCGCCAACGTCAATGATCACTTGGATTGGAGGATCCAAGCACAACATCAAATCAAACAGGACCAGTGAGTTGGACTTTCCAGGTCCTACTCCATCCGGCTCCACAGCCACGGTGTTCTCTGGCTGAAGCAAGTAATCCAGAACCAAAGCATTGGTATGGCTTTGCTCCAGTCGATCCAATTGCCTGACACTCAGAGGTAGTGTTTTTCGTGAATCGTTTGTGCCGCTAAATCCAACAGTGGGTTCATTTTTGATCTCACCAATGTCCCAACCAGACGCAGACAGTTTGTGAGGGAACCCTCTCAGCTCTTTGGGAAACACAATATGGGACAGAAAATAGTCAATCACGGTTTTTGAGAATCGAAGGGCAGGGAATATATGTGCTGCACAATGGTGTCGGTCGTCGAGATTGATCCCTACCAGTTGGCAGTATGCGAGAGGAAGCCCTGGAACGTCCTTGACCCATTCTTGGTACTCTGTGTCGGCGTGGTCGGAGTTCACGAGATGGTTGAATGTTAGGAAAAGATCCTCGTCGGCAAGTCCAGCATAATAATAGTTCAGAGACGTCAGAATGATGATTACGTCCGGATGACTGAACTCAGACTTGAGGGAAGGATTATCCTTGGCTCTGAATGGCACAGCAAGCTTTGTAGGGGGTGATCGATTTGGATCAGAACCGTAGTTAACACGCCAACGTTTCTGGCCAAAACAGAAACCCAACACTCCTCCAGCCAACAGACCACGCAATAATAGAAGTGCATTCATGGTATCCTCTGTCCAGAAATTGTGTTCAACAGGGTTCTCCACGGCATCAATATCCTCTGGAGTCAAATCTTGCAGTGTCACGTACTTGAGTACGGCTTGCCGGATCGTCTCAGGCTGTCTGAACATTGGTAGCGAGACGATTCCTTTTGCACATATATGAGCTGCAACTCGTTCTATCAGCACTATTTCGGCATCGCGATGGAGCAAGCGTATTCTAGAGACTCTAGCTAATCCCTGGGACTCCAGCTCAATCGAGTGAGGGTAATCTTGTATCACACCAGGTGCGTGACTTTGCAGAATCGCCAAAACTTCATGGACTATTGCCCACCTTTGTGGACTGAACTCGACCGGGGCTTGAGCTCCCATCGTGTAGATTTGCTCAAACTTCACACTGAAATTCTCGTCACTTTCGTCGACAATATCGCGTGAATATTCATGGAAGAATCTGAGACACTGCAAGAGAGATCGACCGGCGTCGAGTTTCCCGCCAATGAAGTTCTCAATGCACATCAGCTTCAAAGAAAGTATGTATTCAGGCTGAGTGAGTAGAACTCCGCCGTGCGACATACATTCCTGGCACATCCTTAGAATCTCATCAGCCTCCATGCTGCCAAGCTTATGAGAGCGCGACACTGGCATGTGGTACACGCGGCGGCCCAGTAAGCCACCCAACTTGGAGACCAGCATTTGTGACATTTGGCGGGATTGCGGTTTCGCCACAAGCACACGAACGAGACGAGAGGCATTCGCAAGATCTGCTGCAACGATGGGGACAATCACGGACGACTTGCCCTCGCCCATGTTTAACTGCGTCACGACATTCTCTCCAGGCTCAAGGTTTCTCATGTAGCTGGCGGTCTCCTCTTGAATGCTTCGTATCATGATATCGTTCTCTATCTCTAGCAAAATTGATTCTGGGTGATCGATCGGCTTCCAGTTTGCATGACCTGGCGTTTGGAGTTCGCTCAATAACTGCTCGGGGTTGCCGATGAGCTTGAAGAGGCGCTTAGCCCGTTGTAGATCTGTGATTGAACGGGCGTATGAACATAGCGAGCTTTTCCATCCCTCTGACAGATGGAACCACCGAGAACGCGACAGTTGCTCAAGGAAAAACATTGGCGAAGGCCTTGGCAACAGATTTACGTCGGCCAATGTCCTGAGAATATTGACACTGATGGAATCATTCGCTTGAGAATAGATAGTCGATCCATTTGATGAAGATATCCGAGAGACAATCGCGGTGTAAACTCTCTCGTGGTATAGCTGGCATTGCTGGAGATAATTGATGATCCTTTGTTCTAGCTCGCTAGCGTTGGTAACAAATCGTACTTCCTTATCCCAAAGTTGTAGAGAGGTGGCACTGTTATGCAGGTGTGCAACGTACTCTCTCTCATACTGAGATGTAGCTTGCAAGTCTAGAGACTGTATGAAAGCCGAGAGACGGGGATACTGTCTCTTTCGCACCCGGGATTCTGCGAAAGAGCTTTCCAACTCTGGCCTTGCCAAATCTAAAATGGGGAACTCACAAAACAAGTCATTAGGCCCGACAAAAGTGCGTGTCTGCTTTTTTGATTGTGCTGGGATTCCAGGGTTATAGGAGGGCATTATGATAGTACAGGCTGTTTCGCAGCTGATTCGTGCCATGAAATTGATAAGATAGGCTCGGAGCTCTGCATTGTCATGCCAGGTTGCAAACAGTTTCCGTATACACACCGTCACTTTTGATATGTTGAAATAGTCGGTGCATTTTGGAACGTCGTGTAGGTTGGGAGATGCGGGTGACCGGGTTGGCCACTGGGACTCCAGATCCCGTATCATCCTTTCCGTAACGATTTCCCGATTCATCTTCAGTGACTGTCTTTTTCGGGCTTTGAGTTGGGAAGCTGTCTCGTTACTTCTGGCTGTGAATTTAGATTCTGGCGTGTTGCCACTGTATGCTGTTTTGATTTGTGTTCTGAGGGCATTCCGATCCAACCCACAATCTTCCCGCGGGGAGAAGGATTCTCGGACAGGCGGTGATACATCAGCAATTTCATGAGCTAGGAAAAGAAAAGCTAGTATTTCAAGAAGAATCAACTCGGTATCATCTGAGAATGCCATACTTGAAAGCCAGGCCATGAACTGGAATTTGTTCAATGAGGACCTTCGCGAGCGAATGAACTCATGAAGGCCACACCAATGACTGAGAATAAATTCAACTGGATTCTGGATCCATTCCGAGTCATACCTCATCACCGAAACGTCGATGTTGACACTGGTTCCATGCACAGTATCAATTTTCGAGAAAGCCCTCCAAAGGTCTTGGACTGTGTCCTGTACCACAATCTCTCGAATGCGAGGGTGTTCATCGTACAGCATTTTACATATTGAATAGACTCGATTTGCACCAGAAGAGTTTCGCGCAGCATCCAAGGCTTTGTATGGACGATCCAAATCGGATGTGTGGTTCTCTGCTCCGAATCCTGAGAGATGAAATGCAGAAACACGGATTCGATCACGCATCAAGAGCAGCTTGTCAACAAATGGTAGGGGCGGATAAGTCGCATCCGCGTCCGGGTAAAAGATATTCATACGGCGATCTTGATCGAAGATCTCTTCCACCTCTTTGTGAAAGTCGTTGTGCTGACACAGGCTGGCGAGGTTGTTTTTCCACGAGACCTTTTGCATAATTCGCTCATCTGAAGGGTAGTATCGTCTTTCGGGGGTGAGTGCTGCAATTTTTGCGAGCATCTTCCGGTCCCCCTGAGTGAGACGGTCGAAAGATCTGACGGACGCCGAGCGCAGGATCGAAAGACCTTGCTCTGTTCCAGTTCTAGCCGTCAAGAGATCTGGAAGGCAGAAAGAGGTCAAGGGGTGTAGATAGGCAAGCAACAGTTTGCTTCCAATGTTGCCGTTATCGACTAGTCTTCCCAGATGGTCGTCAATCCAGTAGGCATGAAGTTTGCTTCCTGGTCCACGTGTAATTTGAACATTGATATGCTCTCCATTCCTATCCCAGCTTATATCGCCATCTGGAATCAACAACAATCGCTCTTTTGTGTGGGGATTTATGAGCACCATCTTGCTTTGCAGGCCAGTCAAGGTATCCAATGTCTGGTTAGGATCGATGACCATTCCTGGATACTGCTGACACCATAGAGAAGAGCAGTTTGGGTGCACGTTGAACCCCAGTCGCAGACATGGAAGTTCAATGTGCAAGTCACCAATTGAACTTTGTAGACTGCAATGTATTGCCGCTTTCCTTTCAATGGGCGCAAATATTGCAGAAACGGACTGCGCGGTTGGTGTTCTCATCCCAAGCAAGTTCCTTCCTTGTTGAAACATACACCACATGCCTGAGGATTTGTCTCTTTGTAACCTCCAATCATTTTGGGAAGCCTGCCAGGCAGCGTCCTTTTGCCGGAACTCCACACAATCTTTTTCGATGTTGTACCAGTGGACGAAGTCGTCAATGAAACTCTGAGGCAATAGACCTACTAGAAGTTTTGACGGAACAAGGTCCCAGGTCCCATTCTCATTGATTGCCTTGACAGAAAGCCGAGAAGCACCTGTACCAGGGATATCCTCCATCTTCAGATAAACAGTATGTCCCATATGTGGTCTTTGACAAGCGAAGTGCATTTTTGGATCATCGCTGGGCATCACATCTAAGTGAGAATTTCCAAACAAAGTTCTGTAGGAGCTGTTGCCATCATATTCTGCTGGCAGCCGAGAGAGTGGAAAACCATTCACAAGGAGCTCACCCGTCAACAAATTGAAATGCACAAGACTCCCTGTTTCAGGACCATGCTGAGACGGCCGTCTAGATACGAGCCAGCAATCATCCCAACCCAGTATTTTAGACCAACCCGATGCGGGCCGATATGCTGTCCAGGCTTTTTGGATGGCCATGTCTAGACCTTCGTCTCTTTGAAGGCTGACTTTATCTGCCAGCACATTATGACAGCGATAGGCCAGATTTTGCCATCGATGATACAGACTGCATAAAGCAGGATCAGATTCAAAGGTACAGGTGTCCTTCCAGTCATGAATCAGTATACAGCACTGAATAAAGATCGACACATCTGATGAGTTGGCAAATATTGGACCTAGATCTTCTGCGCCGAATGTCTCCGTACACACCAGTGAGATGTGAACACATTTTGCGATCAAATCAGACTTGCTCATGTCATTGTCCGACTCAATGGCCCTGTCCTTAATCGAATCAATCCAGTGACAAGCGATCTTACGTAGATATCGAAGCAGGCCATAGCATATAGTATGAACAGTCGAGGAAGGGGAGAGGGACAGGATCCTGAGAACTAGTGAGATTAAGCTGCTGAGACCGTGGATTGACTCCCAGTTTTCCTTCAGCCTTTGTGAGCCTTTTTTGACTTGCACAAGTATCGTTCTTGCAAACCTTTCATCTCCGAGGATTGAATGGGCTTTTCGCAAATGTGTGCCCTTTTTTGCCGGGCCAGTTTGGTGGATGACTTGCCGCAAGAATATTCCGGTCTCAATTTTCTTGAGATCCATTGACGGCGAAGAGAGCTCCAAGAGAACATTTTGCCACTGTATCTCTACTCCGAGGGGCATTGATGCGAGGGATTTATACTCGCTAAGAGCCATATGCTCCGGGGCAACTGACTGCGTTGCAATGACTGTGTTTGGAGAGGGCCCATTGGGCTCTCCCGACGGACGGAACAGGAATTGGTCTAACCAGGAGCTCTTGGGAGGCAACTTATATGTGCACATCTTGGGGATATCGAATGAGTGATTCAAATCGTCGGTGAAGCATTCCAAATGATTGTCAAAATACTGGAATTGCAAACCGTTCCCGAGGAAAACATCTTCCTCTGTTGCAGTCGAAATCGGTTTTTCCCGACGGTGCGTACCAATATGAGGCTTGATTTGAGAGAGCAGAACAATGCGTTGGCTTTCAATATTGGGAGAAAAATAAGCTCGAAGCCCTTTGTATGCTCTGAGAGGATATGTGGCTCTTGGGTGTACCTTGGCGGTATACCCGGCCCCTAGAACGTCAACCAGGAAATAGATGGTGGCATCCCTCCAAGAAGCAAACGATTGAGGCACATTGAGCTCAAAAACAGTGGACTTTGCTTGTAGTTCATTGAAGGGCAAAGGCCATTCATGAACCTCGATATTCATCTCGTTTGCCCGGCGTTCGTAATCGCACCGGGAGCAGGTGTCGCTATGGCACGATTCTGGACTGCCATATATGCTGACTTCGTTGTAACTGCATTCAATCTCATTGGCCTTATCTTGATACTGATGCCAAAGTTGTCGCTTGTCCCGAAACTCTACAATCTTTTTCTCTTTATCCTCAGACGCCTTTTGGTGGATGCGTGCGTACAAACTCTGATGCCCGTGGGACTGGTCAAAGTATCGGACCGAGAAGCAAGCTGCAGTACCAAAGTCTCGGAAAATACAAGATCCACAGTGTATGCTATTCTGCTGGCGTATGCGTAGATATTCTTCGGCGCGAGCCAATCTCATCATCTGAAACTCGACAGGCAACAGGAGAGATTGGAACATATCAGCAGGGACACATGCGTCGTAGTCACTTAAAAAATCATGCGCAACAAGGGCCGACCTGTCGCATGCAATCCAAAGCTCCAACAAAGTTAGTAGCATTACTGATACTGCTTCAGGATTGTTGCCACTGGACTCGGAAACAGTGTGGTGATACACAGTCATTAACACACGAAGCCGACTGCAGGTACGCCCATCGTCCAGGTTGCGATCGAGCCATGCGTTGAGATTCAATGCCACCCAATTCTCAAACGCAGCGATATTGTGGATTTGGTATTCACCACAATCCAAAGGCAGATCAGACGGGAGCTCCTGCGTATGGTAGTTGATGAGTTTCGACCGTGGCTGGTACGTTGTGCAAACAGCTGGCTGCTCGTAGACACGACGTTTGTTGGTCTCCAGGTAGCTGTCTAGCGCAGGCAACGGAAAACAGGTATCTGCATGGAAGGACGATCCGACCAACATATCTGTTGTCACAAAAGAGTCACTCTGGCGATTGATCAATTCCCATCGCCCTTGGATAGTGCCATTTGCTCGGCGCAGAGCTTCTTGTACAGCTCCGAACCATTCAGGCTCGTCCTGGATATCCATTTTGAGCAAACGCCGACCAACCTTTGCCATCATCAGCTGCAAATCCTCGCTGGACATGGAGGGACAAGGCAGGCTCAAGACATGAGCCATGAAGAACACCATAAATCCCTTGTACAATTTGTCGGGGCCCAGTTGGAAGGAAAACCTGGAAAAGGTCAACTGAAGGGCAACACGAACTAAAAGCCACAGGGCAGACCGCCGCCATGGTGATCTGCAATCTTGCCAAATGACCTCCTCCCTGGTGTTCTTTGCTATCTGGACCGACTGTACTTCTTGGGAGCGAGGGCGGAGAAGGGCCATCAGGAACTCGGTGACCATCTTTGGGTGAACGGTGTCTCGGTCCTCATCATGATACTGGCCAGCCTTCTTCACCTTCAACAGCGTGTTTGTCACGGGCTGGTGGCTCATTTTGGAGAGCATGCGTGCTAACTCGGTTTGGAAGTCTGGGTCATCGAATGTTCCGATTTCCAACGCAAGGGTGGGACCAGGGAACTGTCGCTGAAGGCGACCCGCCGTAGCCATGATAGCTTCGTTACGTGCAGATAGCTCGAAGGACTCTATCTCGACTACATGGCCACGGTGGGTCATCAGGATCCCGGCGTTCTGGGCTCGAACATAGATCGGAAGATTGTCACCTGCAAACATTATTAACAACGGCAATATGAGGTCGACATACACAAAGGGTATCCTCACCATGACCTTTCAAGTCTTTCAGAGCGTTGATCAGCTCGCTCTCACTAATATCCCCACTGAGACCATGGTTAGACTTCAAACGACTGATCATGTCGATGGCCATGGTCACAGTCATAGCATCTTCTTTGGACACGAGAGCGCCAAACTTGCGCAATGCCTCGAGGATCTCATTTAGCATTAGACCTTCAAGGGTCGCGCTATAATCATCCTTCTGGGGCAGCCTCGGAGGAAGGAAGACGTGCGAGAGGAGATAGCGCTTCAGTTCTTCCGACATCGTGAACACAGTGGACAGAGAAAGACTCTGCAAATTTGAGAAATACCACAGAAACACGATGGAGAATTTCTATGGATGAGACAGTGAATTCTCAACCAAGGAAATACAGGAGGGAATAAGCTGTAAAACCGTTGGGATGAGAAGAATAGGAAGATGAAGATGAAGATGAAAACAGAGATGGATGAAAAAGGAAGAAAGAGAAGGAGAAGGGAGATAGAAAGATGGAGAGACAGCAGGACGGAGAGCAGCTCTGGAGAAGGAGAGCCGGGGGTCTCCAGATTCCGTTCCTGCCTAAATGGGAAAGAAGTAGGGCTGTCTCTATGGGCACGCACCTGCCTGATACGCAGCATTGAGCAGACAATTTTAATTTAGTACGATCTTCTTGTTCTTTTGCTCTAGGCCAATAGAGATATGTGGAATTAAGATTGGTAGTCACCTGCACTGCTTTCAAGCTGGCAGAAAGCTAGAATATCTGAGTTACTATGACACGGACCTTAATGAGTGCCTACTATGTATGTAGGTGTTCAAGATACCTAGCTCCAACCTTGGAAGGCACCTGGGCAGGCAGGTCAAACGAAGATTTTCAGAAAGACGGTCGCGTTTATGGCCGTGTGATTCCGTTCTTGACGTCTTTTTAGTCGTCCTTTTGGTAGTCTTTGGTACAGATATATATTCTAAGGTTCTTCCATTCTTAGGATTTATATGGCATGGATAGCTTTGATTCCGGGAATATCTTTGATGTAGGACTACGATTTACAAAACAGTAATGGGCAGTGGCAAGAGGGTTCCAAAATCGGACTTATCTAGGCAGCACATTCGATCACAATTGAAACCGACATCTGAGCGCAATACACTTTCGCACCCAAATCCTCAGCTTCAAGTCTTAACCTTGGAAACATGCTTACTTCACCTGACCATTACCACTAGCATCACCCGCAAGCACACCACCAGGCAAAAGAATACCAGTCCGATCAATGAACCCCCGAGCTCGAATATAAGGGTCGAGTCTCCAGTAGTTGAGACGGAACTCATCGATAACAGCATTCCGTCGTGACTTGAGCTCCTCCACCTTCGAGGCCTCTTTCCCTCCGTCTGAGACCGAGCTGGCAGACACCCAGGCCGCAGTGGCAGCGAGGATTCGGATACCAATCAGCATACGGTCGTACATGAGCGAATCGCGTGTGTCGGTGTCCTCCATGGTCGCGTTCTCGTCTTTCACAGGCTCGACATAGTCATAGCTCCAGTTTTCGTCGCCCGAGAACTCCTTGGGAATCTTGTTGCGAGGAATAAACTCGTCTAGGTCGGCGACCGATCGGGTGAAATGCACTTTGGAAGCAACGACAGGGTCCATCAAGCCGTGGATGAGTTTCCAAATTCCTGATTGACGCAAAATTGCCTAATGAGTATGCTCTACAAGCCGGACGCTGGGGGATCTCAAGGTAAAACTTACCGGAGAAAATCCAGGGTGCGTTGTGGATCAATAATAGACCCAGACACTCGGGGTAGTTTGCTTCAAAGCATCTGATGATGAACTTGACTGGTGGGAAATCCTGTGACAGAACAATCAGAGCCGGCCCCGTCACTTCAAACTGGGTGTGCCAGGGGAGGGCCTACCATGTTGGACAATCCAAACCCTGTCATATCGAATACAATTGTCTGTGAAAATGTCAATAGATGCAAATACACCTCAGTGGATTGCTTGGACATACCCCGGTTGCAACTGGAGGTACCACGATGAGTCTTGTTGACTCAATAACATGAATGATGAACCGCTCAAGAGCCTCCTCGCTCTGATCACCTGGCTTGTGAATCTTGACTCTAATATAGATAACAGGTCGACCATCCCTGTCAACGCCATGGAGGAAGCTTTTACCAGCCTTGAGCTGGTTGATAAAATCGGCACCTGCCTTCTTCTCCTTCGGGGAAGCCTTCATACTGCGGGATTGCTCCAAAGCATATCTTTCTCCCCAGGGTACAATCTCGTTATCGACATCTGCTTCCCTGCGCCAAAGAATATTCGCAGTCAACATTTCAAATGCCTTACCGACATTCCACTTCCGGGCCCGTAGGAATCGGAGTAACAGACTATCCGGACTTTCCTGCTTGTTCATCTTCAAAATCGTAATGCACATTTCCTGAGGTGTCATATCAGACAGAATATGCTCCATGGACTTCAATTCCCCCTCGTGGACGCCTAGCCTTTGCAGGAGCGAGAAAAGCGAACCAAAGTGCTCTGCAGTAATCTTTCGATTGGCCATTTCTGAGATGATGGTTTCTTGGGCGTTTTTGCTCATAAGCGAGTCCACCTTGCCGAGAGATTTCTGTTCTATGTTGTCGACATGGGCTTTCATGGTAGATTCGCCATTGATCCCGCCATTTAGATTCACAGGTGCGGCCCCATCTGAAGTCTGCACATTTCTGTCTATGCCCTTCAATGCATTTATAATGGCATCAACTGTCGGCTCATTGATTTTGTCCAGTGCCTCAAACAGCTTGCTTGGATGATCTTCTGGGATCGGGACTTCACAGACTGCCGACAGAACACTCGCAACAGATGTGAGGATGATGGTCCAAAGTTCACGCAGCTTTGCTTCCTGTTCGGGGGTAAGGTGGTCGAGATGACCGGAAATCAAGTCGGGAGTTGGAGACATGGCGTGAACCGTGGGCAAAATTCAAACTCAAGCTGGGAATTGGGATTTTAAATCAGATTTCAGCTGCTTACCTGCTGGTGATAATCTCTTGTTCGATGCTACGATACCGGCGGCACCATATGACTAGCGGGGCTGTGCCGTGGTCAGGCCCCGGGCACACGAACGAATCCCAGCGAATGCCTCGGTGTATACCGCAATCGTCCATCGTGGAGACATCTGGATCCCAGGCTCCTTACTATCATTTTGAGGGGTGGTAGAATAGCCCCGATGAACGGACCTGAGTGGACCTTGCAGGAGGGTGAGGAGTGATGGAAGTGACGATCCCCCGCATTGCGGGGATGATCGTCGCTCGCAAGGGATCAATTTTGGTTCCTTTGCCGTCTTTCACCCTCGGACTTCTAAAACATAGAGCCGCGAGGCTGAAGATGAAATGATCTTGCATTATACTGAAGACTACGGGCGTCGGGATTTCGTCAACGATATATTCTCAGAGTTATGATAGGGTTCCAGTCATTCAAGTCCGCGGTGCACGATACAAACAAAACTGTGATAAAGAATAAAAAATCAAACAAGGAGCTTCGCCTTCATACCCCTTTCCAATCCAGACAACTTCACATGCGTGCGGCGATCCGCTTCGCAAGCAGCATGGGAGCTGTGGAGTAGAGCGATCTTGGCAGATGCCATTCAGGTACGCCATACCAAAGCCGAGAGACCATGCCCTAGAATCTTGGAAATCACATGCTTCTAGGGATCATCCAGGGAACTAGGCATCTTTCCATTTTGGGCATGCAGGGCGAACGAACCTGAGGCGCTTGGGCCTGAGCACTCCCGAGGAGGTCGGCGCTGGTCTGACACGATCTGAGCTCAGGCCCTCTACAGAGGGGTATGTGTTCTTAACTTGACAATTCCCTGAATGTTGCAAGAGGTTAATATCCCAAGATAGTAGCATTGACTCCCAAATGGAAAAGGAGAGCATATAACCAGGGAATACCACGGAGACAAGGAACACATCAAGGACCCGGCTTTTCTAGAGACCAAGTTGGTGAATTGAAAGTACAGCAGAGGCTATTGCTCGCTACAACTGATGTCTCCACGAGATATTCATCAAAAGGAATGTATCCCGAAGGCACCAAGTCAATGTCTGCTATCATTGCGTAATCCCCCGTAATTCCCCGCTTCCAACCTTCGATATACGAATTTAGTCATGATACCGGGCGATTGGGGACACTAGGAATGAAACAACAAACAGGAATGGAGAGTAGAGCAAAAGAGGATATCGCAAAAGCGCCAGAAGCACCATCTTGACACTCGCTTTAGGCAACGCTGCTTCGTTCAAGAATTGAAGTTCGAGGTAGCGATGGTGCCATGCAATGATGTTTGATTGAGTAAATATTGATTTTTATTCTAGGTATCATCTCCCGAACGGACGGAGCCGAGCTGATATATGACTACAACACCATGGGACTGGTCTTCAAGGACTAAGATAATAGTGCACCCATAAGCGTACCAAAGAGCACAAGTGGTACCATGAAGGAGCAACAGAGTCCAAGCAAAGAATCCTCGGAGCTCAGTTCGCCTTCAACCTCCGCGATTGGATAGGCTATTCCCTGCTCTGTGGTGACCAACCTCGAGTCTCTAGGGTGATAAACCGGAGAGTTGAAGATATGGGCGATGGGTACCCAATTGTTGACAATCGCTAACAAGAACAAATGCAGCAATGGTGGCCAGGCGATTGTGGTGAGCACACTTGGAATTGTCCATCCAGGTGCAGTGATGACCGTCCCGACTGCAAAGACCATGGCCCCAATGGTTCCGATGAAAAGGCACACATTGAACAAAATACCGCTTTGAAGAGTATCCCGGTATGCCCTTTGGACTGACGAGATTGATGTAGCGTTTTCGCTCGAGTTGGCAGTACTTCCGGTAACAAATGAGCCCTTTGGCTTGCTTCCGAATAAGTGGAATCGAGTGACGGCATACAAATGAGCTGCGATGAAAGCATATTAGGATCAGTACAAGTACAACCGGGGAGATGGGGAAGCTTTAGATCGAACTTACCAGCAGCAAGCCAACTGTTCTCTGCATGAGCAAATGGCGCAAATGGAACGCCCGCGTGAGCACTGCGAGCCCAATCGTAGGCCCACGTAGAAGCGACATGAGCGATCGCCAGCACAAGCTGGGTTTTGACTTCAAGTGAAGATCCCGCAGGAATGAAACCACCATCGGAGACAAGAAGGACAGGCAGAGCAAAAAAGCCGATGGAATAACTCAAAAGACCAGCCATGATAGACAGTCCCCCAAGGGCGATATCCCAACGCAGATGCTCTGGAATTGCCTTGTTCACCGAAGGAAACAGAACGGAAATCTGCTGAGAGTGACCAATATGCCACCGATTGCGCTGCTTGAGATGCCCAGCAAGAGAAGTCGGAACCAATCCAAACTGTAAAACCTCCTGCACTTGCATCGTGCGTTTTCCCAGTCCTCGGAGGATCAGTGACAACTGCCAATCCTCGGAGAAAGAATACGTCGGATATCCACCCGCCTCCAGAATCGCATCACGACGGAAGACCGCACCAGAACCGGCATCCAGCGCATGGCCAAGAAGATCGAGCTCGGTGTTCTCACAATTATAGAAGTACGCGCGTGATTGAGAGAGGGGATCGCCACGAGGTAGATTGTAGAAATACTGGCGCGTGGTTAGTAGCGCGGCCTCGGGGTCAGCGAGTAGATGAGGCAGTGTTGCGCGTAGGAACTCCGGCATGAGGATGGAGTCTGCGTCGACTACTGAACAGAACTCCGGTGGGTCCTCGGTCTGTAGGGAGAACAAGGCGTAGTTGAGATTTCCTGCTTTTGCAAAAGATTGACCGGATTGCTTGCCGCGGGTATGATAGGAGAGGTGACTCCATTTCAAGGACAGCTTTGCAATCGCGTCGCGCAGGTCAGTCGATGCTCCGTCATCCAGGAGACGGACTCGGAACCGAGAAGCTGGGTAGTCCAAAGCACATGCTGCGCGGACTGTGTCTAGGATGATCTCGACTGGCTCCCCGCAGCAGGTGACGAGCACATCCACTCTGGGGAGATTTTCGGAGCTGCATAATCTCTTGCAGGGTGTTGAATCAAGTGAAGACTTCGTTGCTGCCAATGACAAGCGTTGGTGCTTCAGGGATATATCTGACAAGGGTCAGCGTTGTCCTAGAATGTTGACGGGAAAACGACTTACGGGCAAATAGACTCTCAACACCAAGCATTCCCCACATTTTCCATGTTTGTTCCGGGGTCATCACCACGAAGAACAACCGGACCGCAAAGTAGACGTAGGTGATCCATATTGCGGCTTGGGCTATATGGTGGAGATATTTGCGGCACTTCTGCGCGGAGAGAGTGCGCTCATCAGGGGAAAGCTCCTGGATGTCATGAACATGGCCGGGAACATGGTCAGGAAACATTGAAGCGAACTTGATGCCGTTGAGTGCTGCGATTGTATTCTCTTTGCATATTATATACTACCTAGGTATGTAGATTGTCGAGAACACGATGCTGTCTGGGTTGGCCACCAATCTGTCCAGAGGCTTTTTGAAGAGAAAATTTTCCATCCCAAATTAAGGGGCGTGAGTGTATTGAGAGCTATCTACACCGTTTTTTTGATTCTAGAACTTACTATGTCTATTTATACCAACGTGGTCCTCACATTCAGGACTATTGTAGCCGAGAGCCAATTAGTGGTCGCCGTGGCATCAGTGTTGATGGCGCTAACCTCAACTGCCGTTGGGAGTGGAGTCATCTCCTTCACATCCGATTGGATCCTCTGTTCAATGAACTTGCACTCGAGACTGGAAGGACATGTCAGAATGGAGGTATTCCGTGCTCTTGGTCGGCACTGGTCTGCGTTCGGCACCCGGAAGGCTTGATGAGCACCCCCTGAAGAGACGCCAAATGGCGATTAAGCGAAGCAAGTGTTGAACACATAGGTCAATTAGAGAGCCGAACTGCGGGCTACTGTGTGTTGGAGAGCGTCGTCCGGTGGCTGATGTGGCTCAGTTGCAAGACCGCAAAGTTCCCCCGACTTGAGTTCCTCAAAGGTGTCGACATCCAACGTGCTAGGCGACGGGCCTTGGAAATATAACCGGAAGGATCGTTAGTTGAAAAGCAGTGAGATTGTCAATCCTTGAAGAGTCCTAGATACCGGCAAAGAAAGTTACGTGGTAGTGACAAAAAATCAATATAGAAGAGAGGGTGTGGTATGGAGTATACATTAGGTATTCACTATGTACATGTAGGTACTCCGTACATAGCTTCATGATCCGCAGGCAGAAAGCACATGCTCAGGCAGTAACACGTGATGCAGACCCACCTTCCCGATGGGGAAGTATGTTTGCCCTGGTTCCCTTAAGTAAAAGGACAACATCCTCTCCTTTCGACGGCTCCGACCGGTGGCTGTGCGGTTGTCCTGGCTTAAACGTCCTACCCTTCCTTAAAAGGGTATGTCCTACCTAAAAGGGACTGTCCCAAAATGGGACTGGTGCCAGATTCGATTCGCGCAGTCTTCTACCGAGAAAGGACTGCTAGGAGCCTATCGTCCCCATCTTTTTTTTTATTTTGTGGATTTACGAATTAGAAAATATATCTCTTTCCCCTTGCATTTATCTACTCGCCGTTCACACACTCCAGAGTTTTTCATCTCACGCCACGGGAGCCTCGCACATTTATAGGGAGAAGTATCGATGTGCGTGACACTAAATACCTCCAGAAGTCAAGAGCTATACTGAGTGAGACATCTGATATTTCTACTTAGATTGCCCCGACACCTCCTCCCACCCATCCAGGCACTCTAGGTAGAGCCTTGTACCGGTTTTCAACACGCGACACGTCGTCTACCCATCGGCACACAGCCCAGGGCGAGAACAAGCGAAAGTCGTTGTCAACAAGTCGGAGATCGGGGTATCGCGGATAATGATTGCCGCTACAGAATATGCTGGGGAGCTGATGTTAGAGCTTTCGCCAGACAGCACAGGTGGGTTATCGATTCCACGCTGTGACGAGGATGTCCAATGTCATTTGGAGAACGCAAGGCCGATGAAATCTGGTGAATCCTCAGAGATACATCAAGAGGGTGCTTTAAATATGACACTGAAATATGTGCAAGCCATTGAATTCATCAAAATAAATATGTACATCGAATCCAAGACCCTTCAAGCTTATATACCCGTGAACGTTACCCATATGTACAAGGTTCCCTTTCAATCCAATTACCACTCCAACCGATCATCGCAAATGAGACTGACATCGAATCTCTCTTGTCCCTTCCAGACCTTCTCCCCAGAGTTACAAGATGCAACAATATCCCGCAGGTCACTGATCATACCACCAGGTCCACTGGCAAAGACGCTGGTCGGACCGCGCACCGTATCCGCCACGAAAGTTTTCACCAACGTCGGCAGATCAGGATGCCTACTGGGATCTTCATCAGCACCACCGAGCCGCTCGACAGCAGTAGGCTTGTCACAACCACAGCACGCCGAATCCGATTCGGAAGGCGAGACCTGCACGACCTTCTCCTCGAGTTTGGGAACTTCCAGGTTGCAATTCTCCGCATCCGAGCTTTGGATTGACGGCATCTTGCTCTGCGTATCACGGGTGGCGAAAACTCGGATCTTCAGGTTCAATGTCTTCCGCGCTTTTTGCAAGAGATCCAGCTCTGCCGCTACCCACGCCGTATTTGCCGTGTGACGAACCGCCCAGATGAGCTCGACCTTACGGTCTGAGGAGGGCTTTTGGCGGGCAAGCTCGAGCAGAACAGGGAGGACGTAGGTGATGCCGGTCCCGCCGGCGACGCAGATGATATTGGTGTTTGGTGTTAAATGGGTGGTGATGGACTCGCCGTATGCGCCGGTGAGGATGACGGGGGTGGTCGCGATTCCGGTGGCAGCGAGATCTGCGATCTTCTTCGTTTCGCCACTTTTCGCTCTGAGAATGTAGGAGTGTTTGACTCTGCCTTTTGACTCCAGGGGAAGGTTGAGAGGAGTGAAGGGGTGAGATTGCCAGATGCTACACTGGGTGAAGGACAGGTAGTAGTGCTGACCGATGGCCCAGGGGTCTTGGTTGTTGTGCAGATCGAGACGGATGACATCGCCGTGTTCCGAGTCCGGGAAGCGGGTGATGGTGGCATCCGCGGATTTGAAGCTGAGACCAAACGCGTTGGAATGGTCCGGATGGTAATGGAGGAGGGCTGTACGGACAAGGCGAGCTCCACGATCGAGGAACCAGAAGATCAGCGAGGGCCACATGAAACATTTCAATTGCTTCCAGTGGGCCCAACAGGCGCCAATGTAGACCATGGCGAGAATATAGTGTAGTTTGCGGAAGGTCTCGTAACCGGTGAGTCTGATTCCCCACGGCGTGCTCAGCACAACTAGGAGGAACATGAGAATCATAGCGACGAGGCCCCAGATCATGTATGTCTGGGTGATCCACTCGATTCCGACAGTGGGTTGCGGCTGGTATAGTCTCAGCTCGACCACACACCAACTGATTGTATGGAGAGAGCTTTGCAGGAAGATGATGTAGCCCAGCCAGCGATGAAGGAAATTGAAGCTCTGGTATGGCAGGCCAGTGATGAGAGAGAGAAAGGATTCCCGGCTGCTCAGCAGCACAGAAAGTGGCGTGAGGGCGTAGGCGAGCGTGCCAATGCGATCTGCCCATGGGCCGACGCTGCTTCGAGTGTTGTATACACCGGGCATGTCTGAGACAGGCGTAACCCAGGTATTGTAGAGAATGCCGACAAAACTGAAGATCAGGAGGTAGCCAGATAACAAGGCAAGGGTGAGGACTTGGAGGCGCGTTGTGCGGCCGAAGATCAGGCGCGCCGCATCGGGTAGGAGATATCTCCGAGTGAATGAGGCAATTGAGCGACGAACTTTGTATAGGCCGGCGAGTTCTGGCGCTGCCAGGGCCGGCGATAAGGTTGGCGCACCGAATTGGTTCAAGACGATCCAGAGCAGCAGGACTGCGCAGATGACACACCAGATAATCCCCGAATAGAGCATCCCCCGGTCATGGGAGGCGTATACCTCGTCGAGATATTCGCAAGATCCAGGGTCGTTGGTGCATGGAAGGGCGCGATCGTAATATCCCCAGTGAGGCTCTAATGATGTCGCCTTTGACATGTCTTGGATGTGACGCACATCCAATTTTGAGAACGACATGGTATCTTGAACTGCGCAGTGCAGTGGGCTGTATTCGACAATGGAAGGTGTATGATCTTTTGGCCAACTTTTCGAGATCAGAGCGACACCTTGGCCCTGACAGAAAAAACCCTGCGATGGCCCGGGGTTACTTGGTCATGGCGAGGCGGGAAGCAAGTGTCAGGAGAAGAAATGAATGTCATCTCTCAGATGACGGCGATTTGCCGGTTTAAAGTGGCCATTTCGCATTTGAGGCGATTTGAGCACATTTCTCCAACGCCATCGCTGGTTTTCTCCACTTCGCCTTAGCGCAGGTGGAGGCCATGCGACCGGGTTATAAGACTCACTATCAGAGCGCGTCTTTCTCGTTTCCTCTGACAGCTACCCGTCACAATGGAGGGCATGGATATGGACCACAGCGAGAGCAGCTGCAAAATCTCCGTGAGTGTGCCACTGGAGCACTCCCCAGGGTGTCGCTAACCCAATCAGATGCTGTTCAATTTCCACACCATCGATGCTTGTTTTCTGTCCACAGGATGGCAGATCAAGAACAATGGCATGTTTGCCGCGACCTGCATTGGTACCATCTTACTCGTGGTGCTGGTTGAGTTCTGTCGACGCCTTGGACGCGAATACGACAACTTCCTGACCCGCCAGTTCCAGCGCCAAGCCGCGCACTGCACCTTCGCCAAGAATTGGGAATCGGCTCGGACGGCCGTGACCTTTCGCGCGACGCCATTGCAGCAATTGACGAGGTCTGTGATCCATGCGGTGACCTTTGCGGGCGCTTATATCACGATGCTGTTGGCCATGTACTTCAATGTCTATGTGATTATCTGCATCTTCATCGGGGCGGGTCTGGGCAAGTTCTTGTGTGATTGGATGGTCGTCACTGTGGGAATCGATGACGTACCGGAGGATATTCGCAAATTGGAGGAGACAACGATATGTTGTGATTGATAATGACTCGACATGAACTTTTGTATATACCTTGCCTTTTCAGCGTCTACGGAGTATTGGGACAGGACTTGATTTCGTCCAATGCTTTGCCTATACCCCCAGTATGTGAATTCATCATACCATTGTTCTTCTCGTCAAATGGGAACACTCTGTAATCGGTGCTGCTTCTGAGAGTCGCACTAACAAGAAACACCAAAGAGCCCTCTAGTGCGGGCTGTCAGGCATTTTATGAAGTGGAAAACAAGTGGGAAACTATGCAACCCAAATCTCATGCCGTGGGTGACGCACGTTGGCTTGCGTGTTCTGATATAAGAGCCATCTACAATGTCTACGATCCACGTAACTCGGAGGAGGTTCGAACCACTTTGGTTAGGTGCATGCACTTCTGGGGCCCCTTTGCCCACGTTGCCGGAACCGTGTTGGTCGAGAACAAATAATATATCCCTCTAGCTTCAATGAAGAGAGGTAGAAGCACGACGCATCCCCAGGTCAAGAGTTTAGGGCCCAGATGGGGGTTTCCGGGACGAAAACAGCAAGTCCAGCCGGGCTTTTCTCCGATCCGCACACTCCGTCCCCATCGCGAATCCGCGCTAATCGGCGTTTCTCTCTTTCACAGGCCATATTCAGATATCTTATCCGGTATTCCCGGCTATGTCGTTGCTGATAACGAGATTGTCGATCAAAGTGCTTGATTTCGATAGGAAAAATCCGAATTCCCCTCCCCCAGGATTTATAATGCACAACCCCGGATTGGATACCCCAGAGATAACGCCCTTCCATAATCTCTACATATTTACACTTCCGAGTAGATTAGTGTCGGACAAAATCCCGCCTCGATAAGAGAAGACGGCCCCAGAAGCTGCGTGGTTGGGAGCTACACTGGACGCATTCCGAGCCTCTGCGATATAGGATGTGGAATCCCGATGCAAGCTCTCAATCCTGCCGTTTTACGTAACAGCTATGATACAGATCCATGATTTCCCAGTACTAACAAGGAGCCTAGTGCTTCTGTATGGAGTATACGATATCGCTTCATGTATCTGTGAATGCGATTAGACCGGCAGATAAGCATGTTGCAGTCTATCATCATCTCCATGATATTGACAACGGGATATCAGGATAGGGACCCGGGAAATACTCGGTGCAGGAAGGGAAGAACATATAAAATGTATCCATGAGACACGAATGGGATGAATTGATTATTGTCAAGCGCTCGTTTTCTATTTCCACAAGCCTTGCTACGCGAAGTGAGAATGAAGGTTTATCTACAACATACCCTTTTGGGACTGAGTCTATCAGGCCTGAGCTTAGCTGGTGTCGCAGGGAGAGACGTCGAGGTGATACGGTTCCACAGCCCCGGGGGTGTAACCGCCGACTCATTGCACAACATCCATGTAGAGTTCCTGGATGAACAGTTCGAGGGTCATCTGCAGCTCGTCTACGGGGACTGCGGGATCCAAGATCCGACGCAGAGTCACCATGAGATCGGGAGCACGTTCGTGAAACGTGAAGCGAAACCGGAACGATTCGTATGGACCACACCATCTGACGCACCCCATGCACACTGCTTGCATGCTTTCTCTGGACCGACCCTTGTGGGCCGCTCTTCTCCCATCATGGTCTCATCAGTAGTCAAGAAGCGCGAGAGCATCGCCGATGTGGCAGATGCCATGGGTCCGTGGTTTGACGGAGTCGCTTACATGAAGTCAAAGAAGAACAACAAGGCATTTGTCTCCAAAGCCAAGAATACCTCGGTTGCCATTCTCGGCGGTGGAATGTCTGGCTTGATGACGAGCTTGCTGCTCGAGTCTGTTGGCATTCACAACTGGCACATCTACGAATCGTCCGGGCGCGTCGGCGGTCGCATTCGTACCAAGTACCTCAACAACACAAGACCCGATGAGTATCAATACCAGGAGATGGGACCGATGCGATTTCCTGTAAGCATCACCTATGCTGACACAAGCGAGACACTCCAAATCCAAGACCATCACATGGTCTTCCAACTAGCCAATGTTCTCAACAAGATGAATACACACAAGCCAGATCTCCAGGTCAACTTTATTCCCTGGATCCAGAGGAGTCCCAATGTCCCCGCAGCCTCTGGCGGTAACCGTCTCTCAAACGGCCGCATCCCCAGTGCTGCCCAGGTCGCCGCAAATGCATCGCTGGTTAACACGGCCCTATATTCCAATGCAACAGCCGTCGCAGAGGCAAAATCCGCCTTCGACAACTACACCACGATCAACGATAGGGAAACCATTCGCAGACTGGCAACAAACATGTATCAGGCTCACAGGCAAGCCGTAGATGATGGCATGTTCCACTGGTCCGAAGCCGGCTACCTGCGATATGCCATGGGCTACGACGCCAACCTCACCGACTACGTAGCGGGCACTGAAGTCTCGCCAATTTGGGGCGCCTTGTACGACGATGTCTACTTTGCAGCTACCGAATGGCGCACCATCGACAAGGGTCTCGAGTCACTCCCACGAGCATTTTACCCACACGTCGCAGAGAAAACCACCCTCAATCGCACAGTACAGGGACTGATCTACAACGAAACAACCGGAAAGGTTGCCGTCGCGTGGCGAGACGACCCATTCCAGATGATCCCAGAAACCAAGGAATACGACTATGCCATTGTCGCCACCCCATTTAGTAAAGTGCGACTGTGGGATCTACCGCGGTACTCTTCGCTGCTCAGCCGCGCGATCTCATCGATGAATTACGAACCTTCCTGCAAGATGGCCCTCCTCTACAAGACACGCTTCTGGGAACACATGGAAGAGCCAATCTTCGGCGGATGCGGTTCAGTCGACGTATCAGGCGTCGGGAATGTCTGCTACCCATCCTACAACATGAACGGCACAGGACCAGGAGTGATCCTAGCGTCTTATATCTCTGGCACACCGGCTCGGTCAACAGCCGCTCTGAGCGAAGAGGAACACGTTGCGCTGATCCAGCGCACGATGGTGGAAGTTCATGGAGAAGTTGCAGCAGACCAATTTACAGGCATCTACAATCGACAATGCTGGGAGTTTGATCAACACCAGGCGGGAGCCTGGGCTAGTCCGCTTGTTGGACAACAGGAGCTTTATCTGCCTGCTTACTACCAAACGGAGTTTAAGACCATCTTTATTGGAGAGCACACCAGTTATACTCATGCTTGGATTTTCTCAGCGTTGGATTCGGCTGTTCGGGGGACGACGCAGTTGTTGCTTGATCTCGGGCTTGTGGATGAGGCTAAAGCTGTTGTCGAGACTTGGATGGGGAGATGGATTAAGCTGTGACGGGATGTATAGAGAGCGCTTCTGTCAAAGCAGCTATTCATTGGATGAGAAACGTCGTAACATGTCAATATACTAATATGAAGCTAGAGTATCCATTACCAATACTACTGTTGTTTGCATGGTGTCCCACTCAGTCAATCAGTCGACCATAAAGCCGTCAAAGCACAGCTAGTCTCCCAATGGTCTTTGTTTCATTGTAGTAACAAACCCCTTTTCAAAATGAACAAACAAATGCCTGAAGACACCTTGATATGTTGCTATGAATGTATTCCGCTATCTCCTATATGTAATCTAAGCACCTTTGATAGCAGCTACCAAAAATCAAATGCTACTCCATTTAATTAAAAAAGAACCTCTCACAACCATCGCTATAGGTTGATCTAGTGATATTCAAAATGGTACACGAAGGTATGTTCACCTCTAACGGCGTATACATCGACGAGAAATGCAACATCTACGGGCCCATAGTATGGGTGAATGTATTCCTCGCGATCCCAGAGAATCGCAGCAAAGCAGACGCAGATTTCATGGACCTTGTAGCCGACGCCATTCATGCCAAAATCTCCAAGAGAATACCCCAACTCAGCAATGTCTCCGTTACCCCGGAGGCTATGCACCACAGAGTGATGGGGTGTCTCTCGTTGCCAGCCCGTGGAGATTTCTGGGCATTTGCACGGTATCGAGATTTATATCTAGATGCCTTTTTCAAGGACGCCTTACAACTGGCGCTTTTTTACCAGGCAGAGTGTGCTGCAGGGAGGGTCCAGATTGATCGGGAGCGACTGTTTCGGTTTCATCATTTGCGTGTTGATGCTTTTTGACCATGGTGGTCTAGGTACATGTGGGAATAAACTCTGTATACAATGTAAACAAAGACTTCGATGGTTACAGCTGACTATGAGACTGATGATAGTATTTCCTTTCTTAGCTCGGTATGTCAAAACCAAGATGAAGACAAAGGACCTGGGTTTAGGCTGATGCTGTTCACAATTTTGACGGTCCCGCATAGGCACTGAAAAGGCTTCAAGAGGCTTAAGAGTCACCAATAGACAGTGATGCTAGATCTTGGTACCCCTTTGATATCGGGGCTCAAAGGATGAAAGATCCAAATTTATGTTCCCGTATTTAGTCCGGAAACCGACAGTATAATGGACTCGACAAAGCACTTGTTGATAAAGAAGCATTGTCTCTATCACAGGCTCGAGTAAGCTATTCTGATCAACGCCTATAAATTGCAATCCTGTTCGGGCATAAGTAGTTAAGCACCTGCATCCTCCGCCCAAATATCAAACACTTACTTCAATCACTCCTACTGAAACCAAAGACTAAAATAAACCACTAGAAAGCTACAAAATGTCTACTCGAACCGCATTCAGGACTCGCGACAATGTCCCCGTAGCCGATGGACCATGTGCACCGGATGTTCAGTGGGCCACGATATACTTTGACCCCGAAGATTCCGGTCTCAACGACGTAGAATTGGTCCGTCTGATGATGTACCGAGTCGTGAACCGCCAGGCCGAGGTCGATGCTCTACCTATGCATCACAGATACTCACATTGTCTCTCAGTCCGTATCGCCGGGTCCCTTCCTGACGCCGATGCAGTCTTCGAAGTCGCTGAAGCAATGGTGGACTATTTTTACAACCAAATTTTGTCAGGGGCATTTGTCGTTAACCGGTGTTATATTTTCCGCAGACGCTCGGTGGATCTGTTTACGGAGTAGATGAGTTAGGGATGCCGTTTAGGGGCCTTTTGGATCTACCCATCAACATACATCGTGTATTCGGTCAAGATAGCGTATCGACTGTAGATCTTCGACCAGAAAAGAGGAAGAATACGAGAAGCATTCGAAATTGGGGCTGAAGCCTTTGGATTTCTAATCAACTCGCAATCCGCTTTTCCCCTCGAGGGCGCCAAGAGAATCGGCCCTGGGGGTCTAGTAAGCTTACTCTTGACTTCTTTTAAAAGAGGAGCATGGCTTCTAAGGTCTGCTTTAGTTAAATTTCCATAGCCTGTCTCAACCTCTTAGCAGTCTTAAACATGTATCAACCACCTACCACAGTCATGTCTCCGCCGAAAATCAAAGCCGTCTTTTTCGACTTCATGGGAACTTGTCTCGACTGGCATAGTAGCGTTGTGCAGGCATTGCCATCCGCAATTCCCACAGACGAAGCCTCGAAGCTGGCTCTAGAGTGGCGTAGAGAATATTTCCTTGAAAATAGCAAGCGCGTTAGCCAGAATCTTCACCCGGAGGACATCGACATCACCCTAGCCCGCACTCTGGAAGTCATCCTCAACCAGTGGCCCGATCACACACACCAGTTTGACTCTGAAATCAAGAGACAGGCTGTGCAAGCCTGGCATTCGCAGCAAGCATGGCCCGAAGTCGCCGACGCTATCAAGAGTCTCCGACGAGACCGAGGTCTGGAAGTCTTTGTCCATGCAAACGGTACCACTCGTCTCCAACTAGACCTGACTCGATCTTCGGGGTTGGAGTTCAACATGTTGTTCTCGAGCCAGTTGCTAGGTGCTTATAAGCCTCGTCCGGAGGCATATGAGAAGGGACTAGAGCTTGTCAAGCTTCGGCCACAGGAGGTGGTGCTGGTTGCGGCGCATGCGTATGACTTGCGGGGTGCAAAGCAGTGTGGACTGAGGACGGTTTATATCCACCGATGGACTGATGATATTGACGAGGATATGGAGAAGATTAAGGTGGAGTTTGACGTGTTCTTGGAGAACATGGATGATCTTGCTGATACGATTGGGAGGCTGTGAGTGGTGACTGGTCTGCGCAGGGTCGCATAGCCTGAGACTTCGACTTGCCCTTTTGGATACTTAGTTATGTATCAGCCTTGATTGTTCGACGGCATATTCCTGGACTGACCTTGGAGCATGTACACGAGAAGAGATTCAAAAGAGCGAGGGATAGATAAATAGGCTATGTGACTCGCTCAAAAGAAGGGGTCGATCGTGCTCGTGTTTTGTTTTTCCACAGATATATTGATGCTACACTTATGCCTGCGCACCGGGCTATCCTCCCCCTCATTCCAAGGTTTACAATGAAAGAGGATGGAATAAATATTACATGTCAAAAAATGGTATCAATATAGAAAATAAAATCCAACCCACCAAAATAAAAATAAAAAAAAGATGGCTCCTAGCAGTCCTTTCTCGGTAGAAGACTGCGCGAATCGAATCTGGCACCAGTCCCATTTTGGGACAGTCCCTTTGAGGCAGGACATACCCTTTTAAGGAAGAGTAGGATGTTTAAGCCAGGACAACCACACAGCCACCGGTCGGAGCCGTTGAAAAGAGAGGGTGTTGTCCTTTTACTTAAGGGAGCCAGGGCAAACATACTTCCCAATCGGGAAGGTGGGTATCACGTGGATCTGGGGTATAAAGCGGCCTTCGCCAAGACTTTCCCTTTCTTCTTTTCTTTTTTTCCCCAAAAATATTGGGGGCTTCGCTCTCTGTTTTTTTCAGACTCTGCCATTATTTCAATTTTTGAACCTCGCGACTTGACTGTGCCTCTGTACAGGTCTTGTTGCACTGTGTCATTGGGCTTACACTGTCCCCAAAGGATGCGAACCCATTTCCATCAACTGTTCGGCTTGACCGGGCACTTGGAGAAGATGTCTACTTGTGTCCATATCCCCTGTAGTCCATATTGATGCCTCTTATATGCACTATGTTGCACAACGCCAGTCTTGTCTATAGGTATGTCGAACGTTTCTCCACCTAGAGATGGCACAGTTTGTTCATCCATTTATGTACCGTGAATGTACCTAGGTATGTCTCAACGCACCTTTTCTTCCCCCAAGATGTAAAACAACCTATACTGTTCTAGAATTTCCGCACAAATTCCACTCAAACTGAAGCAATGATAAATGCAGTAGCCATGAATGATATCGGTTGTCAGACCCCCACGTCATACCCCAACTCTCAAACTCCACCAGAACACACCCCAGGATTTCTCCCAACCCACGCCCCCACACGGACGGAATCCCTTCCGTTTCAGTGAAGCCCGGACAGAAGATACCAACTGCCGAGGCTGAACCAGACCAGGATCTGCCCAGATGGCTTGACTCAAGTAAGCTTTGCTAAATATGCTTTTTTCCAAACGCCACCAGTCAGCCAAGAAAGCCTGTCCCAGATCTAGACGAGCCTGTGTCGGGGAGCAATTGCAACGTCTAGGTTCATCGAGCGCCGTGAATACTGCACAACTACCAAGCAACTGACTCGCAAACTCTCTGGGTCCCGGACATATTTGCGGGGAATGAATACAATCTTAGGGGCGAGCGGGTCCGGTACACAGAATGGAAGAGGATATCCCCGATATCCCCCGCGCAGTCTTCCCCACACCAACGTGGAGACCTGGAGACAGTACGTGGTTACTCCAGCCTGTTCTGGGTCTGGTGCGGATCGACTGGCAAATCATACTACTCGATTGCTACACCTTTGAGACACATTAGGCTGCTTCGAGTCTTGGCGTTGATGTCGAAATCGGGTTCTAGCAGGTTTGGCGGCGAGTCATCCGAGGAAATCCGTGGTTTGGTCGTGAAAGGTGTCTAGAGTTGTGGGTGTTTTACGGAGATATGGTCTAAACAAGAAGGTGGGTACGAGAAACAGATAGACGAGGTACCTGACCACGAAGCATAAAGGAGACTGTGAATCATGGCCCTGGTTTGTCCTGCTTTTCTCCTGGTTCCCTTGGTTTCGTCAACTCCCTATCTTCTTGCAACAAACACAGTTCAGACATTGATTGACCTTGTGATTTTTGATATCTTGTTGAAAATAACTGTCATTTAGGCCTGAACATGTCCGATGACAACAGCCATAACCACGAGACCTCCACGGCGGAGATTCTTCGTCGCTACCAAACTGCCGAAAGCGTCTTGCTTCCTATACCGCGAGATGCCTTCGAAAAGCTATACCTAAGCCCCAAGACGCCAAATGCAGGAAAGCTGCGGTCCACTTTTGGGAATCCCACACCTGTCTCATTGATGGGCTTCTTGCTGGCTGCCACACCAACGGCAATGCTCACTATGGGCTGGAGGGGAGCTGGTGGGAATGGCGGTGCCATTTTGTAAGAGCAAGGGCAATATGAGATGCCACGAGGGCACTCCCTTCCAGTTACTAACCATGCTCTCTACTAGACCGGTTTATATCTTCTTCGGTGCAATGGTACAGATCTTTGGAGCGGTTGGCGAATGGATCCTAGGGAATACATTTTCCTGTGCGGTATTCTTTACATATGGTGTGTGCAATTCGTTCCAATGTTGAAGACCTTTGCTAATCAAGTCTAATCGCGTTATAGGTACCTTCTGGCTGGTCCAAGGTACATCACTCATGCCATTTTTCGCCGTTGGCACAATGTACTCACCTGAGGGCAACACACTGGAGGGCATGGAGACAGCTGAATACAGCGCCACTGTTGGTGAGTGTCTTCCATCCCGTTGACTACGTCTAGATGCAGTTCCTTACTTACAAATTGCACAGGTTTCTATTACGTGACCCTCGCAATGCTCACTTTCGTATACATGATTTGCTCCCTTCGCACCAATATCTGCCTCTTCGTCGCATTCTTCCTCCTCGTGATTACATTTGGACTATTTGCAGGCACATATTTCCAAACGGCGCTGGGTAATCTAGAGTTAGCAGCCAAATTACAGAAAGTACGGTGCAATAACGCACACCACTCTTCGATGTATTGTGCATATGCTGATCTCTTTACTAGGCCGCCGGCGCCTTCAACTTTGCGCTTTGCGTCCCAATCTGGCACATTTTCATCGCCCAGATTCTCGATGCAGTCGATTTCCCGATCTCACTTCCAGTGGGCGATCTGAGCACGGTTATTCTTGGCAAGAGTCAGAAGGCTCGGAAATGTGAGGTGGATGGATGATTTCAAACCCAACTTTGGAAATATATTCATGGATTGGTGATACGGGGTAGCATTTTCGGGTATATAAAAATGCATATAACCGACGGGATTCCGGGACGGCTATAAGGGCTCAAATGGGCGGAGCGTTGACGGCCTACGGGGCAGGATTATGGATATTCCTCAACAAATTCGTCATAATACCTAGCTCGCTGTGGAAATTGGAACTTGATTTTATAGAATACTCATTTGGTATGGACTCGAGAATTTCAGAGAATGCGAACTGCACGTAACTAATGCCAGGGATCGACTCCATAGCCATGAACCTCGTTTGGAGCCCTGTTTCCTACCTTAAAGTTCATACATACGAGATCTCTCGATTCAGTCTAGTTCCATCGCACGCTGTCAATCTAGAATACGGCCTTCAACCTTGGAAACGGACGATGCTTGGTAATGAGGTTTGCATATCTCAAAGCAAACCGCATGGAGAGCGGCAGGTTGCGATCACCGACGGATTTCACGGCTCAAACGGGTAGAACGTTGATGGAATGAGCTTCATGAGAGCAACTCGAGCTTCTAGGAGTATGTGTTTAGTTATGAAGTAGATAGTAGAGAAAAAGGAATCATCAGATTCCTGGTCGAAGTGGAGAGAGATGTGTGGGAACCGCAGGGAGTGGACCCCTACAGCTTCAGAAGGACAAGAGATACCAGACGGAGTACGGAGTATGGAATATTGATTCTTTGTTGTATGTGGTAGATATGAATACGTCTTACGTGCATGGAGGGGTTGTGATCTACGGAGGGCCATCTCATGCACGCGATGGGTCGCGAGATAAGATATGATCGATCCGATCTGAGGAAATCCTTCAGACTCTTCCCCTCTTCTTAGCTTGTCTCCTCCTCTCCGGCCCTTTCTCTCTCTCAACCCCAATCTACTTGCCATCCAAGATTCCAAGATGAATGAATGCAGTACTTGCACCGAAGTCTTCTACTTTTGGGAGGACTGCGAGAACCACATGGATGAGGAACGTCATTGGATCGAGTGCCAGACATGCGACAGAGAGTTCCGCACTCAGAATGCTTGTAACCAGCATATGAACTCCTTGGATCACTGGGCACCCACCTTTGACTGTGAAACTTGCTCTCGGGAGTTCGAGAGTCAGTCCGCCGCCAACCAGCATATGAACTCCAAGGGCCATTGGCTGCCCACTGTCCCCTGTGAGACGTGCACGATGAAGTTCCAGACCCAACACAGTGCCGATAATCACATGGAGAGCCTAGGACATTACAAGAACTATTGCCGTGAATGTGATCGTCGTTTCAAGAACGAGAACTGTTTACGCCAGGTAGGCAAGAGCTAACTTGACTTGAGACATATTCTGAACCTGTTCCACTCACCTCTGTCTCCTAGCATCTGAACTCGAAGATCCATCGTGGCACTGGGATCTCGTGCTTTTTCTGTCCCGCTAAATTTGTCACCCCGAGCGGCGTCTCCCACCACCTGGAAACTGGAGCCTGCCCCCAAGCCCCGACAATGAACCGTGACATGATCCACCGCATGATTCAACAGCTCGATCCTAATGGTATTATCTGCAAGAAGCAGATTGGATGGCATGATGAAGAGAATGTGCAGTACTTAGTCACCCAACATGCCTTCAATGGTCACAACTGGGTGTGCTATATCTGCAAGAAATGTTTCAACGCGCCAAAATCACTGGAATCGCATCTTAATTCGTCCGTACACAAGGAGAAGGTCTATCATTGCCTGAAGAGGGGATGTCCCAAGGAATTTGTCTCTATGGCTAGTCTGTTCAGCCACTTGGAGAGTGAATCCTGTGGATACATCCGCTTCGAGGGTGTACAGCAGGTCCACAGACAGTTGAACGATGCTATCATGGGCCGCAGGATGATCACTGGATTCTAGCTGGTTCTTCAACTCTTGAATCAGAATGCAGAGACTACTCCATACTCTTGGTTACCGACTAGCGACAGGATAGGGTCACGACGACGTGATTTCCCCGCCTCTTTATGAGAGCGGCCTGTAGCTGCGGATAACATACATTTTCAGACATTACAATACCCATTTTTCTTATTCTTTGGCTTCCAGTGTATCAGCATTGAAATGGTTCGACTCGGGGGATGTATGGATGATGTCTGATCTCTCGAGTGTTGTGCTTTGCTCTCTCATTAGGGATTGCTACAAAGCTCCTATTAAGATTGTTCCTCCTACTAGTTCTATCCTTGTTTTCTTCTTTGTGACGTATATACTATATATAGTGTAGTATGAAACCACAATAGCCGCCGAGATTAGCCTCGCTTGCCGCTACTCCGCCACCATTGGCGTGACCTGAGTAGATAACTGGTCTTGCTTCTGTCTTGGAATATCCACCGAGTACATAATCCTCCGGTAGCCATATGTTGTTCTTCAGACTTTCTCTCTCTCTCTCTCCCTCTCTCTCTCTCGGCCTTCATCATCGCCCATCTAGCAAGGGGGGAGACAATAAGTCCAGTATCATCCTTATTATCTTCTGAAGTCTAATTGTTGCTGTATCATCATCGTGATCCTCATCTCCTCGTAACATCATACCATGCGCATCCCCGTCAAAGACACGGTGGTACGACTCGCCATCATCTCCAAGCTCCTAGTGCTGTCCTACATCATCGACTGGGTCTTCATCATGTACGTCCACCAAAAACACCAATTCATTAGCTTCAAACTAAACCAATGCAGCGGCATCGCCCTAATCGGCTACGGCTTCTACAAACAAACCCCAAACCACCATCCCTTCAGCCTCGCAGATCCGACAATCAGCTTCCCACATACCAAAGAAACCGTCACAGCTAAAACCCTTATCCTAGTCTGCCTTTTCGCACCAGCCATACTAGTCTTCCTAGGCGCGTGGCTCCTCATCCCAGCAACCGTCACCACCTCTCCCACGATCCCCAAGCCCCACGCAGCGCAATACATTCGCCGCAAGTTCTGGGAATGGCATGTAGGATGGATGGGACTGGCACTGGCACTGGCCAGCGCATGGACCGCAACACAAGGATTGAAGGTATTAGTGGGTAAACCGCGCCCTGATCTACTCGCACGCTGTGATCCGGATATAGCACGCGTGGCGGAGTTCACCGTTGGCGGACTGGGGGATCGAGTGCGTGGAGCGGCGACGCTGGTTTCATGGGAGATTTGTCGGTCGACTTCGGATTCGTTGCGAATTGATGGATTTGCGAGTTTTCCTAGTGGACATGCTTCTTGTAAGTTTCTCATTTGCATGTTTATAGGTTTGGTGTGCATGTTCGGATGTCATACGACCGAAAGAATGCAAAAACAGAGAAGTACGCATTCGAATCGCAGGCTAATATGCCAATAGTCTCCTTCGCCGGTCTTGCTTATCTGACCTTGTGGTTCTGCGCCAAATTCTCCGTCGGGTTCCCGTATCTACCGCACTACCCTGTCGAAGGCCAGACCTACACGGATGACGGCTCATCGGTGCGGAAACGAGGCGCCGCACCCCCGGTGTACTTGATGTTGATTGCGTTCGTGCCGACCGCGACTGCGTGCTTCATTGCTGCGTCGCGCTGGTTCGATTACCGCCATCATGGATTCGACGTGCTTTTTGGGTCAGCGGTCGGCATCTTCTTCGCTTATATCGGCTTCAACATGTACCATCTCCCGATCCGGCGCGGTGCAGGCTGGGCTTGGGGTGCGCGCAGCCGGCGCCGTGCATTTATGCGTGGTGTTGGGTTCCCTAGCTCGCTTGGGACAGATGGCTGGGCACTTGATACGCAGAAGGGCGTGGATGTGGAGAATGCGCCTGTCATGCCCGGGGCACCATTCGGAGGTCATGTAAAGCCGGAAAGAAGTGAAGGGAATGGTGTTAGATATGAGTGATGATATGTCACTTTCCTGGGCATTGAAGATGGGTGATCGCGAAACCTCGGGGGGGCGGGCGGGGGAAGCCTAAACTCCTGAAGTATTGTATAGACTGTATTGTATAGTGTATAATGAGCAGAGCATAAATCGGAGGCAACATGATATCGTTAATGGTAGATTCAACCCAGCGCCATTTTATATGGAAAGGTTGTCTCAAGATCATCGCCAGCCCCCAACCCGTCCTTCATCCCACCGGGCCTTAGCCTCCTTCCTAGCCGCCAACTTGGATGCCTCGGCCCGCACGCGCCTGACCCAATCGGCAATCTCCTTCTCCGTGGCTCGGCCGTGGTGATCTTCATCCAGGAAGCTCTCCTCAACGGCATGGCACACAGCCTCCTGTTCCGTGATCGCTGCGCTAAAGCGCTGGTATAGTGCTTTGGGCGACCACGGGGCCAGGGCGGCGTCCATCTCGGCCTGCTTCTTGCGCCAGGAGACCTCCAGGGATTGATGTGTGATGAGCATTGTTTCAGTGGAAGCGCGGACTTCTGCGAGGTGGTTCTGCATCTCCAGGACGCGGGTTGCGAGCTCTTTATTCGTTTGGATTAGGGCCTCGAGGGATTGCTGGCGAGCTGTATAAGAGGGGTGTTGGCTTGAGAGAGCGGAGAGCAAGATTGGGTCTTGGAGGATTGTTTGAAGGTCGGTTGTTCTAGAATTAAGTGGGTTAGAATGGAGCTATTGTCCTCGTTTCTGGGGGGTTTGCGCGGGACTCACGATTTATCGGTCACCAAGTCCGGTAGCCAGCCCTCCTCAATTGTTGGAGGGTCAGGGAGATAGGTCTGTTGAGGATTTGTGGGAAATGCGCCCTGCTGTGTCTTTGTTTGGTTGTCTGGATGGTACTGTGCAGCAGAAGTGTTTTGCGGGGTGCCGCCTCGACTGGCCTCGTGGCTGCTGGGTTTTGGAGGTGGTGGAGGGGGTGTGTCTGGATTCATTATTTGCGGTGAATGGAACTGAGACTGTGGAGGAAAGGGGGACGGTGGTTGAGACATGATTTGGAGTTAGGATGTTGTCAAGAGCTACGTTGGAAACATGATGCGGGATGACCACGAGCTTGGCGGAGACTTGACCCGCGATCTACACAAGTACGCGCAGCACGTTAGTTTGAGATTGATACACCGTTGTATGCTTTGGGAGTATTAACAAATTGTTTCAATCAGTATTTCATGGGTATTTCATAATTTAGTCCTAGTTACAACGTCATATAGAAGCTCCCTTTGCGTCTCCAATCCAACGTCAGGATGGGCCTCGACATCGAGGGCTCTGATATCACGGCTCAAAACATATAGCCTTTCTGAGACGGGAGTGAATTTCTTCTTCGTGCCCGGTTCAATCAGTATGAAGCTTGAGATTTTGAGAGAAGCACTGGATGAATGGCTCCCAGTGGTTCGCATCCTCAAACGCGAGAGGGAACTCCGAGGCGCAAGCTCAACGTAGTAGTGGAACGGCTCCAAACGGTCGCAATGCTTTTGCTTATTCAGTTCGTCTCCGAATGTCTCGCTCCATGGCTTCGATATTTGAGCCAGCCATGGCATCCTTGACCAATTCTCGCACTTCATTCTGTACCTCCTCACTGTAGTAATCCTCGCGAGTAGCAAGCTCCTCAATGCGCCTCTTGAACTCTGGATCAGGTTCACTCATACCCCCAGTGGCCTCTTCCTCCGTCATTGTGCCAATGTTAACCCTCATATCGCTGCCGGGGATGGGTCCGGGGGAGTTCAGAACGTCGGCCGGGCTGACAGCCTGCGCTGCCGAGGCAGGAGCACCCCCGACGACTTCGCGGAGGTAGGCAGCAACCTGCGGGAACTCATCCTCGGCCTCCATCTTTTCCACGGCGGTAAGTTCTTCGGCATTCTTCTTATTGACGTCCACGCCCAGCTCCTCAACTAAACAGCGTGCGATCTTGGTGTGCTCGGCGACAAAGAGACATGTTTCGCCGTCTTCATCGAGAAGATTGACATCGACATTGAATTCTTTTACTAAAGCGCGTAGGAGATCGACGTGACCGTAGGAGGATGCGGCGTGTAGCAATGAGTAGCCGGACTCATCTTGGCTGGATGCGATCGAAGGATTGGCGCGCAACAGGTCCAGAAGGGCCGAGGGATTATCGCAGGCCAATAGGTAAGGGTTTTGGGCCATTATGAGTCAGAGATATAATCCAAAGTGGTAAATAAGTGAGTCAAAGGTGAGGTTGGTGTCGAGAATGGAGTTCACTTTTTAAAATCGCAGAGGAAAAAAACGCCGCTTTTCCTTTTTGGCTCCCCGCACTGTGACACACAGTTCGACTCTTCCGGCCTCTGGCTCTTGTCTTTTCATTCAATCATTTCTTGCTCTCCTTTGGCTTGGCTTGATTCTACAAATACCTCGTCAGCCCGACAATCAACAGAAACCCCTCAACGTTTTCTTTTCTTTTTTGTCTTCGTTCCCCCCCACTTTCGCCTGCCCCTCCTCTCCGTCCTCTCCGTCCCGCAGATCTTAGAGATACACAACACACAGATATGGCGACTCAAGATCCACAGGTGATCGCGCAGCTAGTGAACTCCCTGGAGGAGGCTCGCAAGGCTAAAAAGGGCGAGACGAGGTACTCCTGCAAAAAGAACACCTTCACAGTGGCCGGCACCCAGAATGTGACGGTGGACTCATGGAAGTTCCAGGATTGGGATTATAAGCGCCCTGATCTGCCGACATATGCCCGTGGTCTGTTCACTGCCAGAAGGAAAGACAACATTCCCGAAATTGTGACGCGTGGATACGACAAGTTCTTCAACGTGGGCGAGACGAAGACCACCGAGTGGCGTAACATTGAGAAGAACACACGAGGCCCTTACGAGCTGAGTGTAAAAGAGAATGGTTGCATTATTTTCATCTCCGCCTTGGAGGATGACAAGTTGCTGGTCTGCAGCAAGCACTCGACTGGTGTCCGCGAAGATGTCAAGCTCAGCCACGCCCAGGCAGGAGAACGCTGGACGGAACGTCATGTCTCATCCGTGAATCGATCTGTCAAGGATCTCGCTCGCACTTTACGAGAGATGAACGTCACAGTTGTTGGAGAGCTCTGCGATGACAGCTTCGAGGAGCATGTATTGGCCTACGATGAAGCATCTTCCGGCATCTACCTCCACGGTCTCAACTACAACCAGCCTAATTTTGAAACGATGTCTTGTGACCAGGTACACAAGTTTGCAGATGAGTGGGGCTTCAAGAAGGCCAAATTTGAGGTCTTCGACGATATCTTCAGGGTACAGAGCTTCCTAGAAGGATGCGCAGAAACTGGCACATGGGATGGGCGTGAGACTGAAGGTTTCGTCATTAGATGTCAGCTGAGTGACAATGGAACGGAGCCTTACCGGCATTGGTTCTTCAAGTACAAGTTCGAGGAGCCGTACTTGATGTACCGCCAATGGCGCGAATGCACCAAAGCCGTCATCTCAGGGAAACATCCCAAGATCAGAAAGCATGAGCAGATTACCGAAGAATACCTACAATTTGCTCGGCGGACTCTGATGAAAAACCCCAAGGTAGCAACTGAGTACATGCATAACCATGGTATCATCGCTTTGCGGGAGGCGTTCCTGAAGGAACGAGGAATGAATGGATTTGAGATTATCGCCCAGGAGGCGAGAAAGCTGACTGAATCGAAGGAGGTCAATCGAAATGTCATCCTCGAACCAGTTGCTTCGCTGGGATGTGGCAAAACGACTGTTGCTTTGGCCCTAGTGCGACTGTTCGGATGGGGACATGTTCAGAACGATAATATCCCCAAACAGAAGAACAAGCCCAAGAAGTTCGCTTTCGAAGTCAGCCATTCGCTGGGAGAGCATGGCGTTGTTATCGCTGATCGCAACAACCACCAACGACGCGAACGCAAGCAGCTCATGGACGACATCTATCCTGTGCTCCCAGATGCGCAGTTTGTCGCAATGCATTACATCCACGAGCCCAAGGAACAACGGCTCCCTATCATCAGAGAGGTCACTCGCAAGCGTGTGCTGGACCGTGGCGACAACCACCAATCCATTCGCGCCGGCACAAACGCCCGAGAGGAAACAATCGGGATCATGGAAGGATTCCTGGGCCGCTTCGAAGCAGTTGACACGAACCGCGATCCAGACCAATACTTCGACCACGTAATCGACCTCGACGTGTGTGCCTCATCTCGCGAGAACCTCGAAACCGTCGTCAAAGCCATGCACGCCGCATACCCCCGTCTAGTCCCGACCATGCCGACAGCAGAGGAGCTCGATGCGGCCATCGACGCCTCTCTGAACGACTACCGCGTCGAGACAGACCTGAGCTACAGCTACGACCGGCCATCAAAGCAAAAGGTCAAGTCCAAAAGTCCAGGCAACGGACAAAATGGACCCCTCCTCCCGCAACCAACGGACTCTCCTTTCTCCCCAGAAGCCCTCGCCCAAAAGATCGAATACTTCAATATCTCCCTCCCGGCAACCGAAATCACCTCAGTTCTCCACTCCCTCTTTCCTCCGACAACACCAGCCCAAACAGCCCGCCTTTACCACCAACTCGTAAATTCCCGCCGCCTCCAAGCAGCCTTCCACGTCACACTCATCCACCGCGCATCCAAAAAGGACCACCCAGAAACCTGGGCCAGTCTCGCAGACCGCTACATCAACGAGCAGACCACCTCCCCCGTCCCAAAGCCAATCCAGTACCCACCAACTCTCGGGTCCGCACGCGTGCGTCTCGAACGCCTCGTCTGGGACAACCGCATCATGGCCTTCGTCGTGCGCATCTTGCCAGCCGAGGGGTCTGAAGCGGAGGGTATGGAAGCGGCCAATGCTGCTCAGTGGCCTTGCGCGAATTCCATCCCGCACATCACGGTCGGCACCGCTTCGCAGGATGTCAAGCCGAAGGAGAGCAATGATCTTCTGCGCCGATGGGTTGAGGTCGGGTCTGGAGGTGACACGGGCATTTTCGAGGCAGAGATTACAGGCGTTAAAGTTGTCGATGGAACAGTGGGGTTGGTTATGAGTCGGGGAAAGTATTAAAGTGAATCTGGATTTAGGGATGGGTGATCGATGATCGAAAATTCATGGCGGGAAGCTGATTTTGGTTCATCGTTCTCGGTTCAAGTGTGGCTACGGTTGCGACTTCGGCTCTCTGCTTTGCATTTTTATGGTGCCTTTTGCCTTATCTTGCAGGTTTTATATCTGCTTGTTCTCATTCATATTGGTTTCTTAATAGCTAGTACGAAATGCATACTTATTCCCCACAGCAAGCAGCGGCATTGATGTAAGGTGCAGTGGACAGGCATGTATCGTCACTTTTAAAAATGATTTCAGTGTACTGGTAGCTGGAAAACCTACCTAGGTAGAATGTCCCTCCTCATTTAATATCAGTATCGACTAATGTACTATGCAAGCATGAAGTCCCTATGCAAGTGAAAGTATTTGAACTAAGACGGAGACAAGGCACTAGAAACAACCTATAGTCTCTTGGTCGGTATACACAAAGAAACGCCCAGACCGCATCCAGTATCGTAAGTAACCGTCCACCGCAACCATAGGATATATGCGAGGCCCAATCAAAGTGTATACTCGTTAAAGCAATGAGGGAATCAACCATTGATCCAGGAGGTAACACGCGAAGCTCCGAAACGACCGACATATTGCAGACCGGTGCTGCCCATAGGGAAATAGCTGACAAGGTACCAGACCAGGGCGACGAGCTGGAGGATGGAGGAAATGAGGGTAAGGAAGAGCGACTGAAGCTAGAACGTACCAAATAAGAGAAGAAGTCAGCAAGAGTTTCTAGAAAGAGGTCGTGTTACCGAATGCGGCAAGTGGATGGTGTGTAGTTGTGATATGCAGGTAGAACAAGATAACTGAGCGGCCAGGAACGGTAAGACATAGATTGATCTCGATGGCTCTGGATTCCGCGCTCTGTAACACCGGGATGCGTCGGACAGGGTAAAGCAAAGAAAGCCGCCTCCAAGTCCCGCGCTGCCGTGGGACGTGGCACAGATGCAAGATGCAGCAAGAGCACATAGCCCAACCGAGTACAGGGTGGGATGTGTCGAGGGAGCAAGATCGGCTGTAGCCAACAGCGGACATGAGAAACCGTGCTCCGCAAGTGGGACTGCGCGATAGATGCGAAGGCTGCAAGATTCCCTCTTTCCCGGTTGTGCAGTGCGACCATACTTCCGGAATGGGGTAGAGCGAGGGCGAGGGAATGTGCAACAAACAAGGAAATCCGAGGGAAAGTATCATGAGGGAGGAAGGGATCGCCGGCGTGGGACGCGATAAAGCGTAAAGTCCACAGACAAATAACCCAAAAAACCAAAAAGCCAACAAAACAAAGAACACATTTTCACTTACCCCGATAGCAAAGTATAGTGTGAGCGCAATCGATCCGAAATAGGCTGCTGTGAATGGCAGTCGTGCTCCAGAGATCAGATGCTTAGCGTATGTCCGCGGTCCCATGAGAACCGCCCATGATATCAAAAACAGGACTGAGCCGACAGACCATCTAGAAAAACCGGTTAGCAAGAGATAGCCAGAATCGGAGAGACCAAGTCTCTTGGCGTGAGGCGCAGATATAGGTTGAGGGTAGAACGAATCAGGTCGCCAGATGAGGCACGAACGCGCACATGGCCCTAACCACAATCGACTGATGACCTGGATTATCCAAGCTCGGGATTTGGTCGGTCCTCTGGCAACATAGGGTAATTGAAAAAAAAGAGAGAACGGTGGAAAGGCCAAAGCAAGCCGGCAAAAAAATAGGCCACGATAATGCGGACCGTCGCAAGGGCAACTTACAGGACTGCGAATTTGCGGGGCTTCAGTGTCAAGACAGGGAACAGGAAGAAGCAGAGCATGAAACAGACGGCTGCGCCCAAATTACATGCACCAAAGATGAGCATGCGGTCCCACCGACTCACTATACGAAGTCCGTGTCAGTGTGTTTCATTTTCTTTCCCTGTCGGCTTGCAACCACAAACAAGCATAGCGAGAATGAATCCTCCCGGCGCAGGAACTACACATTCATCACCTGGATCTCACGAAACGGTGTACGGGAGGATCGGGGGATCAGAGGGTCACAAGACCTAGGGGAGAAACTTACAAGCAAAAAAGCCCTCTTCTTCTTCCCGTCGATTGGGTGCCGGTAACGGGGCACCGGGACCTTCATTGTGAGTGGGCAGTTGAACATAACCTCCTTCACCGAACGGGTTGTAAGTCTGCAGACGGGAAAAGAACGAGGTGTTCGATGACGCGCCAGTGCGTACGGGCAGATCCGGATCTCTACGCGACCATCCTAGCGAGTTGACGGAGTCTCGAAACGAGTTATTCGCCATGTTTGAGAGAGGAGCTTTAGTCGATTTTAAGACTCCAATTGGGAGGAGCGGAGGAGGAGCGTGCACTTCTGCGTCTGCAGAAAGGCCCGTGGTCTAGGAAGTCAAGACCGAGAGAAACGTCTGCAGGGACTATGCGAGATGGAGTGCAGATGATCTGCGCCGGGTGATGAATGGTCGACAAGGATTGGCTCGAATGTGAAGGACTAGTTAAGCCAACAGAAGAGCAGATGATGACTGCGCCGAAAGTGGATTCGGCTTCCGATGAACTAGGGCACGCCGTGATTCGTATCTGCCCTTTATCGTGGAAACCCCGCCGATTCAAAGATACGCCGCCAAGAATGAAAGCCAGAAAATTCTGTATATGAAAGGCTGATAGCGAATCTGATAAATATTGTCCTCATGCAAAAAGAAAGAAAGAAAAAATCGAGCTGCCTATTTGCACTGTGACAGGCGTCCACCTAACGGGATCTGCAACTATCTCTGCGGAGTCGGCGATGATGACCGGCGTGGCTTGGGGGTTTCTAGCGTCGGCGTGGGTGAACCGCAATCGAGGCTGCGACGTGCAAGGGCCCGGCGAGGTAGGCCAAGCGGAAGAAAGATACGAAGCGTTGAACCTTGCAATCACGATCCGAGAAGAGTGGGGAGCGGACACGACAAAGTCGGCGGGAGTTGATTGGGCCAGGAAGCGCTGCGCTATCGATGAGGGAGGGGGGGAAGATGGGAAAAACCAAGGCAAATGACGAGATGGCGCGAAGCTACCGATGCGACCAACCCGATCGGCGTGAAGTGCTGAAGCTGTCAGATGATGAGGTTTCCAAAGTTGGGGTACAAGTCTCTCGGACCGAGCCCTGTGCAGCTTTTGACCAGGATCACCCTTCATGGGAGAGTAACTGAGGGATTGGAAGAAGTACAAGCACTTACCAGAGAAATAGACACGTCGATAGGTTGAGGGTATACAACACGGGGAGTGTATATTGGAGGTCCCCGTTCTGCACGAAGTTGGGGAAAGGGGACTAATGCTCAATGGGGTTTAGCGTGAGTTGGCATCAAGTATACAACCCGCCTATAAGCATGGGGGAGGGATGACCTAGGTATTCGATTATTTCCGGATCATCGGTGGTGCTTATTGATAATCTATTTTGACTATAGTGTAAGCATAACTCTAGCATTGTTTCTCTCTGTTTTTCTTTTGCGCTGTAACCGCTGGAATTTGTCACAACCCTCGAGGCTATCCGGGACCACATACAATGTGCACCTTGTTTGTATATGTAGGTTTGAAACCAATGATCATTTACAATATCTTCGAAGATTCAACCAAATTAGCATGCTCTAAGGATGAGAACCACCGCGAGAATATCAATATACAATATAGTACTCCGTGCTTGTCTCATCTTTACTAGACTCAATATAGACTCATGACCACCATTCATAGTGCCCCCCTCTTGCTGCATATTCCATTCCTTAGTGGCCGTCTCAATGTCGATCCTCCATGGCTGGTGCGCACCCTGCGGCGATCGCAGGAGCCGTAACTGTAAGCAAATCATGGCACATTTCTTGTATTGGACAGCGGGCAGCCTCAAACAGTTGTGCTCAGTCCCAGCGATCACGGCGTATCGGAAGAACTCCAGGGAGACACTGTTGCATAACTATCGTACCCTCGCTTGACCATATGTATGTAGCTACCCGTGTACTACTTTGGGGGAAATGTCCGATAGCCAAAAGGACGCCAAGCAGCAAGCTGCACTCCGGACTGCACCGAGGGTAACATTGGCACTAGCCGCAATATTTCTCTCGATATTTGCTTTTTGCTTTTCCTTTTTCAGTTCCAGCCGTTGCTTTCTGTTGCTTTTCCCTGTTTTTGTATGCTTTTTTTTTTAGATGTTGGGTTATGATTGACCAAGAGTTACTCCGTAGAATGTCTGATGCACACAAGTCAGTTTATCCGTGACCCCCGGAATGGAGTGCGACCTCCACCATGCATCGTGATGCCGTCATATCAGGGTCCTGTGCATGGAAAAGAAACACCTTGATAACAACCAACCGTCTCCCTTGCGTCAACCGTGGATACATAGTATTCGGCGTGTATCGCCGAACCTTGACGGGACGGGACGTCAGATCCATTTCCTCTCAAATCCCGGAGATCACCCCCCCGTCGATCAGGATTCTTGATTCTTCTGTTTAGAATGGCTCGCAGAGAGGAGGAAAGTTTAGCGATGTGGCTCGGCACAGTCATGGTCAAGATGAGGTGTATTGCTCTGACTCACGATTGGCGGGGTCTGAAGACACATTCCAACCCCTCCAATGGTGTCTCTCCGCCACATTCTAACTGCTTGCTTGAGACAATGAACGATAAACTCCAAGTGTGAACTGTGTGGCCGTGGATTCCCTCTCGACCTGATTGCAAGCCCTGGAAATTCATTATCCTCTTTGCCGCTCTAACCCAAATCAATAACTGCAAATCCGCCCCCCTACGTCGAACCAAAACCAAAGACGAGATCCAAGACCCGGCGTGCAGTCGGAGCGGAGCAGTATGAAGGTCCAAGCTCCCTTGACGATCACAGTAGGATCGTTCCCCTCAGTCTCCTCTGCACGACATCGCACATGAAAACCCAGACCGCACTGATCCTCTTGCGGAGATGATAGAGCGTACGGCGGATGCGGTCCGTGGGCGATATTTTACTATTGGTTTTCTTTTCTTATTTCCTTCTTCACGTATATCCCGGGATCTGGCTTACTGGTATTGCCAAGGTATAGGGATGACTCTGCATGGATGTGATATTGTGATATTCTCCGGATGATATTTGCGACTCGTAGTCCTGTGTCGATGATCTCTACTATATCCGGTGTCCCTCCATCACGTATGAATACATTGCGGTATACTTCTGCATACTTGACGGAGATCAACCCTCCATGTCCATCCACATGGTCTCATTCGAGGATGTAGAAATAAGTCGAGTCCGCGGATTCCCCTCTAAACCGGATAAATTAGGGTTTCCTCATGGGTTTTGGTATGCTTGTAACCCCAAGGCCTCATCTGATACATTCTTGCTCTGTCCAAGACATCCGTGAGTCATGACTGGAGTCACAGGTGACAAACACCCTAATGGGTATCATGGGATAGCCGTTTTACTCGATTCGGCTGTATCACCCTTCCCTCCTTTGTCCAAGTGTGTTTTTTATTTTGGGTTATGAATATGATTTACTCTTTTTCCCTTTTCTGCCTCCGCGTTTGTCATTTTATCTATGTATAGTACACATACACACTTCTCAAAAAGGAAATGTAGAGAGAGGCTCGGGGGTTTACCGTTGTCACCCCTCCTTCACCCAAAACCCACTCACACTCCTGGACACTCACACCCCCCTTTTCCTCCTTTTTATCGGTTTTGGTTTTCCTGACCTTATCTAGACGGTAGTAGTTACCTGGATATTTTATTTCTTTTATTTCTTTTTTCCCAAGAAAAGAATATTCAAGGCCCGATGGCGTAGGTGAACCTCATCGATTCCCACCGATCGACGGGCTGCATGACCGATGTTGTAATATATCAAATGAGAGATGCAGGAGAGCGCCGCTTGAGTTCATAAAGTCTCCATTCCCTCGCGAAGTCTGCGAGTGCTTTCCTCTTCGCGTGTTGCTGAGTTGTCACTGCATACTCTTCTTGAACTCCCGATTCGCACTGTCGGCATCCATCACACTTTACCCCGTGAGCTCAAGCTTGGTTTGGAAAGATCCAGGTACGTGTGCAACTGTCGAGTCTAGCCCGAGATGCCCAAGGGTGTTGGAGCCTCTCATCCATGACATGCTGCCCTATACCATTGTTCCTGCGTGATCTATGACTGCTGCCTGTCATGAATCAGGTCTCCCACGTGTAGCTGGGGCTCTGCGCATGAGGCGTCCTATATCATCCATGACATACTCTATGGTGCTCATGTTGTGCTTGTGGACATCGCCTTGGACATGCTCTGCCTTCTTCGTTGACATGTATTAATATCAACCTAGACTCGGTATCTATATCTCGACATACATATATACCTACCACGACTTTACCATATACACCTCTTCATCCTAGGTACGTTTGCAAACATTTCATCATCTTAGCAGCTATTTCAAGCCCACATCGTCCCACATCGTCCCAAAGATGTTTCTTTTGTTATCCGTGAAGAGAGAGAGAGGGTAAGCGCTTGTGGAAACTCGTATTGCGATTGCAATCCGAGCGTGAGGGGTATCAAGCCCGGGTAAAACCTGGGGGTCAAGGCGCAATACACCGGGGACATGAATCCGAGCAAAGACAACTTCACCAAAGAGGAATCCATGAACAGAAACCCGAACATGAAGAGAACAGAGCCAATGTTCTCGAATATCTCCGGATCGCCACTCTTCACCGCCCTCCCACCGCCTCTTGTTTCCCCCACTCGCTCTCTTCTCCACGCTCTTTGTTTTGCATCAGGGATTGTATTGGATTTGTACTGGCATTGAACTGGGATTGACTGCCTGACTCGGGCTTGGCTTTTTCCCTGGCCGTGCCTCTCATCGTCTCGTCTCCGTTCAGTGCTTATTTTGATCTCTCATCTTTTCTCATTCTCTCTCATTTGCGCGCTGATCGGCCACTTTATCTCTCAGATTGGGGTCTGTCATCGCTGACAGAGTTCATTAGAACGTTTTTGTCACTGCGCACCTTGCGTCTTCCGATTGCCTTGCGACACACGTTTGTGGTCACGATCTGCACGGACAGTTGTCCCCCGAGTTGTCGACTCATCCGGCTTTAGGACCGAGGAATTTTCCCCGGCTTTTTAGCACGTCGCCCCAATCCCCCGGACTTCATTCCTCCAGTCCTCATTGTTTCAAGGGTAAATATCAACATTCCTTCTTACTTAATCCTCCAGACTATCTTGCATTCTATGGAGTTGCCTGGTCTGCCTTGCGCACGGAGGACACATCTTCAAATCGCCTACGGGCGGGGTCGAGTCTTGACTAACATCTTTTCATACACAGATCCTGACACTGTCACATCCAACACCTGATATTTCTCGTACCGTTCAGTTTCGATACTAGGCGAAAGCGGACCGCCTATCTTTGACAAATAGCACGGAGTCTGTAGGATCGGCACTACAACTCCTCCCTTAACCCCTCGCCGATCTACACCAACCCAAACGTCAATATTGTTTTCCCATGATATGGCTGAAGCGAGTCTCTTCATCAAACACGAATCCGACGACCGCACACCCTTCATAATGTCGCACACTGGTTATTCGATGGGTAATCAATTCCCCAACGATGGAGTCGACCCATCGGACTTGACCATGCAGCAACAGAATGGCTTCATGCCTTACTCTTATGGTTCGCAACAGAATATGTCATCCAGTTTCAACTTCGGAAACTCTGGTATTGACACAGACGAGCTGCTGGATCTCGAGATCAGTGGTCAGAATGGTCATCAGCGAGATAACGTGAACTATCTTCAGGACCAGTCTGCCGGTGGCATCGCCATGAGTCACCAGAGCCAGATGTCACACATGTATTCAAATACCCCCGACAACGCTCCGATGGCCAGTCCATTTGTTCAGAACAGCTTCAACTATGAGCAGTACCGGATGAACCAGCAAAATTCTCACATTCATAATGCCAGTTCTTTCGACCAGAACTACCTCGGCGCAAAACGCCAGAGCTTGCATGGCATGGACCGCACTTCATCTGACGGTCGCAGCCCGATGACCCCGAAGACTCCAGCACTGGGCTCCTTGACTTTGGGTACTCCTGAATCAGGCAGCTTCCCATCTCAGCCGATCCGAACCGGCCTCCAAGCTCGCCACCAGAAAAACCTCTCCAATCAGTGGGACGGAACCCCCGGTAGTGCCCAATCGTATGTCGAGTCCTCTCCAATCTCATCTCCTCCTCTGCAATCACACCACACCGGCATCTCGGAGATCCTCAAGTCCGGCAAGCATGCTTCGCTGCCTGCTAAGGTGGACACCCATCTCCCTGGCAGTGGTGGAGATCTCGAATCCCAGGAAGCTAAGCGCCGACGACGCCGTGCCTCACACAACCTGGTCGAACGCCGAAGACGCGACAACATCAACGAACGCATCCAGGATCTCTCTCACCTCGTCCCACAGCACCGACTGGAAGACGACAAGGTCCGAAAGCAACTGGTGAACAGCAGCGCTCTTTCCATGGCCGGCGCAGGCGGAAGTGCCGCCACATCTCTTCTCGCCGGAGGGAACGGTCGCCGCGCAACACCCGGTAACATCACAATGGGTCTCCCGATTGAAGAGAAGGAGAAAGGCCCCAACAAGGGTGACATCCTCAATGGTGCTGTCAGCTGGACGCGCGATCTTATGTGGGCCCTGCACGTGAAGTACCAACAGGAGGCGGAACTTGCCGAGCTGATCGCCAGCCTCGGTGGAACCTGGCCATTTGAGCAAACCGAAGAAGAGAAACGAATGCGCAGTGAGATCCTCGATGCACTGGAGAAGAACGATCCAACTTCTTTCAGTTATACCCGCGGACCAGGTAGCGGTCTGCGTGTCCCCAAGCACACTAACATCGCCGGCGATGCCGTGCAGGGCGGCGACATGTCGGGCCTGACCCCTCCCAGCCTGAGCCCTTCCTTCCACAGCGGTGCCAGCAGTGCCAATGGCGCTGGTCAGCCGCAGTACTGGAATAGTGCTGGCCATGCTGCTATGAGCTTCAAGGAGGAGGACGAGTACGGCATGGACATGGGCTAAACAACTTATCCCTGCCTTTCATATTTGGTCACCCGAGTTGACCTTTGCATACACGGCGTCTGAATATGGGGACCGATCAGTCGGCGTACCAGGAGTGAAAGACACAGACTCATGATTCTATTTATTTCCCCCCTGAATTTCGTTTATTACTTTGGCTTTGTCATTGATCCATCGGTGTTAATGCGATTAGTTCTCTTTGCCCTTCTCTTCTCAACTTGTTTTTTTTTTTGTTATTGTCTGGGTCTTGTGTGTGTATTTCGGTTTTTACTTTTGCCTTATTCCTATTTCATATCGATACCCTGTTCCTTTCCTTTCCTTTTTATCTTCCTTTCGCCTTGACTTGATCTACCCCCAGATGATCCTACCTTTGAATGGTGATTGCGGTCTTGATCTTCGTCTGTGCATGTCTTGTTTATCTATCTGATGTCCAGGATTTGAACCCAGCTTTGAAATTTGATTTTTATTTTCTTCAATTCGATCTACTTCATCCAATCGAGCATGTCTTGTCGGTTGTCTTCTGCATCTTTTGCATAATAAACATGAATGCATATCCCCTAATACCCCCTTTTCTACTTCTCCTGATGCAAATTATCTACCAGTCAATCTATGATCTCCTATATAAACGTATGACAATCTCTACATGTGTATTACACACCAATAGTATATCAAAAACCATCTACCGATGTGAGAATGAGCATAATAAGCTATTGTCACTTGGTTAGTCTCTGATTGGCATCTCCCCATGTTCTTCAAAGACATTCTAGTCTGTATGTGTGTCTTTGCTCATCAACGCAGGGATGGAAATATGGGTGCACGATGTCGGGGACTGGGATATGGACTACAAAAATTGTATAAGACCTGCATGTAGTGACCATCTGATCGGGCACCTGTCCATCGCAGGATTTGGGGGTTGGCGATCGTGGGGGTTATTAGCCAGTCTGTCCTTGATAGACAAGGGCTAGCTTCTTCGGACCGAAATTGCTCACAGCGAGTATACTCCGTGCGGAGTAGTTCGCGTGCTGATCTCGAGGCTGGGGATAAGGCTGTGATGTGACGAGGCTACAGTAGGGGGCCATGGCCAAGAACTGTGGAGTTTTGAGCTCGTTCCGGGCATCAGCCATTCTACGGAGGACCTCGTACAGAATTGACGGACGAATTAGATTAGAAGAACTTAATGAACTCATGAGAGTCAACTGTGGCGAATAGCACACAACCCTACTACGCGTACTCCGTACGGAGTAGGGATCTGTGACGTATCTAATGCGGGGAACGGGTTCGAGGCCATTGAGACTACGCCGTACAGAGTAAAGGATCTGGAAGTGGGAACTGTGGAGAGTGGAGAGTGGAGAATGGAGAATGAGAATTTATGTATTTCAGGTTTTATCAAAATCCGAGAGTAAAAAACAAGTATCGTGAGATGCAGAGAATATGTTGAGCCTCTATTTCTTTACATGAGTAGATTCGTGAAATCGTACCTAGTTTAAGGGAATAGGTAAGATATGGGTAAATGTCCAAAGTCGCAGCTTTATAGCACAAGATGTGGATGGAGACAGAATTCCACAGAGAGAAAAAAAAAAGTGAATATAGTAGAAAGGAAACAAGACCGCCGTGGGGATATCCAAAAACCAGCAAGATTGAGAGTAAGATCAGTTCGAGATTGCATGGGGCTCAGTTGAGGAGTAGGGGGAGTGCTGCTGAGATGAGATATTATTTCCGTTGGTGGGATAGTGGTTCGCGTAGCCATTTCCATTGCCGGAGTACTGCTCATGCTCGTTCGAGAACGCCTGACCGCTCGAGCTCAGACGGCGCTCTCCATTAACAGCGCTGATGTCTCTACCCGATGAGACAGCACGATGCTCGACAGGGGTATCAGGATCATTGGTATGGGCTGATCCCTTCTCGCGCCAATTGATACCCTGCGACTTGAGCTGCTTGCGAGCACGACGGCCACGGCAGCAGGCAGCACAGCACGAGCCGATCTGGATGATGAATGCAATCAGACTAAATGCAGAGGCGATCCACATGAAGACGAGCATCTGCGTGCCGACGTTGGCCTTGATGTTGATGCTGGGGTCGGCATTGGAGAAGACGTTGGCAAAGATCACGAACAAGACCGTTGCGACAGCGGAGCCAACGATAGTCACCAGCGCGGTGAAGAACGTCAGAATAAGCAGGGGCAGGGCGCGTAGCCAGACAAAAGTGCGCCGGCGGTGAGGTGGCTTCCCGACGGGCGCGTGGCTCTCACTGCCATTGGCGGGGCTGTAACCTGCGGCCCAGGCTTTAATGCTGCGCGGGTGTCGCGAAGACACGGCAAGTGGACCGACAAAAATCATGACGAAGTTGAGAACTGCGGCGGCGAGAAGCAGTCCGAACATCCAGTGGGAGGCGAGGCGCGCCAATTCCAATGGACTCTCAATGTCCGATGGGAGAGCAACTAGATGGGGGATATTAGCATTCTACCAAGTTGTGCAGTCCAGGGACTCAATGAGTGACGTACTTGTAGCACCGGACAATAGCTCGTTTAGGATAATTTCCACTGGATTGAAGGCATAGAGAGTCTCCGGTTTGGAGCAGTAGGTAATACCTTGTCCATAATATCCTTCGCAGAAGTTCCATAGGCCGACCGTATAAAAGTCATGCAGCCCAATGGTTTGTGCGATGGAATTGATAAGAACGGCATTGGGGATGGAGACGGGGATAATGCTGGAGAGATCAAGATAAAGGAAATAGGTATCTCGCAGGACTGGTTTATCTGCAATATTGCCAATAGCCACCAGCACCAAAAAGATCCAAGCGATCAGATACAGCAAGGAACGTAGGACCCGATGCCAGTGGACGGTGGACTGGCGCCGGCGGTCAATTGGCGTAGTGGAGCGAAAAAAGGGGAGCTTTCGCTTGCCAGTGCCATTCTCCGTTCCATTCATGATGATAGGAAATAATACAAAGGAAGGCTCCCAGCGGGAGAGAGGGGAGGGAGAGAAAGAGAATTAGGCTCAAGATGCCTGGGATGACGTTAGGCCATCAAATGTCCGTATCACCTTCCAAGGCCCCCAATACGAGATCGCGATGGTAAAGGGATTTGAATTTAGAAATTTCACCAGATCGTCGTGTCTGCCGTGAGATCGTCAGTGGCGGGACACTAGTGGCGTGGCCCCTGGCCTGTGACGATCACTTCGATGAACTGGCTATGAGTACTCCGTACCGGATATGGGTATGGGTATGGAGTATGGAGTATGGAGTATGGAGTATGGAGTACGCCGTCCTCTGTAGTCGGGATTGGGAATGACCTGGGAGCAGGAGAAGCGAACGGCGCCTCAGTCGACGCCCAGAATATGAAACAGACGCGTCAAAAGCAAGAAGCTAAAGATAAACCAGGCAGCAGTTAATATCCACTGTCTCCATTATCAAAACCCGCGAAACAAAATGTCATTGGCCCGATGGCTGTGTCAACGTCACACTTCTGGAACCCTGCAGACCTCGCCCGCTTAGGTAAATATCTTTGCCCAATTCCGAGTTCTCTCCTTTCTGCCATTGTCCCTATCCTCATATCACGACGGCATGAGGTGGCCTACTTTTGCTCTCGCCTTCCTGGCCGTCGCCCTGGCCCAGGAGACCACAACTACCGGCTCGATAACCGACTCGATCACCGGCTCGACCACCGACTCGACCACAGAGTCTGGACGAACCACCGATGGAGCCACGGTTGTGTCGGTGACAACTCCCGTGGCTCTTCCTTCAGGTACCTACCAAGATGTCAGCACAACCATCACATTGAGTGATGGCGAAACATCCGTGGTGGCCTCGACCACCCATTACAACAGCTCAATGACTGCCTCCAACCAGACGGCAATCACCACAACTTCCCAATCCTTGACTTTGCTGGTGGGGGGTGGTGGAACAACGGTTATCGGCAACAGCAGCATGAATGCGACTGCGACTACGACTAGCACTGCGTCAAAGACACCGGTGGTCAACACACGGCCTTGTAACCACTACGCTGAGTTCTGTAACAGGAAGTATTCCAATATTACTATGATCGCCGCGCACAACAGCCCGTTCGTGCGCCCGAACAACCTCGGGGCCAACCAGGTGCTGGATGTGACGCAACAATTGGATGACGGAATTCGCATGTGTAAGTTGAAGGACTTGCTTAGGGAAAGAAATAGCCACTGACCTTCTTTTTCACTTCTTTAGTGCAATTCCAAACCCACTACGTGAATGGCACCATGTACCTTTGCCACAGCACTTGCGAATTGCTCGACGTCGGCACCCTCGAGGCTTACCTGAACAAAGTGAATAAATGGATGCGAAGGAATCCCTACGACGTGGTTTCCTTCATCATCGGCAACTTCGACTATGTGAGCCCTGAGAACCTTACCATTCCAATCTACGACTCCGGTCTCAAGGACCTGATTTACACACCTCCCAAGGTGCCAATGGGGTTGAACGACTGGCCCACCCTTTCCGAGATGATTCTCAAACAGAAGCGCGCTGTCTTTTTCATGGACTACGAAGCCAACCAGACCTCGCACCCATGGCTGATGGATCAATTCTCGCAAGTCTGGGAGACACCCTTCTCGCCGACCGACGTCACATTCCCCTGCACGCAGCAACGCCCACCCGGGTTGTCCAAAGCAGCCGCTAAGAAGCGCATGTACATGGCCAATCATAATCTCAACCTGCAGCTGAATCTGGGTTCATTGAGCATGTTGATCCCCAACACTGCCCAGGTGGCGCAAACCAATGCGGTGAACGGCAGTGGCAGTCTAGGTGCCATGGCGGAGAACTGTACCGGTGGGTTCATACCTATCAATCTTCTCAATTCGATATCTTGCATTGCTAACTCGAACCAGATACCTGGGGCCGTCCCCCCAACTTCCTTCTGGTTGATTACTACAATTATGGTAATTTCAACGGCTCCGTCTTCGAGGTTGCTGCCCAGATGAACAACGTCACTTACAACCGTAAATGCTGCGGTAAGACCTCTGGCGCACTGCGGGAGGTTTCTGTCGCTGGTATGTCGACGGTGCTTCTAGTGGCAGTAGGAGTACAGATGGTCATGTCTGTGTTCTGATTTCCACGAATATACGATTATCTTTTGGGTGCATGTCGGCGCTAGGCTTTTTCTTTTCTTTTCTCTCTTTCTGGCCATACATATTACATTGTACGGGATATGACTTTTGACATTGTATTTACAACTTATATACCAAATTGTAGTTATCTGCTCTACGGAGTGCTAATATGAACCATATGGTCACTCTGTAGACACTTGTAGAGAGAGAGAGTATATTCCCCAGGCACAAACCCCCCATCACATGACCTCTTCCCCCACCGCAAACCAACTCCATCCACTCGCAACTCCAACCATCCACCCCTCACCTCCCAAACACCTCGAAATCCCAAAAATCTCCGGCGAGGGTCACCAATCCCTCCCACCACACCGCCCAACATGGTCGACATCGTCCCCCTCAGCAGTTACCCCTCGTACATCGACCTCCTCCCATCAATCCAAACCTGCAACATCACCAACCTGCCGGAGAACTACTTCCTGAAATACTACCTCTACCACGCGCTGACATGGCCCCAACTGAGCTTCGTGGCGGTCGTGCGCCCGCGCGGAGGATACAAAACCAAGTCCTCCGGCGCCGGTATGGCCGGTGATGTCTCAGGCGAGTACCCCAAAGTAGTAGGCTACGTACTCGCAAAGATGGAAGAGGAGCCAACAGACGGAAAACAACATGGACACATTACCAGTCTGAGTGTGATGCGCACGCATCGACGATTGGGTATTGCGGAGAGATTGATGCGGATGAGTCGTGAGTTTCTTCTTTTTGGTTTTTTTTTTTTGGGGGGAAGTTTCTAGGAATTGGAATTCTAATATGCGGATTGTTGATAGAACGCGCAATGGCCGAGTCTCACCGTGCGCACTTCGTCTCGTTGCATGTGCGCATGTCGAATGTTGCTGCTTTGCGGTTGTATCGTGATACGCTGGGCTTTGAGGTTGAGAAGGTCGAGGCGGGATACTATGCTGATGGGGAGGATGCGTATGCGATGCGATTGAATTTGGAGAACATGTGGCTTGATTGGAAGGCGATTGAGAAGCGGGATCGGGAGAATAATAAGGAGAACGGGGAGGAGGGGAATGAGGATGAGGGTGAGGAGGTTGGAGAGCTTGGGAAGAAGGATGCGGAGAAGATGATTCGGGTCAAGGTTGGGAGGGGACTTGGTGTTGGTGATTTGGTTGAGAAGAATGAGGCTCAGGCTCAGGCTTAGGGCTGTGGATTTTGTATGGAAACACTGTGTGATATGCAGATAGATGCAAATCGCGGATAATCTGTGTATGTATAGAGATTTATTGGGGGAAAACTGTTTCATTTCATATTTGTTCGGGTTTGGAGTTGTGGTAGTTTTGTGGTATAGAGATTAGGTGTATATGGAGATGGATGGAAACGACCTATATGTACGTAGGTATATCCTGGCGAATGTTGCTGTGGATCAATACAAATCACAACGTCGTTAGCCTGGATCTGGCCAAAGATGTCAGACAGTACATCGAAAATCAGAAGAAAAGATCATATTTGTAACCCTCCCGAAATGAACACTGAACTCCCGGCTAAAATTATAAAAGGGAATATAGAGAATATGGACCCAACAGCATCCAACTTGGTCGGCTTAGTTGCTTCCCGCATCTTCCTCCTCCTTCGATTGTTGTTTCTTCGTCTTGCGTGATAAAAGCATATCTTTCAATCGACTCGACGCATCAGCTGCCTTTTCATTCTTTCCTGTCCCCGTAGAGCCCCTAGTAGACATAGATTCCTCTGTGCTTGCCCGCGAGATAGAAGGGGGGTTAGAGGCAAACCCAAAACCGACATTTAGGTTATTTGGAACAGCAACCGGACTAGGTTGTGACGGTGTGTTGACTGAACGTGCAGACACAGACTCATACGATTGCCGAGAATCTTCCAACCGCATTGTTCTAAGCTGTTGATCTAGCGGCTGGTCGTGTTGCTGTTTCGCCTGGTTGCCATCATGGGCGCGGGCTTGTCGAGCCTGGCGCCGGCGAGTGCGGCGACGTTCGCGCTGTTCATCGCGTGCTCTGCGGAGTGTGTCTCGGAACGCCTTTTTGGTAGCGCGCATTTCTTCTTTCATGGCACGCCTGTCGGCGGAGGTACGTTGTTGCTGCTCGGGCGACTCCCAGCGGCCCCAGTCGGCATCGCCGGATGGTTGATTGTTTTGCTGGCTTTGGCTGAAGCCCGGTCGCCAGTTGTTTTTGCCAGAAAACTTGGATTCTCGCCGGGATTCTTGTAGAACTGCGAGTTGCCGGCGGAGATCGACGGCGGCCTCATATAGTACTCGGTCATGTCGATCGTCCAGCAGTTCGAGCTGAATGCGCACTGTGGCAAGATCTGTGACTCCTAGGTCCGATGTGGTAGAGATAGAATCGATTGAGCTGAAGGAGGATTCGGATGAGACGGAGCTCACTGATACTCGTCGAGTGCGCTCAGTGACGGGAGCCACTACCGGAGGTTGTTGCGCCAGAGGTTTGGGTTTATCACTATCCATGATGTGATTGCTTACTTCAGGGCGAGCCGTCGTGTTGGGGGTTGTCACAGGACTCGGGCTCTGAACATGTGTCATTGGAATGCTGGTCATCGGCCGAGGTGAATTATCCCAGGCCGGCCGGCCGTAATAACCACCGTATGGGGCCGCAGCCATCGGAGCTTTGCGGCTATGAAGCCCTGCTTGCTCTTCAATCCAGCGGCCATGTGCAAGAGCCTGCTCCTCCACCTGCCGTCCATAATGCTGAGCCTGAGCACTGATCTGGTCTCCATAATGTTGTGCCTGTTCGCTAAAGCGCTCTCCATACTTCTGTGCTTGTGATGCGAGCTGCGAAATCCATCCAAAGGACCCACCCTTGGAGGCGCTGTTGTCTTGGTACTGGGTTTGCTGTGGTTGTCGCGGATATGTCCAATTGTTCCATTGTAATGGGCCATGTGGCTGTGGATGGGGGTAGTATTGAGGTGGTTGGTTGGGAGATACAGGAGGAGGGTATGGGGGGACACCATAAAGTCCATACGGAGCTGGCGGCACATGTACATGCGGATGGTGGAAGGGAGGATGAGGCATCGGCCAGGGAGTTGGTGGAGGGACATATTGCCCAGGGACAGGTGAGGAAGTATTCGGATCTCGAGCTGCTTGGCCTTCGACTGACCCGGTTGCTGCTGGGTAGCATCGGGGACATAGAGCGGAAGACGGCGCAGAATCAGGCTCGCCTACGTAGACGAAAACAATCCGAGTAGAGCGGAACCCAAAGAAGCATTCGTTCCATTCTGCAACAACGGCAGCAATGCGAGCTTTCCGCTGCTCGTCGGTCTCTTGCGGGCGATCTTTGCGATCTCGTCTAATTTCCGCTCGCAGTTGACGCGGTAGATGTTGAGAAGACGCCGCAAGCCCCAATTGCGGGGGGAAGAGATATTTCAGAAAGATATCCCAGTCCTGCTGGGTGATCTCGTTTAAACGCGTGGCCCAGCACCGCGGCCGTCGCGGGAAATCCTTGGCTTGGCTCCGGGGGTAGATGGTCATATGATGTTGCAAAATTGCCCGGCTCTCGTCCAAGGTTGAGGGAAGCCGTTCGTCGAAGTACGCAGCTGCGGATGTAAAATGTGTAGGTACGACCGTGGGCTGTGCAGGAACACGAGAACTACTGGCATCTTGCGACAGGGATACATTTCCCGCAAGAGGAATTGGGGCCGGGGAAGCGGGATTGTTCCGGGTATTCGCCGGTGCAAGTAATGGGTCGACGGCCGAGTACGGGGGAGGTGGCGCCTCCTCCTCCATTTTGGAGCGGGCGGCAGGGTCAGGTGGAAACAAAGAGCAGCAAAGGCCTAGGAACGATTGCAAATATTCTGTCAGACCTGAATCTCCATGGTGTGATAAGATAACCACGAGGGACGGACGAAGGCAGCAGGATTACTATAAAAGGGGGACACCGTCAGCAGAGAAGACTTGGCACATCATCTTGGAGAGATATATCGAACTATCTAACCTGAAGGATATATTTACTGGGGTGATACCCGTAGTGGCAAAGAGTCCAGAAAGGAGAACGGAGAAAGAAGTGAAGTGACGGGAGATTGGCGACGATAAGATAAGCTCGATGGCGGACTGGCATCCCACCGTTCCCCAGGTTTCAACGCTCTCAGTGGAGTATGAGCATCAAGTCAAACATGGGGTATATAATTTTGGATTGTCCAAGATCAAAGAGTATGAGCCTCAACATCTTCACCTTAGGATGTTGGGATCAGACATAATCACTTCGAATAGGAGGTACAAAATATATACATCCCCAGGAGTATACAAACATAAGATACGCTATTATCCCGAGATCAGGTCCAATGCTAACAAAGTCTAACAATAGAGGTATTGGATTTTCTAGTTACAAACACCACATTAGCCATTCAAAATACGGAGTGTTCCTTGTATGTACGAGGCAGGGAGTGAGAGCTAGGACGAGGGTGGAACTGCAACGGAGTACTCCGCATGTTGTATGCATTTCTCATTCTTCCAAAGTTGTTATTATGAACGAAAGAGGAATAGTCTTGCAATACCTCACATAGATACAGCGTGAGCCTAACATAATTCAATCCAGCATAAGCTTACCTTTCAGGTCACGGAAAAACGCCGTGGGCGTTTTTTAAGTTGGATGCCGATGCCCAACATAGCCTCGGGTGGCTTCCAGATCGGATGCTCTAAGGTGCGAGAAATTCATAAGTCGATACACCGTAGTATATAGTTATGAACCTCCAGAACTGCAGATAGGCATTCCATCAAAGCGCCTAAATTCAATCAGATGACGCGTAAGATGTGGAAATTGATGGCACAAAAGGTAAATAATCCGAGTAGAGGACCGAAGTTACCATCGGCAACATGTATTGCTTGATCACCTTGACCCGATGTGAAGCCATACCTAGGATGTACCTACAATATAGGTACTCCGTCATGGCTACTCCGTTTATGAGGTACATATGGTTATACTTCCAACATCGAGGTGAAAAGTAGCATCCAAATCAGCTGTACGGATCACTCCGTATATCTCGACCATTAAGCCATGAACGCTTAATTTTATGCAGAGGAACCTTCTCTTATGGCGTACGGAGTACTCCGTACGAGAGCCCTTCCCAAGTTATGCGTGACATGTCAGATAAACATGCGATAGGCCCAGTCCTGAAGGCACTCTAAAGCACTGATTCAGCGTCTGGAGATTGGCAATTTTAGAGGCCGCTGATTGGCTGCGGTGGGAGAAAAATGGGGCACTGAATCATCGTCTGGGGGGAACGTGGGAAAAGGGACATGGCAATGACCTTCGATGGCATTTGGTCGCCAACAGGGGCTGTCTGAAACCTGATCCTTCGTCTGATTGCCCAATTCTCTCGATTTATGCTGTTTTATGAACTCCACCACCGTTATGCCCCCTATGGACTGTGTAAATTTAAGCAAACCGGAGAACTGGCGTGCTCCGGAAATTTATACAAAACCCCTTCTCCTCGCTGATCATAGCCTACTCCATATTTTTACTTGCATTTTTCGTACGGAGTACTCCGTGCTCTTATATCTGATTTATTCTTTTCTTCCACTCTTTTGAAACTATTTAATCTTGCCCCTCCTTGGCGTGTCCATCTTTTTACTTTCCTTATACTATTCCCACACGCCAAAAACGTCCATTGCGATATATTTGGGTCGATTGTGCTGTACACACTTGTCGCCCGTCATGGAAACTCCACAGAAAGAGTTTCACTCAAACCAACCAACCCTCAACGAAGGAGATAGCATTCAAAACCAGCCCTCAGAACTCGAAAAACAACCATCAAACCAGACGCCAGACCTTGAAAGACAGCCAACAAACCAGACCACCAAGACACAAACGCAAGGCCCAGAAATATTCCCGGAAACAGACCTCAGCCGTGGGATAGTTGGCTGGGAAGGACAAGATGATCCAAAAAACCCTCAGAACTTCTCCTCTGGCAAGAAATATGGCTTGCTTGGGTTGATCAGTGCCATGACACTAGTCTCCCCACTGGCCTCGAGCATGTTCGCACCAGCCATCTCATATATGGCAAGAGAGTTCAAGGAAACCGACCAAACAATCTTGTCTTTCAGTGTCAGCATCTACATTCTCGGATATGCCGTAAGTTCTGCCCCGCTTCACTATCTATGTGGTTTCTCCCATCTGACATGACTATCTAGTTCGGTCCGCTTCTGCTAGCTCCTCTGAGTGAAGTCTACGGTCGCCGTATTGTCTTCAGCGCCGCAAACTGGTGTTTCGTCGTCTGGCAAATTGGCTGCGCACTCGCAAACAACATCGAGACTCTTATCATCTGCCGCCTGTTCGCTGGAATTGGAGGCTCGGGTTGTTTGACACTCGGAGCAGGTGTCATTGCAGACATGTTCCCTCGCGAACAGCGTGGCATGGCAACTTCCATCTGGGCCATGGGACCCTTGATTGGGCCCGTGATGGGTCCCATTGCTGGTGGATTCATCGGCCAGGAAATCGGCTGGCGGTGGGTTTTCTGGATTCTGCTTATTGCAGGAGGCTTGTTGTCTATTGGTGTCGAGTTTCTTAACGAAGAGACGTACGCTGTTGTTCTTATCAAAGCGAAAACCGAGAAACTCGCCAAGGAGACGGGGAGAACGGATTTGCGCAGTGCCTACGATGAGGATGATGAGCCCACTAATGTGTCAGATGTCCTAGTGCAAAGTTTCAAGAGGCCGATGCTGCTGTTGTTCAAGTCCCCCATTGTGCTCCTTTTGTGTGTTTACATGGTGAGTCGAAAGTCCTATTTAGCTAACAGTGTGATTTGCTGACATGATCTTTCCAGTCGTTCGTTTACGGGTTGCTTTACCTCTTCTTCACCACTATTTCCAGCGTCTTCACTGGACAGTACGGCTTCTCATACGGTCTCTCGGGACTTGCATATCTCGGCATTGGTCTCGGTTTCATTCTCGGTCTTGCAATCATGGCCTTCACAAATGACCGGATGGTTATGGCAGCAACAGCTAAGAATGGTGGCAAGTTCGAACCCGAAATGCGTCTCCCAATGATGATCATTTTCGCCTGCATTCTTCCCATCAGCTTTTTCTGGTATGGTTGGTCGGCTGAAAAGCACGTTTTCTGGATTGTGCCTATTATCGGCATGTTGCCCTTCGGAGTTGGCATGATGGGCGTCTATATGCCCATCCAGACATATGTGATCGATTGCTATCCCAAATATGCAGCCTCTGCCAATGCCACTTTGACCGCGACTCGCTCCCTGGTTGGAGCTTTGCTTCCCCTGGCTGGACCGGCGATGTTCGATGCTTTGGGTCTTGGATGGGGTAACTCGTTGCTCGGATTCCTCGCTTTGGCATTCATGCCGATTCCAATTGTCTTCATCAAGTGGGGCAAGGATATCAGATTGAAGTGGCCTGTTAATCTTGATGGCAAGAAAGCCTGAAGAGATATCATTAGAGTTCCCGCCTCTTCATTGAGCTTGCCGGTCTCCGAGACAGGCACCATGTCTTGCGAAAAAAACAAGCGTACAAAACTTTTCTTACGTACATAATCTTGGAACATAATAGAAATCATGGAACATAATAGAAATCATGGAACATAATAGACAAAGATTTATGATGCATCAAATAATCTATTCTCACGAAAGCTCAAATACAATTTGACTGATATCGATCCCTTCTAAAAGATCAGGATATCGCCTAATAAACTCCGGCGTAAGTCCCCATCCACTCTCGCTCATGAAAGTCTCATAAAACTCTTTTTTGATGCGTAGCTCGTTCCGATCATCCCTCTCAAGGATCTCCTCACCCCATGGCCATCGGATCTTGACACAACAAGCAAACATCCCGAACAGATCGTCCCGGTCATCGGAATACAAATGCCACCGCCGGATCAGGTTTAGCCTCATTCTCGGCCAAGGCAAGAAATCCAACACCATTGGATGCTGAACGGCCATCTGGCCCTGCACAGGCCGGAGGAAGATAGGAAGTCTGCTATAGGTTTCAGGGCTGGGGGCAAGAACCCATCTCGAGAAGTGATAGGTCAGCCAGCCGGTGCTTAGTCGCTCCGGAGCGCGGAGCGGGCGGCGTAGCAAGGTTTTGTGAATCATATCGGCTAGGGCGTTTGTTTTCGTGCCGTACAAGAAATCCAGAGGAGAATCGGGGATGTCCGGACATGGTGTTATAAGCTCTGGGTAAATGAACCAGGGACAGGAGATTATTGTTCGTGGGCTGGAGAAGTCGTCGTTGTGTGGTGGGATTTGCTTCCACAATGGTGTAGTTTCCGATGAAAGAGATGAAAGAGATGAAAGCGATGCCAGAGGTGAGAGTTGTATTTGCGGAGGTGTGGCTGAATTAGACATGGATACATTCAGCGGACTGCTTATCCCATTCTGGGGTATTGACACATTGAAGTTCGTCTGCAGGGAGAACTGGGCTTCTCGGTTGATCATCTGTTTGTACAGAGAGGACCAGTCATAGCTGGAGTCATTGGTGGCAGCCGGTTCCTCTTGTTCTATCTCCCAGGAGTTGACAAGGCATTTCAAGCTCCTTTGACGCATAAGGAGAGTCTCATTTTGCTGGCGGAGCCCTTTGATTACTTGCACAAGTCGCTGCACACCTTGGTCGCTGTGATGCTTTTCGCAGTGCGCCACTCGTTCTTCGAGCTGGGCTGCATGTCGCAGCTTTTTTTCACGGAGGGTCTGTTGCGACCGACGATCCCGAAGGCGCTTTTTCTCGGTGGAAGACATGCTTAGTGGTCTGAGGTTGGTTAAAGGACGGGGATCGTCAAATTTAGAGCGTGGTGGCTGCATAATTTGGCATAAATGAATAAGGTTGCATGCATAAACCTTATGCAGGTATCTCGACGTGACAGTCCTTCTATACACAGTCCGTGCCAGGATAGTAGTAGGATGCTAGCTCCGACTCCGTAAATGGAAACGGACCTTCTCTTGAAAAAAGCCAAAAAAGAATGGAATAGTAATTGGAATGGAATATCGCATTTCAGAGAAAGACTTCTTCTTCTGCCTCACCTACCTAGGTAGAACGAATCGAACGTGAATACATCCCTAGGCGCCTTCCACTTTGGGAAAATCATCAATCCAATCTTTCTGAACAATAACACGTCTCAGGCCACACATGACCATCGTTTCTGCCCTTCATCCTTCATCATCACAATCTTCTCCTTCTTCATCCTCCACCCATCCGGTCCACTGTACACTGTGATAGCCGTCTAGGTCTCCCATCATGCAGACCCTCTGTCTTATCTGATGTGATAAGTATGAAGCACATAAATGTTCTATCTTGAATCTAAAACGATAAACAAGCTGACGCGTCCTTCGAGCCTCGGTGGGGCTCTTCACGGTGTCGGCGACATACAATCGTTCAACCTGGGAGATTCCACCTTGACTGTCCACAACAACGACTCCTATCATGATTCATTTTTATTTTTCCCATGATTCATCTTAGTACACCATACCAAGAAAAGGTATGTCATCACATATCATCAGAAAACTTGTGATTTCAGCCACGACCCACCATCACCATCTATGTGACCATCATTTGTCACATTACATCCACCATCCATTATCTACTGCCCAACCGTTCGCTATACGCACGAAGCATCCATCTTCACGACCCCACTGCTTTGCTTGAACTATTCTCCGGAGTCCAGATCGATGCCAAAATGCCTCTGCTCATCTACATGGCACACTACCACATCAAGGTAAGGTTCCCGAGCGGATACAGATAGAAAGGGGGTTGACTCCCCCTCCCCCAACCCCCATTAGATATTTTAGATAGAGTTCTGCGATGAAGGGTCTTACCAGTTTCGGCTGACGGTTATTGGATCTTTCCAGGTACAATCTTCGGATCAACCACCAATCCCGAGACCCACATCGATTGGGAATTGAGCACCCTGGAATCCCACCGATAGTCATATACTATATGCACAGACAATTGGCTTATATTCAGGTAAGGTTCCCGAGTGGACATCTTTTGAATGGAGGTTGGGGGAGGGGCTTGATCCAACCTCCTTAGATAGTTTAGATAACGTTCCGCGATGAAGGGCCTTACCAGCTTCGGCTGACGGTTATTGGATTCTTCTAGGCATCTGATTCCAGCCAATCACCAACCCCGGGAGACTGTCGAAATGCGATGGGGCATCTCGCAGTTCCACCTACTGGCATATGCACATGGCATATGCACAGAATACTCCTTCAGAACCAGGTAAGGTTCCCGAGTGGACATTTTTTTGAATGGAGGTTGGGGGAGGGGGCTTGTTTCAACCTCCTTAGATAGTTTAGATAACGTTCCGCGATGAAGTGCCTTACCAGCTTTGGCTGACGGTACTTCGTTTTACCAGGCATTGAATCCATACCAACAGCAATCAATCAAGCTTGCGCTGTGTTCAGTCGACTACATGGCCTCTGAATGATCCAACACAAAAGCTACCCCATCCCAACAGCTGCAATCAAAAGGAGAAGAAAACTCAAGTTCGCACGCTTGATTCAACGCATCACGATGGACATGGTTGGTGGTTGTCCGGCGCCCTTTTTCCGGCTCTTGGTGGAAAAGCAAGTGGTAACGCTTTGATGTTCGATGCTACAGGACAAAATTAGACGTGCTGATACTTGGCCTCAGGGACTTTAAGCCCCAAAAGGTCTGTCCATAGCCTGTCTGTACCAAGAAAGTATCCTCTTTTCATCTGAAATATACAAGAACTTTCTTCTCTTTTCCTTTTTGGACATTACCACGGCTTTGCTTTACATTATGTCTATGCTTTATTTGCTTTACTAGCAAGGACTGCCTGCTTAGTTTACATATTGTAGCAAGGAGTTTCATTGATGGATCTTCACGGTAAGAAAGAAAACTTCCGGAAGGGGAAGAAAGTCAGCCGAAATCTCAAGCAGCGATGGGCATTCGATATTTCCGAACTGGAGAGCGCAATTCAGATACAAGGCAGCTAGAAATACTAGAGTGAGCCTTCATGCAAACCCAGTCTAACAAGCATGGATCCTTGAATCGATTTACTCAAACATTCAGCATAAAGCGTTTTTCGGGGGCCACACAGCTGACTCGGTGCTCGCGCCACTGTTCACGCTGACAAACCTAGAAGATATTAAAACCACAGACCTAATACGTGATTAAGTCCTCTATATTGCTTACCTGGCCACAGTAAGTTGCAAACTTGCATTTCTTGCATATCAGGGGCTTATGACCGAGATCAGCTTCAATCTTTCCACATCCGAAGCAGCTGTCAAAGTCGTTAGCACAAGACACTGAAATCCAGTATTTCAAGAGAAAATCAACCTAGCTTCCTGAAAATTACGCGGCACACCAGGCTTGCAGTAATCTAACGCAGCGAGGAACTGAGCCCGACCCGGTGTTCTGAAGCCATGGTCGGCCAAGAGCATGTGGCGCGAGTTGCAGTTGATCTGGGGTACTAGATCACGCACATACTGGAGGTGCTCTTCCTTGACACGAGCACCGACGCGGAGCATCAACGCAACTAGGATGATGGTGCGATACTTGTTCGTCTGGAAGAAATCTATTGAGCCAGTAGCTTCCTTGGCTTTGCTTGCTGCGAAGAGTGTGTCTCCCAGATTATCGGTATCGAGCTTTCCGCGGATGTAGGGGATGATAGTAGTGGCTAATTTCTGGGCAAAATTGGGGGTTTTGTAGTAGGTATGGGCCTCTGAGCCGGCTAGCAGGTCGGTTTGGTTGATGGTTGCGTCGATCTTGAAATCCCAGTCATTTTCCTCGATACCTAAGTCTTTCATGATAGTTGCAGCGACATCGAGGTCCTGGTCGCCTTCGAAGAGACCTGGAATAGGGGTTAGTAAGTCATGAGATGTGCCAAAGGGGACAGGAGGGGCAGTGGGACTAACGCCATCCCCATCGACCCATGATTATAGTCGTCTCCCCCGGGTAAGAGTGGTGTGTGGATTGATGTTGGCGAGATCAAAGCTCGAATGAGGGAGATTGAGGTTTAGAAGAAGAAGACCACAGGCGCCGAGAGAAGAGTAATTGACCGAGATGACTGAAGATCAGGGAGGAGGAGAAAGAACAAGAAAAAGGCCCGGCTCAACAATTCGAAAAGGAACATATCATGTGGCCGAGACACATAACAAAAGGCCACCGTTTGAATTCACAAATGAGACAACATATTTTGGTTTGTCTATGAGCCTTTCTGACTGCCTTTCTAGAAATTTGGCTAATAATAAGCCTTCAAATATCCTATCATTGTGTTGCGGTCTCTCAATAGCTGCACAGCAACTTGAGACTGGCACAGCGGTGGATGGCACATCCACCTGGAACATTGCTCATGATAGAAGATCAGGTAGGAATGGTGCGAGAAACGAAATTGGAAAGAGGAATAACCGGGCCTGTAGAGCCACCAGTTTTATCCATGATGGGTAGTCCCTATGGAGTGAGATAGAAGAGATGGCAGAGGTAGGTATGACCATAGGGGGCCTACTAGTGATCGCCGGTAATAGAAGCATACAACACCTGATATTACAGTCCAAAAATTCGTGTTTGTCTACATGTAGGTAGGTAGATACTAGGTATCTCAGAATACTTTCCTAGATCCGTCCTCGAAGATATTTGGCTGCTGGTGGACAAAGGGTTGATAGAGACGTGAAAATGCACGAAATGGCAGAAAGGGCGAGAAGAAACAAAGGGCCATCTAGACTAGAGCTATCAGATAGGGTTTGATAAAGAGACTTTCCATTTGAGAAACTAATGAGTACAGCAATAACTTGTAAAGCAGCGTCTTGAGTCATCATGTCCCAAGGTACTGCGAAGATGCAAACTTTCAAAGGAACAGATAGTACGTGAAGTGACAAATCTCCCTTCAATATCCCGGGGTTTCGAAAGGTTATCCTTGCTAGTCCACTAAGTCCATCTCTTCTTCGGCACGGTGAACGCCAGCACGTTTTCGAATGGGGATTCGTCCTCTTCCCCATCGCTCTCATACAGTGAATTAAGCACGTCGTCACAGAACTCATAGAAATCAGCAGCAGTGCGACTATCACGAGCTGTTACCTCATCCGGGTAGTCACCATCAACGAAAGAATAAAAACATTTGGTTTCTGGCACAGATGTAATTCCCCTCGCGACCAGACTGATAGCTGCCCACGGAGCGACGCCAGCATCCAGATCCCAGGCTATCCGGAACCGCTCTTTGGCAGTCTCAACAAACTCCTGAATGCTACTGCAATCGCATCGTCTGAGGTGGTAGAATGCAAAATGCGCGTTCTGAACCTGCCACTCTCTCATCTCTTGCATCAGAGTTTGGACTTCACATGCGAACTGGTGGGCTAGGACGATATTCGGGTTCCGTCTGTCAATCTTTCGCAGAATTTCGTTGCTGACTTGCTTTTCAAGCCAGGTGTGGACCACCTTGGAGAGCTCAAACCATTGAGTTCTGGCGGGGTCGTTGGATGCGGGATATGGGAGACTCGAGACCAGGCTGTCGAGGCCTAAGTCACGCAAGATGCGCTCGATGTTTGCGAACCACCACTCGAATTGTTCAGGCTTGGTTAGCATAGGAGCCTTCACATAGATCTTGATGATTGGGTCTGGAGGCAGATCGGTGGCCTGGGTTTGGACCCATGGGTTGAACTTGGCAAGCTCGTGGCTGAAACGCACGTCGGCCAAGGGTGTACTTGAACCAGATGAGAGGGAAGATGATGTGGGAGAATCCATCCTGCAGGTTGGATAACTTGTGTGAGTATCAATCTGAAGCCAGTTGAGGCGACACGGTCAACTGGGGTGGTAGACTGGAGGATGCTTGGAGATGTTCAGCAGGTCCACTGTCTTTCTCTGACAGTACAAGACACGAAGCGATGGGTGATGAGTACTTTTGTCAAGGTCCAAAGGTTTGAAAATGGGACATAACAGAGCAGACAGATATGAAGAGGAGGATAGGAATTGTGGAGACGAGTGAGGGGAAGAGATTCAAAAGAAGGGAAACGTATAGACGTAGGAGCTGTTCGAGAGAAGCAAACAATAAAGCGATGGTTGATACGGCTGGCTTGAGGAATTATCATAGTCCTTGAATTTGAGGAGGTCTGAAGAGGCCCGAAGTGGAATGGTCTGTCGAGTTCATCAGACTGCTTTGTTCTTTTACTGTCGTCTCTCAGCACCGAATCATAACGGGGACCGAAGGACTCCCTCAAGCATGCGTCCAAAACCTATGCCTATAAGCCATTAAACTGAATATGCCTGATATTACTCTCCAATAACCGTGAAAGATGAGGATTGTATGAAGCCTACTGTGAGTGATGAAACGTGCATTGCCGTGACGGTCTGTAGAAGCCCTCGGGGTCAAGTAATGCTACATTTGTCTATAGAGCCACATCTCTACGTTGTGTTAATAATGACAAGAAGAGCAAAAAGCAAATGAGAACCAAGAATGAGGTGAACTAAGCCTGCGGCTTTGCAAGGATCATTGACGAACCGCTCTTGGATCGAGGGAACGACAGATTACTTACATGTAGGTATCATTTCAAGCCCTGCTTTGCAGGCTTTTGCAACGCAATCAGTCGATATGGTTGTTTCTTCCTTTCTATAGGCATCAGTCCAATGCTTGGATGCGGAAATATCGTCATCTAATGACATGCCCAGGAACGGAGTTTCACGAACGAGCATTGGAAGTTAAAGGCGGAGCTGTCTCATGGTCTTAGAACATCAAGTCTACCTCAATCTCCTATACAGGGACATATGGGCGGTCGCAGCCATTTGTATAGCCTAACAAACAATTGGATTGTTGGATTCGCCAGTTGACTTTGATCTGAGTACGAACATGTCGACTTTGAGAGCGGAGAATCCCCTCTGACCCTCAATCTAGATATAAGCATATATAAAGGGGTGGTAGCTACCTTTTGATACTACAATAGATACCCAGATTCCCCATAAAAGTCCATATGTAAGGTTAAGGGGTAACTGGCCAGTTACCTACAGTGTCGTCCTATATCCTGACCCGGGAAGTGCCCCACAACCGATGGCGCGCTGAAATATTTTGCAATGCACTTCAATTGATGCGGACATTACTGGTCCTCGATCATCTCAACTTTCTATTTTGCAAGGTCAAACTCATGCGATGCCCAGGTCGCAGGATGTGGCTGTTGACCAAAGTGGGTCCCGGAGAAAAACCTCGGCCGGAAGCCGGGTATCAAGACAGGTACATCACATTGACGCGCACAGGGGTAGTTTCAATTTTCATGTTCCAATATGGCCAGTGATCAGAGATTTGCGCGGACTGTGCACGCAGTGGCAGAGGCTGTGCAGACATTTGCTGCGGGTACATTCGACTTTGCGGAGAGTATCAAGCAAATATGGGGACCGCAGGCTGAGTCGGATGCCACGGAGGCATCTGCTCCACTGCCAATAGATGGCATGGAGGGTGTGCAGGTGCTTGATGATCTTCGGGAGAGAACGCCCGTGTCTCAGGAGGGTCAGCAACATGCCATTGAATCTCAAAGTCCTCCCGCGTCTGTGCTTATGCACCACGGGCAATCGGAACCTCAGCAGCAACAAATTGATCAAGCCGAGCTGGCCGATCCACATTCTGTACTTGATTTTGATGCACCGGGTGAATCTTCCCAGCAACCTGGTCGAATCTGTTACGAGTGCTTTGGCCGCTGGCAAAGGCGCTGGCGAAGTGAAAGCGCGATCCCGCCGTGCGAGCCGGTCCCAGGGCGGAAGACATGCAAGTATTGCATTAGCATCCATACGACCTGTATAATGGTAAGTACTAATATGTACTGTGGAATGCCATCGTACTAAGAAGCGAATAGACTCCATTGAGCAAGACAGGGGTGATGATGCGGTGTAAAATGGACTTGGATCTTGCTGCTCAAAATGGCGATGCATCCATAGAAAGGGAGCGATTCTTGAATGCGTTCTTTGAGGCATCGGATCTGCTGGAAATGCCTCTATCTCCTTCAATTACGGAGATCCGACAGCAACAAATGAGATTAAAGCGAGCCCAGCAGGATATAGAGGAGCAGCAACCTATATCCAAAAGACAGCGAACATACCAATCACGACACGAACCTAAGCTAGAGCGGAGGGAACAAGATGACCAGCAAGTTGCGGAAGACGAGGTGTCTTCGCGGTCGTCGGCACGTTCTGACGAAGAAGACGAAGCAGAAGTGGTGCCAAACGAACTGTCAGCGAATAGTCCGGAACAATCTCCTCATCAGCCAAATCAGGTGACAGTGGACCGTAAGACGGAATCCGGAGCCGTGATTGAATCAGAGGAAGAATATGAAGAATCCATGTCTTCGTCCGAGGAACAGTCCTCGGAAGCAGAAATGGAGGACGGAACGAGCGAGTCCTCTTCCGAAGAAGACGAAGAAATAGTGGAAGTGCTTGCAGTAAAGCCTTCATCGCCAGAGCAAGACAAAGACACTTCAGAAGAAACGATCCGACAAGAAGCGGCGGATAACGATTCATACTCGTCTTCGTCGGAGTATGGCTCTTCGGAAGAGGAATCAGAGCAACCATCACCTACGTTGGTGACCAAATTCTCGGCCCAGCTGGCACAAACTCGGTCACCAAAACCAGCGTGGGTAAAACAGTCCAGGGAGACAATTCAACACGAGGAAGAAGAGGATGATCAATCATACTCATCTACGTCAGAAGTAGGGTCAGATGAAGAGTCAGACGGGGAAGAGTCCGAAGAAGAACCGACTCCCAAAAATGCCGCACATCCAGTGAAAACGCAGGCCACAACCCAGTCATCGCATGACAAACCTGAAGTGAACCCCCAAGAAGGCATTGAATCAGAGGAAGATGATAGCAACTCATACCTCTCTGCATCCGAAGATGAGTCCTCGGGAGAAGAATCATCTGGAGAAGATACTTCGGAACAAGAATCAGAAGAAGGATCGGAGGAACAACCAGCAACAAAGAACCCGCCGGGGAAGTACGAGGCAAGGCCGATAGAATTGGTCCAACCGAAACACGAAGTCCGAAAAGAAGTCAAAGAAACGGTGGTGGAAACGATAGAGAAAGATGTCGAATCTTCCTCTGGTGCATCGTCATACGATACATCGAGTGATTCGCGCGAGGAGATATAGGTGTCCAAAACACCACCAAGGACGCAAGAGGTTATGTTAACAGTGATAATGTAGCAGTGTGTTTTCCGGGCTTCGTTTATCTGTGTTATTGTTTGTTTGTTGCTTCTGTTCTATTTAGCTACACTCACTAATGCATCCCTCCCCCTCGTCTGTGCTACTCGAATCGCGAGATGTTGCTTCTGAGCGCTTTAAATCAATTTGATTGGATCCTGTACTTTTTGACGTTGGGTAGCAGTCGGCAATGAGGTGAGCTGGCTTATAGCGGAACATGTCTGGACTCTTTGAAGCGAAAGTAATTGCATACAAAGTCATCTCAGTGAGACTCGCTATCGAACGATCCGCCAGGCCAAGGACCAACACTAAGCATGAAGCTGCTCCACATCGCACACTTTTTCCCTGGAGTTCAGTTACTTCCAGCCATAGTTCCTCTTTGCCATGCACTGGTCGCACAGCCCAATATCTACGAAGTAGATGTCGCCATCATTGGCGGCGGACTGGCCGGTCTCTCGGCCGCCAAGGATCTTGCAGCCGCCAACAAGACCTTTGCCATACTCGAAGCACGAGATCGAGTGGGTGGCCGTGTGCTCAACGCCGAATTGCCAGGAGAACACGCCGAAGAGCTAGGCGCCGAGTACGTGGGGCCCACTCAAGACCGCGTTCTCGCTCTCGCAGCCGCGCTTGGCCTGCCGACGTATAAGACATACACAGTAGGACAATCAACCTTTTATCGCAATGGCACAGTGCGTCATTATCAAGATCAGCTGGGTGGTGTTCCGCCCGTTCCCATAAACTCGCTTGTCGAACTTGCACTTTTCATGAACGATATCAACACCCTTGCAAGCAAAGTCGACCTGGAAGCCCCGTGGAAGACCCCAAATGCTACGGTGCTGGATTCGATGACTCTAGAAACGTATATCAACTCTAAACTATCCACCCCTGACTCACGCGCCCTTCTTGACATCGCCATCCCAGCTATCCTGTCGACCGAGGTGAAAGAGCCGTCATTGCTGTATGCACTGTGGTGCATCGCGGCCGCTGGAGATGAAACCGGACCCGGGACCATCAATCGTCTCATCGGTGTAGACGGGGGTGCCCAGGACAGTCGAATTCAAGGTGGGAGTCAATTACTTGCCATCAAGCTTGCCGAGAAACTAGGATCGCAAAAGATCATTCTCAACACACCTGTGCGCAAAGTCAAGCGCGAAAAGGGCAAGTATACCATCACCGCAGACACCGGAATTATCTCCGCTAGATATGTTATCGTTGCCATGTCTCCACCGCTGGTAAGTCGGATTATATTCGAGCCACCACTGCCTGCTGGGCGAGATCAATTGAACCAACGCATGCCGATGGGATCCATCGGAAAAGCAATTGCCATCTTTCCGCGGCCCTGGTGGCGGGGCCAGGGACTTAATGGAGCAGGTGTCAGCGATACCGGCGTGATCCGGGTGACGTACGACAACACCCCGGCGGATGCATCCTTCGGAGCGCTAATGGGGTTTATTGAGGCGGACGAGATGCGCAAACTTGATACTGCCAGCGAGGAAGAGGTCAAGCGCCAAGTCAAGCAGAGTTTTACAAATCTATTTGGTCCGCGGGTGGAAACTGCTACCGATATCCTCATTCAACGATGGGATCTTGAAGAGTTTTCCCGCGGTGGCCCGGGGGCTTTCATGCCGCCGGGGGTTCTGACACAATATGGGTCCCATTTGCGCGCCCCAGTCGGGGGGATCCATTTTGCTGGCACGGAGACTTCACTAAGATGGATTGGATATATGGATGGAGCTATTGCCTCAGGGGAACGCGTTGCCGGGGAGATACTGAGCTCCTGTTTTGACTGTGGATTCCATTAAGGGGCTTTTTCTGCGATGGATTTCTCTTGATGTTCTGTAAAGGATGTCCGAAAGTCGTCGGGATTCTTGGGATTTATATGTGACATCCTAAGCCCCGGGGGGGGTTCTACACCAAATTTACTCCAATTCCAAGGGTATTTCCAATTCCATATTCAAGTCAACACCAGGATTATGGAGTAAGGCTATGCTCCCAGGTGATGGGGGCTGTCCATTTTGCTGTGGTCCCGTCGACGCAGAATTCGCCAGAATCCCCACTTTCCCCCTTTTGACGTTCGACTGGGCGATTTGGACCAGAGTCGGGTTATTTTCTTCGGAGAATGTGTAGAAGCACAAACAGGAGCTGGAAAGGATTCCAAGGCTCCTATGTTTCCTGGAAATCCGACATGAGGAAGACAGCCAAAGGGTGCCGATGCCACATATAACCGCTCATAGAGCCAAATGAGGAAGTATGTTATGGGCCACAGTCTCTAATCCACTTCCAATAAATCTCTTGTCTTTTTTTCATTTAAACGGACCCATTGCTGAGCCGGAGCTATAATCCACCTTCAGACTGTGTCTGTTTAGCTATATAACATCGACAATCCCCAGTCTCAGACACAATATCTCCTACATCGAGCCCAACTACCATGTCAAAATCAAAGTCAAAGCGCAATCGCAATCGCAATCGCAATGGTCCTGGCAACGCAAACCAAACTGCGTCAATGCCAACGCCAATGACCACAAAAAAGGGCAAGCCAAACGCTGGATTCCAGCAAAAACAAAGTGGGCAATCAACACCCTCGGCAACAACTATTTCTTCTGGTCCCTCTGCTCCTTCGTCTGCTCCAAGAAATGCATCTGCACGCGTACAACATGGCAAAAGAAAAAATGCCACTACGCAGCCACATTGCCCATCGAAAGTTTTCAAGAAACGTCGATCGAACGGCTCAGCACCAGCAACCAAGGCGTCAAACAATGCGTTGGCAGGCCGCAGGGGAACCAACCCAGGTTCCTCTCAGAGGCCCCAGGCCAAGAGTCACAAGCCTCAAGACTCATCCTGCAACCCTTCGTCAAAGCCCTTCCAGCGTTCATCTACAGTCGAAAGGAGCCATGATTTAGGGTCAAAATCTCAATTGGCCAATCTATCGATGTCTCAACCACTGTCAAGAATCCCGTCGCCTGTATCATCCTCACCACAAAAGTTTATGTCCCTCAATCCGACCACCCCAAATCGCCACCATGTTATGGGACGCCAAACTTGTAGCCCATCGCCATCGGACTCTGAAGCTGACTCTGACTCTGACCCTGATTCGGGATCCCAATCGAGTCGGGAATCAACTTCGACGTCATCCTTTTCTGCAAAGAAACAGTCCACAAAGAAATTAAATGCCGAAGAAGTGTCCAGTGACGACAACAAACACAAACCGGATGGATTGTCACAACCAATATCCGAATCCAATCTGGAAGTTTTGTCAGACTCGTCCTCGGAATTCGACTCTGAATCCGACTCTGAATCCGAATCCGAATCTAGCTCTGGATCGAGGTCGAGAATGGACTTGGACTCTGATGTCGGGATAGAGTTGCAACAAGCACAAGAACCGATATTGCTCGGCTCGTCGCCTCGACAGTCGCAAACGGGGATCATTGACCTAACGGTTAACACTCCCATCTCCCGCCGAGGCGACAGGAGTGAAAGTGAGAGGACAAGCACATTGCCACCTTCCTCCTTGATACTCGACATGTCTCAACCAGAATCATCCTGCGCACCAGAACCCAGCCTACCACCATTCCTCCCAAGCCCAGGGTTGGCATCGTCCTCGAGAGCGCCTGGAGGCAAATTTTGGCGCCAGGCCCGTGAGAATCCCAGCGTTGTAAGGCAGACCTTGTCAGAATATGGTTCCATTATAGGGACTGAATCATCCTCCGGAGATTCCGTGGCCCCAACTGAATGGCTACCACACTCTGGTCCGGAATCAGATCGAGAACCATTGCCATGTCCAACGCCAGCAAGTCCATCCTCTCGATACAAACCAGTGAGACGCACAGTATCAAAGTCACGACCATCAAGTTCTACAAAAAAACGGACTTCTCGTCCCCATCCCAGCTCGACAAAACCTGCGCAGTCCTCGAGCACAATAGATCACATAACAAAACTGCGATTTTTGTATAAAGGCATACCCTTTGGTGGCCAGGGACAGGACAATCACATATCTGCGGAGCTTCCCGATAATAATGACAGTGCCGAGTCTGATGATACCGATTGTCCGGACGATCCCGGTGATCATGATTATTCTGATAGTTCTGGCGATTCGGATGATTCGGATGATTCGGATGATTCAGATGGTCTGGAGTTTGTGGATTCTGTTTCCGAGATTTCAGCGGCCCGGCGGCCTACATTGCAATCTTCAGAACGTTCGATAAATATGGATATGAGTCCAGGGATGGCTGGGTCAGCGGAACCCGACTTGTCCTCAGACAACGAAGTATCCACGAACTATGATGGCTCTGCGGAGATTGAGGGACTGTCATCCCAAGAGCTGGCACGACTCTGGGCCCAGATATCATCGGACGCTGGAAATTTGGAACGGGAACGGAAAAAAGCAAAAGCTATCTCATTACAAAAGAAACGTGAATCGGAAGAGCAGCGCAAGCGCACCATCGAAAGAAATAAAGAGCAAGCGAGGCGACTGCGAGAGCAGAAGGAGAAACAAAGAGAAGAGCGAGAGACAAAGAGGAAACGGGAATTGCACGCCCAGAAGCGACGACAAGAGCAGCAAGAACTGAGGAATAGGAGACCGCAGGATAATTCTGATTCCTTGGAGGAGGTGTTAAAACGCGACAGGCTACTGACAGTACAATCGAAGCCGCCTGCGCAACTACGTATGGGGGTTAACCACGGTCTCAGTCTCGAATATCGGAGAAGAGCATCCAGACTTGTCCGCCCCTGTTCGATGAACCAAATCAATAACGGACGGAATGGGGTTCAACGAGATATCCACCATTTGGAGGCAGTTGGGGCAGATGCATGACCGGGCATCGAGATTCGGGGGTGTTTTGAAGGGGGATGAAGACCAGATTGTTTGCTAGAAGATCAAGGCATCCTCATCAGTATCACTGAAGAGGTGGGATGTATATTACAAAATATCCGAATCGTCTTCCTCAAAGCGGGCATGACTTGCCGTTATGGCGCTGTACGGATGTTTGAATGGAATTGATATTCATAGAAGGGAAGTCGGGTTATACACAGTGTTACAAGTGCCTTCTTACCAGCCTGGACTCTTCACTAGATGTACCCAATTGAGACTATCTCCTTTAGTGCCTCTACAACATAAAGCTGGCATCCTAGGATCGCACAAAGAGAAGTACCAAGTACACCCTTTATGAGCGGTCAGGTTAATGGATATATTAGAGATAAATACACGGGATATCATCAATGCACAACAGAGGAAACGTGGCACGGGCTCCAAATACCCTTGATAGCCAAGGTTATGTGTTAACACGTTAGACTCACAGTAGACAAGACATGGACATAGACAACCAAAAGAAAAGAGCAAGGCATATTTCCAGGTTAATCCCATGCATCTCCCCAATCATCATCAGCATCTTCATTTTTTGGTTTAGTATCAATCTTCTTGGCCACAGCCACAGGGCGAGGTTTGGCTGTGCTTGCCGTAGATCGTGTGACTACGGTGTTCGTAGATGCAGCCTTGGTCAGGCCCTTTGGTAAAAGGGGTTTGGCCTTTGTTTGAGACTTTGCGGCCAGCCAGCCAGCGAAATCGGGTTCACCCCCATCATCGTAGGGTACAGCAGGAGCTTTGTTCGGCGAGGGAACAGGAGATGTGGGTTTGGGGGACGTGACAGCAGCAGTGAATGGATCAACTTCATTTTGATCATCGTCATCATCCATAGCACCCCAGGCATCAAAGACATTGTCGCCTTCTACTTCGGGCTCGTCGTCGTGAACAACTGGAGCTGCACGATCTGACATCGACCGATTCAAGGGCTGGGCTGCGGGCCGAAGAACTTGTTTAGGCAGTTCTGATTGGGTTGAGGGTGATGGTTTGGCCGGGCGAGGAACTGACGCAGAGCGTGCAGTATCTGGATCAACAGTCTTACTGCTGTTGGCTGTGGGTTCAATCTCGCCGTTGGCAGTTGCGATTTTGTTTGTGAATGATGAGATGGCCCACCCGGCCCAGGAGTTGTCACTGGGAGTTTCAACACGAGCATCAGGTTTGTTGGCTTCTGCAGGTGCGACAGGTGGTATCACAGTGGCTGGCATTGTGCTGGCATGCTTCCGCACCCGCTGAACATATAAGTCCAATGTCTTATTTGCTTGGTCTCGGATCAATCTATTCAATGATTAATATAGGACCCCGGGACACAACTCAGGGAGGTATTCATTGCTCACTTTTCCTTGTCCAGAAGTCCGGGACAAATGGCAGGCAAAATTCTGACAGCGCAGTCTTCCTCAGTGAACACATCAATAGTCGCAGCTAAAGCCAACAGTCCTGCGTTTCGAGCGTGAACAAAAGGATCTCGAATCGATCTGGTAAATGCCGCAATAAGCACTTTGGAGCGAGTCTATCACGAGTCAGCCACTAAGTCTAAGATTGCACAAAAATTCACTTACACTTTGCCCCAGGTTCTTAGCGATCCGACCCAGGCAAATCGTAGTATTCGTCCGAATTCCAGGTTGCTCGTCGTTAGCAGTGCGGGCGAGGAATTTCAACAGTTCTCCATTGATGATCCTGTCATTAAGTTTGTTGATGACCGTAAGAACGGCCTTTACCGTTTGTTCTCTAACCACTGGCGCGACGTCGGTGAAACCAGAAGTCTAAGACATGTTAGACCAACGCATACTGCCAGCTTTCAAAAAAAGAAAAAAGAAACCTACCATTTGAGGGAAGATCTTGTCGTTGACAACCTTCTGTGGAAGGTTGTCAATCATTAACGGGAGGTGATCCAAGAGGCAGACACGCAATGCTCGATCAGGATTGCCAAATAAACGCACAACCACGGGGGTCAGCTTAGAGTTGAACTCTTCTGTCGATAACTTTGCTCCAATTTTAAAGGTGGCCCCAAGGACTTTCGGACCACCACCGCCGAATTCGACGGATTTGAGTAGCTCAGGCAGTACCTTCATTTTAAAGAAGTCTTCTGGGAAGTCCCCAGAAAGATTATCAAGTTCACTGCAACAGTGCCACGTTAGCTCATAGGTTGCCATTTAAATCATGGAGATGTACGCACTTGATAAACTCTTCACGCTCAGCATCACTCTTGAGCCCCAAGCTGTCGATGTCCTCAGTCATCCGAATAAGTGGTGTTTGGAAGAATCCGCCATGTTTCTTTCCCTGTTCAACAAAATGCCCTGGGCTCAGTCGGAGCTTTGGGTTAGCGGTGCAAAGGCGCTTATAGCTTTGCTGCATGCTAGGAGGAATGTTTGTTGTCTTGCCAGCTTGGTCGGCACTTGAGAAATTCCCATTGAAAACCTCAAAGATTAAGATACCCAATCCATAGGCATCCACTGCTGCTAGAGGATTGCGCTTGATAGTATCCCATCCACCTTTAACCACTTCTGGGGGTGTGTATCGGGCGGCATCGGGCACACTGCTTCCGTAAGTCTGAGAATGAAAGTCAGTATAAGGTACAGTTTGTGGCGGTTTCTTAGTAGATCTGACGCTGGGCCACTGACATATATAATAGCATCGTCCTCTTTCATGGAGCTCAGGATATCGAATCCTCCTAGCTTCCATTCCCCGCTCTCACTGGTGAACACGGAAGATGCGCGCACGGCACCGTGGACCGAGGAAGCATCCTCGTTGATGAACTTGAGAGTAGACTATCCAGCCCAATTCCAGTCAGCAATGCCATGACAGCAGATTCCCGGGAATATCATACTGCCACAGTATACAACCCCCACTTAGCAGTCTCCTCGGTCAAGCTCCTCCTCTTCACCGGCCAGCTGAGCGGCACAACTCGTTCCGTGACAATGTAAAGATTGTAATCTGTCTATCAAGACGTAAGTGCCCGCACCACACTTCCATCTTCAGATCAAAAATCCGTGAAGAACCAAGTATACCTCAATTGTATCCAAAACTTTGATAACACCGGGATGCCGTAACGTCCGACACTTGCGGATGGCATTTTTCGCCAGGGGTAGGCGCGATTTGTTCGCATTGACATCGAATGTAAAAACACTGCAGACGGAACCGTCATCCTAAATGTGCCGCTACAGCGTCAATCATCAAAGCGCCTCTTGTTTGAAATAAGGAACCAAAAAGCCACCGTACCCGTTTCGTACCGTTGTGGAGTGCCCAGACTGAGTCGCCAATGTCGACCCTGTCGCCGAGGGAGAATGGCAGTCCGCTGCCCTTCGCGATGGCTGATCCGATGGCGGATTTCAAGAAATCCATGGCAGCAATGTGGCTGATGTGGCAGGCCGGGAGATGTTTGGGGTATCGGGGATGCGCGAGTCGATGTACGCAATGGCCAAGGTGTGATTATTCGGCGAAAGGGTAGAACAACTAGACCGAGCAGGGGACTAGGAACAATGAGAGACCAGACACAGTGTTCTTGTACTTCGGAGACCTGAACACTTCCAAGTTTGGATCTCCTTTCACCCCCCGCCTTATCGCGATAACCACCGGTGCCTGAGGCCGTAACAGGCTAATATAAATACACAACAGCTCCGCTTCATCTTGTCATCGTCTTCTCCATACCGGTCCCACGCGTCTTATTTTGTCGCCAAATGGACTCGGAGCTTCCAATACCTTCCCTCTTGCCATAAATATTTTCGCCAATACTTACTACTCGAATTCACAGTCTCATCTACAAAATTAACACCCTCCACCGTGGTAAGACTCCCAGTTCCTTTCCCTTCTGTGTACCAGTACGCAATCCCCCCAGTGACTCCAGTCACTCACTCCAATGATGCGAACTCTGGTAAAAGGTCAGACTAAGACCATAACACCGTCAAAACAAAGACTCACCCAGCAAAATTCGATGGTACTCCCGCAAGCTCCAAAAATCCACCCAACACCACAGACCGGTCCTGGTACAAACTTCGAGGGTTACAACTAGGCATACAAGGATAGACAACCTCTTCCCTAGTGAGCTTTTTGCTCGCCTGGAGCAGCCATGGTCGCAAGACCACAGCTGCGCCCTTATCACAACCACATACCCTTTCGGGGGGCTCGCGAGGACCATTTCCGCAGCACTACATTCTCCCCACTTTACACAGCAGAGCACAAACTATCTTCCGGTGGGATACGCTGGCAGGCAGCAGCGAAGATCCTGGCCACAGAACCATGGCTGAAAACCCACGCCGAGACAAAGCGGCTGGGTCCAGGATCATAGGGAGAATTTGTGTACATCTATACTTCCGGCCGTCCCTCGCCAGTAGTGCAACTAGGCTGCCATGAGCATGCCCTTTGGGCACGAAAGCTCGGGAAACGGGGAGGTGACGCCGCTATCTGGGGTTGCCGTGTCCGCTTCGTTTCCATGAGGACAGTTCGGCGACCAATGGCTGTGGCGTAAAGGGTACGAGGGTTTGAGAAACAGGAGAAGTGAGGATTGGTGTCACAGGTGGGGTCATTCAACCGGTGCTCATTGAGGAGGTCTTGAGGTCGTGCGGATTCTTGCTGGCAGCGTTCTGCTGTCTGTCGAATACGGACTTCTTCCTGGTCTTTACTTTGACTATTGCGTCTGGCTTTGCCGTTTCTTCTTTCCTCTCACTCCCCTTTATCTCTTTTATCTGCTGTGAAGGGCGGTGTGGGAATGCTGTGACGGGGTTTGGAAGTTGTGAGTGTTGGTTGAAATGTGGGCTGGAGGTAGTTGGTCTTTGTGGTGCTAGGTAGTGCTTTGGGGGTTTTTCTGGGTCTTGTCCATGGCTGGAGGGTGGATTGATGGGTTTGCAATGGGATAAAGCACCGCGATGGGTTGATGTCTGGTGTCTGTGGCTTGCGTGATGACACTAACGAAACAAACCCTGAGGAGATTCTTCGCTTCACATTCGAATGATTTGGTTGAAGAAGAAGTCCACGGCTAATGTCTGTCATAGATCTTGCGCTGTCCTTAGGGTTGAATTGGCTTTGGAGTCTAGCTGTTGGGGTCTGGCAGGGTTGTGTACAGTATGACAAGCAGTTTTTGAATATCTGTAAACACGTCTATGCGACAGAGAGAGTATGGTTCTTTTTTATATATTTACTTGCTTTGTTTCGTTAATTTTTTTCAAAATATAACCATTTCATTGCTGTCTACTTGATCCGTTGGAGCTATCTCCACTATCAAGTTCACCCATCTTCAACCACATCCACTGCTTGATTCGCTCCCCGAATTGACCATCCACATACATGTCACCATCTTACCACCGTCGCCTGGCCAAGACATAACTGATCGCAGACCTTGCTTTCAACCATAGAAGATACGAAGGCCATGTGAGCCCACCGAAGACCCACAGACCCCCGACCCACAAGGGAGAAGAAATTTAGAGCACAAAAGAACAAAAAAAAAGAGAAAAGAAACGGGATCGGAGAAAATCTGAAGGAAGAGGCCATTTCGATGAAATGGAATCATCAAGGCTTCAACTCAATCATGACATGGTAAAGTTGTGTACTAGTCGAGGATATGACGATGAGCTAGACCGGATATCAAGAGCTCGATTTCGATGGGTTCATCGCCCCGAAAGTAAGTTTCCATATGCACCAGATCAAGATCTGGAGAAGAGATAGGCACAGCTGGTAGATTGATCCATCATGTCTGATTGAAAAAGTTAGCGATGATTGTGTGGTCGCATTTAGAATAGGAACCCACCGAGGAAGTCTTGAAATGACATGAAATTGACCGCAGGATTCAAGTGTTTTGATGGCCGCCTTGATGACGGAACAACACACGAAGACGCGGTGTGGAAATGGAACCGGGGTATTTGAGGTGATGGTTGCCAACAATGCAGTGCGCGGGCTAGTCACAGCGGAATGATAAGATAGAGTGTCATTCGAGAGAACCGCCGACGGGCTTCATGATTCGTGTAGTTCATTTTCCTTCATCCGTTGCCTCAGCCGAGTGTGAGGCTCCAGGGGTTGTTGCTGGAGTATTAGCAGACATTTGGGCAGGCATTTGTGGCATTTGGTTGAAGCCATTGCTGGGAGTGCGGTGCTGGTTAGGGGGGAAATGATGCGATTGATGAGGACTCGAGGAAAAATGTGGCTGTTGGGAGTAGCTGCCACGGTTGGGAGGCACTGAGGTGGGTTAACAACTGGAATGATTCGAGCGGAGATTGTTCGAAAACTCACTATGTCCCGACGGCTGAGGATATCCGGGTTGACCGGGCAAGAACATCATAGGCTGAGGAGGCTGTCCAGATTGCGAGTTCTGGTGCATCATCATGGGTGCACCGCGGCTCGGGCTTGGGTATCCACTATGCGGCTGAGGTGCAGGTGCATGTTGGGGATAGGCGTGGCCTAGATTAGGGGAATACATGGGCATCTGTGCGTTATACGGAGTCATGCCTTGAGGAACTCCCATATAGGGCCCGTTGGAGGGCTGCTGCACCATCATCGGGGCTCCGTTAACAAATTGAGGGCCACCGCCCTGGAACGGTCTCATGTGGGCGGGCTGAGGGCCACCATAGTACTGCGACATCGGTTGGCCAAACGAAAGCTGGGCATTAGGTGGAGCCATAGGGGACGGATATCCGTGTTGCGAACGCGGAGACGGGAAAACCTGGGAGTTCGATGCGGACAACTGCATGCGGTGATGATCCTCCACATGGGACGGGCCATGAAGGCCCTGTGAGTGAAGGCTATGGGGTCCATTCGGAGGACCAGAAGAAGGCGTCATGCCAGGGGTACCCTGGTGGAAAGGGAAGGGCACCTGATGTTGAGATACGTTGCTGTTGTTGGAAGTAGAACGACCTTGAGACGGGACGGAATGGACACCGACGGGTTGTTTGAACATCTGATCGTAGGTTTTATCCTCGCTGCCGTCTATGATGTCCCAGGTTGGCAAAGTCTTGTAGGGTGGAGGGATACCTCCAATCAACAAAAAGGACTTGTCGGTCTGTTCTGCGCTCTCCTTCTTCATGCGTTTGATGGGATTGAATTGATCACTAATAGAGGGTCGCTCGGAGACAGGAAGGGGCTTCCTTGGACCAAAAAATGCGGTTGGAGTTGTGGCGCGCGAGACAGATCGATTGCGAGAGAATGAGCGTGGGCTTGCGGTTGCCACGGAGGTACCACCAGGAGTGAAGGTACTCGCCGCCGGGTTCGGCTTGAACTCCATGGCTTTGACATTGAACTTGGTTGCCGCAGAAGAACCAGCCTGCGACCTGACAGGGCTAGTGATTCTCTGCTGTTCGCTCGCAGGACCAGTCGGCGGTCCACGGGCTTCTTGGATGGGAAGGGGAGTGGGAATAGGTCCCATTCCCGCGCCTTTGCGTTGTTGCATGTTGTCCGCAAGTCGAGGGCCAAGCATGCCGACACCGGGACGTCCGGGAGGAACTACTTGCTGGGGGAATCGTCCACCAGCACCGAGAGGCCCAGTGGGAGGATAGCCCTGGCGAGCGCGGTTGTAATTCTGGCGATCAGCAGGGGCCGATGGGGGTACTGCTCCGGTGGGTCCTACGCCACGGGCAGGGGGCTTGTGCTCCGTGGGAGGTGTGGTAACTTTGGGTGTAGTCTTGTCCTCCCCTTGTTGCAGGGTTCGTTGCATGATTGCTTCCTGCTTTAGTCGATCCTTGGCCAGGATGGGAACAAGGTCTTTCGGCACGGGAGTGGAAAGTTTAAAGCTCTTGGAAAACTTCATCAGCTCATTCAGCTTCATGGTTCGGTCATATGAGGCTTGGTTGCGACGACGCTCCTGCATCTTAATCTTCTCGCTGTTTGCGAACTGGCGGAAGTGATCCAGCACCTCTGCCTCCACATTTGCAGTCGCATTTTCAGGTATAGCGCGCTTTGCAGTGGGCACAGTAGGCACTGCAGGCACTGCAGGCGAGGCACCTTTGCCAGAGGCAGACTTCTGCTCGGGTTCTGCCGGGCATTGCAGGGTTGCGACCAGTTCAGGCTGCTTGGCCGAGGGTGCCGAATCCTTCGCCGCAGTCTGAGAGGGGACAGGGATAGGAGCAGTGGGGGTAGGTGAAGCCATAGGTTGCTTGGAGGGGGGTGCACTGGGTGCTGCAGCAGGCTGCGGGGCTGCTTGACGGCGTCCAGGGGGCATGTACTTGTTTGGTTGGCCAGAAATCAAGGGCGGGAAGGCCTTTTCCTCGCGTCGGACACCGCTGTACTTGTCTTCTTCGTCTTGATCGCCAGTATCTGGTGCCACAAGGCCGCGTTCCTCCCGCATGTGGGAATTTTCCACGTCCTGACCCTCAATCTCACGGGCGATTCGAGCTGCTTCCGCTTGCTTTTGTTTGTAATTAGGATCGGAACGATCGAGACGAGTGGTGTAGATATTCTCGTCGTAATTAGTCTTGGCACCGAAAAGACGCTCATTTGCCTCAAACTGGTCCCATCCAGCAGTGTTGTTGCTCGTCTCAAGCGACATATCAATGTCAGTCTCGGCGGGTTCCCAACGCTGCAAGGTACGCTCGCGCATGGCTAGGTTTCCCGAGATATCACTGTCGGTTCTAAAACCTTGGGAAGCACCTATGGTCGGGATTAGCGTATACACAAACGAACTTCGTTTACAAAGCAACGCATACCGTTTGATTCCTTGGCTGAAACTTCTGCTGTAGTAACGTTTGGAACGGAAATGTCGACAACATCTTTAATGTCAAACGACATGATGTGCTCGGGTGCGGAGCCCAGATACGGAGTTGCGACTTCGCTGATGCCGTTCACTCGGGATTGGGCCTCTTGCGAGCTTCGCTGGACCATTTTGAGCAGGAAGGAGAGTTCGTTGGTCTCCATGGTCGATGAAGAGAAGATACCAGTATACTTTTCTCCGTTCTTGGTAGTTATAGTTGTATGCAGGCCCTGAATAGTAGGTTAAAACTAATCGACAGAATGGCGGTAAGATTAGGCTTACAATAAAGCTGGCGAATAAGAAGAGAAGGCGATCATGAGCATGACTATCAGGCGTGTTTGACTCCTTCTGGTTGGGTCTTGGAGAGCCAGATTGTCTCTGGTGGGTCATATTGCCGTTGGATGAGGAGTATGAAGATCGTTGGGTGATGGGGTTGGTCCCTTGGGTCCAGGCCTTGTGGGAGTTTGTGCGCCTATGCAGTAGAACATGCTTGCGTTAGCGGACGATGATAACCAAGCAGCAAAAGGCAAAGACGTCATGCCATCGAATCCGATGTCTTCAATTGGCTCTCGTTGGCGCACGACTTGATGCAGGCCAACAGAGCTCACCAGCTCCAAGGCACGTGCACAAGGTCAATAGCTGAGAGGACAAGGGAAGGGGATGAGAACGCCAAGGGGGCATTTCCCAGGTTCAAAGGCAAGGGAATTCCAAATTCTGGTTCAACAAGGTCTATCCAGAAGGAGAGGCTGAACATACCGTTGTCCGCCATCAATAGGGCTGCCCGACTGTCGTCGGTTGTCGGACCCCTTGGTGCTGTTGCTGGATCTCAGGGTAGATCTGCCCGGGTTCGGCACGGCTGCGTTGGCATTGCCAGGCGCGTTGTTGGCCGGCACAGAGTTGAGAGCGGAAGCCATTGATTGACTTTGGTGTCAGTCAGGGCAAGCTTGCGTCGTGGAACTTCACACGGCGGAAAGCCGCTGGGATGAGGCACGAAGCCACAACACACCGCCTGCACAAATAGGACTGGGGGTGGGAAAGTGAGGGGGAAGGATAAGCAACCACCACACTGCGGAGATACCGGAATGCCAATGGTAGGAAAATAGGGAAGGAAGAATGAGGGATCAAAGAACAGAAAGAGAGAAAATGAAGGAAAGAGAAATGGACTTGTCGCAAGTTGATGGGGGAAGCTGGAGTAGTCACGCGTATGGTAATGTATTCGTGTTACACCCTGCTTTTTTTGGCTCCAAACTGTTAGTTCTGTTCTTTTTGCTCTTCTTTTTTAATCTTTTGGGAGACTTTTGAATTCCAATATTATTGTATTTTTTTTTCTACAGAAGCATCTTGAATAATATCTCTATTGCAAGTATTGTTCTTAGCCGACCCTGGGATAGGTCAATTGCGAATCCTACTAGGTACTATGTACTAACCAAGTACGGGTCAGGCTGAGGTAGCTCCACGTCTCCCCCTCATACACCCTAGCCTTTTTACTGAGCCATTTTAACCATATTCTACCTAATGGCATTTGTGCGATGTAGGGTGACAACACCCGGAAACATTCCATGCCCAATTAGATCTACAGATTCCATACACGATTTACATCTGATGCATAAGAGAACCCAGGGGGCGAACGACCAATGAAAACAAGCAGACACGCATGGGTCGACACCGTCTGGTACGATGAACTACATTATCGGGCCATTCACAGCATCTCAATGGCCTTGTGTCATCTGCCCGGATCATTGATATGTTGCCTTGTCGTATACTTAGCTACTATGTACCTACGTACAATTTAATAGTGACATACTATATATCCATGCGGACATCTTTACACTACTCTTTGTTCCCATTTCTGCTTTGTTATAAAAATAGTTCGAGTTCAACACGGGTATCGAAGATGGGAATGACTCAAAATGAAACATTACGGTGAACCGTACCTGTGGACGTATGTAGCGAGAACCACCCTAGTATCGATAGATCATGGGGGATATACCTAGGTATTCCATACATATTCCAAGGTTGTTACGGTCTTGATGTCCTGGGGTAACTACATGTATGTAGGGTTCATAAATGAAAGAGTGGATAGCGGGTCTTACCGAATATTCTATGTAGACTAAGCCAACTTCCAGGTTGATGCTTTGCAAAATATGTCCCCAGCCCTTTGAGCCGGAACCTTGTTCAATTTATTTTACTTTCATATAATAATGATAAATACGCAAGGGACTTCCAAGCTTCCCCTACGCCATCATACTTCGGGATGAGCATGGATCTTCTCGATCTGAGCAAATACGTGACGTGTGACGGGCAGCCTAAGGCCTGCTCAGGCTTGTCTGGTTAGTCAGATATTCCCCAGAGCCTCCTTGGCCTGTTCTTTTTCTTTTTCTTCTTTCACATATGTCATTGATCCATGATTGTTCCAGATCCCCGTCGATTGTTTTGCCAGAAAATATACATGTATATTTCTCGACCAGATGAGCTCCCTCCCTACATAAGTAGCAATACAGACAAGTAACGTCTATATATGATCTCGCACTAGTCCCCTCTGTACATTCTGGAGTCCTCCTTCGGGGTGCTGTTTTCCCACCGTCTCACTGCATCAGCGTCACCGAGAAAAGCAAAGTGGTTGAGGGCCTATTCCAGAACAGTCACGGTATTTCTAAGCCGCATTTCCCACTGGGTCCAACGAGAACAATAAATCCAAATAACGGCTGTCCAGTCACTGAGGACGATATATACATATCTATGTCTTTCAGAGGAAGTGGAGAAGTGGACTCGAAATAACCAACGTTATCGCGGGTACTTATCAGTGGATTGGAGGGAGCTGGCAGAAAGGAGCCAGTGCGAGGTCACATGCATGATATACACACTATGTATAAGTCCGAAGCTACCTAGAAATAGAGGTAGAAGAAAGAAAGGATCTCGGTCTTTGGGTAGGTACAGCCTTGGTATATTCTGAGGCTTGGTGATCAATGAAATGGTACTAGTGACTGCGCCCTAACGTCTGAACACGTTCCCTTGTATAGAATTACAGTGCTATACGGTAATCTACGGTATCTACGGTATCGGGGGGTTGAACGCTGGTGATCACCGGTTCAGGCGCGGTAAGGCTCCAAGTTGACAGGAGGCTGGGCATCATCTTCACACATGCTTGGCACCCACTCGCTTCTGACCTATTTCTCACTTTCTGGTCTCACCTCCTCGGTGGTTTAGCCTTTCACACCTATGCAATCTTCAGATACCTCAAGATCCCAGTTCCCCTATTCCGAACCCTCCGATCAACAAACATTCCCCCACGACCGACCCTCGGGGTCTGGGAGTGCCGACGCATCCATGTCTGCTCAGCAGTCCGGTCGCAGTTCCTCTGCTTCGTCTCGATCCCAGTCCAGCAAGAATCAGGTAAATCTCTGGCTGCCTTTCAATTCCATGCGTTTTAGTCCCTAACCGCCGAGTGTTTTTTTTTCCCCGCCACACAGCCCGATAAGCAAATATCCCAAATTGAGAAGAGTGTGACACATCTCTTGGTTGCGACAAAACAACTCCTCGAAACTCTCACCCAATGGTCCCGGAAACAAGCATCGGAAAATGACGTGTCAGATGTATACGTGCGACTGGGTTATGAGTTCAACTTGGCGTGTCGGGCCTTCAGTGCCATCGGAGTCGACACTTCAGACCTGGGTCCTGTACCTGATCTGCTCCGCACCATTCTTGAAGACACCTTGAGTCAAGATGCATCTTCCCAGAGTCTCGATCGATACCTCCCGCGAATTCGAGATATAATCATCAACTTATTACACGGGCTGAAGAAGAAGCAAGCTCGCTTAAGGTCTCGACACCAACGCGATGACGGTCGGCCCTCGACAGGACGGCAGGCCAGTGCCGGGAGCATCGCCAGTGGACAGGCAATCGGAATCCTGTACGACGATGCTGCGGTGTCTAGTATGCCGCCAACAGCCCAGTCTCCTAGAAAATCGAACCGACGATATGGTAGCAATGGATCTGTGGAGGATCAACCCGCCATTGCTCGAACTTCCTCGGCACCTTCAGCGACGGACCCGCGAACAACGAATCACTCAGAAAGAGAATCATCACGGCGGGAGGCCCAGCAGATGCTGTCTCAGCCCTCCTCCTTGGATAATGAAACAACCCCTCGAGCCACCACCTCCAATACCACAGCGCCTCCTACATATACCACACCCGCTGGGTTCCCCGCCCCTCCCCCTCCACCTCCACCGAAAGAAGATGACGCGTTGGGGGCTTTACAGAGAAGTGGAGAACTTGAGCGACGTGCCTCGCGTCGATTCTCTGCATATCAAATCCAGAAACACCTGGGCACATCTACCAGCGGAGTCCCGGTTCTGCCCACCCAAAACTCCCCGATCCCCAATCGTGGTCGTGATGTCCGCGAATCTTTGAACGCAGTTCGTCTACGTGGCTCATATACTCATGCCAGACAGCGATCCAACAACCGCGTACAGGAAACTGCCAAGAGTGCACAAGCCCGTCCGTCAGCGACCATCCCCGGCGTTGTGGAAGAAGGACGTACCTCGTTGGCTGCAGCCACACCGTCGGACCCTGAGGGTGTCAAAGCTGTATCCTCCGAGACATCTCGTGAAGCACACGCTCCTGGTCAGAAAAGGGAATCCGACGAATCTACCAGCGTTTCTCCTCCGATAAACCCCCTACCGCAAGAGAAGCCAATGCTAGAGGACGCCTTTGAGCCTGGGAAGTCAGCACCTCGAACCCCAAAAGCGGACTCCTTTGGACCGTCTACCCAAATAGCAACACCTCCCTCTGCTTCTCAATTCAGCGCTGAGCAACCCTCCCCAGGCTCCCCAGGCAAAGAATTGACGCTGTTTCTGCAATACAAGAGCAAGATCAAGAAATATGTTCTACCAGATGGCATCGCAGATCTCACCATTGGGCGCTTGCAACTCGCTTTTATTGAAAAGTTTGCATGGAATACTCATGACAATGGCGTCGATTTGCCGGAAATCTACATCCAAGATCCAATTTCAGGAATTCGACATGAGCTTGAAGACCTCAATGACGTGAAAGATCGATCTGTATTGGTACTCAACATCGATAATCTCGATGAGGTCAAAAAGCATTTCGACGAGGGTCTTGGCAGCGTGCGCCTCCTCGTTGAAGGTGTCAAGGAGGCACTTTCTGGCCAAGAAAATATCATTCAGCGGGTTTCGGACCGCCAGCTTGAGGCTGCTAAAGAAATCGCTCGGCTGGCTGCTGCTCCTCCGGCTACCGCTGGAGGAAATGCCAAAGTCTCAATTTCTGGCAGCGGAAGTCAAATTGCTGAGCTGCAGAGCCTACGTCGTGACTTGGCTGTTCTCCGACAGACCTACTCCAACTTCACTGCCGATATCACTGGCTCGATGAGCGCAGTCCGTGCCAAGGCAAGCAAGGTCAAAACTGCCGCTGATAACGTTGCTACTCCCTCCTATGAAGGGGATGCCGGTCGTGCTCGTGTCAACACTGGCAAGAAGGAACTTGCTAATGAGTCAGAGCGACTGGTTGCCCGCGTCGATGATCTTCAAGATTTGGTTGAGGATCTTAGGAAGGATGTTGTAACTCGTGGCGTTCGTCCTCTCCCCAGACAACTGGAGGGTGTCAGTCGCGACATTAGCACCGTCATGAAAGAAATCAAGAAAATGCAGGACTTCCTGGGTCGCGAGAAGCCGATTTGGACCAAGATCTGGGAGAAGGAACTGCAGCTGGTTTGTGAAGAACGAGACCAGCTTACCATGCAAGAAGACCTGGCTGCCGACTTGCAAGATGATCTCGAGAAAGCAACCCAAACCTTCGCCCTGGTGGAGCAAGCAACCAAGGAGCAGGTCATGACAAACACGCCAGGCAGCGGTACTGCTGTTCGCGCCCCATCCAGGACTCTTGGCATTGACCCAACCATTGATCCTATGAAAGCCAAGGACGGTGTCTTGGGTGAGGTTCGTGCCTTGCAGCCTAACCATGAGAGTCGGATCGAGGCCATTGAACGAGCTGAGAAAGCACGAAAGATTGAACTGGAGACTCGACGCATCGGTCTTTTCCAGAAGGAGCTCGGCGCTTTCGTCGATGAAGGCAAATTGAAGAAGAGCGGTGGTTTTGAAGAGACCGAGCGGCTTCGTACTGCCAAGGATGAGCGCATCCGCAAAGAAGTTTGGGAAAGGCAGCAGGCCCGCAATGCTGAAATGGAGAAGGCGGAAGCGGAAGCGGCTGCTGCCCAGGCCGCAGAGCAAAACAATGAGGGCGGGAGTGATGATGGTCAGCCGGTAAGTGCAAATGAAACGACTCCGGAGGATGAAGACAAGGAGGAGAAGACAGAAGAACCCAAATCTCCATCTGCCGACGCGGAGAAGCCATCCCCCAAGTCGCCCGAGGAGGAAGACAACGCTGCCCCTGAACAGCCCTCTGCTTGAGCCTGCATGACTCTCCGATGTTCAGATATCCAGTCATTCTCGGCCTCGACTTCTATTTTATCATCCCCTCCCCTGCAACGTTTTTTTACCATCACCAACTCCAAGTGAAGTCGGTACATTTTTGTTTTTATTTCTGTTTGTTTTGCATTGGACATCGCATTGGGGCCTTGATTTTGTGTCATTTCCGTTGATACCTTTGGCGTGTTTCTTGTGCTTATTTATGTCAATTATTGACGATACCCTGCCACACTCTGTGGTGTGCTATTAGCATTTTGCCCTTGATTTTGCAAATGATATGAGCACGCGTTTTGAATTATTGCCCTATATCTCCTTATACTATTGACTGTAATAGAAAGTGGTCTGGCCTATGTTGATATTCCCTACTCCCTACACATAGGGAAATGTGCCCAAATAGCATGCACAAAAACGAGTCTCGCAGCCGGGGCTATCTGGCCTGTACGGTGGGAGAAGGGGTTTTTGTAGAACATGAATAGAGCTTCTGGAAATATCGAGTACGGAGTAGATGTTGACATACTACGGAGTAGATAAAGTGCACTCCGTATTCTAGGAGGGAACCTGGACTCAAGGACGGAGAAACTCCAGCAGATCGTCCCGTTTCAACAGCATAGTCCTTCCCATTGGTTATAAGGTATCCATCTTGTGGCCCGATGCATAGCGGTGCATTCCCAGCCATCTTTGTCCTGTGCAGCTTGCAGCTTCATGAGCACTCCAATGGGTTTATTCTGATTTCTGATGGATCAACCAGATCCAAAATTCGTCCAATTCACACCGATCAGTCTGAGGTACTCCATTATATAGGTTTAGGCTGTTGAATCTCCGGCCTCGAAATTCCATTCTGAGCCAACCCATCCGCAGCTTTGGTGAGACACACCTTTGAGACCATTCTCCCACTACTAGCCTCCAACCCGACTATTCCCACCAGTCTCAACTGAAACAAATTCCAGATTGATTATTGTCGCCAGACTCAGTGGCAGTATGCAGCATCTTCATGTCCTCTCTTTGTTTTTATCGATGTCCCATTTTACAACACTGGCCTCTACAGCTTACACAAATTCCTCGGCGGACCGAGAGCCTGTAGAGGCTGATCCTAGTTCACTGCCATCGGACCTCATTCTCCAGCGCAATGCTCAGATAGCCTCTCGGCTCGCTGCGGGACCAGTCCATGGCGTGAAAAAGATGAGCGACGACGAAGGCGAAAAATTCTTTCTCGACTACTGGAGTTTCATGGATACCACTGCCTCGGGGAATTTATCAGAGAGAAGCTATTCTGACGAAGATGCCTTCTCTCCTGCGCGCTTCATGGCCCAATCATACCCTTTTGATCCATCATATTCCTCATTCTCTGATAACCCAGATTTGTTTCCCCGGAAGAGCGGTGACAGTGAAACAAGTCATCTCGAGGCCCGGAACTTCAAATGCCCCGCTGGAACATCGGCATGCCTATCTATAGGCCGATCTGACCGCTGCTGTGGGTCTGAGGAGACGTGCCAGCTTGTCGTAGACACAGGGCATGGCAATGTGGGTTGCTGTCCTAGCTGGAAAAAATGCTCTGGGATGATTGGGTCATGCGAGCGTGGGTATACAGCTTGCTCAACGGCTTTGGGGGGTGGGTGTTGTATTCCAGGGTATCAGTGTGTTGAAGGAGGCTGTGAGTAATCTCCGGGCCATTACTGATGGACATGGACATCCGAAAGTGGGATGTAGCTATATCTTACTAATTGCTCCGGCAGGTGCGTATGTTACTGTTATTACTGTGACTCTCCATTCAACAGCGGTACTCTCTACTGTGACCTACTCGACCAAACCGCAGGATACTGCATCCGCATCTAGCTCGTGCTCGACAGCCTCCTCTCATAGCAGCATTCCTACGACTACGAACGACAGTCTGGCAGCACCGGGGCGTCCGACAGGTCTTTCGACGGCAACCAGCATTACTCGCGGCGATGATGTCTGCCCGACTGGGTTCTATGCCTGCTCCGCCGTCTACCACGGTGGCTGCTGCCGCACTGGACGAGACTGCGATACGACCTCATGCCCAACCACGTCTTCGACGACCTTCATATCAGGCGATGTTACAATTGTCGCACCCGTCGCAACGACAACAGAGCACCCTGGTGGAAACCAGTGTGCCAAGGGCTGGTTTCACTGTGCTGACACCGTCGGCGGAGGATGTTGTCCCATGGGATTTGCCTGTGGCTCCAGCTGCACTGCAACTGACACTGCGTCTGCGGCAACGGTTGCCAAGGAACAACCAACCAGCGCAGATGGTATGGTGCACCCGGTGAACAAGATCATGTTGGGGATGATGTTTGGGATTAATGTGGGGATCTGGTCGGTATTGCAATAGAGACACAAGAGATGAGACACATGAGTTGATGACAAGAAAAGAATGTTTCAGCTGAAAACAGCCACAATGTCCTCTGGAATGTGATTTTTATAGATCCCCCACGGGGGTTTAGTAATCGCCGGCAAGTGACGGGGCTAAACGTCCAGCCGGCCGGCTGCTGCACTCGGAGCTGATCCCCGAAACTCGCCGACACCGGTGAACCTTCTCTCTTCTCCTCACATCTTCTTTTTTCTAAACCTCGTTCTTTTTTGGTCTTGTGAGTTGATTTCTGGTGATTTGATCGCAAAGATGAGCGTACTGATCACTTTGCGATCCCATTTTTGCCAAATTCTGGCCCATACTAACGTTTCCCCAGGTCATTGAGCCGCCATCATGTCCGACGCTCCTCAAAAGCCCCTTCCCTTCGTCTACCAGTTCGCCGCCGGTGCGGTGGCTGGTGTCTCCGAGGTATGTTTTTTTTTTGCCTTGAGAAGCGGATTCGACGGGATTCGTTGAGTCGGAAACCCCCACAAGGTGCTCCAGGAGCTAACGCGTCTCTCCCCGCACGAACAGATCCTGATTATGTACGCCCGCTCCATCCGGTCCCATGGTCGCATCGTCACTTCTGTCGAAGACATGCCTGCTATAATGTGAAAACCGGACTCAGTTGACAATTTTTGACTCGCAGGTACCCTCTGGATGTGCTCAAGACTCGAATGTAAGCACACCGCTGGTCGCGATAAACATTGACCTAACGTGGCATGGGCTAATGATACTTCCCCTTTTGCAGCCAACTTCAAACAGGAGCTCCTGTTCCCGGTGTTGACCACTACAATGGCATGTTCGACTGCTTCCGCAAGATCGTTAAGAATGAGGGGTATGTCATCACATAGCGAACCAGCATCAGCTCTGCCTCTAACCTGTGGAAAACGTGTATAGTGCCTCGCGTCTGTACCGTGGTATCTCTGCGCCCATTCTGATGGAGGCACCCAAGCGTGCGACCAAGTTCGCCGCTAATGACAGCTGGGGCGCCTTCTACCGCAACCTGTTCGGCGTTGATAAGCAGACCCAAGGACTGGCCGTTTTGACCGGAGCCACAGCCGGAGCAACTGAATCTTTCGTGGTGGTTCCATTCGAGCTGGTCAAGATCCGTCTCCAAGACAAGGCCCAGGCTCACAAGTACAACGGCATGCTCGATGTCGTTAAGAAGATTGTGGCCGCCGAAGGTCCCCTGGCATTGTACAACGGTTTGGAGTCTACTATGTGGCGCCACATCCTGTGGAATGCAGGCTACTTCGGCTGTATCTTCCAGGTCCGCGCACAGCTGCCCGCTGTTGAGCCCGGCAACAAGAACCAGCAGACCCGCAACGACTTGATCGCCGGTACCATTGGTGGTATCACCGGTACTATCCTGAACACCCCCATGGACGTCGTCAAGTCTCGCATCCAGAACACCTCCAAGGTCGCCGGTCAGGCTCCCAAGTACAATTGGGCTTGGCCTGCCCTTGGCACCGTTATGAAGGAGGAGGGCTTCTCTGCCCTGTACAAGGGCTTCACCCCTAAGGTCCTCCGTCTTGGCCCTGGTGGTGGTATTCTGCTTGTTGTCTTCACTGGTGTCATGGACTTCTTCCGCAACATGCGCGGCGAGTAAGTTTGTCGCGATTGTCGTAGTTGAATGTTTGATAGCGAAGGTGTTTCTCCAAAAGCAACATCCATGTGGATGGTCATATACCTCTGACCCTCACCCCTTTCGCCCTGATACCCTCTTCACTATCATTTCCACCTTGGGCTCAGACTTGACCGACCATATGGAAGATGTTGTGATTCTTTTGGTTTCTTGTCTTTCTCAACTACCCTCTTGCCATTATCAGATACAATAGAGAACAACCGCCAGATGGACATAAAAACAAAATATAACAACATTTACCTAGGTATTCCATTAGTATCATCACTTTTATACTCTATGAATCTTTGTACATGCGGGCCGGGAAAGAATTGAGAGCAACACCCCAAACAGAACCACACCACGCAATGCCTCAAGAAAACCACAAGACATCCCAACCTCACACGGTGTTATCAGAATCAGGCCCAAGACCCTCATTCTTAGATGTATCAATCTCATCCTCCCACATAGCCTCCCTCATAAACGTACTTCGCTCTCGAATCTGCGGACCAGTCAGCGGCACGAAGATCAGTGGCCAGAAGGCAGGTCTCATATTCCAGGATGTGGTCACCCAGTAAAGGTTAGGGAAGGGAGATTTCGGGACGTTGAATTCTTTCTCAATCCAGTCGTTGGCTGAGCCATATGTTCCTGCAGGAAGACCGGTCAAGACGGAGCTATTGGTCTCCTTGTCAGTAAATTCTTTGTTTATTGTGTGGATTCAGTTTTGTGGTCTCGTACATGAAGCATACAGTGATGGTCAGTTAGGTAACTATTTTTACTTGAAGGGATTCTCTGGGTCATCAGGGCCATGCCAGGTGTGTATTTCGATGTCTTCGGATGCGGGCATCTCTTCGCGGACATCTCGATTTAACATTCGTCCGAGTCTGGAATATCATGAGCGCCAGTATATTTTCGTTGCTTTGCCATGGGAGGTAATGAAAATACCGACTTGTCTATTAGCTCTGACTTTTTCTGTTTTTTTTTTGTGGCATCGGGCTGTTCGGGTGGATTGCGATAGTTCTCATCATGGTTGGCCATGGCGAGCAAACTGCTCAATTTTCCCTTCATCTCTGCTCAGCGGACCTGTATAAATGCAAGGCCGGTCAAGGGAAAGAACGTAAACAAAGATAATGAATAAAAAGAGGACAAAATCTGCCACATATTGATTATAGAGACAATGATATCAATTGATTCTGATAACAGGAGACTAGACTTGCATCATCCAATGCCGAATCCGAGAATCCCGAAAAGATCGGCATGCCGAACTGCCGATACCAGACTAACATCCCGTTTATTTGGCTGATATGGGGAAAATCATGCACTGTGAGTCCAATGAAGTCCATCGGATGCACTGGGACAAGGCTGGTTTCTTGCTTCCAGCGCCACTGCCATAGATTTCGTAGATAGTATTAGCGTGCCACCTTTGTTTTATGTCTTTTGTTATTCTTGGACCATCGACCAGAGATGGCCAGACTCTGCCTTGATTTTGTATTTCGACCTGTGTCTTGATGCAGCTAAGCGTCGTCATATTCCTGTTTTCTCGGTTCGTGGCGGATGTCAATGTGCCAGGTACATATGGACATGGGTTCGAAACAATGTGAAAAACCAGGAGAGTTCAGGAGACGAGGCTATTCACACATCGAACCTTCTCAAGTCGCATCCACAGACAACCGGTATATTCCAGCTTTCCCAGTTCAAGAATGCCACCACCAAACTACCTAGGTACGAATGTTCATTTACAAGTGGAGTGTCCGAAGATGATATTGAGAGATCAGTTTCATTTGACTTTTTTTTTACAATTTTTTTATTTTCAATTGTTGCTTTGCATTGCCTTTCTCTCAAATTCTCCCTCAAATTCAGCCCGGGCACTTGCTACCCCTACACACGCTTGGGCTGCAGGAGCTCAAGCTGGGCCTCGTGAAGCCGCTTGATGTTGGCGTTGTACAAGTCAGCAAGAGCGGCGTACTGGTTCTTGGCCTGCTGAGCTTGTTCCTTGAGCTCCTGCAGCTCCTTCGCCTGGTTGGCGTTGGTCCGGCGCAGGGAGGTGTTGTCAGCCTGCAGCATCTGGAGACTGGTCTTGCCCGTCTTTGGGTCAATGGCGGTGGCCTTGCGCAAGCTACGTTGGTAGTAGTCGCGTTCCTTTGACAGGCTCTGGATGCGCTGACGGGCTCGCTGGAGGGGAAGCGGGGTGAGCGGCTCAGCGGGGGCGGGGGTGCTCTGGACACCAGCGATGGGAGCAAAGGGGGACACATGTTTGGCGTAATCCTCTTGGGAAAAGCCTCGAGAAACCTGCATGGCATGTCACATACGGTTAGTGAATTTCTTTGTGGATGCATCAATGGATGGTCCAGAGGGACGTACCGGCAGCTGCGCAGCATGCATCGAAGAAACCAGTGAAGCGGCAGGAGTCTTGGGGGTGATCGGGGTCACAGGAGCCTTGTGGGAGGCGGGGGTCTTGCGGGTAGTAGGAGTCTTGCGAGAGGCGGGGGTCTTGCGGGAGGCAGGAGTCTTGCGTGGGGCAGGAGTCTTGCGCGCGGCAGAAGACTTAGGGGTGATAGGAGGCAGGGGAGGCAAGGGCTCCAGAGGAGGGTTAGGGTTGAAACCTGCAGCAGCAGCGTTGTTGACAGCCGTGGCAAAATGGTTGGGATCAAAGCCCGCGACAGCAGCATTAGAGATGCAACCAGCAGAAGAATTGGGAATGAAATTTGCGATAGAAGCATTGGAATTGAAGCTGGCGGCAGCAGCATTGTTGAAAGCCATGGCAGAAGGGTTGGGATTGAGACCCGCGACAACAGCATTGGAATTGAAGCTGGTGGTAGCACCATTGTTGAAAGCCATGGCAGAATGGTTGGGATTGAGACCCGCGACAGCAGCATTGGAATTGAAGCTGGTGGTAGCACCATTGTTGAAAGCCATGGCAGAAGGGTTGGGATTGCGACCCGCGACAGCAGCATTGGAATTGAAGCTGGTGGTAGCACCATTGTTGAAAGCCATAGCAGAAGGGTTGGGATTGAAACCAGCGACAGCAGCATTGTGGAGGGCTGTGGCAGAGGCGGTGGGATTGAGACCCGCGACAGCAGCATTGGAATTGAAGCTGGCGGCAGCAGCATTGTTGAAAGCCATGGCAGAAGGGTTGGGATTGAGACCCGCGACAGCAGCATTGGAATTGAAGCTGGTGGTAGCACCATTGTTGAAAGCCATGGCAGAAGGGTTGGGATTGAAACCAGCGACAGTAGCATTCGGAATGAAACCCGCGGCACTGGGAATAAAACCCGCGACAGCAGCATTGGAATTGAAGCTCGCGACAGCACCATTGTCAATAGATGTGGCAGAAGGGTTTGGATGGAAACTCGCGGCAGCAACATTGTTCAGGGCCATAGCAGAGGCAGTGGAATTGAAGCTCGCAGAAGCAGCATTGTTGAGGGCTGTGGCAGAGGGTTTGGGATTGAAACCTGCACCAGCAACATTGGAATTGAAGCTCGGAATAGAAGGATTGGGATTGGCAGCTGTGGCAAGAGTCTTGGTGCCCAAGGAAGCAACAGGAGTTTTGGGAGTAAAGGTAGCCGCAAGGGTAGGGCTGGATGGCTCTATCATCTCAACTGATGAGGAGCGAGGAGAGTCAAACAGGGAGTTCGGCGAATCCATCGTCTGAGGGCTTTGAGCAGCCACGTCTTGTTGATTGGGTTGAGGACCTGTTGGCGGGAGACAAGCACCAGCCAGATTAGCCTGGGCAATCAGGTTCTCCCATTTTTTAACTTTGTCGGCATCAGTGTCGTTCGGGGCGTATGCAACGTCAATTGAGGGGTCGTAAGTCATTGGCATGTACGGAGCATGCGGGGGAAGCATGTCCGATCCGGGCTTCATGAGGCCATTGTCAGACGCCTTCAAACCGAGCTGGTTCGTATTATCGGAAAGAAAATCAAAGGTGGACTGATCGAAACCACTTAGATCACGGGAAATCATGTCAAGATCAAACTGGTTAAGGCCAGTAAAAGAGGATTCCATGGTGAAGCAGTCAGAACCAGGCTGGCCAAGCTCGGAGACAGGATTGTTGAGATCAATTGAATCCATATTGGCTGGAAATAGGCATCAAGTTTTGAAACATCAAGGGGAATTGGACAAAGCAGAGGTTGTGAAAAGAGAGACAATATCGAAGGAGAAGGGTCGAGGATGCATAGATATAATTGTATACCCATCCAAAAGGAGCTTAGTACTCATGGACGAGAACAAAGGAAACAAAGAAGAACAAAGAAGAACAAAGAAAATAACATTGCTATTGTTTTCTGGCGAGTCAATAGATCAATGAGTCGACAATCGTGTCACGCTTCCTCAATTACCTTCATACTAGGAATATGTTTTTTTTTTCTGCCGGCCAATCAGCTATTTTGCCAATCAGTTTACCCGTTTCTGCCGGCCAATCATACGTCATTCCCCAGCTTGCGACTCACCGCGCAACGTACCGCCAAATCTAATTCACGACTCACAATAGCCAAATTGCAATATTCTGTAGCATGTGAAAGAATTCACAAAGATCACGAGAATAAAAAAAACATGATAATTAGCACAACAATCAGGATCAAGTATTTTGTTTCTTCCCCATTTGTCTCCAAGGCTGTAGAGCTTAAGAACTCCATGTCTTTTGCTCATGAAGCCTGACCGCCTTCTCGTTCCTGTCGATCACCATCTTATCTCCCCACCGCCCTGAGCTTATCTACATATACACCGCTCTGCTCACGTGTACATAACAGTCACGTGTTTGTCATGGCAGAAAAGGGGACTCCATCCGACGCTCGGTCTGGGCCGCATCGCCCTGCCAGCTCCCATAACTTCTCTAGGAACTTTAGTAGTTCCCAAGACGAGGACATCACAAAGACTGGTTATTTCTCTCATTACACTCCTTTTGCCCACGCAATATCAAATATGAGCGTCATTTTATGTACTGGTACGCCAATCCATCATGAGAATCTCCCCGCATTCTTTCTAGACATTGAGCTAATTACTTGGGTTGCATGTTTTAGCGGGGTATGACCATACCATTCGGTAAGTTGAGGCTTAAAAGGTCGCCTACTATATTTACCCAGCACATGCAGAGTATCGATTGATCAAAACTTGTGCTGACCTTTCCCTCCATTAGCTTTTGGGAAGCGCTCTCGGGTATCTGTTCGCGAACAATCCAGCACCCAGATTCCCAGGTCAACCGCCTTTGCATCACCCCGGATAAGAGATTCTTGGCTGCCGCTGGCCACAACACTGTTAAGCTGTTTGATATCAAGTCGACCAACCCGAATCCCGTGATCACTTTTGAAGGTCACACGAACAACATCACCGGCGTGGCATTCCATTGTGAGGGGAAATGGATGGTCACAAGCTCCGAGGATGGAACTGTCAAGGTCTGGGATACTCGTACGGGTAGTTTGCAGCGTAACTACGCTCATCGGGCTCCGGTCAATGATGTGGTTATTCATCCCAATCAAGGCGAGCTTATCAGTGGTGACCATGCTGGGATGGTCCGTGTCTGGGACTTGGGCGAGAGTGTCTGTACTCACCAATTGATTCCGGAGGAGGACACGGCGGTTCTCAGCGTCAGTGTCGCAAGCGATGGATCATTACTCTGTGCTGGAAACAAGAAGGTGTGTGCTGTTCATTTCCCACAGAAATGTATGTCTCTTTACTAATCTCTCGACAGGGCAACGTCTATCTATGGCGCATGGTCCAGACCGATGAAACGACTCGTATAATTCCCGTTTGTACCTTCCAAGCTCATAAGGACTACCTTACCCGTGTTCTCCTTTCTCCCGATGTCAAGCATCTTGCAACCTGCTCCGCAGATCATACTGCCAAAGTTTGGAATCTGGATGCCGAGTTCCCACCTGCCAAGGCGGCACTCAAGCAATGGAAGGAGAAGGAAGCCTTGAACCCCCCAGTTGAAGCTCCGGTCGAGCCTCCGGTAGCCCCCATAGAGGCTCCCCCTAAGTCCCGGGATCTGCTCCGAATTTTCGACACACCCGCGCAGGACCGTGACCTCCTCCGCATCACTGACAATCCTCCTCGCCAGGAGACACCGCAACAAACATTTACCTCATCCCCCGACGGACCTCCTATGGATCCGGTCAACCACACATTGTTTTTAGAGACCACTCTCGCCAATCACCAACGCTGGGTCTGGGACTGCGCGTTCTCTGCAGATTCTGCATATCTTGTGACTGTCTCCAGCGATCACTACGCTCGTCTGTGGGAGCTTAGTACTGGCAATATCATTCGCCAGTATAGCGGCCATCACCGCGGTGCGGTCTGTGTTGCTTTGAACGACTACTCGGAGCCCCGTTAGAGACAGGACGCAGGTTTGGATTGTCTGTACTGACTGGCGTTTTGCTTTCATGGGCTCATGGGTCTCTATCGGCGTTGGCTTTATCCTAGGTAATCTACACATGGCACGGCGCAAGTATTGACAGGCACCTTCATAATCTCTTTAGTTACATGGCGTATTCTGTTTTGGTCAATGGATGGATTTCGGAAGTTATCTACCATCTCGCAGGTCGCTTCTTCTTTCCCATTTTTTTTTGGCTAGTCCCTATTTAGCTATATAGAGGATACTGCATCGGTCTATATAGTATGATCATATGAAATATGAGAACCATTTCTCCTGTGTTGGAATATGCCCATCCAACTTACTTTTACAAGGCCATCCAATTTCTCGAACAACTTAGATAAGTATCCATAAACTCAAGAAGACACAACACCATGCCCAGGCTTAACTCGAATCAAATCACAGGAAAAAGAAAAAAGAACAGATCTGGAGATACCCAGAAAACTAAACACAAATGTTCAAGTACATATAAGAATAAGAAAAATGAAGCCTGTGAGACATATCAATGGAGAGTGAAATAGAACCCTCCCAAAGAAAAGCATGACCTCCGCCCATGGACTTTTATTCCATGCATTAACACATTCACAGCACAGAACGAGACAATTAACAGTCAGATCCGTCCTTATACGACGGCAAACCATGTCACACACACAACAATGTCCAATCCCCGTTCCTCAGCACCAGTATACTTGTAAGTCCACATGCCGTCACGGTTCACATCCCAGAATGCACCGGAGGCAGAGTGCATACCGCGCTTGCCGGCATTGCTGAGGGCACCGTCTGCGGCAACAGACTCGTCAATCACGCCCTGCTGCACAATTGTGCTGTTCACGGTGAAACGGTAGGGAGGGGGCTTGGAGGCTTCGGTGGGAGTAGTGGCAGTGATCAAGGCCTTGAGGACGGTGTTCTGTGCAGAGGATTATTAGCATCGAGCTTGCCATTCGCATTCGGGGCGGCCGTTGGTCGCTAGTCGCTGGGGTATGGTGGCACTTACGATGATCTGGGAGTTCCAGGTGCCGACGTTCTCATGATCGTAGCCTTTTGTGTCCTTCAAGGCATCGTTGCAAGCCTGGATGGGCAAGTTAGCGTGGGGTTGTATCCCACGGGGCAATTCTGGAGGGGACATACCTCGGTGGTGATCTTGGTGAGTTCCTCAATAGGAATGGGCTAGAGAGCCATTAGTATGGTTCATAATATTAACGTCCTCAGTGCAGTACGTAATTGCGATATGGTGCTGCTGCGGTGTTACTGGCCATCAACATACCGATGTGGAGGCGCCTTCGACAGCCATTGTGAATGAGTTGGATATATAAGGTTTGAAACGGGTTGAGATTTCTATATAAAAGGTTGTATTAGCACCGCACGTGGAATAACTCTGGCCTGAACGCGTATAGTCTGCATTGGGCTGAAATCATGTTCAAGATAGCACCCGTGGACGGGGTATGCGCAAGCAATGCGGGGAGATAGGGCACGATTGGTGGCGAATCTCGGCGTGGGATGCCTTGTTCAAATAGGGCAAGAGTGTCCCCATACCTTGATTGAGCCTGGATAGTAGAGAGGACTATGATTGCGGGATGTCTGTAGGACTGACCTGGCAATTCAACGTGGATTGTTTGGATGTTTGGCATCATAGGGGCGCTTGACCTAAAGAGGTTTGGCGCGATCTTGGTTCTGCCACGGCGGTGGAGTGCGGCGGTCTTGAAGCGTCTTGGTTCTTGGTGTACAACCTAGGTACTTTGTTTCGGTTTTTTCTGTCTACACAGATAGAAAGAGCAGGAGGTAAAATAATGCAGATGGTGGCTTGAGCATATACCTAAGAAGGCTGTATTACAGAAGATGTTGTGATTAGCCGTAGATATATCTCATCGCTACACACTATTGAAACCTCAAACTAGACCCCATTCGAGGATCACTCAGGAAATAGGAAGACTTCCAAGCTTTGGAGCTCACATATGTTATAAACGAGAGATGAAAATGAGAGACAGAGAATCTTATGCCTGTCATAGTAGCCTGCCATAGCGGAGAAGCTTAGGGATCTAATCTAGATCATGCAGCTTGATGCTTTGATTCCCAGTGTTAGACCTTTTCGCGGTCACGACTCATCGATAATATTCCATTGGACATTCTAACTTCGTATCTTGCTAGTTGTCTCATTATGGTATGATCAACAATCTCAGAATGTTCCAGATTTCATACCAACAAATCCACCTCGGGTACAAGAGGTCCTTCTGGAAGTCTAGTTTCCCTCTTTCTGCAAAGCAGTTTCACTACCGCATCCAGCTGCTTTATATAATATAAAGCTGCCTCAATATATGTTTCTTACATCTCCTGCTTTTCGATAAAGGGCATTTATGGCCTTCTATATAACTTCTATACAATCCCTAGGCTATTATTATCCACAACAAGCTCCTTCGCTGCTGTTTACAACTGACATTCCTTTGCAACCTGTCGAAGCTGTTCTGTACTCGCCATTTCCAGCCAACCCCAAACCCCCCGAGCTTGATTTGATTGAAGCAAAAAGCTGAAGCATATGTGAGGTATCTCCCAACCCAAGCACGGCCCCTTGTGGTGGAGATACATTCGCAGAAAGCCAAACGGGTATCCAGCTGCTTGGTGGACCGGTCGGTCTCTAAAGCAGATTATCAGCCCGCTCGACGTGAAAGTTGAGGGAAACAAGGCTATGAAGAGGCATAGGACCCTGGATTCAATTATCGGTCCATGGTAGAAGGCCTGAAGCAGTTGAAGGAAAGACTGGTCCTCTCGAGTATGACCCCCGACAAGTGCCCGATCGCCAACTATCAACGTCCATCTGGAACAAGAACAACATTGACGAGAAGAGACTAAGAAGAGACCTCCGGAGACAGAGATTCATTCTGCTTATGGTGGAAATATGGCAATGGATGTTGGCCATAAAAGACAGGGAAGAAATGATTCGACAAAGCTCTGTAGACAATATTACATCACCTCTTGGATGATATGAAAGAAACGGGGGGAGTTGTTCTTTCCTGCCAACAGCCCAGAACACTGATCAATATGATCGCCTTTAAAGAGCCCATGCGTTCTCATCGAGAGCTTTGATTCACTGCTGCATATAGTTAGTTCTGCATGGGGCCGTGATATTAGGTCCGGAACCAAAAAATAAGAAAAGACCAAAAAGAATGAGGGCCCGAAGCGCGATTCGAACACGCGGCCTCTCCGAGATTGAGCTGTGACCCAAACGGAGAATCATACCACTAGACCATCCGGGCATTGGATGAGATAATCCAGGTGGGAGGGGATTGTATGGTTATAGGAGAAGCACTATTTTTCAAGTTTTATTAAGTTGCATGTTGAACCTTGGAATATTTCAATATTTACTTACCCCGCATGAAGCTCAGGAGTAATCTTCTTTCTCTTTGTTATCCTCGATCTATGACAACATGTCGTTCCCCACATTCCATCATCACGCCCGGATGGTCTAGTGGTATGATTCTCCGTTTGGGTCACAGCTCAATCTCGGAGAGGCCGCGTGTTCGAATCGCGCTTCGGGCCCTCATTCTTTTTTTGTATTTTCTTTTTTTGGATTCTCTGCTTCTTATGCATCGTTATTTCTTGCTTAAACGTCTATCAGCAAGTCCAATGAACATTAGGGTATTTAATTAACCCAAGAGATGGAACTCCAAATATACCCCGGTGACACAGTAGGGAGTAGAAATTGTTTGGGCTCATTGTATACGGGGTGATTTCCAGATTATGACAATGTAAGTCCTGACGTTCCAAGGTTGACTGCCATGACTATCCCGCAGTCGGGTAAGCCCCAATTTCCTGACTCGTGAGGGGTCATATCTGTGCACTCATCTACTCTATCTACTCAATCGTCTACTCTGTCTCATCACCAAGGCAAATATGGAGCTCAGACCGGATCATCGATTTGACCCCTTCGGCCCCGATGCAGCAGCACTCGACGATCTCAATCTTGATATGGCCAATATCGACTGGAATGACCCTGCATCCTTCTTCAAGGCTCTTGGTGCTGGTGGACCCGGTGCACTCCCCATGCCGAAGTTGAAGTCACCGGCAGACGTTCGTCAAGAGGCCGCGGCAAGATCACGCAATATTTCCACCGTCTATCAGACTTTGTGTGATATCCTAGAGCGTCATGAGGCTTCCATTCGGAAGCGCTGGTCCAAAAAGACCCGACAGCAGAGATTAAAGATCCTGCTCAATGCTTGGCCGAACATGCCGGCAATGCATCGCCCCGACTTCGAAGCTTTCCGGAATGAGAGCGCATCTGCCCGTGGCCGGGGTACTAAATATCGAGATTCCTTCATGTGGCCGTACATAAATCAAGAGGATCTCTTGAACACCAAGACACTCCCGCTGTTGCTCAATGCAAGAGGTCGCCACCATCCTTCACACTTTGCTGCAGCCGACATCGCTGCCATGCATATGGGCTTGGTTACCCATGCAATTGTGCCCATCTTTCTGAACAAGCATATCATGATTCTGAACGGTGTGACTGAAAATACCACGGAGTATGGTACGCTCGTGGCCTGGAGTGACCACCCAGATGTTTTCGACTGGATGGTCAAACAGAAACAATTCATTCCCGGGGAGGGCTTAGTGATCTTGGAAGTACAGGAGCGACTTTTGAGCTTCCTTCTTGAATGCTGCACCCAGCTGCTTCACGACATTCCAAAAACCAGCTTGATCAGCGACTCTTACCCTATCTTGCCAGAACCAGATCTCAAGCCCGAAAGCGAGATAAGCGGTTTCAAGTCTCTGGGTGTAATGGCTGCAGAAGCCCCATATCGTGTCCCAGAAAAACTTGATCTCGGTCTTGTTGAGTCGCTGCTTGCAGCACGGGCATCTGCTGCAGAAGATCATCTGTGGGCTCTGCGGGAGGATCCCCAATATTTTTCTAAGGCTGTCCTCGAGGCCAAAGACCATCGCCAGGAGAATATGAAGGACCTTGATGGTAATGATCATCCAGTATTCAGTCATGGTCGGTCTGAGGTTCTGTGGGCGCGTGTTGTTGGCTCTGTTGTGGCGGATGCGTACCTTGAGCTAGAGTTGTTCTCTGAACTCAGCAGTCAAGCTAAGAAATTGGTCTCCTTGCAAAGGAAATATGCTAGCGATATATCGCCCGAGAGAGATCTACCCCAGGAGTATCTAGACGCCTTGCTTAGATTCCGTCATTACCTCAACCAAGGAGCTAAAGGACCGTTGCTACAACTCAAACTTGGAGCTCCCGCCTCACCACCTTTGCGAAGAATGTTTGTTCGTGAGCCACCACCAAATTCTCATACGCCAAAGATCGTTACTGTTTCAAAGCCCGGCCTTAAACTGAACAACATAGAGAAACAATTGATGTGGCTGCTTTCCACTCTCTGGGAGGATGGTCAGCTCTTGTTCCTCGTTAGTATGTCTGGCGTCGTGGACGAGCTAGAACGACTACTTCAATCGGAGCTGCAAGCTCGAGAATTGCTCTCCTCATTTACCAATGCGGTGATTGGTGACCTTTCTATCATCTCTCAGTGTTTAAACCAGTTGAATCTTTATCACCCATGGGCCCAATCATTTGAGAATGACCTTCTTGACCGTGATGATCAACTCAAGCAAGACTATGCGGAGCGAACCCAGGGATGGGCCCGGATTTTGGCCGTGCTTCATGAGACGAGCATGCCAAATCGAGTCGTTAATCTCGGTAACCCTACAGGTGGAAAATTCGCCTATCCTGTCGAAAAGCGCCGCACTATTGAGAATGTGGCGGCACTTCGCAGCGCCGAAAGACATTTGGATGATTTTTGGGCCGCTGTTGACCAAGTTATGGTCGCAAAAGCGGGTGATTTGAGTGGCACAGCTGTGCGAAATGTCCTGTCCCAGCCGCGTACCTTGCAGCGTACTCGAGAGTGGGTCGAGCCGACAAAGCCCGCGCCTGCAGCACCTGCACGGGGCAAAGAAGCTGAAGTCGATCTTTACTCTATCTATGAACCTCTTTCTCGGTTCTATACCGACATCCCGACAAAGAAACTCGATGTTGCACAGCCCAAAACGAAAGTCAAGACCCGTGGGACACCCCAAGCGTCTGCTGTCCCCATCACAGAAGCCGAAAGGCTCCTGCGGTCCAATCCTACTGATCAGCAACCTACGTTTTCTGTTGATGGGCGTGCACTAAAGGTCTTCAAGACCATTTTTTTCAACCCCACTATGACATCTACGCCAGGTGAAGTTCCATGGAATGACTTCCTGCATGCAATGGCCTCGGTCGGCTTTAAAGCCATGAAGCTCTACGGGTCTGTCTGGCAGTTCCAGCCGACCAACTTGGATGTTGAAAGAAACATCCAGTTCCATGAACCTCATCCCCGCGGGAAATTACCCTTTAGGGTTGCACGTCTGTATGGCCGTAGGCTTAATCGAGCCTATGGTTGGTTTGGAGGGATGTTTTCTTTGGCCAAGAAATGAGATAAGAGGACATACAAAGTACAACAAGAGCTACCTAAGACACCATACTCCGTATCTCATGGGATGTTCGAGTAAGCAGGTGTCACGGGACTTTACACGCTTGTGACCAGTAGCTACATAGCTACATTGTGAGATAGGAATCCTACTTCTCTCTACTTCTCCATAACACCATACCATCACTATATTGTGGAAATATGTATTAGAACGACGTGTCTTAGTGTGATCTTTTGTTAGAATCTCGATACAGTTTGAGCCTGTTTCGACAATCTCTTCACTTGTCATGAGTCAAGCGCATTGACAAGGTACATATTCCGAGCCAGTAAAGGGTAAAGCTGTTGAATCTCACCAGCGAATTATCTCATATCACCGGTGAGAAACAGATCCGAGTCTTCTTCAGGCTAACACAGGACCACCGATGAGCCGAAAACGCAAAAATGCCACGAGAACTGCCCCCCGATTCGTATATCTCGATTTGGCCCAGCTAGTTACAATCAGAGGGGAGATCCACCGCAGTGCATAAGCCGATGCCTGTCTCAGATTGGTGCTGATGAGCCTTGTCGCACACGACAAGACATGATTCCCTCTGCCAATGAGGCTGGGGGCGGGCTTCATTAGGCAGCTCAACTTCAGTCACGATCCTCGCACCTTTCTTTTATGTCAACCCCTGAGGGACGATCCGTTAACTGCTGAATAACAAAATACAGAAACCGTTATCATGCAGTCCAATACCACGGATTTAGTAGCCGATACGAAGTTTCGAGTGGAGTTTCACTCCGATTTTGTCCATCGTCTCGCCTTCCAGTCACGCAACTTTCTGATTGCTTACAGGCGGACGTTCCGGAGGGGTTCAAAATCTGCCTACGAGGAAGGAAAGCTCCTCTTCGATGAAGGAAGATATAAGCAGGCTGAAGCGGGGTTCAAACAGGTTTATGAGGAACGCAGAGACAGCTTTGGGCCAAGCCACCCAGAAACAATCGAGTGTCTCTTGGAAATAGGCAAATCTCTTCATTATGGAAAAAATGTACCGAAGCGGAAGCAGTGTTCCGACAGACCTTCCACACTTGCGAGCAAGTTCTTGGATCAGCCCACGAGAACACGTTAAAGTCGCTGCATTGGTTAGGAGAGGCTCTTATTCGCCGAGAGAAGTACGCCGAAGCCGAAAAAGTATTTCAACGGGCGTTCGAAGGTCGCGAACGAGCTCTTGGACCAATCCACGAAAGAACGCTCAACTCGTTACATTGGATAGGCATCGCTCTAGCACACCAAAAAAAGGTTTCCAAAGCGGAGCCTGTGTTCCGACAGGCCTTTACGAGTCGTGAGAAAGTGCTTGGACTAACTCACGAAGACACTCTCCACTCGGTTCATTGGCTTGGAGTGATTCTCGTCCGTCAAGGAAATTTTGCCAAAGCTGAAGGAGCATGTCGACAAGCCTTTGAGGGTCGCGAACAAACTCTGGGACCAGCCCATGAATTCACGCTTAACTCGCTACATTGGCTAGGCATGACCTCCATACGCCAACACAAGTATGCCAGAGCCGAAGCAGTATTTCGACGGGTCCTTGAGGATCGCAAGAAGACGCTTATACCAAACCATCGATTCACGATGAACTCTCAATATTGGCTAGGAGTAGCACTCTTTCGCCAGTGAGGATACATCGAGGCCGAAGGAATATTCCAAACAAACTTCAAGGCCCGCAGGGAAAGCCTTGGAGACTCCCATCTAGACACACTTACAACTTTCACAATGCTAGGACAGGTTGTCAGGCGTCTCCCTCAATCCATAGCTTCCTAGTTTAGTCTTCTTCTTCAATCAACATCTTCATGGCGCATTTTGAGGTCTCTCTCAGTAGGCTCTGACACAGGTCTCGGGCAATATCAAGTCTAGTTGAATGCTCGTGTTATTTGGGGCTTGAATTTCCCCTACTTCCCTAGATGCAGGTGTATATCTAATTTATTACAACATTACCACTACGTGATTGTGCATGGATAGACGGGTTGAGGACAACTCATGGTTATACTCTGCTTCTTGTTACCTTCTACGGTATGTGGTATCCTTCTACAGTCAGATCATTAAGAGATCTTATAATGTAATAAAATGAATCAAAGTCGAGAACCGACTTGCCAACCAACTGGGCTCCTCTCTCCATGTCACATGTTCCTTTGTTACGAGGCTAGCGTTGGGTGTTAACTGTAAGATAAAACAATTGTACACTGCCCTTCAGCAATTAGGTGTGGAAGGGACTCTGGATTTGACCATGACTTCTATTAAATTACATATTAACACAAACAAAAGAAAGAGGGAAAAAGAAGGGGGGAAAAGAGTGCGGGATGAGTGTTGAGACGCACGGTTCCCATATGTGGACAGGGCGATAGTGTGGCTGTGAAGAACTAGCTCAAGGCCAACTTCCTTTTCGATCAGCTTCAACGCCCGGGTGCACGCAAAAACAAAATAAAATCTTGCCGCCTGGGCTTTTTGTCTGCGCCTCAATGACACAGTCGAAATGTCGAGGTAAATCAGTCTCCAACCTTAGTCTCATATAAGGCAGCTCGCTCATGGCTCGAATAAAACCTGAAAAGGGTCCCATATGCCATTATCATTGACTACAAACTGCGATTCACTGTCGATCAAGAGTTCTGGGCGACCACAGATGAACTGAACAATAATGGCGTCCAGAAGTCCACAGCGTCCTCTGCGATCCAAAAGCAACGGCAGCACCACTCCTACCATACCAGAAACCAAACCAGTATCATACACACCCAAATGTAAGTTCTTGATCTTGATAGCCACGACGACGAGATGATTCTGATCACGGACTAGGCACACCCGAGGAATACATCAAAGCTATCGCTCACCATTCTCAGCAATCCAGTGCCGAGACGTTATACCCTGGGGACATCTATGATACCCTAACACAGTTCCTGGAGCTGAAGCCAAACATTCTACCAAACACTGCAAACTGTCCACCGTCCAGTGATTTTGCTTGGCTTATCAGCCCTGGCCAGTCTGGTCAGCAAGCTTCGTCAGACAGGCAGTCTCTGTCAGAAAGGCACTCGATCTCGGAAACAAATACCAACCAGAGACAGCTTGAGGGATTCACGGATCCAGACTCGTGTATAGAGGCCCTGAGAAGTAAAATCGAGATATCACATCCGCAAATACTGTTTCTACGAGGCCATCCTTCGCCGAGTTGGCTTTCCAAGATTGGCGCCTTTTGTTACGTCGACCCTGAGCTATTTCGCTGGTTTCTCAGATATCGCGCCGGACCAGGGAGCGATTATTATTTTGATTCCGCTCCTTCTACGATGAGCAACATATTCCGCTTCAAATTCTTTACCATCGGATCTAAGAATCGTCTATATCGATCGTCCCAGCGGGAGATAGACGCCTTGCGCCGAAAGGCAGCCAACGAGTTCCAGAGGTACCAGGCTGAGATAAAGGGAAATTGGGCTTTGAAACCAGGAGACTCGATTGTGCGGAATTTCCACGTACTGGATGAACGGCATTGCCTTATCGAACAAGAGATCGTGATCTCGATATTCGATGTGGGAAAAACATGGATGGGTATGATCTCCAGCATAATTTTGGGATATAATTTGACTGACAACTACAGCTATTGCCTGCACGGATGCAGGGCATGACCTCGCCCAGGGACCACGATTTCCCTGGCTCACGACTGGGGTGGAATCATTGCCTATCACCCTCCTCCCAATCTTTCAGTACAGACCGAAATGTGCCTTGAAGTCTCGCAGTATAAACAATGGCACCGCTGAGCCAAAGAAAGGGAGGAATACCCAAAGTCTCGCCGTCTTTCCAGAAGACTATGGGCGTGGTCTGGATTGGTCGCTCGCAAAATCCGACCGTTTCCATATCTTGTCCGATCTATTCAGACTAGCTGCATTCTCTCAAAAGCAGCTTCTTAATGTTATGAAAGAAAAAATCACGACTGAAACGAATCGCCTGTCTCTTGGGAATGAGAATCCAACATTGGCTAATCTGCTCTACTTTCGGGATATCCTGCAAGACCAACTGAGCAACATATCGCATATGCTGCAGTTGACAAATAACCAGAACAACATCCTCCAAAACGGTCGTCGGCCCTCTATTATCATATCGACTGACCAGAGAGGTGTAACCGATTACGCCGTGGCTGAAGCGCATGCTCTATTCGAAGATCTGCACTCGCAGGCACAGTCGCTCCAGGAAAGGTGCACTCAAGAAATGACTGTCATTAGTAACAACAGCATGCTCGCAGAGTCTGAGCGTGCCATTCAACAGGCGAAGTCAATTACAAAACTCACAATTGTTGCTTTTGTGTATCTGCCATTCACGTTCACGGCTGGGTTCTTTGGTATGAATTTTAAGGAGCTGGGGAGTGGTACTATTCCTCTATGGATCTTTTTTGCTGCCTCTTTGCCGCTGATGCTTGTCACTATGGGCATTTTTGCGTTGGATGCGGAAACGATCAGGAGAGTCTTGCGAGTCTTGCGTATTGCGTATCGGGAACCACCGTACCTGGCTTGAAAGCGATCTGGACCTTGATATATAATGTATTCTACTTTGGAAACCATTTCTTTGGATGAACACATATCTGGAGAGCGAGAGTCCGCTCCTTTCCGAGTGTCTCGTATCTCGTATGATCCCTGTCTCTCGGTATCCCCGTGTCGCGTGGTCATTGGAGGAGGGCTCTAGATGACCAATCTGGAGAAGCTCGAGCGGGGATCTCGTCTCGTTCACCTTTTGAGGCTCTTCCTTCGCAATGACAATGAACATTGTATCTTAACTCAAGATATCGGCCTTCTGAGGATAGCTCTTTCACCGGCCACTATGGCCGAACCAACGTCCAGTGCCAGAGCTACCCAGACAGGGGGGTTGCAACAGATTCGAGTCGGTCCGAAAGTTGGGACTCTGTAGGTCGATTTCGCACCCAAAAACAAACAAAAGCAACAATAACTGATTGTCGCAGTCTACTCGCAGTAGGTGGAGTCGGAACAACTCCTCCAGAGCATTGGACGAACTCGAAAGGCGAGCTATGGCTGGGCACACTGGATGCTCAAAGTGCGCCTGACATCGGTCTTCTGTCTTTCCCAAATCGACTAGCGATAAATGGCGTTCTCTTCGAACGGGATATTGAACAAGAAGGCACTTCTCTTTTGACTGAGTTGCGTCGTCTCGTTGAAGATGAGACCGTATGGCTGTCCCCCAGGAAGCAGGGCAAGTCTAACTGCTCTAGGTGATACGAGCTCCAATCGTGATGGTCGCTCATAGCTTAGGTGGCTTGGTTGTGAAAAGGGTATGCCTCTGGCTACGTGATCTGTTTGCGATATTCTGGCTAAACCATCCAACTATCTAGGCCATCTGTCTAGCAAAGCAAAGTCCTAGAACTTTCCGGAATGTGATACGCAGGATCGCAGGATTCGTATTTATGGGTTGCCCGCATTCTTGCTCTCGCGACCTGGAAGATTGGACTGGGGTAGAAAACATTCTTCAAAAATTCACCAAGGGGAGGAATAATCTCCTCGATCCGCAGTGTGTTCAAAGCTTGGCTGTGGACTGTGAAAGCTTCCAACTCATCTTAGCTGGAGACAAAAAGCCAGTGCTGACCATGAGCGAGAAGAAAGGAATGAGCAAGCAGTTGATTGGAAAGAAGCATATAGTGGGTCTCCTTGCTGACTATCGCTCATTCCATGAGTACGAGGCTAACAAAGAACAGTTCGTTGACACGAATTCGGCAACTATTGGCCATAATCAAGAGACTGTGATAGAGGATAATTCTAATCATCGGGATCTTTGCATGATGTCCGCCGGGAGCGCAACTCTTGACAAGATTGTTGGTTTTCTTCATCTAGCACTAGATGACACAAGGAGAGCTATCGCGAAGGATTCTCCACGAAGTGAGTACCCCCTCCTGCGACATGCTGGACGTGTGCTTACAATAAACTAGCCAATAGACCTTCGGTCTTTGATGCATCCACTGTCAGAGACCAAAGTAGCGACGAAGAGAATATCTTAGGGGTGATAACTGAATCCCTATCAGGTCAGTTGAGAACTCATATATTAACGCACAAATATTTATTTACTGATTTCCCTGAAGGCCAGGATCTTCTTCGAGGTGCTGGTCGGTCCATTTTGACACCATCAGAACATGCCTCTTCCACCAACCGTGGATCATGGACGAAGGACGCTACAGCAGGCAGTGATAAGATCAATCCTGAAGCTCTTTCCGCCTTGAAGGATTTTACGGATTTCAATACTGATCAGCGAGATCCTATCTTGCCTTGCAAGTACATTCCATTACCTCGAGATCCTGTTTTTTCCGGACGAGAGGATACACTAGCAAGCATTCGGCAAGAACTTCTAGCCTCTGTGCAGGAGATCGAAGATGGATCCAATAGTTCTCTTAGTGAGATCATCGCCCCGTTGAATGTTTATTCTCTCTGTGGGCCAGGAGGAATGGGGAAAACTTCGATTGCCAATGAATTTGTCCACAGGTATGAGAAGGACTTTGATGCCGTTTTCTGGGTTGCAGCGGATGAGGAGACCAAGCTCTTCAATAGCTTTCGAGAGATCGCTCTCAAGCTTGGGATTATTTCTAACGCCGATGGCAAAGATCTCCCAGCAATCCGAGAAAAGCTCTTGGCATGGCTCGCCAACCCTCTTCGGTCATATGAGCACATGGACCATGTCAAACCAGAAAGAGCATCTTGGCTCATTGTGTTTGACAATGTGGATCGCGCTGATACACTGGAGGATTTTTGGCCGAAAGACGCTGCTGGCTCGGTACTAGTCACTTGTCGTGATCCATTGATCAAAAGCTCCATCTATCTGAGAAATACCGGAACTATTGTTCCCGAGCTATTGGAAGAAGAGGGGGTAGCCCTACTCCTTCGACTCACTCATCGAGAGAGCGATGAAGATGATACCAAAAAGGCTCCTGAGGTGGTTCAAGCCTTGGGTAGATACCCCCTTGCCATTGCACAAATGTCTGGCGTCATACTAGCTCGAGACCTTGGATTTAACGAATTTCTCGCACTGTATTCCGAGGAAACAGAACGAAGAGAAATGCTTGGGATTTCAGAAGGACAATCAGCTTCTCTTCGTCGGTACAACCAGACGCTTGGTACTGTTTGGGCATTAGATGATCTGAAAGACGGCAGAGCATTACTCGAAGCCATATCATTTCTTGATCCCGATAGCATCCCTGAAACACTCCTCGAAAATAATCCGGCTTGCAAGGATTGGAATCGCTATCCTCAAACCTCGTTGGAATACTCAAAGGCTCGTGCTGAGCTACTTTCGAGGTCACTGATATACAGGAACCGGGGCAAGAAGACCTTGCGTATCCACCGACTGATACAGGACACAGTGAGAACCCAGATGGATGATGCAACATTCACTGAAGTATACTCACGAGTGTTGGATATGATCGGTGCACGATGGCCGCGAGTCTTCAAAGGCTTCGGGAATGTACAAACTGACTGGCAACGGAATTCTGAGCTCTGGGCCCATATTCTGTCATTGTTCAAGTATCGTGATCGCTTTGACCCCACCACTGCTAATCTTGCCGTTTCGATCAAGCGGATGAACTTCGCCCTGGATGTTTTAATGTATGTAAACGACACGCTTGGTGTATGATGAACGGAACTGACACATAGACCAGGTTTAGCATAGTCGATTCCCGATTCAGCGCCTCGCCAACCATGCTAATATTCTACGGTTTCTTGAGAGGCTCAATTCACCAGAACGAGCCAAATTTCGAGCTACAAATGATGGATATCTTCTTCCTCTACTGCCGAGGAGAACTCGGGTTACATACCAACGACCGTGAATATCCTTTGCCTGATTTTGCCAAATGCGTCGAGCAGCTAGATTCATTACTTGACGATGATGCTAAGAAGGCTGATTCGTTCTTTGGTGCCGCGGTGAATGAGCTCGGTTGCGCCTATTTGATGAACTGGAACGAAGAGGACGGTCTGGTTCAATTCGAGAGATCAGCCACGATTCTACAGAACCTGAAACACCCCTCAGCGCAGGAAACGAGTATGGCACAAATCAATGTGGGATTTGTATATGGTTATCTTGGTCGGTACGATGAGGCTCTGGAGATCTTCAAAGCTGCATTGAGGGATCGTCACAGAGAGCTTGGTCAGGATGACTATTCTTCGTTTGTGTAAGTTGAAGAAAAGATGCTTCTATGTTGCAATACTAATTCTATAGGAACGGGAAATTGTATATGGGCTGGGGGAATGTCCTGGCTGCACAGGGTCGACTTGACGACAGCTTTAAATTCCACGTCAAATGTCTGGAGCATTACAAGCGTTCTGTTGGCAACTTCCACCACCGAACTGGTGATGGATGTGTAAAAGCATCGGACCATTTTGCTCGCACAGGAGATGATCCCACAGCGCTGTAAGTTTCACCATTTTGAGTCCGTCAATATAGCCACTGACTTATCATTCGTAAAGGGCGTTGCTGGACCAAGCTCTCAAAATCTTCAAACTTGACCCATACCACAAACCAGAAGCCGCCCGGGCTCACTATAAGAAAGGGAACGTCCTGAGGAAAATGGAACAAGAAGAAGAAGCCGAAAAGGAAATGGACACGGCTCTTGAGATTTTTAACAGCATCGTCCCTCTTGAAGATCGCGTTGGAAGCATTGATAAACTGGATGATGAGGACTTTGATCATTGGATCATGTTTTGGTCTCGGTAATGAAGGGGTCCTTCACTTATCCCAAGTGAAATGGCCTCAAATCAACTCGCGAAATATGCCAGCCAAAATTTGTCCTCAGCCGAGTAATGGCTCAGTTGGAGTCTCTTTTGCGGATCAGGTGATATGGACTTGCGGGTGTATTTTCTGTCACATGATGTATTGTGGCCTTGGTGCCTTGGGTCGAACAAACCTCTGTTTTGATCTCTCGGCTCCCTCTCACTTTCTACTCCGGCTATTTTCAGCTATGTTGTAGGTGATCAATACCTTGAACTTGCTCTCTCGGATTTTATTAGTCTCTTTGCTTTCAGTTGCTTCGCGCGACGAAGAAGGTTGGAGTGTATAGACTTGGGGGCGTTGAGCAATGCCCCAGGTAGCGTTTGGGTAAAACCATATCAAGCTATTGCAATTGGGCAAACCGGGCCATCTCCGATCATGTAGACTGCTCTCACTTCGATGTTGATTCCGATTAATTTGGGAAGTAGCATGGTTCATACAACCATATGTAGGGGGCCAGTGTGACGTTACAACTTGTCTATATTGACCCCGCATCATTGGATAGAGAGGTGATTGACTCCTAACGATGAAAATATATTAAAAGAGAGATCCTGCTCCTCTCGGGATAATCTCCTTGAAGATCAACGACGAATACGGATCGGAAGGTTCGCCATGCAATCGAGAACGAATGAGATCTATTTACCCATTAGCGAGTAGAGATGCCTCTCCTTTAAGGGCATCGGGGCATGCCCGAAGAGTGCAACTATAGTATTCATGCAAATGACGTGCCTGATGTCGATCTCCTGGAATAGTTTCTTCTCCGCTCAGCCGGTTGTTCTTCATCCTACCGTAGGAGCACCTTTCGTATGTTACATCACGAAGAAATGCACATATAATGTGAGCAATAGTGCCATGTTCATGATAAAACATTGGACTCTGGATCAATCACGTTTTCCACTCTTGGTTTCAAACAATCCCTGATCACCTCGTGGAACCATGAGATTCCCTAACAATGTATTATTTGGCCTAGGCGCCGCAACAGGCGCGTTGGCTGGTTCCTACCAGCCCAAGTTTCGCACTTCTCCAATTGACGGCTCGAAGATTGCGCTTCCAACGAAAGAGCAATTGGCTTTCCAAGATAAGGAGATTGGAGTTCTCATTCATTATGAGATAGCAACCTACCTCGACATCGACGGCTGCAATAAGGTCCCCGACCTTGTTCCTGACATCGACCTGTTCAACCCGAGCAACATCGACACTGATGGATGGATGGACTCAGCCGCTGCGCTGGGCGCAAAATACGCCACGCTTGTCGCCAAACACAACTGCGGGTTTGCGATGTGGCCGAGTGAAGTGACTTTCCCAGACCGGGAAAACGAGACTGTCCCATACAATTATACGATCGGCCAATCACCAGTCCATGGCCAGAACGTCGTCCAGAGTTTTGTGGACTCGGCCAAGAAACACAATATCGGGCATGGATTCTACTACAGTGTTGTGTGGAATAACTACCTGAATGTGCAGGACTCGGGAGTTCGTCCTGACGCTTGGGCTCCCGGCCAAGTGAACATTACCGACGGTACATACGACCAAATCGTCTATGACCAATTGAGCGAACTGTGGAAGAACTATGGCAGCTTGACTGAGGTATGAATGGAACATTAGCAACTACAGATTCACATGGCTAACTATATCTTTTCCCGCTCCGAAGATCTGGTTTGATGGAGGTTACAGCGCCTCGCAGAAAGACAAGATTGAGAGTCTCTTGCAGGAGACTCAGCCCCAAGCAGTCATTTTCGGTGGCTGCGGAACGGATGGAACGTGTGTGTCGGCCAATTCCAGTAAGTTGCACTCTGTGACTGGATGGCCTCGGGAGACAATAGCCTTCTTACATTCATTCTAGTTCGATGGATCGGAACAGAAGCTGGAGAGGCCCCGGAGGAGAACTGGTCTAGGTATGCAAGGCAAAATTCCCTGTGAGGTGCTGTTGAAAAGAAATATTGACTGTTATAGTGGCCTGACAAACGATGGCGGAGACTCTACGAGCCCGTATTTCTGCCCTGCCGAATGCGATACCACCCTGCAGACAGAGGATCGTTGGTTCTTCGGTGTTGACCAACCGTTAAGATCTCTTGACGAGATGATCGGTGTCTACCACAAGACTGTTGGCCGAAACTGCATCCTCGAGCTGGATCTCGCCCCGGATCGAACAGGAGCTATCCCCAAGGAACACGCAACCCGTTACAAGGAACTTGGCGATTTCATCAACGCGTGCTATGGCAAGACTGTTGCGGATGATGCGACACACGATTCCAACGAAAATGGCGAGTATAATATCAAGCTTAGCAAGCCCACTGAAATCGATCGCATTGTGATGATGGAGGATCAAACAAACGGCCAAGTGATTCGGTCCTACGAGGTCCATGCGAAAATCGAAGGTGGTAATGGCGAATTCCAGCTTGTTTCAAATGGAACAAGTATTGGCCATAAGAAGATCGATATCTTTGACAAATCTGTCAAGGCTACGGAGGTCTCAATCAAGACTAAATATGTTGATACCCCCAAATGGCGATCTGTCTCGCTCCATCTTTGCCACAACCCCTGAAACGGCACTCTGGCAAGGGCAACCTAATGGTTATTCATGATCGTTAGGACTTGTTTATTTGAAGTGAGCCAGTGGAATTGTTTTGGTAGTAGCATCGTTTTTGTGACTCCGGTTGTTCGGCCTACTCCTGGCACTTTTGGAGACGTTAGCTATGAAGTCCTTTTTCCTTGCAATGATATTTTCAGTGTTATTCCATCTTAGCAATTTTTTTACTCTAAACAATCTAGCGTGCTCGATGTTGCTACTTATCTACTGGGGCTTAGTAAAATGAAGGGAATCTCCACATTGATCCCTAGCCACGGTCTGCTGTGGAAGCTCTTGCCCGCGTCAGTGGACTACGACAGATTGACCCTAATGAAATCATAGATGAAATCGGAAGGGAAGTTTTTGAGCTGTTACGCAGTTGAACTGATCTGCCGAGGTGTATAGCGCTCCAAGTGTTGATTTCAATCGAAATCGAATCTGTTGAATATGCTCGACTTTGAACTATTCTTGACTCCGCGCATTACTATATCATACATCGTAGTCCTTATGTAATTGAACCGGTCCATGCCCTATATATCTTAAGAATAGAAGAAGATATCTGTTGAAATGACTACGAAAAAGACTACTAAAAAATAATTGCAAGCCCGCAAGCACAGCCGACGATATGAAAAGCTTCAGTTTGCTTGCTTTCCAAGGTTGGACATAGTTCCCTTGACTAGATATTTATTAAGGTCTTTATGATAGTGATTCAGATATTCTATCCGTTTGCCAGCCCCAACTCCAGGTATATTGAAAGATTCGATTCCAATGGAAATCGACACCTGAGCGCTATATACCTTCCTACCTGGTCTCTCCTGAAGGCACCAAACCTATTATCTCATTAGCACCCGTTTTTATCGCACCTACTCTGTTTCCTCGCTTCTCCGCATGTATGGAGCAGACAGCAATGATTTTCGGTGAAGTTACCGAGGCACCCAAGTGCAAGACAGTTTCATGCTATAATTTTCGAATTCAATTCTGAGATTTGGAACCATTGCAACTCTTGTTGAAAAGGGGATGGTGCCGGATATGCGCTCTGGTATCCTTCTAGGCTAGAGGGTTGTATCGATATGATGCAGTATCAAGCAATTCTGTGCGCTATCCTGGAAGCTCGGGGGAAGCGAATCGGCAGCGAATTCTGGGGCGACCTGATGGTGGTCCCTATGGGCTGGGTTGGGCTTCAAAGATTAAGCCCATAGCCCACTGCTGGTTGAGCTTTGGGCCCGGAGGTCTAATGGTGGATAGCTTTGGGCGGACTCTACTGAGAAGGACATCGAAATTCATGATGAAAATTGCTGATCAAGCTAAGAAGCTAAGCTACAGCATTTCTACAAGCTGTGAGTAATAAGTATTCCTTATTGTTAAGTTTCAGAGGGTGATATACCTCACCACTCTCTGTGATCCCTCGTCAGATCCCCAAAATAGGAGGTCTGATGAGCAACACCTGTATGTAGATACCTAGTACATCCCAGTGTACTGTCTCACCAATACGTAAGTTGGAGAGACCCATGGGTAGATGAATCAACTGAACCTACATGTTACAGGATATAGTATATTGAGAAGTAACAAGAAGTTTCGTCATACTTTATAAAATGGATAATGGATCCCTATATTTGCCAGGCTATAAGAACAGAAACGGAGGAAAGTAAAAATTACATCCGACTTAAATCAAGGTCTAACAGTGGTCAGATTACCGTGCACGCTTCTGCGGTGGCCGCTCGTCAAAATCTGCGTCGTCATCAAAATCGTGTGGTCTTTTTCGCCTCAGTTCCGCAGCTTCTGCGAGTATAAATAGGGGGTTAGTAGCAGGGTCAGGCTTCTTAGTGGGAGCTGGGGCTGGGGCTGGGAAAGGGACAGGAGCAGCAGCAACAACTTGTGCAGCCAGTGCAAGCATATCTAGGCCTGATCTATCTTCTGCTTCGGAGGAAGACGAAGAAGTGACAGAGAAGCTAGGAACACTGATAGAGTCGGAGGATTCCAAATTCTCGGGGTCGGGGTCAGCTGCAAGTTCGGCAGCCGGAGGAGGTGGTGGTGGCGGAGGGGGAGCAGCACCGGTGTCTTCTGCTTCGGGGGAGCTAGAATCCTCTTCCGCTTCAGAAGAGCTAGAACCGTCTTCGGGGGAGGAGGAGCTAGAAGCGTCCATAGAGTCAGAAGATCTATAAATATCCATAGGGTCAGAAGAGCCATGGTTATCTACAGAGTCGGAAGAGGTAGAAACATCCATAGAGTTGGAGGAGCTAGAGGTATCCATAGAGTCAGATGATCTATAAATGTCAATGGATTCAGAAGAGGTGGAAGAGGTAGAATTAACTTCTGCTTCAGAAGATCTAGAATCGTCCATAGCGTCAGAAGAGGTAGAACGACCCATAGAGTTGGAAGAGCTAGAAGTATCCATAGAGTCAGATGATCTATAAATGTCAATGGATTCAGAAGAGGTGGAAGAGGTAGAATTAACTTCTGCTTCAGAAGATCTAGAATCGTCCATAGCGTCAGAAGAGGTAGAACGACCCATAGAGTTGGAAGAGCTAGAAGTATCCATAGAGTCAGATGATCTATAAATGTCAATGGATTCAGAAGAGGTGGAAGAGGTAGAATTAACCTCTGCGTCGGAAGATCTAGAATCGTCCATAGCGTCAGAAGAGGGATAATTGAGCATGGAGTCGGGAGAGGTAGAATAGCACATAGAGTTGGAAGGGCTAGAAGTATCCATAGAGTCAGATGATCTATAAATATCTATAGATTCAGAAGATGTGGAATCATCGGAGTCATCGTCAGCTGCAGGAGCGCCTCCCAGAGGGGGAGGGGGAGGGGGAGGTGGTGGTGGTGGAGGAGGAGGTGGTGGAGGTGGTGGAGGAGGAGGCAAAGGGACCCGCCAGGTAGGATCGACGAAACGGTGGAATCTAAGAATATCAAAGAGGATTCCACCTAGGACATCATCAGTCTCTGCCGATTGAACTGATGGTGGCAGTTCGGCCCTCCTAGCGAGAATGGCTTGTTCAAAGTCATGGCCACCATTTGCTCTCGCAAACATCCTGTTCCAGGTGTGGGTTGGGTCAGCGAGCCAAGCTACTAACATAGGTTCATAGACAGAGCGAATGACATCGAGGGTTTCCTGGCGCATACGAGCGTTTGCCACACCGTCGGTGTCTAAATGAAGGTATAGAGGCATCCAAATTCTTCGTATATTCGCGACGGATCCGCTCATACCAAGGTAGAGCCTCATAGTTGTGCGAGGCATATTGGAAGAGAATAGAACCCTAGTATTCAAAATGTTTAAGTCGTCAAGTTCACAGTTGTTTTCGGTTGTTGTTTTTGTTGTTGGTGGTGGTTATCAAGGGTTGAGCTGGGCTCTGTGGATCATTAAATACCGGAGGTCCGAGGACTCTTTACCAAAGCCAAGGCGATGATTACATTGTTATTTCCCATCTTCATTGGCATTATTTATTGTATACACTTTGTCTTTCTTCGGAATAAAGCCGTGAATGGATCAATAATGCCGAACAAACTCTGTTAATAGAACAATATTTCTTTCAGATGGATAGAGCAGGATTGTCTCCACAGCTAGAAAAAGAAACAAGATACAAACTGTTAGAGATTCAAAGACTCTACTTGACATCCATTGCGAAGGGGAAACGAAGAACGTAATCTAGGTAAACCCCTTGTCGCCAGTATGCCACTTTCAAGGTTGACAAGGCGGGATTGACTTGAGAGCCAAATCGAAGATAAAGATAAACCTCATCCCGATTCTCAGACTATTTATAGTGCGCTCAGCTTTATCACCCCGAGTCACGCGACCGTAAAGCGGCGCCCATCTGTTTCTCGGCCGGGCGACACCCACCGAACTACTGACTGCGTATAAGCCACACGCCAGTAAGTCAGTGGATGACCACGGTCCACCAGTGAACACTGTTGTTTGTTTGTTTTTTCCTTCTTGTTGAGGCCTGCTGCCTCGGGCCGACAGAGCCCATCAGATAAATAGTTCCTTCTTCCTCCTTCCTCTCTCTCTCTCTTTTTCTCCCGTCCTGCTCCCTCTGGCTAGCTCAGCAAGACATAGTTTTCTCCTTAGCTCTGATTGACCTAGCCTTTCTAGCCTTTTTTTGCCGTCTTGCATTTGTTATAGAAGGGTGGAACCTAAGAAGGACTCAGAACTTATTAATTATATAATATGATTTAATTGCAGGTATGTCCGAGGTTAATTGACAGAGACATGGTGATCATATGTTACGCATATGTGAAAAATACGTGAGGGAGAATGATGGAAGAAGAAGATGTCAACATGGAAAATGTAAACAAATAAAATCTCAGTTCATGTTGTTGAGGGAGGAGCACTGGTGTTCCACTTCAGGTAGGAGCAAATATATATCATGTTAAGTATATGTTCTGAAGCTATATAATGGATATTTAGACTTAAATGTAACTTATAGTAGTAGAGAAATACATGTTAAATTATTTAAATCATCTATACAGTAGGTATGTATCTAGATATAGTGGTAAACATAAGGTTTTTTTATGGTGATGCAGAAATGTATAGACAGTACAGTATGTGTAAGTAGCTTTTTCGTAGTGTGATTGGTTGAAGAAGATGAGATAATCAATGAATTCTGAGCCCCCGGGACCTAAGAAGGAGGCAGAATTCACGGATAATCTCCTGGGTCCTACGGAGAACATCCCGAACCCTTCCGAGCTGGAACCCGGGCCTGACTTGCACACTGTGATCTCTTCTGTACAGTCATGATATGATCCAAGCCCGTGTAGCATCTAATACATACGACCATAGGGTGTGGAAAACAGGGCTTCCCGTCCGCTCAGCCGTACTTAAGCCACACGCCGGTGAGTTAGTAGTTGGGTGGGTGACCACCAGCGAATCCTCACTGTTGTATGTTTTTATTTTTTGATTTATTCTCTTTGTTTTTGCCATCGACATAATGATTCTTCGTTCCAATTCCTACGGTGCCCCTAACACGGTGTTCCAGCTGGGATCTGAGATTTGCTCCGAGGACACCCAACCACAATCACTATATACCGGGTAGCTGGGAGGTAATCGGTGAGTTTTTGAGATTTCCGCCATTGCCCAACCACACCACGCCGATATGATTTTGGACTCAGACACATTTCTATGGAATATATGATGATAGATCAGGTCCTTCATTTGAAGATGTCTTTTCTGGGCCTGTACAGGGCAGGCCTTCTAGAATCTCACGGTCCCTCGGCACCCGGTGAACAAAAGGAGTGACAAGCTCTTGTATATCTTATTCGGCAAACAGGCGGAACACGGAAAGGGACATCCGCTTCCGGAGAGACCGACGGCGCATTTTCTGCGTTGGACACGGAAAGTGGGCCCGGAACAGGAGCGGAACAGGAACTCATGCTTAATGCTCCTTCGAAGACGACATATCTTTTCATAGGTGAGATTAAAGTGGTATTTGTTCCAGTTTACACTCCACCTAACGCGGGGAAGAAGCGTCCAAGAATCCGGGGTTTTTTATAGCTCTTTTAATGTTCTATGAGACATGATTCAGGCACAAGGCCCCAGAATGCCTGGAGTGACCATCCTCCCCCTCGCTGATTGATATAAAAGAAAACAGTGACGAAATAGACCATCTCAGTCTCAGATATTCTGTACTTTCCTCTCAAATCTAACCTCTCTCTTATATCTTTTAATCCATACTTCAATCAGCCCGAAATCATTCTAGCGAAATAGTGGGGCCATGGCAAATGGCAGATTTTTCCTGCGGCGACTTAGAACCTGTGCTCAATGAGTCAACATCAACTTATCATCAACCCTTTGACAACAACAACATGGAGAAAAACACAGAAAAGGATATGGAGAAGGACATGGAGAAGGTCACGGAGGTTGCCATCGATCTGGAGAAGTCAGACGATCCCTTTGGCGAGGAAATTGCTGGGGGGTGCGTTACAAGAGTATGAAGTGGTGGTAAGTCGACACTCAGGGAATACGCAGCAATTCATCATAGAGTACTAATCATGCGTTTAGGAACTGCGCAATTTGTACATTCACCCCGATCGGACTATATTCAATCATGAACCACAGCTAAACAGTCAACAGTGATGATTGCCCAGTCGGTCTCACTGGGAGTTCTCTCCCTCCCGTCGTCGATGGCAGTTTTGGGTTTAGTCCCGTACGTCCGATGACAATCTGTCCGCGTTTTGTTTCTAGATTGATGCTAATCCTGGCAGTGGTTGTATCATTATTATTGGTATCGGAGCTTTGACTACCTACACTGGATATGTGATCGGCCAGTTCAAAATGCGATACCCTCACGTGCATAACATGGCAGATGCCGCAGATATCTTGTTCGGCGCTTGGGGTCGCGAACTTGTTGGGGCTGCCCAGGTCATTTGCTTCGTTTTCCTTATGGGCGCTCATGTCTTGACATTCTCTATCATGATGAACACCCTTAGCAATCATGGTGCTTGTACCATCATTTTCTGTCTGGTGGGAGCCATCCTCTGCTTTTTCCTGACTCTCTCAAGGCGTCTGGAGGAAGTTTCATACTTGGGCATTATCTGTATGTCAGAACTCTTCTCTGCTGTTGGAACCAAACTAACCATCACTAGCCTCACTGTCAATCTTCATCGCCGTGATGATCACCATGATCGCTATTGGTGTTGAAGCACCCGATCCCAGAGCATACGCCATCACCCACCCAACTCTGATGAACGGCTTCTCCGCTACTCTCAACATTGTGCTTGCTTATTCCGGCCATATGTCCTTTTTCGTCTTCCAGTCGGAGCTAGCAGACCCGAAAGACTACCCCAAGGCGCTAATTACCTTCCAAGCAACGGATACATCGCTATACCTCATCACTGCCCTCGTTATTTACCGATACGGCGGGCCGAACGTCCTCAGCCCCGCCCTGTTGAGTGCAAGCGAACTCGTTTCGAAAATTGCATTCGGTATCTCCATCGGTACGATCGTCATTGCTGGTGTGGTCATTTGCCACGTCGGTGCAAAGTGCATTTACGTGCGGATCTTCCGTGGCACCCATAGGATGAGCGAGAGATCTTTCCTTTCATATGGCACTTGGGTACTGATCACTTTCCTCATGTGGGTTATTGCGTGGTTGATCGCCAACGCGATTCCTGTGTTCAACGATCTGCTCAACATGATCGCGGCGGCATTCTGCAGCTGGTTCTCATTCGGTCTGGAAGGCCTCTTCTGGTTGAGCATGAACCGCGGAAAATATCTTTCAAGCAAACGAAAGATGGCCTTGACTGCGCTTAACATCTTCCTTGTGGCCTTGAGTTGTCTGATCGTAAGTTCTCCTACTTTTTGGTTCATGACAAGTTGATATACTAACGATATTAGTGTGGAATGGGTCTTTGGTCGTCAGGAACCAGTATTCGTATCAATGCGCAGACTGCACACAAACCCTTCTCCTGCGCAAACAACGCCTGAACAACTCTTGCGCATCACGGTCTGTTCCGAATATCCTCAACGATATGACGATAGATCGAACCTGTACATTTAATTGTTGATATAGATCGCACATGTATTCATAGAATCTCACTGTCATTTAAGGTTTCATATCACACGAAAGCTCCCACTTAGTGATATACTCTTTGTTAGACCTCCCCACCAGCCCACAAAGCCCAAGGCCCAACCCGCCCCAACCTAGAAATGGACTGGGCTTTGGGCCCGGTCCCTAGGCCCATCGATGGACTATGGGCCTCGAACAATACAAACATGCTAGATCTTGGCAGATACATAAGTCATATAGAATTTTCTAGTATTTTTAGGTATTCAGATTACCTTCTAAGCCCTAACTTGACCGAGTTCTTCTGCGGTAGGCTCATAGACTCGAAGATGCGTGAAATACAGGCATTAAACAGTAGCTCTATAAGCGCTAAGTCTGTGTTTATGCATACAAAAGGGCTTTATTGGGGGCCTTATGACCCCTAATAATGGGCCGTGGGCTTATTTGGCTTCGAAGGTAAGGCCCAACCAAGCCCATTACGGCGGTCGACTCTTTGTTCTATCTGGCCTAATTGCCCGTCTTTCAGCTCATTATGCTTCTTCCCTCGGTTTCCCTTCCTTCTTAGATCTTCGCAGACAAAGGTATTGATTGACCCTGCTGTAACTCTTGTTTTGATTATTCTATTCTCTACTATATAAGCTATTGCCATGGACACGCTCTAAAGGCTTCTTGAGAAACATTCTCATACAAGATTATACGCTCGTAAGCACTCTACTCTATCAACTACTCAAAAAGTTCTATCACTATTGCGCAATGGCTGATCAATATCTGCAGAGGGAGGAAAGTGGGCGGAAACTGCAACAATGGATGGAAAATCCTAACGAGCCAGGGTGCCCATACCCCAGGTCCACATTCGCCATCACTCCAGAATCTTCTGACTGGCTCATAACTCACGAATCAGATGGACTAGAGAAAGTGTGGCAGGTATGGACTGTACCCCTTGGCTTACCGACTACAATTGAAAGGAGGGAGATCACAAATGAAGTAGGTCGGAAATTAGAGTGGGAGGGACGTACGGCACTAGGGATGATTTTGATTGACTGGATCTGTAGATCGAGCCAACGTATCAGTCCATTCATCTCGGAATTCACAAAAGCTGTATACGAGATGGACTTTCCCATCGATAGTCTACAATACCTGTTTTTTGCTGACATCATGGAAAATGGCACTTTGCCGTGTATTATGGATATTTACAAATCTCGTGAAGGACTAGAGTTCCCTTCCAATGAGCCGCAGAGCTGGATGCCCTCGTCGCCGGAGTATCATGCCCTCCTGGGCACTAGGATTGGAAAAATTGCGTCAGCCGTTGTTTTGGGCGCTTGGGGCCAAGGTAAGAAGCGAATCGGAAAGATCTTTACTTTCCATACTGGAGCTAAGATTAGTCAGGTCAATGTCCGGTTCGATATTGAGGATATCTGAGAATGTTCCTTCGTCGACTCTCGTCTCCATGGGACTTTGGATCGTTTTTGCTAACTTTCATCTATATGCATCAGTTTTAGATAGGCGAGTAAAGGTAATTTCGAGTTTAGAATATATACATTCTACTAGATAGGAATGTTCGTGGAATCGTATGTTTTTTTCTCTTTTTTCTTTTATGTGTTGTTGTCGCGACCAATCACCAGAATCAGTAACTTTGTCGCAGGAAATCGAGTTGTCCTCGCGCTGGGATAATATGTCCTCGCAAAGTATTGAGCTGTCCTCGCGCATGATACCTGTTCCGCCAATAAGACAAAGCCCAAGTTTCATTCATCTGCTTCTTTCCTAATCTCTAGAATTTCCTAGTAACATGTCTCCAGCAATGCTACATATATATTATTATGGATAGAATTCGCGATTGCCATACCATTCAATGCTTTTTGGATGGCAAGTTTTATCCCCACATATCCAATTCACGTAGGTCTTAGATCTGAGATAAATGATTGTCATCTTTGATTGGGGGAGGGAAGGGGAAGCATTTCGATATAGTTAATAAAAAGGACGATTTGGAAGATTGGATATACTTCTGAACTGGGCAAAAAGACTTGTTGAAATATTCTAACTAAGAGTCAAATGAAAGCATACCGTGCTAAGCCGGTATCCCATTTGATTAATTTTGGTTTTCGCCGGGGAATAGAATGTTCTTCAAAATTCGCGAACCTGATCAGCGTTCTTTCGAGTGCTCAAGTGCTAGGTTACTTGTATCGCATATTCGCGAATATGACGAAAGAATAACAGAAGAAAGAAGAAACCCCTATAAAAGGAGAGCGCGAATTAAGAATCAGGGATGCAAGGAGCCTCATCCAATAGCAAAAACAAAGCAAAAAAGCAAAAACATACAACAGTGAGGATTCGCTGGTGGTCACCCACCCAACTACTAACTCACCGGCGTGTGGCTTGAGTACGGCTGAGCGGACGGGAAGCCCTATTTTCCACACCCTATGGTCGTATGTACTTGATTCAGCGTGGGAAAGACTCTTGAAGTATAGGACTAACTTATGGAGAAGGTAATGAAATATAATTGTGTTACGAACACGTGATCTCCCAGTACATTAGTCTAGCTAGCTTTCCCTCTTCTTCCTTTTCTCTCTCTACGTAACTCAATATAAGATTTTCCAGTCCACTCCTTTTTATAAGTAGTCGTATAGGATCATCTCTATCAAATTACATTACTAATAGATCTTCTAGCCTATAATACTAGAATTTATATAGTTAGGTTTTAGCTAGAACCTACGAATATAACGGCTATTATTATTACCTATCTTACTAGTTAAGATACCGGCTACGAATTAGTAGATATTCTCTAAGGAGATATTAACCACTTAGGTAGATTATCGTAAAGCGTCGCGAAGAAAAAAGAAATATAAGTACGGCTCTCTATTAAAGCCGGCCGAACCTAAAACGAGGTTAATAAGACTACTACTAGCGGAGAGGAGGAAGAAAAGAAGAAGCTACGATTCTCTAGATCTAGGAAAATAAGGGATTTTATAGTCTATAGAAACTTATAAACTAATAAATAAGATACTTAGTCTATTAAATATATCGATACCTTAGGATTAGGTATTAGGAGGTATTTTAATAGCTCCCCTAAAGACTAAGCTATAAAAAAATATAGAATCATTATCTACTAAAATTATTAAAATTAATATAATCTTCTAAAGTAAAATCGAGTAAAAATTATAGTCTTAAAATACCTTTTTAGTTAATTTTTAAACTTAGTAGTTAGTCTCTTTCTCGTCTCCTTAATTAGAAGTACCGTTATTAACGTATCTATAATATTATTCTTACTAGTAATAAGCTAGATCTCTACTAGCTTCTCCTTTATTATATATTTAGTAAATTCGTATTTAATATTTAGGTATTTAGTAGGTTTATACTATAAATCTTTCTATAGTATAGTAAATACGTTATTACTATTTATATAGATCGGTACTTAGTAGCCTTCTTATAATCTTAATCGGCGAATTATCTTTATTAGATAGAGAGCTTCTTATATAGCTCCTTTAAATACGGAAAATTTAGCTACTATACTACTAATAGCCACTAAATTTTACTTTCTTAAGGTATAGGGGACTAAGGCTCGGAACTATAGATAGTATACTTCCGTAGGAATTAATATCCTTAAGTTTAATTTAATCCTCGATTAATATAGTATACTAATAGAGATCGATAGTACTCTATTAATAGGGCTTTTACCGTATTCTTATAGATTTTAATATTAAGGAAACTCTTCGAATCTAGAACGTATTATAGCTCTTCTAATATCATCTCTAGTGTAAAATATAGGGGATCTTACCCTTTACGTCATAGATAGCTCTATATCGTAGCTTAGTGGCTTTAATAAACTCTAGGTTTATCGAAAGTTAGTCGCGAGACTATAGTGCGGAAAGAGGGGTTTTCTAAGCGATTCAAGAAAGAATATCAAAAATAAAAACATATAACAGTGAGGATTCGCTAGTGGTCACCCACCTAACTACTAACTCACCGGCGTGTGGCTTAAGTACGGCTAAGCGGACGGGAAGCCCTGTTTTCCACACCCTATGGTCGTATGTACAGGGTATTGTAAAGGAGAGAAATATATTCTCTAAACAGTGGACCTGTGAATTACTGTATCCGGCTAGCTTTGCCCCTTTGGGCTTAGCACCCCAATACGCTGTCACGTAACCTACCTTTAATGCCGCCGACATAAAAGACTCGTCAGAGGCATCTCAACAGTTTGTATGGTCTTTGGTAAACCAAATATTGTTTGAATTTTCAATGACTGAAATTGTAATCTACTCAAGGGGAGGTATGTGAGTAATGTCCTTGACTTTATGCATTAGATCAACGACCATACAGCGAGGTAATATGCTAAAGGGTCAAATAGGCAGACCTCCAAAGATCCTCCTATCGTTGCGTCCATCCGAAGTAGTCGGTGAATTTGTGAAGGTGCCTATGGAAGCAGTTGATTATTGGAGGCTATTAGGTCCGTGTGTATCAGAAAACACCAGGACTCGAGTCTTGATGTGGGCCAAAGAGGCTGCAGTACACTATATATACTATTTTGATCCCAATAGTCATGGTCAGGGTATCAGGAAGAAGAAAATGAGAGCGCTAAATCGAAAAATGTAGCACGAGTCATGAGGCTCTGAGATAACCTTATTCACTTGCGGTTACGAACCCTAGAGCTTCTCATATTGGATTTCCAGTCGAAGTCATGATCCATGACCTTATCATATTTGCCGTCATTTTTTATGCGGTGACTCAGGCGTCATATTTCTGCCCTCTGGTACTATCACACCACGACACTAACAAAGCTTGGAAACATGTAAAGGGATAGAATAGCATTGATACTATCATCGGTCTCTCGTGTAAAGTGACATGGTTCATATTCCTGTCAAGTGTATATCCAGGTAGGCGGACGTGGCAGCAATGCTGCCTTTTCGCGGCGAAGCACAAAATCTTGAGTTTCGCATATGTTCTTTATCTAGCACAATCACATCATCTGTATCTATTCATCATCATAATCGTTAACTCTAGGCTCCTCGTTAACTCTGGGTTAGCAAGCCTGCCAGCCATTGAAACCCAAATCTCAGTCCAGTCGAAGAGACCCGTGCGAAAGAGACTCGTGAGACTCAACCTTGTCCAGCGCATCTGCAACGCGTGATCCCTCTCCCTCAAAGAGCATGCTGTCATAAGTAGCTGCGCCTATCACACAGCCAACAACAGGGGCGAAGAGAGGAACAACGAAATAGTAGTTAGCCGCGGTGAACACCTCTCGACCATACACAATAGCGGAGAACAATCTTGGGCCAAAGTCTCTGGCGGGGTTAATAGCCTAGTTTCATTAGTACAAAAGAAATTCTGCCTAATAGCTTAGTGAACATACATAGCCAGTCTGCCATCCGATCGCCGCTCCGATCATAAGCAGCAGCAAAAACGTAGCGATCTGCGGAGCAGGGAATCGGCGAGCATTTGCTGGATCGGAAATACTGAGAATGCCGAACATCAACACAGCCGATCCCAGCGCCTCGGAGAACACAGCCTCCCAGTTCGACTCGAAAAAGGCACCAGGGTAGGTGGAGAAGATACCCGCCGAATGATGACCCATCGGACTCAGAATTGATCCACCAGGAATCGTGTACTCAGGATCCCAAGCTTTGATTGCAGATCGGTAGTTGATATACACGATCGCTGCACCGACGAAACCGCCCAGGAATTGCGCACCCAATTTCCCTGGGATCTGTCTCCATTGTCCCTCAGACGGACGCACAAGGGCAAAACAAATAGTCACAGCTGGGTTTATGGCCGGGCTGGGATCGGACAGGTAGCTGGAGAGGCACACAGCCGACGCCCAGGCGAGGTTGATGGACAACCAGGTACCATAGTTGTAGTCGGAGAGCAGGCACTGGGCGACAACTCCATCTCCGATCACAATGAGAAGAGCAGTGCCGAGAAATTCAGCCACATAGGGCTTCAATTGCCGACGAGTAATCATTTTGACGTTGGAATCCGGCGGTGGGGTTAAGGACGACAGCCCCCTGATTTCTTGTTTGTTTATTTAAGTGGCCTGTGACGTCATATTCAGGGCTTCCTCGGACATAACCACATTAGGGGATGTTGTATGCCGATCTCTTCACCAAAACTGCACCGTTTGATTGTTTCTTGGTTTCAACGATATCCTTATATTGTTTAACTCGGATGCGTATCAAGTAGTTTACGTGGTAATCTGCTTGGTGATGAATTATTCGCTGTATCCTTGCCTTAAGTTGGACATCTGATCTTCGAGGTGAACACCAGATCTTAGCAATCAGAACGATTATAGTCGATATAGATATTTGACCAAGCTGTTATTCCGTGGTCATATGCGCGTGCAGTTGGCTGTGCTTTGCTACCTTTAGTTCCGTTTATTGATACACTTGGATGATGTCTATATTATATATCTGGTTCTCAGGTATATACCCCGAGCCACTCGGAAGACCAATGCCATCAAAATTTATGTCAACACCACAACCAGTGCCGCAGAATTGAATTCGAACATACTTTGTGTATATAAACCATCCATGGGTGATATTTGTCTAATTATTGGCATAGCAGACATGCCAGGTGATTGTATACTAGTGGCAGACAGTTAGGATCCTTCGCAGGGTAGCGAAACAGGGAAATAGAGATCTAACGGCGATAATGCAATGGTCAGTGAACTGGGTGATTCCCACTCAAATTCTCAAACTGTTTGTAGCGCACTCATTCTTATCACACCTGGTCGCGCGATGCTAAAGCGGCAGCTACCCATCTCTGTCCCGGGGTCCCTTACTAGCCACAGTACTACTTCTAATTTCCTTTACAACATATTTCTTTTCTATGGGAAGCTAAGTACATACGACCATAGGGTGTGGAAAACAGGGCTTCCCGTCCGCTCAGCCGTACTTAAGCCACACGCCGGTGAGTTAGTAGTTGGGTGGGTGACCACCAGCGAATCCTCACTGTTGTATGTTTTTGCTTTTTTGCTTTTGCCATTTAATAATCAGTTATGTACGGAGTACTCTGTTTATATTGCTAACGCTCAATCTGCCCTTCCTTTCTAGCACCCGGTTTAGCTGAGAGCGACCCAGTATTTCCTCAGATAAACCCAGAAACGGTCCTTGAACAATTACGGAGTAGTGAGTTTTTAGACCGGTCCCACTCTCAGCGGTTGTCTTTGCCTGGTGCAGATACTCTACAACTGGGTAATTTTTGGTGAAAACGATCTCATCAATGCTCCTAGTAGTCCTTTATCGACCAAACCATTTAACACGTGCCTTGGCTCGGATTTTAGAGACTGGTAGGTTGGCTTCCTTCTGATTACAGTAATTCAATATCACTATAAAAGTCGCTCTTCCGACGACTATTGTGGCAATAACTTTGGCCTGGGGTATGATTCTTGTGGCATTCCGCGAATCATATCGTAGATACATGAGCTGATTTATGATTGCTCGTGTATATGAACTTCATGCTTACACGGCATTCTAGCATGTTGACTACAATCAATAGAGCACAAATACAATATACTTTAGAGGCAACCAAGTATGTACCTACAAGGTACTCTGCACCCCAGAAACGGTATTAGATCAGTCTGACAAATTGAAGAACGGATCAGTTTCCTTGATTTATTCGACTGGGTTGTGGGCCATGATTGCGTAGCCCGTGTTTTGCATATAATGCACATAACAGCGGCAGAAACATTTGCTGTAGGGCTTAGAAGCTCACGACCTCTCTTTTTCAACATGCAAGAGATAAACCAGCGGAGTGGTACTGTTCATTTTCATGTGTTCCAGGGGGGCGATAGATAGAATTATGTCTGGAATCAGCGGGGATCTTATATGACTAGAATAGCTATATGACTAGAATAGCTAATTTAGTATATCTTTATGGTTGAGTTAGGTGGCAAGCTCACTGGAGGTTATATGACCAGACTATGTAGGGAGGTAGGCTATGCAGGGCAATTGCGAGGACTGCGGGGAAACCCCCACAGCATTGGAACTGTTTTGCAGTGTCGTGGGAGAATCCAAAGGTGACGAGAAGGCAAAAAGCAAAAATATAAACATACAACAGTGAGGATTCGCTGGTGGTCACCCACCCAACTACTAACTCACCGGCGTGTGGCTTAAGTACGGCTGAGCGGACGGGAAGCCCTGTTTTCCACACCCTATGGTCGTATGTGCCTGTGGTTACAAGAGCAAGGAATATATTCACCAATCTGAACAAGTTTGGAGGCGATGGAGTGATTAGTCGATCATATAAGAAGAATTTACACTTGAAATAAGTCCAACGATATTTTTCGATCAAACATCCAAAATCGCTACCTAGCTTTGCCAAGCTCTTAATAAGCCGATTTCTACCCACAACTGGATGCATAGACAAAGAACATTCCCTTCCGGCCACATATATATACATCTGCAATCTCCTATGCCAGGGGGCTTGAATTCATTCAGCAGATACCACCCTTGACCAGACGTGTATATAGGTGCTCACACCCGATATTCGAATTATACACAGATCAAATGTTCGAATACATGATATTTAAGGATCTACCATAGCGGGCATAACCGCCTGGAAACGATTATTTCCGACATGAGATCGAATTGCTGCTGGAATACTGTGTAAATGGCCAAGCTTCCTTCAATGGATGAAGATAAAGAAGTTCATACTATATGTTCGAAAATGAGGAAATGAAAGTGCAATTTACCGAATCAATTCGCGTGAACTCTCATCACCTACCAACAAAACAGAAGTGAAAATAAAATCAACCGAGCTGTGGGCTATTACACAACATAAAGCAACTATAATCATAATGTCACCTCAATCTACACTGAGATCGGTCAGACAGAACATAGTCGTAAACTCAAACGGTCCAGTTTCAAGTCTATGACCCTCGAAAGGACCAGGCCCACAGCTTGCTGTCCCGATTCCATGGTGCGCGTAATCGAGATTGAGCTCCGTCTCACCCTCTAACTCGGAAAGCTCGTGAGGATGCTTTGCGCGATCAAGCTCCGCCGTAGCATACTTTCGAAGGGAGAAACTGAACGGAGTGTCCATGAGAGCTTCAATCTGCGGGAGAGGCGCAAGGGCTCCACCCGAGGCAGCATAAGAGATCTCGGGAGGGGAGGAGTGAATACGCAACCAGCGCGTATCGATACGATTGCCATTCTCCTGGGGCCATTCATACGGTGTCTGGAGGCCGCTTTCAAGAGAGGCCGTGTACGTCCCGAACCGCGCGGCACTCTTCGTGTCACGATAAGATTCGCCTGGTCCTCGGCCGAACCATGTTGCTGCGTCGTATTGTCGGGGCAGACGGAGGGTAAGTCCGATTCTTGGAATGTATTTTGGGTGTGTGCCCGTGAAATCGCCCTTGACGTGGAGACGGACGGATGAGTCGGTTATGGTGTAAGTGAGTGTAGATTCGAGTGCCCATTCGAGGACAGTCGGCGCAACCCGCACGTTGGTTATCACCGATATGCTTCCATCGTCATTGGCATGCCAGTTGGCCGACTCGACTAGCATGCGACTGCTCTTCACCCGGAAGCGGTCCCACTCGACACATGGGCCCGCTGCCCCGAGGTCGTTCTGTGTGAGAGCGCGGTATATCCCTAGCTGTGGTCCACTGTGGAAGATCTTGCCCGCGTCGGTGGACCACGCCAAGTTTCCCCGAATAAGATCATAGGTGAAGTGGGACGAGAAGTTGTTTGAGTTGATATACAGTCGGCCTGGTCCCTCCTGTACTGAAAGTCTGGAGTGTGTCGGAATTAATTCTGGTAGAATTATGAGTTTCTTTTGCTCAAATAAAGAGATCTGGGCCCAGGCAATCTCATGTCCCTGTGGAGCCCAGGCTGTGGCCGCTTTGAGCTCAAAATTGATTGTGAGCCAGCTAGGCTCAGAATCAAACTTAACACCGTCAGGCAGATCTAGCATCTTCGATTCTCCGGGCATGATCTGTGGTAACTGCCATGGAGTTGCAGCGGATTTTCCACTCTCCCTCACAATATGCCATGAAACGTACAGGTGATCGAGCGTACTGAAGTCGTAGTGATTCACTATCTCCAGCCGATGTCCCTTCAGTGACAGCGTGACAGGCTCGATCGCCTTTTTATACTCAATCAACCCTGGTGTGGGGGTGTGGTCTGAAAATACCATCCCATCAAGAATGAAATCTGCATCATTAGGCTCGTCACCAAAGTCACCACCGTATGCATAATACAGTATATCCCCATCCCTCTTCAGCAGACCATGGTTACACCACTCCCAGATGAAACCTCCCTGAAGGTGATTTTCGGTGCGATACGCCTGTATGTATTCTATTAAGCCACCAGGGCCGTTGCCCACTATGCAACATGCATGAGAAAAAGAATAGTAGGGCTTCCAGCAATATTAGAGCTCAAACTTACTGGCATGGCCATACTCGCATTGAATCAATGGCCTATCGGGATTTTCACTGATGTGCCTTTTTAGGCCATCGATATCCCAATACATGGTGGAGTAAATATCAGCGCTTATGGCTTCCCGGTCACCCTCATAGTGAACAAGACGGGTCGGGTCTGCCTCTTTGATCCACCTGTACATGCTTGCGTGGTTCTGGCCGTAAAATGCCTCATTTCCAAGGGACCACATGATGATACATGAAAAGTTCTTCAAGCGCTGAACAAGCTCAACAGCACGATCAATGTAAGCATCTTTCCATTCAAGGTTATCGGATGTCCATTTGGCGGCCATCTTGTAGGACGTCTCTTGAATTTCATATTCGGTCATTAGGTGCTGATTTGCGATGTTGGATCGTTCCACAGGGTCAAAACCATGTGTCTCGAGATCTGCCTCGGCCATGACATAAAGACCGAGCTCATCACAGACCTCATATAGTCTAGGATCATTGGGTTGGTGACAGCACCGCAAAGCATTGATGTTGTGCTTCTTCATGAGAATCAAATCGGCACGCATATTCTCGTACGGCACGGCGCGACCGTGGAGATGATGGTGTTCGTGGCGGTTCATGCCGTATAGAATGATGGGTTGACCGTTTACCAAGAAGTTTGAATCTTTTAGCTCGATGTGCCGGAATCCAATGCGCTGGGGGATTGTACGACCGTTGAACGTTATGGTCAAAGTGTAAAGGATGGGATCTTCGGCCGACCATAGCTTCAACTCATCTCCAGATACATCGATACTTCCAATGACAGTGGAATTGAACATCAAATCCTTTAGGAGTGTTCCATCTGGTCTATACAACTTAGCCTGGACCTCCCCATCTTGACCCTGCGTTTTGACATCTGTAAGTAGCTGCCCTGTAGATAGATTGTTGCTGAGCGTTGCAGAAGCATTGAAGTCGATGACTGAGTCCTTTGGGAAAGCCAATAAACCAACGTCTCGAAAGATGCCACTGAGGAGCCACTGATCTTGTCGCTCTATGTACGAGCCGTCGCAGAACTCGTATACGCGCACTGCGATGGTATTTACAGAGCCGGCAGGTTTGATTAGAGGGGTTATGTCAAACTCGCTAGGATTGCGTGAGCCTTGCGAGTACCCAACTTTCTCTCCATTGACCCAAAGATGGAACGCGCTGTCGACACCCTCAAAGCGGATGCGGATCTGCAGTCCATCCCATTTGGAAGGTGTTACAAACTGTCTCCAATAAGATCCAGTCTCATTGAGGAGTGGCACTTGAGGAGGATTCACATGGAATGGATAGTTCACGTTGGTGTAGGTTGGATGGGAGTAGCCTTGGAGTTGCCACATCCCTGGGACTTTGATGTCATTCCAGCTGAAGATATCCGCAGAGGACCAGTCAGGTGCCTCGAAAGGGGATGCATCATGATGGAATTTCCATGTTCCATTCAGGGAAATATATTCACTCTGGTCGCGATCAAATGTGAGAGCTTGCTTTTCTGAAGCATAGCTGTAGAAGTGCGCCCGAGGTGGTAATGTGCCCCTGTGAATGACCCTGAGGTTGTTCCAGTCGGGTATATCTTTGGGAAAGAACATGATGAGCAAATGTAGGATGATATGGTTGCGAATTCTGTTGCTCAAGACACGAGGGGGAGATGTTGAGATGATCAATGGCGGGGTTAGGAGTATACAAGCTGTTGCTTTCCCCGTAGAGCCGGTTAAATGTCAAGCACATTTTGCCAAAAAAGATATATTCGCTAAATCGCGGCCAAGCGTCTGCGCTGGCCCAGATGATGGGTCTGGGCAGTATGAGTCTACCCTACTGGGTTTTGGGTAGAGACCCGACAAGCAGGGATAAATGCGGGCGGTTAAATTGTTTGGCTGTAGAGAGAACCTCAGCATTCTCGTATGCGAAGGTGTAAAGCGCCCAGGGATATACATGATAATCGAATATGCCGCCTCAATATGCCTGAGTTTGAGCCGCTCTTACTGGATGGTAAATCGAAGCCTCTAGTTCAAGCTACTGAGAAGGAGAAAATTATCTGTAAAAATGACTTCTCAAAAGACCACTAAAAAGACATCGCAAGGCCGCGTTTCCAACTATATGAACAGCCTCATTTTGCCCGATTTCCAAGGTTGGACACAGATCCATTGATTAGACACTTGCTAATGTCCCTGTCATAGTAATTCAGATATTCTACATATAGTTTTCAGCATAAATCCAGGCATTTTTAAACCACCCCCTGAGCGCTATACACCTTCGCACACGAGACTGGCCAAGAAAGAGGGATAAGGTGCAGTCCAGAGGTAATTGGAAACATGTACGGAGTATATTGACTGCAGATCAGTCTTCGAGTGGCACATCAACTATCCTCTGTGGTTCGCGCTGACAATCTGCTACTTATTTTCGGTAACCCTTTACTATTCACTTTATGCGAGCGTCTACCAATCAACTGGGCTTGTGGTTTAGTGGTATAATACTCCCTTAGCATGGGAGTGGTCCGGGGTTCGATTCCCCGCGAGTCCAGATCTTTTTGTTTCCTGGCAATATGTCTTTTTTATCGTATCTTTTGGCGTGTAGAGTGGAGTACCTTAACGCCAATCAAACCACGGAGAAGGAATCCGAGACTCGGCTACTAAGAGACCCGCATTGAATGTGAGTACTATGTACGGAGTAGGTACCTTTATGTACTTCTCCAAGACTTGCTAGCTAGTCCTTTGAAGTAATTCAAGCTTCTTCTCTTCTATCAAATAACCATGTCTTCGGCGTTGGCATATATAAAGATGGGCATGAATTTAGCATATGCCTTTAGATCAATGATCTGCTGATTATGATTCATGGTGGAGTTTTGGGCAATTGTTTGGAGCCAAAGATTGCATACATGTAATGGACATGTCCTTTCGGAATACAAAGAAATCAGGGTAGCTAGGTACTGCGCATGATTGCATCAGATGTCCCATTACGGTCCTGGGCCATTGGTCCTTGTTTGTCTGCATGGGCTAACATATATAGCCCCTAGAGGTCGGCACTCCTATCATCATCACACTCCTCTTCTTTTCTCTCCCTGTATAATCAAAAATTCCCTCTATATACCAAATCCCCCTTCCAGGGGCATAAATGCGACCGATTTCGATCAACAGTCTTGCTTCAATGAAAACTAGCTCCCAAAATCGCTAGACGGCAAGTATGTCTCCGCACTGCGTTTATATCCACGAAGAAAAACCCATGAGCCATGAACTTGCATTTACTTAACCAAGCCTCTAGTGCCCTACGTTTCTATACGATCGCCCACATCGGGCACTACCCCAACACCCAGTGTTATAATTCCATCGCAAAAGTACACGATGACCGCAGCCAAGATGATCATGCATCCCAGGAACGGTGACCCGCTCTGAGCAGCGGACTCGACCGTTCATGTCAACAAATACGACCACCACAGCGTTGCCGTCCGTAAATCCGGAACTTGGAGAAATGTGAAGATGGAGACTTAAGTTTGTCTTCCCATTTCTCTAAAGTACTCAATAGCGCGGACCAATTACCCCCGCGTGCCCTTTTCGGGAACAAGAATGGACTGAAGTCACGTTCTATGATGGTTGTTTGGCAAAAGATCCGATTGCGTCCCGAACCGAAGGAGCAGAAACGGGAAATTGACCGGACTTTTATCATGTTTATCAAGAATTGTGAGCCCTGGGGCTGGTCTTGGGTCGAGGAGAACACCTCTTGGAGTTCTTGCCAAACTTCCAAGGTTCTGTCACATGTTCTGTCACATGTTCTGCGTGGATCTCTTCTTGTCAATGTGAGTCCCTAGCGCCTTACATCGAGATCAGCTCAAAGTTCTGTCTAGAGTGTGAAACAGCGAATGGGAATTTATGAAAAAGGGACGAGACTAGAACTTCCAAATTTCTACATTCCAAATAAACAGGATATTTGTAGCTATCAAACCATTCAGTCAATAAAGTCTGATACCAATCTATGAAGTCTATACCGGAAACCACTTTCCCACTGTAAACCTATCATATACCGATCATCATTCATTACCAAGTCCATGAAGCAAAAACTTCATTAGACGCAAAAGGATTATTCATTCTATCATACAAAACCGGTAGTCCGGCCATAATCACTCGATCGATCTTCAATCGTGACTGCAACGCCATAATTAACCATGATATTGCCTCGGTCATTCGGAGGGGCCAGTTTCTCCTGACTGCTAGCCGGACTGGTCGATCGATATGCACTCGTTGACTGGTACGACTCGCCTTTCCCCGAAAAGCTATGCAACGCGATATCCGGGCCCCCAAGCCCGTTCGATCGAGCCGATCGATGCGACGGCATACCACTGGCACCGCGTCCACGCATTGTGTATGAGTCGTAGGGGTAGGAAATCGTGGAGGGCGAGACTGCGGTTTTGATGACACGATAGAGACCGGGGCAGCAGCCGATCATAACGGCTACCAAGGGCGGTCATTAGTATGATAAGTATGGAAGTGGGGGCCAGAGGAGGGTATAAATTTACCGATTGAGGCTTCGATCGTTCCCCATAGCGCTAGCCATGATGGGGCCGGGCTGCCGTTCTCGGTCTTTCCGAGCTGGACGACACGGATGGTCGAAATAAGGATGCACACCCAACCGAAGCAGAACAGTCCGCCAATGCTGAGTTTTTGGCGCCGTTTCATTTGTAAGTTCCAGATGAGGCGGAGAGGAAGGATCATGACTGGACCTGGTATTAGAAGGAAAACCTCAAGTATTAATCAAAATTCAACGTACTAGCTAGATCGGTGATGATGTCCGCCGCGTATGAAAAGTACAAGCTGATGATGGCGGCACGGTGGTCCTGTGGTCGACCGCATCCGCCCGATGTAAACCACGCTTGGAAGTTCGCGCACGACAACCATGATGAGAGAAGGCAGCCAAAGATAAACTACCAGAGCACTCATTAATGGGGAGACTTGTATTGAGAGCGAGTCAGGACATGCTCACCACGATACAGCCTCCTAGGATAATCCACCAGGCGATGGTGTATTTTTTCCCGACCAGGAGCCGTTTATACATCGCTAAGAGGGAGAACTTGATCATCCACAGACAGAACCATAGCGAGGACGTCGTGACAAAAAAGACAATCTGCATTTGACGCCCATCTTCCTTGATGGTGGCATAAGGCGCAAGCGTTCCAGCACTCACCGCAGCTAAGCGAAAGACGGCGGGGGCGATATAGATGTAAAGAATGCTCAGCGTCAAAAAGAACAGATAGCTGACTAGGAGCAGATAGTCCTCGGCCCTGAGATCCTTAAGGCTCCGAATGGAACCCGCAAACCGTATACCCAGAACCAGCGAGGTGAGCACAATCAAAGCGATGCCGGTTGCTTTGATGGTGTCGGGCCCAAAAGTGCCTTTAGAAAGGTCTCCCATCACTCAATACAGGTGAGATTCCAGGAAACCAAGCATTGAGACTACTAGGGAAGAGGGAGAAGGAGAAAGTCTTCTTCTTCTGTCTCTGGGAAAGCTGGGGCTTGGCTTTATAGCCTCCGAGCTAGCAAACAACTCTCGAAGGGTGCTGCACAAAGAGAGTCTTGGACAAACAGGCACCGAGAGGCATCTCAACAGCTATTAAACAATACAAAGTCATTTTACCGGGGGTTAGTTGCCACATGGCATTGCAATCTCTCAGTTTAAGATTCACACCAGCTTACTATCTGCAGCCACTCCACAGAATTCGGAGTATGTTCCAAAGTGGAGGCAGACATTACCGGGCATGCAGAGTTGTTTCGCATGGTGTGTACGGTTGCAGTACGGAGTATTGCACTATACTCTGTCCGGCGTAGTAAGATAGTAACAAGGTAGTAACGGAGTAACAGAGTAACAGGGTAACAGAGTAAGATAGTAACAGAGGAACAGAACGACAGCGTCACGTCGAGACCAACTCCCGGTGGCGTCAAGTGACCCGCAACGACGGGGGGTCCGTGCGCGTGGAAAGCGACGGGCCGCACACTCCAGAGAGGGGCCTATTCTCTTCCTCTTTCTGGGTTCTTTTCTCTTCGTCCTCAGCGGTGCTATGATCTGAACCAAAAAAAGAGGAAGAAAATCCAAGCTCATCTCGTCAAATGAACAATACGGAGTGACGGATTTGCAATTGAGTTTGGGCGTCTCCGACTAACGTGCTAACGCATAAGCCCCGGCGACTGTTCCTGCATTCTGTCAGCCCCCGCTTCAGAGTGTCTGACTAAACTTCCCCTTTTCATTTTCTTAGGGCTTCTTTAGATTAATTAAGCGGTCCAAGTGTGATTTCACGCATCTAATATACCTCTACTCCGTATGGAGTAGACTGGGAACGGGGCAATCGGATTGTCGCAATTCGCCCCATTTCCGCGTTGTACTATAGCAAGGCAATATCTCTGCACCCGGCCGTTCCGTAATCGACGGGGGATCTTTCATGTGGTTTACTCCGTCTCCACCGAAATAAGAAGGATGAGGGGGGGGAAATGAAACACGAGGGATAAAGAGAGCATCTGTAGCCGAGAGGAAGGATCTTGGAAGTCCAGAAGTCACGAACTAGCGCTTTTAAATCTTCAGAGGCTGAGGCTTTCCCGAATACTGCGTACTCCATATATAAATCCATCGTCTCGGTCTTTCGGGTTAGCTTCAACGGGCCGCTTCGCTTAAGTCAAGCGAGATTGTAGTCGAAGACCGTTGTCTACGGATGCATAGTGGCCCCCTGAATTACGCCTGGCATAAATAATATCCCAACGATATGGGACCAGAATAGTGACTAACGTATGCTGTAGTTAAAAAGAGACCAATCCTCCACTTGCAATCTGTTTTTCTTTTTTCTTCTCCATCTCCTCTTTAAGTCTTGCGTTTTTGGTGCTTTCTCCGTCATGCATCTTCCAACCCTTCTTGGCGGGTTAACCGCGATTAGCGGCCTGACCCTGGCCGCCACTACTGTCGGCGAAGTTGATATCGAGCCCGAGGACTTCACCGTCACCGGTGCATTGAGTGACTTGGGTATCGATGTGACCGAGATCCCTGCCTTAGAGTCCTTCTCCGCAATCGAGGCGCGATCAACCGACAAGGCTTGTTCAGTTGCTGTATGGGACAACCTAGACGAAAACAAGATCTCTATGCAATTTGCTAATTTCAATGACTGCAGTGTTCGAGTCTGAGCTTCTTGTTCGGCTCCAAGGTCTCCGCCCAATCGAGCGCTGGACACAGCAACTTCACCGATTCATTCTGGTCCGTGCAGCAAGAGGAGGTCGAGCCTTTCTGTGTGTTCCGTCCTACCAAGAACACGGATGTCAGCGCTGCAGTCCTGCTGGCCCGTTTCACCGGCTGTCACTTTGCCGCTAGAAGTGGTGGCCATGCTGCCTTCACGGGCGCGTCCAGCGCCCCTGGCGGAATCAGCATTTGGTTCAAGGATATGAACGCGGTCACGCTTAACGCGGATAAGTCGGTCGCTTCCATTGGTCCTGGAAATAACTGGCTGTCCACTTACTCCGCTCTTGAGCCCTATGGCTTGGCTGTCGTTGGAGGTCGTGCCTCTAGCATCGGTATTGGTGGTTTCGTTCTGGGTGGTGGCATCTCCTACCACTCTAACCTGTACGGATGGACTTGCGACAATACCGAGAGTTTCGAGGTGAGTTCCTGTTCATGATATGATCTCAATAAAACAAAAAGACATTTACTGACATAGTCCAGGTCGTCACTGCTAGTGGTTTGATTGTGACTGCCAGTGAGACTTCTTACCCCGACCTGTACTGGGCTCTGCGTGGTGGCGGCAACAACTTCGGTCTTATTACCAAGTACAACCTGTACACAATCCCCGCCCCGACAATGTACGGAGGTGCCAGAATCTACCTCCAGCCCCAGTTCCACGACGTCGTCACTGCCTTCGTCAACGTGGCTCACAACGCCTCCGTCGACCCCAATGCTCAGCAATTCGTCGCCTTCCTCGAGAGCAATGGAATGTACATTGCCACCGCCGAGCTGACCTACAACAAGGACGAGTCCAACCCGGAAATCTTCAAGGAATACCGCAACATCTCCGCCATTGCCGATGGTACCAGCACCAAGACCCTGGTCGAGTACGTCAAGTACCTGGAGAGCGAGAACCCCTTCGGCTATCGTCAGGCGTACTGGCCCATCAGCGCACAGTTGGATGAGGAATTCTCCAAGTGGGTCGTTGATCGCTGGTTCGAGGCGATCCCCGAAGTTCTCCATCTCGCCGGCTCCCAGCCCGTGCTGATCTACCAAGCCATCACCGAGCCCATGCTGAAGAACATGAAGAACTACGGCGGCAACCCTCTCGGTCTCGCGGATAAGACTGCCCCCCTTCATCTCATGCACATTTCCTTCCGCTGGAGCGATATCTCTGACGATGACACTGTCTACGCTTTCATCCACAGCTTCATGGAGAAGGTGACAGCCCAGGCCAAGACCCTTGGCATCTTTGATGAGTACATCTACATGAACTACGCCGGCATCTACCAGGACGCCGTTTCTGGATACGGCGCCGAGAACAAGGCTAAGCTGAAGAGCATTGCCAAGAAGTACGACCCACGTGAGGTTTACCAGACTCTCCAACCTGGATACTTCAAGCTCGATGGTACTCCTAAGACTCCCCCGTTCTAGATGTCAGGGCAAAGAAACCGGCCTTGTTCTGCGCCGTTGTATTTTAAATGTCTTCTCCATAAGAGCAAAGTGTTGACATCATAATGTAATATTTGTGAATCATTTCTTACACATGCCTGGCAGTACTCCGTAGAGATAACACTATTCCATGACAGAAGAGACGATCTCCATAGCAACCCTCACGGATAGCACAGCCGTAATTTCCACATACCGTTGATGGAAGGCTGACAGATAACCTTAGAAAGATCCTTCAACCCGCCCCCGAAGGCCAATCTGGCAGCGCAGTATATAAACCAAAACCAAGGTGCATCGGTTTATAACCGTGTATAGCAGAAGTAACCACATCAAGCTGTCTTGCTTCCAAATGATCCAATCTGCCACCCAACTGCCCGCGGCTCAGCAAACTATCAACTACCGCCAAGTCATCGATCTCATCGCTCCAATCCCGTTACAGAAATGCCTACGTAGCGATTGTTCAAGGGAGATAATCATCGAAACAGCCGCTCAATAGCCGCATATCGCACAGGACCTTGTTCGCCACTGATTAAACAGAGTGCACGGACAGCAATACACGGTCCATTCTCCGCGCTCCACTCGAGCAGCTCTCGACGATCAGATCGGGATGTCAATCATGAGTCCGATGGACCCACTTGAGCTATGCGCGGTTGTGTCGGACTTACGGCCATCTCAAGCAGATGGCTCGAGGTATCGACCACTTCATCAATGGCTATTACATCGGATATTTCAAATTCGGGTACAATGTCAAGGGTTATAAGATATCAGGGGATGGCGATGGAGTTGTGTTCCCAAAAAGGAGAGACGGGTGAGCCTTACAATTCAGGCCCCAAGAGGCCAAGCCCCAGCACAGACTCAACTGCCTGCACCCGGAGTCCGACAAAGGTGTCCCCAAGTAGATTCACTGGCTACCGCGGCAACCTATTATTGTCATACGGTCGTGAAACCCATGCATATTCGGCTATCGAACCAAAGCTGTCCCGGAATTCAAGGTTGGGGAAAATATGAGACGCGAGTAGAATTGGACGACAGACATACTGTGCAGTGTGCACGCAGAAGAATATCCTAATCCATCAGAGAGCATGGGAGAAGACGAGAAAAGGCAACGAGGCTGATGACCCTACAGCTCCCCCACTTGAGCCATGGAATGGATTGAGGCTAAGATGAGGCTATACCTAACTGGGAAGGGGATCGACACACACAAGTGGTAATCAGTGGGGCCCATCCACGTCAATCTAATCTCGATTTACTTGATTTACTAGAATGTGGAATCATCTCGAGAGGTTGTGTGCTCGAACATGACCAAGTGATTGGCCAGGAATAGACTCCCTTGGCATGGGCTGAGGTGTGTTCCAGATTGAAAACAAGGTTTGTCAGATGTTCCATGGGTTCTTCGCCCATCCTCTCGCCTACGCATCAGGCAGAAGCTCGAATCCATCTTCGAGATCTCTTCGTTTCCGCTGTCTCGTCAGCAAGGCTTGATATTGAACAAAAGTACAGAGCACAGTGATCCCTCTTGCTTGGAAAGCCTGGTAACTTCTTAGAAGGGTACATACTTAGCGCAGGAACATGCATCATATTCAGGCCCAGGCTCAGCGCGACTGGAAGTATAACCCACCGACATCATTGATCGACGAAACCTCACTTCTTTGGGAACCATTCCTCAATAACCCCGCATCACGCAATTAGCCCGGGGCTCTCTGCAAGCTACCCACGATCTATATCCGTAATGATGTCCAAGTGGAAATTCCTATAAGAAGGGCGTCCGCACCAGGGCTCAAGTCCAGTTATCCCCCGCTTGATTCTAATCTCTAAGGTCAGACAGAACCCCTCAAAGCAGCACGCAAAGCCCCGGGATCTCTTTCCCAAGTCTTACAGAACCCCCATTTTCAACACTCAACCTCCATCCTCCACGATGTTGGCCCCAGACCCCCCTTGCGGCTAAGGCCTCAAGCTCCGCTACCGAATTATATCTCAGTCAAGCTCGTGCTCTCACCAGCACTGAGGATTGCAAAGTCTTATACGAGAAATGGGCCTCGACATACGACGAAGAAGTCGGGGACAGCGCCCAAAACTACGTGGCTCCGGTCCTTGTCGCCCAAGCGGCCGTCAAATACGGGCTCTCGAACGGTGCCCGCAACAGTGTGATCCTAGATGCCGGTTGCGGGACTGGGCTAGTGGGAGTGGCTCTTGGAATGGCGCAGGCCAAAGCAATCGACGGTATTGACTTGTCGCCTGCCATGCTCGACGTCGCAAGGAAGACATCTGCCTACCGAGATCTCACCATCGCAGACATGAACCGACCAATTGATAAGGCCGATGGAACATACGACCTTGTGTCCTGCGTGGGGACTTTCACGCTCGGTCATGTTGGGCCAGATCCGGCACTACGAGAACTCATCCGGGTTACCAAGAAGAAGGGTGTCGTTGTTTCAACAATCCTCCAAGAGATCTGGGTACCTGGAGGGTTCAAGGCCGAGGCCGAGAAGTTAGAGGCCGAAGGCCTGGTGAGGGTCGTCACCGAGGAGCTTATAGACTATGTAAAGGGGCACGGCGACAAGGCTGTGCTGCTTATTCTAGAGAAGATCGATCGCACCTGAACCGAACCATGATATATCACGACACAAAGCCCCGAGCGACATCATGCCCTTGCAACACCGATTGATTGGTATTTAACTACCTCCAATGCGACACCCAAAGAGGGCCTTTCAACACCCTCGATTCCCATGCAACAATAGGCACCCGATGAACTCGATCCTACGCGAAAGCCAGTTTTCATTCTTAGAACATAATTAAATTAATAAATCGCAGACATATCAAGTCATATTAAGATCCTCAGAGCCCTCTTGCTAGTATACTTTCTGTGTACGTGGTGCATTTTCCCGTGTCTGTTCCTCCTTCCAAGGTTGCATTTCGAACGGAAAAGAATGTCCATTTGGAGACCAGCTCAATTTACTCATGCACAACATACGACGCATAGCTAAAGCGGGAACGCGGGGGTAAAAGCTGAGCATCAATGGGGCCAAGACGGAGCAGACAAATCCGAGTCATTCTGATTCGTAGTCATTATGGCAGGGATCATGTTCTCTGCAAGGCACGGACATCCTTGGCATCTAATCCTTGGTCAGTACGGAGTATGCGTTGCGCAAGCCTTTAGGCTCCCTTGAAACAAAATCCCGCAGTGTATTGGAAGAAAGGACTGAACTATGTTTTTTTTCACGTTCCATCGAGTTGCTATGCATAGAAACAAAAGAGCCATGAACACCACGCTGTGCATTGCAGCCCGAAGACCTGCTATCCAAAAAAAAAAGAAAGAGATGATATCATGCAAGTTTCATAAGAGTTTTGAGCTCGTGAAGCGAGAGTGGTTTGATGAGGTAATTATCAATACCGGCCGTGTAAGCTTGGTGCTGAAAGGCAGCTGAGGAAACTCCAGTAACAGCCATGATGCAAGATGGCCTGATGCCATTTTCGCGTTCATATTCACGAATCTTGCTCGTTGAGACAAGACCGTCCATTACTGGCATTGAGATGTCCATTAAGACAAAGTCGTAGTAGATGTTGGAAGATTTGTATTTCTCCAGTGCAACTAGGCCATTGTGCGCGGTATCGTAGCTACAGTTAATTTTGCGCATGAAGGTGGCCATAATCTAGCTTAGGGGTTAGTGATGTTCAAATCCAGGGTGCAGGGTAGAGTATAGTACCTTGACATTGATTTCATTATCATCCACAATGAGCACATGCGCCAGTGCTTGTTTGCTAGAGGGTCGGGGTGTGGAAGTATTTGATCCTTCCGATGAACTCAATGCTTCGGTTGGATACTCAGAGATGACTCTTTCATAAACTCCCGGCTCTGGCTCTGGATTGCTTGCTATTTGGGTCGGTGGAGAGATGAGGGAGAAAGCAGCGTCGGGCTCAGGATCAGAAGAAGCAGGTGGTATTTGTATCTCACGCCACTTCATGATCTTCTCAACCGCTTTGTATATCTTCTGGGGTCCAAATCTGTGTCAGATGTTAGCAGCCTTACTCGAAAGCTATTGGCGTTGGAACTTACGGCTGGGCAACGCGGATGATGTTAACAGAAAGGCTATCGAGAATGATTGGTACATTGCCGCTCAGGACGATGAAGAAGTCAAAGCCATTCTGTGCCGCGATTTCCGAGACATGTTGATCATTTTCATTCATGGCTTGCCTGAGCAGCTCTTCTTCGATGACTATAACCTGCCCACGAGCCTCTCCGATGGTGTCGGCCAAAGATATGTTCCATTTCATCTTTGTCATGAAGATGCTGGCGAGTGTGCTTTGAATGGAGAGTTTTCGCTTGCCCTCGACAGTGAGGATTCCAGTTGGCGTTTCTGTGAGGTCGGGGTAACCATTGAAGCCCACTAGGCATGCATGCATAGGGGAATTTCCTTCTGGAGTACTTGTTGGAGCCAGGCTAGCCGCTGGACTGTAGCTGGCCGGTAGACATTGAACAGGAATATAGACATCAGCCTGAGTGCCAACGCCCATTTCACTCCTGACATTCACATGACCCCCGAGCGACATCACCAGTTGCTGTACAGTGCTCAAACCCAACCCGACACCTTCAGAGAGCGGATCTTCTTGCGAGAAAGGGGCAAATAGTTTGTGCTTAATGAAATCGGCCGCGATTCCACGCCCAGTATCAGTGATGGACAGGTGAACAAGCGGGGGTTGGGCATCAGATCGGTCCCTAGCCTTTGATAACGCGATTTCGATGAAGCCGATGGGAGTCCACTTCATCGCATTGCCCAACAAGTTCATGACGATTCTCCTCCAGGCACCTGCAAGGGATCGAATCACCCAAGTGTCCGTCTGGTCCACCCTTATGACAACTGATATTTGGTTTCTTGCACTGAAATCCGTATTGATCGAATCCGTGGCTTCCAAGTTGGATGACATTCGGTTTGCCAGCTTACTCACCTGCTCAGGTGCTCGCTGACCGGTGTACAAAATATTCGCAACCTCTTCCACTAAATGACTGATGTTAAAATCGGAGACCAGATTGGCTGTATCATTTTCCGAAATCATTTCATTCATCTTGTTTGTGTGTCTCAGATTGTTGACCTTGCAGAACTCCAACCTATTAGGCATTAGGAGTTTGTTTCGAAATCTGGAGATATCGATTAGGATAGACTTACATGTGATTCGTTGTATCTAGCAATGTCAATCCGGACTTTTCAATCATCTTCACCATCTCTTCTTGTGCTGGAGTGAGAGTGGTGGCATCGAGTAATTCGGCACTCGCCAATATGCCGTGGAGTGGAGAACGGAGTTCATGGCTAACAGAGGATATGAAATCGAATTTAGATCTCTCGGTGCTTGCCCAATGAATTCTGGACACTTCTGAGATCAAAGAATCGCCAAATACTTTGAAATAGTGCAGCTCCTCTGGCCCAAGCGCCCGAAAACTGCTTGCAGTCCATACAAGCACCCCAGAAAGCCAACGTGACTTGTTCCAATCCCACAAAGGCAGGAAAAGTGCGGACTTAGCTCCAGGAAGACACCGTGCAAGGTGTTCTGAACAGTTCTGGAGGTTGGGCTCCTGCTGAGAATCACAAGTGCCAGCTTCTTTATTGAACAAATAGTTTTCTTCATCGTTGGTTTCATTCAGACTCAGGATTTGCCCTTGTGGGAAAGTCCGAAGCATTTGATGCAGCAGTCCCTGTGGTATATGAGGATGACTTGTTGAGACACCGGCACCTTTGGATGGAGATTTCAATGCGCAGCTCAAGTTATCGCATGGAAGGTCAAAGTCTCGCGACACAACTCGAGGCAACCCAAGGGGACTGGGTAGGGCCATGGTCGAGAATCCGGGATCTGCAGTTGTTGGTAACGGCTCCCAGCTCTCTGACGCTTCAGGGACACTAACAAGGTTGTCGATGAGAATCATCCGATAGCAAGAGCAACGCATCGATAAGTTATACTCACAAGGTAAAATTAATTGGACAGGCATCAAGAAATGTGACCCCATCTAGATCCATGGAGTCCCGAAGTAGCACACTCGCTCGAGAATAAATAGATGCAATCCGTTCGGAAATAGGCATGCTCTCTGTTAATGACAATTGCGAGAAGCTCTTATCGATATTCTGGGGGACACCGGTCTCTGCGGACTTCAATACTTCTCCCGGTGATTTTTCTTCACCGGGGCTCATCGCCATCGGCCGATCAGAAAGGCCCGAATATAGAGAGGATGGGTCTGTCGTGCACGGCCGATCTGGCAAGAAGAATATGGATTCTTTCTCCGTCACAATTGAAGAAATTGATAGTCTGGGGTTGGGAGTGGCGTCTTCAGCGGGGTCATCCAACGGCACAACGACCTCCGGAGTCGCATCACAGCTAACGTTTGCGGCACCAGCAGCGATTTCATGAGGTAGAAGGTTTGCAGCAATAACACTGGATTGGAGACGACCATGATTAGAGACCTCGGTGGGATCAAAGTCTGCATGGTCTTTGACGAAGTTTGTCAAGCCCTTTACCAATTTTTCGGTACGAATATGAGCCTGGCTCATTCGTACATTCTCCAGGTGCAATCCGATGGCATCTGCCACTTCCTGGAGGTCATTAACCTGTTCATCCCCAAATTCGGTCCATGGTTTGTCATCGACGATGCAGTAGGAGCCTAGGACGTATCCGGATGCACTGAATAGAGGCACCTCTGCGTAAAAGCGCATGTGCGGCCATTCTCGAACATAAGGTCGGTCCTTGAAACTGTCTTCAAGGGTGAAATCACGAATGATATAGCGCGTACGATTGGCGGTTACATTTTCGGTGTCGATGTCGTTCGATGAGCGTCCTGTGAACAATTGGACAGTATGTGGACATACCCCCCAGAGTAGATCCAGTGATCGTGCCCCGAGATAGATACCATCTCCAGGCCGATGGCGATCCTTATTTCGTAAAGAGATCGAACTAGTCGCTTCTGCAATAATATGCTGAGTTTCGCCGTCAATAATGGACACAAAGCACCGATTGGCTTTGAAACGGAGGACGCCGAGCTGAGCGAGTGCCGTGAGAGTAATATCCTTGGCTAACTCACAGCCTGTGGGCTGTTCATCTCCAGTCGGTGCTGCAGGCGTCTCTTCGCCCTCAGAAGTCGTCGCATTAGGTGCTGGAAATGCCCGAGTCACTGTACAATAATACCTATTTCAGGGAATGATCAGTGATGATCAGTGGAACAGGGGCATTGGCGGAACGCCACAAACCTCGACAAATCACGGATCCGCTCGCGCTCCTGATCTTCCTCCGGGGTTGGATGAAAGGCGCGTACGCCTGCGGAATTCATATTCTCGGGCTCATAGCTCACTAGTTATAGCAATTCTAAAAGAAAAGGAATCTTAAATCCGAGACCCAAATCCCCCATGGGCGGGTGCCGCACGTGAATTACTAAAACCGGCTTCGCATGAAAGCCCCCACTATTTCCCTGACTGACAGCGTTCATTGGCGCTTCAGAAATTTATTGTGGTCAATCGTGCCGAGCGATAGATATGAAGCGAGGCCCAGATGGAGTTTGGACTCGGTAGTTCCAAATCGCGCAGGCGAATACGAGTCAATTGGATTGGTTGGGGCAGAAAGCCGATCATCACCTGACATCACCTGATATCGAACTATATTTATCTTGGGGGGCCATCGTTCCAGCTGCCACCAGGTGTTCGTGGATTGTTTTCGATTTCACGCTTAAAGACCGATCGTCTCATTGAAATGTTTACTCTTACATGTGAAGGCTCGAAGATTCCTCATTATTGAAAGAAAGATGAGGCTAATGTGACTAGGTTGATGCCCGATTCGTTTGGGTTTAGCTTCACTGCATCTCACTGCTAGGATTAGAGCTTTTTTCCGACTTCCCTTTCATTCCAACTATAGAGCATACGAGATTTCGAATTTCGCAAAAACAATTACACCCAGTCTTTAACTTGATTTAGAGACGCAGTGCAAACAAAACTCATGGGCAGTTAGAAGTGCCGAGCTAGGTCCGAGTTAGGGAGGTTGAAATACACCAAAATAGATAAACCACCCCACTGCCTTTCATGATCTGGTAAGATCCCAGCTCAAATTACAAGTAAGGAATCTAGTACGGAGTACTCCGTGCGTTCAAATCACTTCACGAGCTGAGGTGAGACGAATGCTAGGGTTGCCAGCCACAGTACTTTTGAAACGCTCTTCTTTGTCTGTTTTTCTTTCTTTTCATGTTTGTTTGCCGTAAACTTGAAACATACTTTTTATTTCACACATCTGATTGGATGCCCTTTAGGTAGTTTCTATTATCTAGCACTTGTGTCAGGGTCTACTGAGGGAGAGACGTCGAAATGCATCATGAAGATGTTGATTGAGGAAGAAGACTAAACTAGGAAGGTATGGACTGAGGAAGGCATCTGATATGCATCATGAAGATGGTTGATGAAGTTGAGAACTAAGCTAGGCTATGGACTGAGGGAGAAGTCTGAGCATGTCTGTAGCTAGCTTTTTGAGCTAACTGGTTCCCAACGAGATTGCCCCGCTACGTATCGATGTTAGCTATAGTGGATCAGACAAATATAGATCAAATTCAACTAGCCTCCCAAAAATATGGGTTTTTCGCCGCGATACATTCTTCTTCACTAGCGATATGTCCATCGACCACAAAGATCTCATCGTCAACTGTGATGTTACCTTGCTGGTAAAGATGTACCACAGCAGTTACATTGTTCAGCTGAGATGGGGTATAGAGGGAATCATTCGGATCAAGCAATCGTTTAAAAACGGCAATACGCTCCTCAGTGGTGATTGGGGGACGAGGCCTAAAGGGTTGGGACTGAATAATGCGGGTAGATTCAGAAGACTCAGGATTAAAGTTAGTGGTATTTGAATTAGACATTATGACGGCCAGCTCACAAAAAGATTCAAGCCAAAAGGGCATGCAGTTGAGACAGACTTCCGCCACTCCCGAGGTCGATGCCAGAGGTTATTATATATAATCACGTTATCCTTCTAAGGTTCCAAGGTTAGGAATGTTTTGCTCTAATGTTGAGGCTTGTCAACTGATGTGGTATTCAGTATAATAGGGGTCCAATCAAGGATGTTGAAATCTCTGTATTTCTGTATCCACTATTCTAGCAGGAAATATGACTTTCTAACTAATATCAAAAATACTATATAGATAGGATAAACTAAACTTCCGGTATACCGATCTCTTGCTCCGACACACCACCTTAGCTAGGCTAGTATGGTCTAGCTACTTCCTACACCCTAGTCGGTATACTATTTTCCTTCCCTTGCTTATCAAATGACCCCTACTATTAGATAGCTTATATCTATCATTCTTAACATTAGACCTGGCAGTGACCCTCCGGGTGGTCCATGACCTTGGACCCTCCACCCGCCCCTCCGAGGTTCAGGGTCGCTCATGAGCGACCCTGACCCTAACCCTAGTTCTATGAGGGTCGCATGCGGGTGACCCTTAATGACCCGCAGCGACCCTCGGATACATAAATTTCTAGCGCTAAACCTAATATAGGTAGATAAAACTGATTACTTATCTTAATAAAATACTATTATTTATACCTATTTTGTCTATTAGACTATAAACACTAACACTTAACTATTAAAGCTATAGAATGTCTTAAATTGTTTTAATAATATTATTTTTCGCTAATAGTTCTATTAGTTTTATACTTCTTTTACGTTATACGACCGTAGGAAAGAAGTATAATAGGTAGTAGAAGTTATTAGTCTATAATAGAGTAGAGATATATATCTATAGTATATATTATATTAATTAAAAGGTTTATTAGGGGTCTAAGGTTCACTAAGGGTTAGAATAAGGTTCGTAGAGAGTCTAAAAGGGTCACTAAGGGTTAAAATAAGGTTTATAGAGGGTCTATAAGGTTCGTTAAGGGTTAGAATAAGGGTTATAGAGGGTCTATAAGGTTCGTTAAGGGTTAAAATAAGGTTCGTTAAGGTTTACTATAAGTAATATATAATAAACTAACTAATAATAATAGCTTATTTAAGAACACGATATATTAACTTAGTAAATCGTATATTTATACCTCTCGTACTTAACTTTAAGAAAATAATTAACTATAGGTCGTCTACTCCTTACTATCTTTCTATTTATATATCTATATTAAGTATATCGTAATTTTCTGACACTTATACTTCCTTAAACTACGAGGGGGCACTACTAGATACTCTTTAATATCTTATTCTAGACGATACTCTATTTATAACCCCTTACGCGTTAGGTAGTTAATAAACCTTAATATCGGTATACGATAATTCTCGATTCGCTCCTCTAAGCCCTTTATAACGTCTATCTTTACCTCCCTTTATTACGATACTTAATCCTAACTATATTAATTCCTTCGCTCTATATAGTAATATAATAAGTAAGGAATTTATTAAATAATAGCTTTAGATAGAATTTAGGAAGTCTAAGCGTATTAACTAGGATATACGCTATTAAGCTAAATACTAGAAGTCTTTTAATTAAGTAGCGAATATAAAAGATAGGAAGCTAAATATAATATATAAATAGTGTTAAAAGGTTCTTAATTATCCTATAGCTACTTATATAGGCACTTTATCTATAAATAAGTACCGGAAGGGAGTTAATTATATAAAATTCGTATTAAGAAGACTAAATATTAAGACTTTACTTAAGATAGCTATATATTATTTTTCCTAATATTATCTTCTTTATTAACCGATATATAGGTATCGAATATATTAACTCTTATATTCTTATTATGACGATCGTGGACAAGAAACTAAGTCACGTGACTATGGCTATCGCAGAGTGGGTCCGAGGTTTATAAGGTTTATAACTCGAAGACTCTCTAAAACTCGGCGATAGTGAGTTTTCCTTTTCCTCTTTTCCTTTCTTTCTCTATCTTAGTATTTTCGTTAAATTACACTCTTTCTTTAAAGATCTAGCTCGTAATATAATACTAAGACCACTCTTTTAATTTTATAAGACGGTATAGCTATATAGATCATTATTATAATTATTAGGACCGGCGTGCTAGCGGGTCCTAGCAGGTAATATAGAACTAGAGTGAAGGAATAGCAGGGTGCTAGTATATTTATAAACTAATCGCTAAAGAGCTAAGTTCCCCTAGCAGTCTCTATATAGATGACCTTTAGCGGGTCACGGGACTAGGTCACCTAACCCGGCAGGACTCAGTCTCCCTAGTACGGTCTCTAGCGGGGGGTCATACTACCCCTACTAGGTCACGGGTTCTAGGTCATAGGACTAGGCGGGATCTAGCCTATAAGGCACTCTCCTAGTAGAGGGTCGTAACATTTTCCCCCTCCTTAAAGAGTTACGTCCTCGTAGCTAAGGGTCGGGGGTCGAGGGTCTCTTATAGTTAAGGTAGGGAGGGTTCGAAAATAGTATATATATCTAGCTGTCTAAAAGAGGGTAATTTATCTTTATAGTGGAAGGTATAGCTAGACTCGGAGCTTTAAGCGTTATCTCTCTTCGTCGCGTATAATCTAAGTTCTTTGTGTATTTTTCACTTATCTCTCTTCGAGTTATAGCTTTCTTCTTCCTATACTTCCTCGTCCTTTCGCTATAGCTTTTTCGTCGTCTCGCTTTTCTTACTATAGGTCATTTCGACTTATTATAGTAGCTCCGTTTCCTCCGGTCGTAAGTACGACGTATACCTCTATTAATAATTACGCCCCTCCGGCCGTCGTCTCCCTTACTAACCCTACGAGTATATAGTATCGGTATTATATAGACTATCTTAGATATAACCCGGGGTATATATATATCCCTCCGCCTAGCGGGATTAACGTTAATACTCCCTAGTATAACTATTATATAAGGAAGCGGTAGTTTTATATAATAGTAAGTATAGACCTCCGCTTATATTAGCGGTTATTAATATTCCTTAGGTCGATTCTAGGCTTAATACTTAAGCTAATACTTATATCTTAGCGCCCTATACTACCCCCGCGTAGAATATATCGTTCCTTACGATTATATAGGGGTTTTAAGGTACGCGGAATACTTTAACTCGAGATATCTATAAAGGTATAGTTACGCCTTTTAGTCCTTCTCGCGCTACGCCCTCTCTATCTCCTCTACCCCCTCCGCCCCCTTTAACGTAGGTTTTATTAATAAGTCGGGTTATAAGTTAGCTTCGGGCGCCTTCTTAGATTAGATTACGTATATAGCGGTAAGAATATAGGTATATCTTAGAGGTTACTTATCTAGTATAGGTAGTTATTACGTTATACTCTTAGAGAGTATTAGCTATATTACTTTTTATCCTATTTTTTAGCGATAAACTCTTATATATCCTTATTATACGTCTATAATCTCTTTAGGATATTTTTCGTCCGCTTCTTATCTTTACTAGTATTCTAGATCCTCCCCTAATCTATCTATAGCGTATATTAGTATAGCTAGTTATTTTCTAGGGGTCTATTTAGTAGTTAGCTATTAGATTTAGCGTTCTTAAGCCTACTCTAGTCCTTCTAATTTTTCTAGAACGTATCTAGCGGTAGATCCTAGGTTATATTAACTTCTTTTTTATAGATCTTCCTCGGTATATTATATACTCTAGCTATTCTTTCTTCTTATTATAGTAGCTCTTAAATACTAGTATATCTTCTATATTTTCTCTTAGCTCCTAAGTATTTTCCTTATACCTATATCCTCTCTATTTAATAAGGTATTTAGTACTCTTATAGTTATCGGTAAGGATCTTCTTAATCTCCTATTTAGGTTAGTTATCTATTAGTATAGGATTAGGCCGCTCTTAAGCTTTTAGCGGATCTCTATAATATAGCTTTAGTATTAAAGTATATTATATAGGGTAGATCTTACGATATTTTAGTATAAGGATTAGCTAGTATATCTATTATTCTACTATATTTATTATTACGAAGGGTCCTATATAGCGGTTATCTAGCTTTTTATATAGTTATCCTAAGTTAATATATTTATTTCTTAGTATAACCTATTATCTAATTATAAAAGACTTCTCTATATATTTCCTATTATAAGCTTATTTTATTATAGTTTTCGACTCTTCTAGGCGTTTTCTTAGTATTTCTTATATCTTTAGTATTTCCTCTATACGGCTTTTAGCGTTATTATAGGTTTTTATCTTCCTATCTAGTACTAATATTCTTAGTTTTAGTCGGAATCCTAGTAATATTTCGGCTAGAGATATTTTTAGTATACTATAGATAGTAATATTATAGATAATCTATATAAGGGGGGATCTATCTTATCTAATTATTTTAGTACTAGCTTATTATATTATATAGATAATACTTAATACTTTAGTTTTATCTCTCTATCTACCTATTAGTTTATAGGTAATAGGCTATTAATAGTCTATATCTTATAGTAAGAAGATAGTAGAAGTAACTTTAGAATTTTAATATAAAGATAATACCTCTATTACTAATAAGGTTTTCTAGTATTCCCTATAAGGGTATAACCTTTTTATAAAATAAGATTACGAGTTCTAGCAAGTCTATATTCTTAGTATAGGAAATATAGAGGGAATATTTTAAGAATAGATCGACTATAACTATAATCGTATTATAAGCCTTCCCCTCCTATTTTAAAGGTAGTAGGCCTATAATAAAGTCTATACTTATCTACTAGCTTAGTCTCTCTAGTACTAATAGTAGTTCGAGTAGTCTATATAACTTATAGTATTTAATAGTATTAGACTAATAGATCTAGTATATAAAGATATAGTCCTATATATCCTTAATAAAGGTTTTCTATTAGTATTTATATCTAATAATTTATAGCGTTTTTTTTCTTATATAATAGCCTACCTATAGATCGTTATAGTAAATCCTTATAATTTCTTAGTAGATTATAGGTTCGCCTTTAGGAATATA